GTTAAAACATTAGAAACTTAAATAAATGCATGTTCTACTACGTTTTAATTTCATCAATGTTCATAATTTTGTATCATATGTATGCTTTATGCAATCTTGTTCTAATTGTCTTCGTCAATTCCCCGATTTATCCAAAAAAAAAAAGATTATTCGGCAAGAATATATTCTAATAAATTAATACCAGCATATATTTGATCTGTTCGATTATTCTCAAGATTGCCCTAAAATGCTGTTTCGAAATTGAAGAGCCCGAGATTCTTCTTCATTCTTCATGCATGTTCAAATTAACATATAATTAAATTCAATTTATTGATTTCATCATAAGACCTTCATTTTTAAAATTGAATTTATTGGATAACTATATATTGTCTAGAGTAATAAACTTTATATATACATTCGTGCAAGTTTAAATTTCAAACTTCCTCGAGCTGGTTATTGAATTTATTAGTGTCACATATATTCATTTGCTTGGTAGATATATCATATTTGATGTGCAAGGGTGTGTTTGATTTGTATTTCTATTTTATATTTAAATTATTATTTGATTTCATATTTTGTCAAATGTAAAATAAATAAACTGAAAAAATAAATAAATAAATAAAATTCCAAGTGAAGGAAGTCAATAAATTTATATGTATACACAAATCATTGGGAACCATAATTACAATTGATATTTTATATTATAGGGTCTGATTATTAAATGCTGGTGCTTGTTGTTTTTATTTACTTAACGATAATAATGTTCGTATTCAATATTCGAACATATATCCTAGTACATGTAGTTATAACTTCATATCTTAACATTTCAGGTTATATATAAAAACTCAAGATTTATTCTACAGCTATTTTAAAAAGTCACTTAAATCGAAAATTCAAAATATATACTCAATAGATAAATTATTTTTCCAAATATTTTTATTATCAATTATTATAATGTCACAACAACAATTATCATAATAATATAGCTACAAGCCAGCAACATACCCCAGCCCAGATTTTTTGTTGTTTCTAATTCGAGATATCCCAACATTATAGTGCACTTCATCCACACCAACCATAATTATTATTGGTACCAACATATCCTTATTTACACTTTTGTAAATACTATTTTAATTTTCAAATGGATGACCTATGTGCATAGGTGTAATAAAATTTCAAAAAGATGATCATAATAATATCAGAATTAAAAAATAAAAATAAAAATCAAACTAGTATAGTAATGGAAAAACAAATAAATATCAAAATTTCACCATTATTCAAGAATGCTGATTTAATTTAATTTAATTCTTTCTTTCAATATGGAAAAATTAATTAATATGTGTGTAAAAAATTATGTATGTATGGGGTCCAGTAGTGGCTGAATTTCAAGTGTGTACGTTTTTTCAAACTCTAAAAGTTAATGCATTCATCCATAAATGTTGAAATTGCACCTTCCCCATCAATAATTGCATCTCTTTAGTCATTGCTTTTGCTTTGTTTAGGGTTTTTATTACAAAAAGGGTAATGTTTAAACGCAGTCCTGTCTGTTAATCTATGTCCCAAAAAAATAAAACTATTATTACTAACTTGTGCACTATGTATGCATATTATACTCTTCTCTTGATGTTTGAGAAAATCAATCAACCAACAACGATATATGAACAAGTGCTTCATCCCTTTTCTTTCTTTTTTTTTTTTTTTAAATTAAAAAAAAATGTTTTAAATTTCCTGTGGATATGTATGTGTGCAAGAGATTGGACCACCTGCGAAAAAAACCGATGAATGGAGAGCTGAGTCAGGGATCATTATTACACAGAAAAACCTGTCGGGATTCCAGGGCCCTCCCAATTAATGTTTTGTAGCAAAATCAGTCATTTCTTTAGTTAATTTTTTTTTTTTTTTTGACAATTTATTTTGATTTATAGGTTTCGAACAAACTTATTTTATTTCATTTTTGTGAGGAAACCCCAAAATAGCCCAGTTAGAAAAACGCCTTCTATTTTAATATTATCGGGGTATCGAAATGAGATAAAGCAGGGTATTGCTTGGAAGCTCCCAGGATCCGGACTCCAGATGGGTTCACGTCACGCTTTAACATCGCCTACGTTGGCTTATCTGACTTTGCGAGGCCAGGGACCTCACATTGCAACCAATTTTCTTTATCTTTTATGTATCTATTTATTTATTTATTTGTGGTTTCTACAATGTAAAAAATAGTGTAACAGTACAGAGATACAGACACAGACATGATCCCAAATTAAATGATGTATAATTGAGTACATACATTGGGTTTTGGTCGACATTCAAACATGGCCAAACTATGTACAAGTACACATGTGAAAGTGATTCTGGGGAGGGATCGAATTATTGAAGAGGTCCTTAATTACTAGTACTTTGCACCAAGACCCCTTTACAAAGAATGTCCTCTTATTACAACGCCCACGGCACGTGTCACTTGATCACTGGCCCTTCCATTTCGTCTAATTAAAATTCAATCCAAACATTGCTTTTCCACTGCTCACCTATGCATGCCAACGTCATATATATATATATATATATACACTTCAAATTAATTAATTAATTACCCCTTCAATACATTCTTTATTTACTTATTTTTTTAATATTTACCTCAGTGGTAACTAATATCTAAAGTAAATAAACACATATTTAGAGAATTAGATTATCATAAGTGGTGGATTGTGTGGTTAATTAGATTTTGAAAATCTTGAATACCTTTTTGATTTATTAGCAACGCGTGGCCAATTCACATCCAGCCAAACCCTAAATTGGTCTCTTTGGTGGGCAGAATTAGACAAGTCCACTTTTTAAATAAAATAAAATAAAACAAACCCATTATATAAATGTGGTTTTTATATATAATATATTCCAATTTCATAAATCTGTAATGTCCTTGTGATGCAAAATCAGTTGATGTCCTACACAAGTATATATATGCACATATGTATATTTTATACTATATGTTGAGGACTTCTTTATTTCTTGGGAAATTAAATATATATATTTTTAAGAAATATTATTATTTTTGTATGTAGATGTTGAAAAAAATATATATAAAAATTTATATATGATGGGAGTGTGGCATGCAATTTGGCATCTCATAAATAAGACAGCACTATCAACACACCAAAAGAAATGGATTGTGACCTTAAAGATGTGTAGATATGTTATCCTAAGATCATACCTACACACATAGAACTATTTTATTTAATTAATTTATTTATTTTTCTATAATAAAAGTTGCAAAGCACTAACTTCATATATATATATATATATATATTTAAGATGATCACTAAAGCCAACAACAGTTCCCCTCACAATCATGTCACATAATTTAAATCCCTCCGCATGCCAACTCAAAATTTCACAATTATTTAAATTTTAATTTCTTCTGTACAGTAATTAGTTTATTAGGTTATTAAATTAATACGTGCACAAACCATTGGGTAATCAATTAATTAAAGGGTAATTAAGAAAGTAGCTTATCTGATAACTAATTTAATTTAATTTAATTAATATGGGATGTGTGGTTGCTTTCTGTGATTATGATATTAATGATGTTGGTGCTTGGGTGGGATTCAATTTTTTTGGAGGTTATTTAATTTATTGCCTCACAAAGTATGGACAGATTGGAGATTCTGTGTAATAATATTTTAAGCAAAGGCTACTTAATTTATTACAAATTTACATCACTTAGTGCTTTGCATTGCATGTATCTTTCAAATCAATTCTCTTTTTTATGGACCTAACACCCTACCCTAAGTTGTTTATTACGAATCCCACTTATTAACCTATAATTTGGACACATATTTATTAATTAAAATTTTATTTTATTTGAGGCCATCTTTTTCAATAATACAGATATTTATTACAGTAAGGTTCGAATTTTCTGTACGTATTGGGCTGGATCGAAGATAATTGAAAAGCCCACAAAATTTATTGCCAAGTTGGCTGGGTTGATTTTTGTTATGGGCTTCTTATTACTGAAGGTGGTCCAGTTAATTTTTACTTAAATAACCCGGACCAAGTAAATAGATTGGGCCTCTCATTTGGGTAAAGCCCAGATGTAATTATTTTGGGCTCCACTAGTTGTTCGCCTGAAATGTGATAGATATAATTCAAATCTTCAAAATTTACTGTGTACACTCTCTTTATTATTTGGAATACTTAAATGTAATGAATTTTAATTATGAAGTTCTATTTTAAATCTATTTATTTAAATTATATCATCCAATCAAAATTCATCCAACCTGACCGTCTTACATTGTTTGATAATTTACTGTCCGAAATGGTAACAAAATTTCAAATTCAACCCATCAAACCCCAATCCAAAGTCAACCGTGAAAATTTATTACATGTGTTATTTATTTATTTTTAAGGTTACAGTTCTTCCTTGTCAACTCCTGCTGACTGACTGTATCTGGCTACTATAAATAAATGATCTGTTTATTATATTCTGGAAAATTAATTCGATCAACGTGCTCGAATGTTCCACATTGAAATCGTTTCTAAGCTTCAATAATATTTATTAATTTTCACGTCTACTTTTGCGTGCTAATTAGCAATATTATTAATTGTAAAAGATCATCCATGGAGATGGAGCTACCTTGTCTGCACTCATTTATATATATACTATAAATAGCTGTAACTCATCATCAGCTAATGATCATATATATCTGTCCAAGATCCAAGCATTAAAGCCGTGTCCTCAATCAATTGCTAACTAAAAGATTCTCTAGACAGAGACATGTATGTATATTATCCATTTATTAATCCAAACAGAATTCCATAAATATTTATAATATATATGTTGTCTTTAAGTTGCAGTCAGTCGTAGTCAACATTCCAGTTCAATGTCCGTATCACTTTACATACACACATATATATATATATATTGAGTACAATTTAGATGTACAAGAGCATAAATTTAAATTCTTGCCACCAATTTCCTTGGATAGGAAATCTTGTTCATGCTCAAAACAAAATTCATCAAATTAAACACCATGGAGATGATTAGGCAGCTGAAGAAAATTGGTAATGAAGATCCAAGGAGAGTTGTCCACTCCATTAAAGTGGGATTATCCCTCACCTTAGTGTCCTTACTATACTACTTCCGGCCTCTATACGACGGCTTCGGACAGGCCGGAATGTGGGCAATCTTGACTGTCGTCGTCGTATCTGAATTCACAGTCGGTATGTATCTATATACACTTAAAAATCAAATCTTTAAAGCTTGCATTGCATGCATGTGTCAATGTCTATATATTACCTATCCTCTATTTTATATTTTCTAATTAATTTGTTCTGTTTTTGTATATATATAGGTGGAACGCTATCGAGAAGTTTAAACCGCAGCGTAGCAACTCTGGTAGCCGGCGGGCTAGGCGTTGGAGTCGAGTACTTTTCCGGCCTTTTTGGGGAGAAAGGAGAGCCTGTTGTTCTTGGCCTTTTAGTATTCACTCTTGGTAATTAATTATTTAATTAATTTCATTATATTATACCACATTATTGATCATTAATTCTCATGTGAGAATTTTATGAACATTTGCAGCTGCAGGATCCACATTTGTGAGATTTTTCCCCAAAGTGAAAGGAAGATATGACTATGGAGTGCTGATATTCATACTGACATTTAGCCTCGTCGCGGTGTCGGGAGTTCGAGTTTCGGAAATCTTGAAGCTGGCTCATCAGAGGTTGTCCACTATTCTGATAGGAGGGGTGACTTGCATTCTGGTTTCTTTATGTATTTGCCCTGTTTGGGCTGGCCAGGATTTGCATAATCTTACTGCATCGAACATTGGAAACCTTGCTCTTTTCTTTCAGGGTAAAAATACTAATAACATGTATTGAATAAAACACATCTATATCTATATATGTAATGTAAGAATACTAATGAAGTTGGGAACACTGGAAATTGGCTACTACAGGTTTGGCAGATGAATTTGATGATAACAGTGGTGTTTCAACTAAGGAAGGTGACAAGAAGATCAATTCATATCTGCAGAGCCCTACAAGTGTGTTGAACTCAAAAGCAACTGAGGAGTCATTGGTGAGAGTAGTTTTCTGTGTATCTATCTATATATATATATATATATAAATGCAATGGGAGTGAAGTGTGACCGTTACAGGCAAACTTTGCATGGTGGGAGCCATGTCATGGTGAGTTCAAGTTCAACCATCCATGGCAGCAATACTTGAAGGTTGGTTGTGCCACCAGGGATTGTGCTTACAAGATCCAAGCCCTCTGCGTCTGCATAAACAATTTTAATACTATAATAATAAACTATAAATCTTCTTCACAGGTAATTACAATATAATATATATTAATCAAACCCATCTTTACATATATTAATTATATAATCAAAAACCCTAATTCATTGAATTGGGCGCAGGGAGCTTCAAGTTCATCATCATCATCATCAGATAAGTTTGCTCCATTGTTCGTGAAGATCAGCCGCGAAGTCAGCAGTTTTCTGAAAGAATTAGCTGCTGCCATGAAAGACATGAGAGTCCCAAACCCAATAAACTCTTCTTCTTCTTCTTCGATGAAGAATTTGAGTACAGCAGCAGCTGATGAGGTCCGAGCTATATATCTTATGTTGTCTGAAAAAGTGGGAGTTGAGGAAATCTTGCCATTACTCGTCATTTCATCGTTGCTGCTCGACATCATTAACAGCCTCGACAAAGTTGCTCTTCTTGTCCGCCAACTTTCTCTCAAAGGAGGCTTTCGAAAACCAAATCTACCTCAGAAATTGCAATCTAATTGTGATCATGTTGTGGTAGAAATTCATTCATTAGAGGCTGCAAGAAACACCACCACCCAGTCCCAGACCCAGTGATGTATAAAGTTAATTATCTATTTAATAGCCTAATCCAATCTAATTTTGATCGTTTGATTCATTCTTTTGGGTCATGGGCCTTCATGTCATTTTACACTCATATCGCTTTAACGTATTCTTTTAGACTAGATCAGATAATATAATATTGAAACACAATTGTTGAGCATAGTTCATGTGCTGAATTTAATATCAGGAGTGGATCATATGTTGATGTGTACGTAAATGAATTCAGCATTCATGGGAAATGGGACAAAAGTATCATTCAAGCTATATATACATTCAAGTGAATTCTGAAATCAACCATCTCTCAGTAGACAGACAGAATGCTAAACAAAAAAACCGAATATATTGTGACCCATACAGCATTTTAATTGGAGTTTTAGCTAAGGAAGTAGCTACTGTTCTGCAACACAGGGAGTAAAATGCACCGTGGAGGTCAGATCAGAAGAGCACAGCATAGACAAGATCTGTAATAACCTAACAAGGTTGTAGCTTATCTAACACAATGCAAATAATGATGTACACCTTAGTTATGTTTTCTACTTACCAGCCGTAAATCGGGTTTTGTACCTGTGGAGGCAAAAGGCGCAGATCCTTGCTATGCTGTTTGTCATAGTCCCTTGATCCAGGAATGGCTCCGGTGCATAGTCGCAGAAATTCGTTCCCAGTTAGACAGTTGTGTGCAAAGGCCAATCCTCCATCTACCACTTCATTTAAATTAGGCAATGAGATAGATTTCGGCATTCCATTTTTGTGACGCCTACCCAAATGCTTATCAGCTTGACTATCCAAAACCTTGTTGAGCTCAGAAAATTCCATGAGTCTCTGGGTGGCGGCTTCCCATGAAAGGATGTATCTTTGCTCTGGTGTAAGCGGCAGTGGTTCATTGGCCATAGCTTCCTTTACTTTAGCAACAAAATCTTCTGGAGTCTTGTATGTCAAGCAGTTGGGAAACACTCTGAAGAAATCATTCGAAGGGTGGTCTGCGCAAACAACAAATTTTCCCATTGCAAGGGCTTCAGCAGTAGCAGTGCAGAGTACATCACTAACACTTGGGTTTATGAAGACTTTGTAGCTGCAAGTTAAACAAAACGGAGAATGTATGTCACTCTTAAGTAACCATTCAGTTGAACCAAGTCATTTCAAGTAACTGGAAAAGCCGAGCAAGATTGATTGCATTTTTCACCATAAGGTGCAACAAAGCTATTATATAACCAGTTAGAATACCACATACCTATGTAGAGAATCATCAGCATGATCTCTGCCTTTCATAAAATTGAGATTCAAATTTAGTCTTTTGGCTGTGCTCTGAACTTCATGGGCATCCTCCCCATTTCCATATACATCCAAGTTGAAGCCATCAAGGTCATTTTTTTGCTTGGCCAGCAAATCTATCAACTCTTTGTACCCTTTAGCCCATACCATCTTGCCTAAGAAATATGCCCCCTTGGAAAAAGTCTGCTCTCCACGCTCCTTTCCTGCAGCTACTTTTTCACCAATCTTCAAGAACTTGGGATTTACACCATGAACATTGCACACCATAGACTTTGGTAGATCCTGAGTGGCAGCAGATAGTCGAAGGACCTAGAAAGGAGAATGAAAACTGAGAATAGGTGATTGTGCAACTTTCAGTGAGTTTAAATTAATGCAGAATTTCAGCTACTAATTACTAGAGAACTCGTATAACTAGCACACCTAATCCATACCTCATATGTGAAAGAATTAGATACGAACTGCGGATAAAGAAACATTACCTTGTCACAGTATGCTCTTATGACCCAATTGTTGATGTGTTTAACAAAAAATGCTTGGAGAGCGCCATTCCTTTCCCTCTTGATATATTCCAAGTAATTTGTGTGAACTATGCCAACCACATGGTTGAATTTATCAGTCCAGCGCTTACCATGATGGTACCAGTTTAAATGTTCAGGTTCTTCTAGGATTGCAATATCAGCATCCTTGGGTGAAATAAACTGAGATGTGTCTCCAGCTGGTATAATACTCCGCCTCGATTTTGAGAACTGGGGAAAATGCATGCAAAATGTTTAACAGTTCACCAAATATGTAATTACTTGTATAATATCCGCAACAAAATAATAACTATAAATGTTCGTAAAGTGTTAGACCGCTGTAAACTATATATAAGCCGCTCAAAACCACAATGTAATTGTAGAAATGAATAAGCCACTAAATGGATAGCTGGCCGTTGTCCTAGATATACCTTAGCATGAAATCAGGTGTTCCTAACATATCAAACAAGAAATTAACTCATAAAATCCTTACCTTTCCTGGGTAAAATGATATCTTGAAGTCGGCCTTGAATCCAACCCTTTCCTCAAGCCAGCTGCGTATATAACTTTCCTGTTCCTCAGGTGAGCTAAAAGTGAGATTGTTAGGGTATACTATCTCCTGATCAGATCTACAAAGCCATGGCACCAAAAGTGTGACATTTTGCTTAGCAGAGTTCGCTAAATAGGCTGCTCTGAACAATGGGTTGACAGCAGTCCCGGTCATCCAAGGAAGGCTTGCAGTTGTAACAATAGCCACATGTCTTTTATTGTCCAATTCATCGTGCTTTCCAGAATCACTCCAAAAGCCACCTTCATAGCAATGCCCTGTACTTTGGACAACACTGGCTAATCTCAAATCTAGCTCATCAGTGATGTTCTCACTTTCAATCATGGATGACTCTCCTGCAGGTAAGGAACGCAGCAGAAGTTGATCTTTACGTTTTCTGCACAAGCTTTCCACAATTTTATCTGAAATGCCTGGCAAAAAATAGATGATCAAAGCTAATCCATAATTTCCATATTAGAATTGGACAGATTTAAAACATAACTAATAACAATAATATCAGAATAAGACATTCATGGGGAATAAAATGTAATTCTTTTTTCTAGGGACTCCGAACTGCAGTTGAGAGATGAAAAAACAGGGAAAAGTAATTAGAAATACAGGCTTAAAGGAAAACATAAAGCAAATTCTCCATATAACTCCAGTTAAATCGAAACTAATCCACATCACCAAAATACGCAGTCAATCACAATTTCATAGACATTCACTCTGCTAAGTTCTTTTCCATTGAGCAGAATGCAATGCATAGGGTCTGCATACCTCGATTAATGCCAAGTTGATCCAGTAAGGGGCTAGACTGCCTTACTAAACAAGCCAATAGTTCTGTTGCATCCAGAGGCGGGACTTCCTATTGCAAAGAAAATGACAAAATGTTAATACAGTAGCAAGAAAGCCAGTAGGCTCATAGTCTCATACACTGCTAGGTGAATGATCTTGAAGATTTGAATTTTGTAAATAACTTCATTTTCTCATGTATACATACATATAGAAAGTTGACCGCATATGATTTTCCTATTCAATAAGTTGTTGATTTATGTTAACGTCTTCCAAATTCCGAAGATACAGCAGTGAATTCTTGCAATTATATAGTTTAAACTGTTATACAAGACCTTTTGTCTATTTATTTTCTCCTATCTTTCTCACGATTCAGCATGTAACATATAAATTGCATATCCACCTCAGAGAACCATTCCAATACACAAAGATGAGATAACAGACAAACCTTTGACTCATTTGGATCCTTGCAAATTGCTTTCTGTAAAAACAGTGAAAGAACGGAAAAACAAAATCAGCATATGTATAACATATGAAATCTATAGCAAGCTAGTCTAACAGTGATGAGGTGGTAAAATAAGTGTTTATTTTGATATAAAAAGGCATCTTCAGTTTAGAGAACATGACAGAGAAGACCAAGCAGCAGGAAAATGCCGCAAAAACTCCATATCAATTCCATGGAGGCATTCAAATACCGAACTCTATACAATTGTGTTTCATGTTTTTAAAATCAAATGTACTCAAGAGAGATGCTTAATAAGTTTATACCATTAAAGATTAACCATACCTAACATCATAGCAAACAGATGAGATGGATAATAAAAAGGCTTTCAACCAAGTAAATACCAATACATTCATCAACAAGCACAAACAGAAAAAGAATCAGAATTGCCTACCAGCCCCGACTTCAATCTCTCTACGAACTCACTATTCTTAATCCCCTCCAAGATCTCACTGGAGCTCTTGTGTTCCAAATCCTTAAGCCTCGATTTTAGCGTCTTTATTGGTTCCCAAAATTCCTCAAATTGTCCCTCTTTCGCTTTCACCTTAAAGCCCACCCTCCTCCATTTCCTAAGGCTCTCCGTCTCATCCTCCTCATCTTCCCCAACCTCCGCGACAATAGCGTTTTTAATCGCGGACAAATCAATTTTAATCTGCGGTCGTGGGTAAAACTTGAAATCTGGCGACGAATACGCCCGCCTAATTTCGGATAGCTTCGGCTGCAGCTTCCTGACAAAATCGATTTCCGCAGGAGGAGCAGAGTTGAGCGTAGCGGAGGCGGTGATACTGGGAACACTGAAGGGCGATTTGGAAGCCGAGTTGATGAAATTCTCAAATTCTCTATCGGCTAGGTTTTTAAAGGAGTTGGCTCTGTTCTTGAGCAGCTGGAGATCGGCATCAGCGGAAGACCGGACCTCGCGCCAGCTCTTGGATATAAAAGACAAGGCTTTCTCCGCCGTCGCAACCGAGCTAATCGAGCCTGAAGACGCCGCCGCCGTTGAGGGAGATGAACGCACCTCCAGCGGCTTATAATTCATCGTATTCCCCTCTTCTTCCCCGATCAATCGCTGCCCTGAGAATGAATGAAGGAAAATGGTGGCGAAGTTTGTGGAACGACGGCTCGTGCTTGTTTAGCGTATCGTATTTAACGGATTTGGAATTGGTACGGCCTGCAGATGCACTTCTGCGCAGCAGCCATCAGTAAATATATCACAAGTAAATTTTATAATAAATAAATATAAAATCAAATTTAAATTATTAATTAGTAATTATAATAAATGCTTCAAAGATTCAAGTAAACACATAATAACAAGAAAATTAAATATATGATCGACTTTGGTTTTTGTCTTGACATATATCAGCAGAGCCCATGGCATATTCTTTGTATTATCCTACCAGAATAAATAACGGTAACGGTGAAAATAGGACGAGCAAAAATGTGGGTTAGAGCCACGTGGCGTGACACGTGTGATAGACTCCACGCCATTTGGATTCCGGATGGCTAAAACGCGGTGTCGTGATAACGCCGTGGGACCTGCTCTCAATTTTTTGGAGGCTCTAATGAATTTCTGGCCACCTTTTTAGTTGCCCGGAATCAATTAAAATATATAATTTTGTAATTTTTAAGATGATTTTGAAATGTGACACCATAAAATAAAATTCAGATAGTGAGAGTTTTTTTTGTTTGTCGGATGACACCACATAATGTATTTTGTTTGCTAATACTTTATTTTGTTGAGTGTTTATTTTCACTCTTTTTATGTAGGGGGTTTTCTTGAGTTTAAAATACCTAACTAGGGATGTCAATTCGTGTTTTTAGGTCGTGTTCGTTTCGGGTTGAGCTATAAGGATAACAAAAACCCGAAATCTGACCTGAAATCCTAGACTCGAACACGACACGAATTCTTTCATGTCGGGTTCAGATTGACCTAAATTAGTTTCAGGTTACCCGAAACCCGAACAAACCCGACACGAAACATACCTGAAAATTTTTAAAAAATTAAATTGACCTAAAAAATATCATTTTTATTTTAATTTCTATATTATTTTGTATTTAAAATAATATAAATATTATAGATTAAAATAATAATAATAAAAATTTCAGGTCAACCCGAAACACGAAACCCAAAACCTAACATGATTTTGATATTTTAGGTTATTAGGTCAACCCGAAACACGACCTGAACACGACACGAATTTTTTTTGTTTCAGGTTCGAGTCGACCTGATTTTTTTCAAACCCGAAATACTCAAACCCGAACCTAAAAAATTTCAGGTCGAACGGGTTCGGTTTTTCGGGTCGGATTTATTTTTGACACCCCTAGTATTAAGTAGTATTTCACATAAATATTAGACTTGTAGGCAGGTAACGTGGCAAAACACTATTGGTCCGGAGTCATAAAGAATACGGTGGAACGTTCGAGACTGCATTTAGCATTTCATCGGCATTATGTTGACTCAAAGCATTTGACCACATTTCATCATTCATGAGTATCTTATTTATTTATTAATTAATTAATTTACTTTTAAATTCATCAACGTTCCACACGACGCCACTTTCCTTTTCCCCAATAAACTAATAAAATAAAAAATAAATAAAATTGCAATGTAAATGAAATCTCATAATTGCACTACACTACATATATATGTGTGTAAATTAATTGGGCAATCTTGTAAGAAATCACGTGGTGTGCTTTTCACTAATTTGACGATGGAAACTTCAACGATCAAAACTATCCCACATTTATGCAAACCAAATTCTTACCAAACTTTTCGTTTGTGTTTCATATGTCGGGCTATTAATATATGGGGCGTGAAGCTAGAGCTCACAAAAAGTAATTCCACCCGACAATTTGATACAAAAATAATTAGACTTAAATAAGGATTTTAATCGATAATATATACGAATTGACACAAATCCAATAATAAACAAGTCAAATTAGAATTGAGGTTTCCAATTCGAACTCTACATGATTATAATATATTAATATTAATTAATATAAAATAATTTTAATTTAATAATCAGATGTATATTAATTTAAATTAAGTTCAATTTTACATAATTAAACATAATTTATTGTACACGTTGAAACCAATAAAAACTAAGGGGGTGTTTGTTTGTGTTTCGTAGAATTGTTTTATTTGTTTCAGTATTTTAAAAACATTAAAAAAGATGGAATTGCGAATGATATATGATTGTAATACATATATGATTAATTGTATTGTATTTTCAAAAAATTATATTTATTAATTCTGATCTTTAAAATTATCATAATTTTGTTCGTGGTCATGGAATTGAAAATTTTATATAATGGAGTGGGCCACTTTTTTGGAAAGCCCAAACCAAAGCCCAACTGTTTCACAGCCAAACAGATATATGTAAATTTTCGCGAGTGACGTGTTTATGTTCGGAGGGAACAAACGCGCCGACGACTGGCGGCCGACGCGGTGGCGTTATTTCTGTGTTTCCTTAGCAGATAAGATTTGTAATTTTGAAGAAATGGTATGACCATTTTCGCCATTTTCAGTCCTCACCCAAAACTGTTCATCCCAATCGAATAAATAAAAAAAATTCAGATTTCCGAGACCACCACCATCCCGAGAAGGAAGTAACTTGCGTATACCTTTCCACCGGATTGCACTTGTTTATATTCGTCTTTGGAAAGGTTATTTGGTTTCAACAAGCGGAAGAAGAATTTAGAACAAGGATGGGGCTGCTCTCCAATAGGTGAATTTGATTTGTTTTACCTCCAGATATCTGCGTTTTTCTTTTGGTCTGTTCTAACTGTTCTTTTTTTTTTTTTCCCCTTTGATGTGTGTCTGTGTGTGTTTGTTCGGGCGGCAATATATACAAAACGCACAGAATTGAAAGGAGCAGCCTCAAGCCCGGGGATCACATATATTCATGGCGTTCTGCTTATATTTATGCTCATCACGGTTAGGTTTAGTTTCGATTTTACAAATTCCGCGTAATTTATTTATTTATTTTTTGAATCTGCTGTGAATACGAACTGCCGGTTTGTAGTTGGTACAATGATCGATGTGATAAATTTTAGCGATAATTAAAACTTAGTTCTTATAGATTCTAATAGATTTGTGAAAAAAAAAAAAAAAAACAGATCTTGTGTTCCCTTAATAGGGTAGTGAGTTTGGTTCCAGTTGTTTGTATTTCAACATCTTGCTTTTAGATTCTTCACAAATTAGTGTGTTCATGAATGACATGAATATGATAAAAAAGAATCATTACATAGAAGGATACATCGCAGCTCATAAATAAGAGGGATTGTTGATTAGTGAAAAGATAGACACTTGATATCCTTATTACCAAGTGGCTCGGTATATCATGCCTCATGCTGGATGGTTGTCCTTTTGTATGGTCTTGTTGATTTCATGAGCGTGGCCTGGATTTTAGGAATGAGGTCATAGACATGGAAGCAAAATGAGACGATATTCCTGAATGTGCTCTTTGTTGAACTGATACTAGTAATTCACATGCTGTTGATGTAATGGATCTTTTGAAGACTCTGTTATGTTTGCATATTTGAAGTTCCTAGAGAACGATTCATTAGAAGTTATGTTATTTTATGCTTGTTTTCGATTATGATGGTTATGTTAATCTTTACTAGATAAGAAGTCCGGAGAAATATATATTGTTTTCAGTTCTCTTTCATGATGATGAGAATCAACATAATGAAATTCAGTTGAAGAAGTAGAAAAATCAAGAGGTGCTAAAAATAACCATGCAGTTCATGACAAACCTCGCCGGGAAAACATATGCACTAAATTTTCATGCACAAACCTTGCTCCGTAAGCCATTTTTAACCTCTCAGACGGGAAATTATAATTCCAATGTTTCTTGTATATTTATCTATACCCGATAATGTCTCTGAGATACAGGGAGATTAATCCTGTCAAATACCTACATTTGTGTGAAATAAGTGAAAATTCATATGATATTCTTACTTACTATGTTATTTTGTGCATTATTTCATGTCATCCACAAATTCATAGAAGTTCTCCTAAAATAGTTCTATTGTGCTCTTCTGATCAAGCTCCTAATTGAACCAGTTCAATTGTTATGGTTTCCATGGTGCTGAAGAATGTGTTCGCTCGCTCTTGTGTGGGCTTTAATTTTGACACACTTGTTTTACTTTTTGTCTGAGTGAGAACAGGTATCTACGTTGGAGATAATAGAGTCATACATTTTACGAGACGTGGACAAGAAGTGGGGACTGGTACCATATTAGATGTCCTCCTGGTAAGCTCCGGTCCAGCTAGATCCCATGTGCCATGTTCCACCTGCGCGCCAGCCCAAGAGGGACATGGTGTGGTCACCTCATGTCTGGACTGCTTTCTCTCCGGTGGAATCCTGTACCGATTCGAATATGATGTCAGCCCTGCTCTCTTTCTCGCAAAAGCCCGAGGAGGAACTTGCACACTGGCTGTTTCAGATGCTGATGATGAGGTGGTTCATCGAGCTAAATACCTGCTCGAAAATGGCTTTGGGTGCTACAACGTATTTAAGAAAAACTGCGAAGATTTTGCTATTTACTGCAAGACCGGATTGCTCGTTCTAGACCATAGCACCATGGGGCAGAGCGGGCAAGCAGTGTCCATCATCGGCGGACCCCTTGCAGCTGTCTTATCTACGCCATTGCGCCTCGTCACCACCAACATATACGGGATGGTAGCTACTGCTGTCGGGGTTTACTGCGCCAGCCGTTATGCTGCAGACATTGGCATGAGGATGGACGTGGTGAAAGTCCCTGTCGAAGAACTTACAAGTAGGCTTGCTGCTGGTATGCTTCAGGTCATCGAACCAAGCCTTCCTTCTCTACCTGCACCCGCAGGTTAGCGTGCTCGTCGTAATTTAGGAAAAAAACTATGTTCTTGGTATTCATGCTTTCTTGTTGTTTTTGGGTTTTAATTCTGTATCAAAATGTGTGTTTGATGCAATAGATCCTCCCACATTATAAGATTCTCTTCCATTTCATTTTTCTTGCATATGCTTATGGTAATAAAAGGGAAGTTGGATATAATAGTAGTGTCTTTTAAGGCCAACCTAAGACAAAAGCAAAGGTTGTCGAGGGAATAGTCTAAACCTTATTATTTACTTTTTTGACTGATTGCCCCCACACGGGAAAAGCTTAAACAAGTCTTGTCCCATCGACTAAATATTCGAAAGAGACACATCTTTCCACTAAAGTTAATTGCATGCTCTCTCATTCTTTTGATGGAATTAATTAATCGCCAGAATCGATACCACATGAAGGAATGGAATAATACATTAATCAGAGATTTTTACGATCGATCTTCAATTAGCTCCGAAACATGTATGTATATAATATTTGTAAAGTGGCTTTGACAAGATAGATCATTTTCTTTCACAGACTAGGCCAATCAGAGCCCATCACGTGGCGCAGTGTGAGAATATAGAAAGAGTCAGCATCACCACCAAAGTTTCCTTCCTGTTTGGTCTCAATGTCCACTGCATACTTCAAGATTGAGAGTGGCCAAAAATAAGTATACTAAAATTTCTTTGTTTTTATTAAATATATAACTAATAAAATTGTCTCCTATTCTTAATTATAAAAATGTGCCATGTAATGAGGCTTAAAACCGTGATTAAGGAATTTTAAGGTTGAGAAAGAACTATCCCAAGTCCCAACCCCCAGATGAATAGAAACAACATCTGTGATTGATGATCAATAATTGATTGGATAAATAAATCCAAGCAAGAGCATCTTCTGCCTCAAATGGAGCTGCAAATATGAAGACCAAGTGCACTGGATGTCCAGATAACAGCCATAGCAATGAGGCCATGACTGAATTCTGAAAATAAAATAAATATATATAAAAGGGAATATAATTGTAGTGTGAGAGAACATGTGAAATCTCCTCAAATTCTGAAAAGACGAAAATGCCACCTCTATTATTATATCGCAAAGTTAGAAACAAACATAATTATCACATCCTCTCGCCTCTCCCTGTCAGATGATTATTTGATCTCCAAGAACACCAAAAATCCCAATGTATTTTCTCCACCACTCTCTATTGCAAGATTGTGCAAATGGGTTTCCTAGAGAGCTCCCAATAATGTGCAGAACCAGCTTTTCTTGAACTCTAAATGCTCCCAGCTCCACAGTCTGCAATGGCTGCTCTTTCCCAGATATTGCTATCTTTAGCTGTGATGCTTTTCGTTTTCAGTTCTTCAGCAGTTCAAAGTGTCACAGACCCTAATGACTTAGCCATACTAAATAAGTTCAGAGCTGGCTTGGAGAATGCTGAGCTCTTGCAATGGCCGACCAATGGAGGTGACCCATGTGGTCTAACCACTTGGCCTCACATATTTTGCTCCGGCAATAGGGTTACACAAATTCAGGTCAAAGGGCTTGGTTTAAAGGGCATTTTGCCTCAAGATTTCAATCAGCTCTCCATGTTGCAGAACTTAGGCCTTCAGCAGAATCAACTGAGTGGAAAGTTACCTTCTTTTAGTGGCTTGGCTCATTTGAAGTATGCTTATTTGGATTACAACAACTTTGACACAATCCCATCAGATTTCTTCAGAGGGCTTGTGAATTTAGAGGTGATGGCATTAGACCACAACCCTCTCAATGCCACAACTGGATGGTCATTGCCCTCTGACCTACAAGCTTCATCTATGCTGAAAAATCTCACTCTTACAGGCTGCAACTTGGCTGGTCCTTTGCCTGAATTTCTTGGGAACATGTCTTCTTTAGAGGTTCTGAAGCTGTCCTTAAATCAACTTACAGGAGGCATTCCAGGAAGCTTTAGGGGGTCTCTGCTGACTGTGCTTTGGTTGAATGAGCAATCAGAGGGCATGACTGGTCCAATTGATGTGGTTGGGAGTATGGTGTCACTAACCAATCTATGGCTTCATGGGAATCATTTTTCAGGTAAAATCCCTGAGAACATTGGGGATTTAGTTTCCTTGCAGGATCTTAATCTCAATGGCAATGATCTTGTTGGTACAATTCCTGCTGCCTTGGAAATTATGCCTTTACTTCATTTAGATTTGGACAATAATCATTTCATGGGTCCTATGCCTAAACTCAAAGCTGCTAATGCCACATATGGTTCAAATCCATTTTGTGTCCCCATTCCAGGGGCTCATTGTGCCCCGGAAGTTATGGCACTGTTAGAGTTCCTTGATGGTGTGAACTACCCCTTAAGGTTGGTTGAGTCTTGGCTCGGAAACAACCCATGCCAACAGCCTTGGATAGGAATAGGGTGTGATTCCAATGGAAGTATCATTAACATAAACTTGCCGAATTCGAATCTTTCTGGCTCATTGAATCCTTCTGTTGCCGATCTTGATTCCCTTACTCATATATACCTTGGGTCCAACAATCTCTCAGGTTCAATTCCATTGAACTGGGTTGGATTGAAATCTTTGACACTGTTAGATTTAAGCAGGAACCACATTTCCCCTCCTCTTCCAAGATTCAACACCAATGTGAAGGTTATCTTGCAAGGGAATTCTCTGTTGAATTCCAATCACTCTGGTGAATCCCCATCTCAAAATAATAGTTTGTCTTCTCAGGGTTCGCCACCGTCCATCGTCCCCTCTTCTTTAACATTGGCTAATGATTCTAATTCTGCCATTCCCAAACATGATCAACCCCCTGGAGGAAACCAGCTTAGTAAGCTTTTTGTAATTGTGACCCCACTAGCTAGTTTTGCCATTCTTGTTTGTTTAATCGTGCCAATTTGTATATGCATCTCTAAGAAAAGGAAGGATGAGCAACCTGCTCGAAGCTCCCTTGTGATCCATCCGAGACAATCATCGGATCCAGACAACCCCGTCAAGATTAATGTGTTCGCCAACAGCACAAATGGAACTGTTCCTTCATCTGCCACTAGTGTCTCTGCAAGTATAAACAGTGGTGAATCCCATGTGATCGAGGCGGGGAACCTTGTCATATCAGTTCAACTTCTTCGCAACGCGACTAAGAATTTTGCCCCCCAGAATGAACTTGGCCGTGGTGGTTTTGGAGTAGTTTACAAGGGAGAACTGGACGATGGAGCTACAATAGCAGTGAAACGAATGGAAGCTGGAGTGATCAGCAGCAAGGCACTGAGAGAATTTCAATCCGAAATTGCTGTTCTTTCCAAAGTTCGCCACAGGCATTTAGTATCTCTTTTGGGGTATTCAGTTGGAGGAAATGAAAGAATTCTTGTTTACGAGTACATGCCTCAAGGTGCTCTCAGCAAGCATCTTTTTCAATGGAGGACTTTACAGCTGGAGCCTCTTTCATGGAAGAGACGACTATACATTGCGCTGGATGTCGCCCGAGGAATGGAGTACCTCCACACTCTTGCTCATCAAAGCTTCATACACAGAGATCTCAAGTCTTCAAATATATTACTTGGGGATGATTTTCGAGCTAAAGTATCAGATTTTGGCCTGGTTAAACATGCTCCCGATGGAGAAAAATCTGTTGTCACACGACTGGCCGGAACTTTTGGATACCTTGCCCCCGAATACGCCGGTCAGTAAGCATTCAGATTAACAACCATTAAAGCCTTACAATATATATATTGAGTGTTGATTTGAATTTTTCGATGGCTGCTGTGTACAGTTACAGGCAAAATTACGACGAAAGCTGATGTTTTCAGTTTCGGCGTAGTGTTGATGGAGCTGCTGACGGGGATGATGGCGCTCGACGAGGACAGGCCTGAGGAGAGCCAATACTTGGCGTCGTGGTTCTGGAAAATCAAGTCGAGCAAAGAGAAACTAATGGCTGCCATAGATTCAGCTCTGGACAAGAAAGAAGCCAGTCTTGAGAGCATCTCTGTGGTGGCTGAGCTTTCCGGTCACTGCACTGCACGGGAGCCGAATCAACGGCCTGACATGGGACACGCAGTGAACGTGTTGGCCTCTCTTGTCGAGGGATGGAAGCCGATTGATGACGATGCAGAGGAATGTTGCGGCATTGATTACAGCCTTCCGCTGAACCAGATGGTTAAGGATTGGCAGCAAGAAGCGGACACGAGCTGCTGCTGCTATATCGATCTTGAGGATAGTAATGGCAGCATTCCGGCTAGACCTGCCGGACTTGCGGCGTCGTTCACGTCGGTCGATGGCCGTTGATACAGGTGTAGATAAGCTCTTGTTTATTTTGTAGGGATGATCGGTGGTGTAGTTTGGTGTGTAATGTATTTCTTTACGAGCTTTAATCGGATGTCTTTGTTCTGAATGTCTCATCTTACCATCTACGACAGATTTTTGAGTAGTTCACACGGCTGGTTACTGTTTGAAACAACGAATTTGTTGAAATCTCAAATCGAAATCCATTTTCCAATCACAGTTTTCATTTATATTTTTGGATTTTGATTTTGATTCCAAGATTTTCGGTTAAAAAACGGTAGAGTTTCATATATAGGTAAATTGTAGATAAACCCTTGTAAGAACCTAAACCAAAGCATATAAAAATCGATTTTTGACTAGCCCTAGAAACTAAGCATCTTCAATTTTTAATTTTTTGGTCGATCATAGTCTGAGATTTTTGTAGCCACTGAAAAAAATAAGAACCAGCGTTGGATATGGAGTACAGACTCATCACCGTTCACCGTCCCAATTTTCGTTCTTAGGGTGTGTTTGTTTGGGGGTTTAAATTTTGAGTTGGGATTTGAATAGTAAAAATTTTGAATTTGAATAGTTGTATGATGTGATATAAATAGGTGATGATGCGATGTTTTGAATGTAAAATTGATTTTTAGTATAATATAAAAAATAAAAAATAGGTGTTTAATTTGATGTTTTTGGGGGAAAATTTTGGATGAACAGTGGAATTTAATCCAAATCCATCAAACGAACACACCCTAATCTCCTTTTGCGGGTAAAATTTGGGGAACTCTGTCAAATTCGTTTTGGCGGGAAGTCAGATGCACCCAAAATTTTGGCGCTCAACATTACCTATTCTAGCCTCTCGCTCAATCGTCAAACTGAGAAGGTTGGGCAGGGAAAACAGGTGGAGATGCAATCGAAGATCAGTGAATTCTTCAAATTCTCGACTTCTTCCCCGGATCCCCCTCCACTTAACGATGATCCTTCTACAATTACTGATGAGCCAGAAATTACCGTTACATACAAATGCAGGAATTTTAACGCGGAAAGGTAGATACTAAGTTCTTGTTCTTTATTTGATCTTTCTGAAATTGTTTTTGTCTAAATGCCCGTGTTAGTGTTTTTCTTTTTCTTCTTATACGGGACCGCGTTGTATTTTGAAGTTAGTACAATTCGAACTGCGAAATTAGCACTTGGTATCCATGTGATTGGAATTCGTGGTTCTTTCTGTTTTCAGCTCGATTAAGACTGGCTAAATGTTTGAATTACTCCAATATAAATCTGTCGAAAGATTACAATAAGCGTGTTCACTTTTGATTTTGCCGACTAGCTTTAGATGCCCTCCAGTTACAACATTTTTTATTCTTGTAGTGAGCTTGATAATGATATTACCAACAAAGAATCAAGGGAAAATGATTCTATTAACTTCACCAAGCTGGACCTCGGCGACAATAGTAGAAAAGTTCTGAATAAGAAGAGGAAATATGCACAGTTGCATTTGGAGGTTGGTCAGTCTGATTTTCTATTGCATACATGTTCTGCATGTGGATTCAAGTATGCTCCGGGCGATAGCACCGATGAAAAGGTTCACAAGACATTTCACAAGAATTACACTCACGGGATACCTTTTAAGGTAATAGGAGGAATTGATTGTTTTATATTTCACGTTTCTTGATGATATAATCACTATGTTCTCTTGATTACAAGGGATGGCGAAACGAAAGTGTCATAGAGACGCTGGAAGGGGGGCGCATCATTTTGGTACAAAACGGGGATCCACCTCCTCAACATAACAAGGTACTGAGTTGTCTTGGACTTGTTCTTTATTGATGTGGAATTGACATCAATCTTTATAAGTTGCAGGTTCAAGAAGTTGTGCAAATGATGGAAATGGAGCTTGAAGATGGATGGATACTTAATCAGCACTGTAGGGTAACAAGTTTCGGATACTGATTGCTCAGAATTCTGGGCCTTTTACATTCTCATCATTCTAGACTTGTGGTTTGTTTGCTTTAAATGTATTGGTTGGCTTTAACTGAATCATGGCTACTAGTTGGATGCAAATTTGTGTTTTCTGCCTAACAACAGGTGTATCTATACATATCATCACAAAGAGTGTCTGGATGTCTCGTTGCTGAACCAATAGACAAAGCCTACAAAATCCCCTCTGGTGCACTCAATGAAACATGTAATAATGTGATTACAAAGGCAAAGAGGAGGGGCTCAGCCACTCTTCAGTTTGGCAATGTCTGTCTCCAGAGGGAAATCATCAGAAGAAACGAAAGTCCTGAAAATGGGTTCAACAGTGATGGAGTGATTTTGTGCAAAGAGGAGGCAATTCCTGCTCTTTGTGGCATTAGAGCCATTTGGGTCACTCCTGCCAATCGAAGAAAGCACATAGCCAGCACTCTACTGGATGCAGTGAAGTAAGTCGATCATTCTTAGAATTTTAGTAGAGATATTCAAGAAGGTGTTTCTTTAACCTTTTATTTATGAATATGCAGGAAGAGTTTCTGCTCAGGCTTGATTCTTGATGACACACAGGTAGCATTTTCACAACCCGCCTCACTTGGAAAGGCTCTAATGTCTAGTTATACGAGAACTGGCTCTTTCTTGGTCTATACAACTGGTAGGTAGCTAGATTCTAAATTGTGAGATAGATATAATATACTATGTTACTGTGTTTCTGAAAGAATGCAATAAATGGTTAGTTTTATCATTTTCTTTTTTATTTGTTCTTTTCTATTCTTTATTTTTTTATATACAATTCTCAATATATATTACCATATTTAATATAAATGTTATTTTTATATTATTTATTCAATTTTTTATATCTAAAAAAAACTTCAAATTAAAATACTAAACATATAAATCGTTTCTATTTTAAGATAGATAATTTATTTTAAAACTCTTTTTATTGATTTTTATTTTATTTTTTATTAAGCCGTTATCATAATTCTTATAAAAAATATTTTATCACTATAAGAATATTAGATCCTATTATTTAAATATAAATAATATAAACATAAATCAAATACATTTTAAAAAATATACTTATTATTTTTCTACCAGTATCATATTAAATATTATTTGTCTCGGACCAGTGATGTGAAAGTTGGACGTGTGACCGTCAAATTCCGATGTCTCAGACAACCCGGCACATCATAAAAAACAACATAAATATTACTTTTTTATTATTATTTAAATGTATTTTTATTTTGATTTCAATTAATTTCACTATTATTCAATTTGATGGTTTACAATAAGAATATAACTTAACAAAAACCAAACGAATTCATTATAATTAAAATATTTTTATTTAGCAATTTATTTGTTATGTAATATTAACAAAAAAAATATAAAATGAACTTTTATAATTATTGTATTTGAAATGGATAAATAGTAGACGTAACTTTCATCCGTCTTTCTGTTTGGAAATGGCCAAAAAATCACACGTAATTTGCTGCTGTTAGTTTTTTCTTATCTTTTGAAAATTTCAAATTACCCAGCAGTACGTTCATTACGTACTATCCCTCTTCTCACTCCCTCTCACCTTTTCTCTACGTATATTTATATCAGATTTTTATACTTTTTTTTTTCGATATAATTTTCTACACCCGAATTTAGTTTACTTACGTCGAATTGAACTCCTCATCATGGCGGAGATTGGCGGAGCTCCAGCGTTCCCGGTGGTGTTCTTCGACGGGGAGAGGGAGATTAATGCAGGAGAGTTTCAAATCAGTCCAGATATGGAGTATAGGTCGTTTCAAATTATGCTAAGTAGGAAGATCGGAATTTCTCCCAATCAGATGTCTATATACGTCGTCCACGGAAGAAGAAGCCCTAACTCGCCAATTTTCGATTACAGACGTCGTACTCCAATTAACAGGAAATCTGACTTTAGATTGATGAGTCGCGAGAGAGATTGCTGCTTCCTTGTGTTCAAAAGATCACGGAAGTCGAGCAGTCTTAGGGATGGAGCCATAACCGGCGCTGATTTTGCTGATTTGGTAGCCGAAGGCGAGCATTATCCACCGGCGACGCATTCCGTGCCGGAGAATCCGATATTGCTCCGACGGAGTCAACCTCTTCCGCTTTACAACAGGATTTCACAGTCGGAGCGAGTGAATTTTGATAATCCGTTGCAGAGAGAAAACTATGAGATCGCGATGGCGACAGGATATTTGACAGAGGTAAACTCCGTTTCGCGCCACGGCTTAGATTCGCAATCAATTCAAACTCCAATTCCAATCCCCAGTCCAACAGATTCAACCTCGAGGATTATCGATAGTCGGTATAAGATTCATCAATCAACAACAAACAACGAAACGAAGAAAGCATTCTGCGAGGAGTGCGCGAAAGGGAGCACGACGTCGTCGTCGTCGTTTCACCATTGCATAAACGACGCTGTAGTCACTCAGATCAACACGCGGATGGAGCCGATTGGTCGTCCAAAAAAATCCGGTGTCCGCCCTGTAAACATAATGCACGCCAATTCTCAACTCTGTAACCATCTCCGACGAGTCATCGTGGAGGAACTACAGCTCCGGCTCAGGTCAGATCAATGAATTAACTTTTTGGGTATGTTTGTTTCGATCATTTGTTTTTTCACCGTTTCTTTTTCTTTAAAAACATCAAATCAGTTCAATTCAATTCAATCCCAATTAAAGTAAACGAATCTCTGCGCTGCACTGATCTTATTCAAAATGGTGGTTTGGTTAATCAACAACCAAAAGATATACAGCCACACAAAACTTGGGGAGATCTAAAGACCGATCGAACCCAATATACATACATGTATGAAAAAGCATATGTGTATGTATGTATTAATGGTAGTAACAAATAGTTTTGCAGAGCAATTCAGGGATTCCCGTGCATTGATTTGATTATCCCCTTGTGAACGATGATCATTCACTAATTCATTGACAAATCCCTCAATAGATCCTCTCTCTTCTTTAATTTTCTTTTCACTCCCTGTGTATGCTCATCAAACATGTATTCCCCAATCCCGGGGCCAATGAGCCTTGATCATGAGACGAAAATACGATCGCCATATTCCCACAGAATATTTGGATATGATCTCGACTTAGGACCCCGCCGGAGGTCTGGAAAACAGCCTCCATCGCCACCCTCAGCCCGAACACCACCGTCCCCGTGTCCAGCTCCTGGAGCAGCCCCGGCGGGACGGTGGCGTTTAAACCGGAATCGCCGTTATTCAAGACGGACAGGTTGAACTTCAATGCGTATCTCTCCATCTGCGGGACTTGGAAAGAAGGTGGCGATTCCATGGCCAGCAGAGCTTCTTGATAGAAGAGGGATGAAACCACGCTGTTGAATTGGACGGTTATGCCCTTGTCCCAGTTATGGATGGACAGCTCGGCTTCCCATGTCCCCGTCAGGCTCGTGTTCGTGGCGCTGAAGTTGGACACTTTGAGCGACGCCACTGAGAACTCCGGCGCGTACACCGTGCACAGGAGCCACGCCGCCACCATCATGCCGCAGAACAAAATCACCGCTAGAAGGAGGACCAAGCGCCGGACGGAGGCGGCGCGTCGCTCCCGCTCGGCTTCCTCGAACTTGTAGTAGTCGTCGTTGGTCATCGGCTGGCCGTAGGCGTTGTACACGTACGTGCCGGAATGAGGGCTTTGGAATTGGGGTGGTGGTGGCGCGTGGTGGTGGTGGTGGCTGTAGTCACGGCTAGCGGCGGGGTACCCCATCATGACCTTGAGGTTGACGTCATCGGGATAATGATGACCTGACGAGGGACCCATGCATATATATGTGTATATACGAAAGACACATATGATATTAGTGTATAGATCTTCTCCCTGTGATTTTAATTTCCAGATGGAAACGAGACTCACAGGGAGAGTTTGCGTCTCGGGGTCGAGAAATCAATTACGAGGGAATACCCACGCCCATTGCAGATTGAGAAAATGGGAAATGGAAATTTGTGTTTTTTAAATTGGAGTTGATCAATAAGTTGGTGGACATAACAGCTGTTGTGTTGAGGCAGAATATCAGCCGTTTGTTAACAATGGCTTGTCTCAATTTTAGGAGTATACATAATAAAAAGCCAATTAAATTTATGTATACATAATGAAAAGCCAATTAAATTTATATATATGAAGGAAGGAGTAATTCTTTTCTTTTCTATTTTCTTTTCATGTTAATTTGACCGCTTCGGAAACAAACAAATAGGGCTTAAGCTAAAACACGCGGCGAAGGAGGAGCAATGTTGGAGACCGATGTGGGACAAGTGTCGTTTATGTCATCCACGCGGGCGTACGGTGGAGTGCGTATTTATAGTGAAGTGAGGCACAGACACCCCACAAGAGGCATTACTTTCCAAAATCGAGAGATAAGAGATAGAGATATATCAGTAATTAGTAACAGAACGATCGGATCGGATCGGAGATGGATAGAGGAAAGAGCGGCGCGTGCGACGACAAGTGCGGGTGTCCGTCGCCGTGCGCCGGCGACAACAGCTGCAAGTGCGTGGAGCACAAGCAGTGCTCGTGCGGCAGCCACTGCGGCTGCAACCCCTGCAGCTGCTCCTCCGCCGCGCAAACCACCGGCACCGGCAAGGCCAACTGCAAGTGCGCCGCTGGATGCAACTGCACCACATGTGCTGCTTAATTAAATTAATTAAATAAATAAAGTAGCACCCGAATCCGAATCTCGAACCCGAATAGGAATCCGATCCATAGCGAGCAGAAGTGGAGAGCCAATAATATGTAATCAATCATATATGATATATATATATATGTATATATAAATGTATGTCTGCCTGTGTTTGCTTTTACTGAATAAGCAGTAATTAAGGATGGGTTTGTATGGTTTTTATTTGAATATGAAGTTAAAAATATATTTTATTTATTAAAAATTATACCGTTGAATAATAATTGAATTGAGACACTTAAAAAATACAACCCATATGCTGTTGATAGAGACAACAGCGTACTTTGGGCCCATCCCCAATTCCACCACCTTCAGTTTCCTCCTCTGACGTCTCAACTTGGAACACTCTACACTCTACTTGTATCATATATATATATATACACAATAATCTCTCTCTAATATTTATATGTACACCCACCTACACCTACACCTACACCTACACGTCATATATCTAATTTTCTCTTCTTTCTTGAATTACATTTTCTGATGCCAGAAAAGTTACACAAGCCCATCGTTACATTCGTCCAAACTTTGAATTCAACTATTCATAAACTTTCAAATTGGCCACCTTCCCAAGATGCATCCCCACCTTCGATTTAAAATAAGAACAATTAATTAATCATCACACGCGAATAATGAATAGTAGAAGCAGTGGAAACACGAACATTGAGAGTCATTCTTTCCCCAGTAAAGTCGAAGATTCTTCACGCACTCTCATGTCAATTCAATTTTATTATTGTCTCTCTCTTTCCACTAACCCAATAGTAAACTACTACAATCTACAATATCCCACTTCATCTAAAAATAAATAAATACGAACACCAGCTTATTATTTGCAGATATTCAACTCTGCCATTAATCTCCAATTGCACCCAACACCTATCCTCGTATTAACTTAGATGTCAGAAAATCTCTTCCAGTTTGTATAAAAATTCCCTGCTCTCTCATCACTGAAACACACTACTGTACTTGAGTACTAAATTTATTTATTTATTTATTTTTATCTGTTATGTAGCTGTCCAAAATTTTATTGGATTAGTCCCGTTGCAATTTCTAAAATTAAATGATGCTAATCCATACCAGCCGCTCTGATAGTATATGTACCATTAAATATTGGACTACTATTATTATTATTATTATTTTATTTATAAATTTTCTTTACTATATATGTGTGTCCAATACACTCATTTCCTCAAACCTACACCAGCCAGTAAGTACATAGCTAAAGACACCCAATTAGAAAAATCTTCCACGGCAGTGTCGACCCCTACCACCTAACACCCATCACCCTACTCCACCGCCAGCCGCCATGTCGGACGATAAAGTGTGCAGCCACCACAAGAACAAGCGGCGGAAGCTCCTCCGGCGGTGCTGCGCGGGATTCCTGATCCTGGCCTTCCTGGTCCTCCTGGCGGTGCTGATCATTTGGGCCATCCTCCAGCCCAAGGAGCCCCGGTTCCTCCTCCAGGACGCCACCGTCTTCAACCTCAACGTCTCCGCCCCCAACGTCATCTCCACCACCATCCAGCTCACCATCAGCTCCCGGAACCCCAACTCCCGGATCGGCATCTACTACGAGCGCCTCCGCGTCTACGCCAACTACAACAACCAGCAGATCACCACCCCCACCGGAATCCCGCCGGTCTACCAGGGCCACAAGGACGTCAACATCTGGTCCCCCTTCATCTTCGGCGCCAACGTCCCCGTCGCCCCTTACAACGGCCTCCTCCTCGGCCAGGACAAGTCCAACGGCGGCGTTAATTTCAAATTCAAAATTGACGGCCGCGTCAAGTGGAAAGTCGGCGCCTTCGTCTCCGGCCGCTACCATCTCCACGTCACCTGCCCCGCCTTCGTCCCTATCGGAAATAGCAAGAACACCGGAATCGTCGTCGGCAACGCCATCAAGTATCAGATTTCCAGGAGTTGCAGCGTCGATGTCTGATTCCGACCAGATTTTTAAAAAAAAGAAAAAAATCACGCCTGTACGTTATATATATACTGGGATTTCTTTCTTTTGATTTCTATCTTCTTTTTCTTTCATCTTGAAGCAAGGCTCTCGATATGGTGGATGTTTAAGAATTACTGTGAATGAATAATTGAAGAATTAATTATAAATTATTATTATTATATGGATGCTACTATGTATAATTTCGACAATTGGGCAATAATTATATCTTTGATTAGAAAAAGGCGTTAGTGGCCTATAGTGGAAGCTGTCAATTGTCATTTCCTTGTCATAAAGCTCGCTTTTATCTTTTTTTAATTATTTTTCCCTCTTTTTTTTTATCTTATGCAATTATATCGTAATCGTGTATAATAATATTCACCTTCCACGCTCTTCTTTCCTTGTGTAATATAAACCAAGTTATAGCAAACTACCCGTCATTACTTTTAACAGCCAACTTTCATTGAGCATTGAATTATACAACGTGTGCTGTCTACACAAACAAAAATGATCAAATCCCCAGAACTTTTATTCCAATTGGTATCACTACTGCATAGACAACGTTTATAAGCTCTTATCCATTTGTCGACCAATTATTACCAAAGTAGTAGAAATAATTGGGCAGATGATTCTGGTACATTATCAATGAAGAGGGGGGGGCGTCGGTGGTGGTGTGACCGGCGGGTGTGTGTCATTTTCAGTGTCCAAATCTTCTACCTATTTATTTTTATAAATAAGAATTGGAAAGTGAATTCAAGAAAATTGATGTGTGTGGTGTGTATGTGTTATCTGTGTCTTTCTATCAGTGCTTTCTTTAGTCAGGTGGTTGGAGGGCGGTGCAGACAGTCAGTGTTAAGCGTGCTTATCGTCATTTGGGCATTTTTTTTCATATTTTTCGTCGACATTGGATAGGACACGTGGAACGTGTCAATCCTACTTTTGACATATTAACAAAAAAATGCAATTCAATTATTAGGGAAAAAGAAATGAAAGTATTTGGGTCAGATTTTACTGGGCCATCTATTTTGGGCTTCTAATTGGGCCTTTATTAAAACTTCAAGTCCAATTTTTGAAATGGGAAAAAAATTGGGGAAATTCAAAGGTCTCGTACTTATAACCTCTGAAACGGCGTCGTTGCATGATCGGAATTGATTCTGGAGACGCCGCCGCCGTCGTCGTCGGAGGAAGTTAAATACAATGGCGAGGAATTTGCGGTTGAATACGGCGTCGCATCGCTCATGTCGCTACCGCCGATTTCCGTTTCCTCCTCCGCTACCACCACCAGCTCGTCGGTGGCCATCATGCACTCCTTCAAGGTCATCCTCTTGCTGCTGCTGCTTAAATTGCTTCCACGATGCGAAACGCTCGCCGGAGTATCCAAGCCTTCTCGATCTTCTTCTTTTATCGTCGACAGAAATCTTCGATGTCCAAACATCTTCCTAAGGTCTGGTATTTCTAATTCGATCTCTTCCGCACCGTCCGATTCCTGATTCGCACTGACATTTCCAATCTCATCCGCCGCAGATACGGAAACACACTCGCGCGGCGGTTTAAAGCAGAGGAAGCAGAGGAACTCGTTGGAGAAGGAATTCGAATGAGGCGACGGAAATCCGCCACCGCCGTCTGCTTTCGATTCACGCCGGGATCGACGGCGGCGCCACATTCCGTTAGAGATCTCGGAAACCGCAATCGCGCGTCCCAACCGCCGGTAAACCACAATTTGGGTAAAAAAAAAAAATATATTATTATTTACAAAACTCAACTCTCATTTTAATAGATTGATTCAGACCTTCCATTTTTTTCAAGAAACTCATTTATTTCAATTATTATTTATTGCATTTTTTATTTATAAGGAAAGCAGTAATAATTAAAAAAACACGCTTAAGGGTATGAGTTCTTATGAAGAGTAAATATAGTCAATTAATAATTATGATAATTACTTTATTTCTAACTTCCAACAAGGCACAATTTTTGTGGTAAAAATTCAATGAGAAATAGTCATCAACATTTGGACGAGGTGGCACAAAAATTCAAACACTATCCAAACTTATAGTAATAGATTTTGGAAAAGCCCTTTAACTAAAATGGGCCTGAATTATTTTTTATTTGGGCCTTTAAAACCCAATACAACTAGGCCCATTAGTCAAGTTAATGCTAGTGAAAAAAAGGCAAATATTTAAAGGTTACAAAAAGGTGAAAGGATTAAAGTTGTCTTTTTTATTATAACCCACGAGGAGTGAAAAAAAGAGGATAACTTTGTGCGAAAAGGGCAGTCCACTTTCTATAAGCACTTTGTAGTAATAAATTATTTCATCCAAAAAATCCAAATATAAATATTTAGATCATGGAGTGTCTTCATTCCAGCTTTTGAGGGAAGATTAGATTCCATCTTTTCGTTATTAAAAATGTGTTTGTTAAATTGTTCGATACATCATCCTTTTCAATATTTGCAAAAACTCTTACAAGTGACTCACAATATGATATATGCGTTGTTTTCTTATTATTAATTAAATTTCATTTGGTTGTGAATAATTCAAAACAATCCCAACCCAATAACAAAGATATATAATTTAGGTTTTTTCTGGTTTTTTAATAGAAGTGTGGAATCACAAATTACAAAGGAAAAAAGAACTGATTCTTGTATGTTGATATTATATCCTTAATCGATAAGTATTTAGATGTAGGAAAGATTGATAGACAAGAATATCTTTTATCAATGTACTCAAAGTCTTTTATTTCTACTTTTAATATACAAACTGCACTAATTCCCTCTTTTCCAAAAGACAGGAGTAGCCACAAATTCCATACTTATTAAAGTCATCAATATAATAATCTTTTGGTGATTCTTAAGGAGAGCATCATCCTTGCCTTTTTCTTTTCTGTGCTTAAAGTTAGATTCTCTCTCTCTCTCTCTCTCTCTCTCTCTCTCTCATTAGAGATAAGTTTTACAGATGGGGATTGCTTCTTTTGTAATATAACATTAGTTACAGCATCTATTCGATGAACTCTATCTTAATCTTTAAATAAATAAGGGTTTTCTTTTAAAACCCTAATTGAATCACACTAAGCATGGAAAGTAGTGGTGTGCTTTTTAGATTTTTGTTTTTATTGTGATTAGGGAAGGTTTTTTTCTTATCTTTCCTTTCTCTATTTTCAATTTTATCTTCTTTCTCCAAACTTTTGTATTATTGATCAATCAATGTTCAGAGTTCAGACCTCTTTTTCTTTTTTCATTTTTATTATATTCCATTAACTCTTATATTCCTCTATCTTTCATTCAAAGTGTTTGCTGGCTGTGATTTTAATATTTAACAAGGTAACAGATGATTTTCTGGGTTCAAATGACAGAAACTTTTTTTTATTTCAATGAGATATCTCACAGATTATGTAATTAAATATTTCAAGCTAAACTATGTTTAGTTTTTATGAATGTCTCAAACAAGTTCTTCTAAAGATGCCATTTAAAATAATAATAATAATAAAGTTCAACCAATTAATCCTTTCTATTGTAAGTTATATTTTTCCAAGGGGGGCAATCTGTTGTTAGCTTTTATAGATTACTTTATATATATATATATATATATATATTATGTTTCCCTCCACTTCTTTTTAGCTTCTTTTTTTGTGTACACACTCATACACAGATTAAAAGCTTTATTAGGTTTTTAGCTATATATGCATGTAACACCCAAATTGAAAAAAGTAGTGGTATTCAATTATTCATTCTTTAATATGTCCATTGTGTGTTTGTTTTGGTTTTGATTTGAAATTAGTTGTTTGATTTAAATTTTAATTGAAATAATCTTTTACGGTGAATAATAAATAGTGTTAAAATGTGTTTAAAATAAAAAAAAAAACAAACAGACTAGAATTTTCAGCCAATTAATTAATTCAGTGTCTATGGATGCAGTTTGATGCCAATTTAGGTTTAGGGTTTCTGTTCATAAAAAAAGAAAAAGAAACTGAAAATTAGACATGGATTTACAGAAACAAGTTACTAGTAATTTCCAGAAAACAAACAGCCTAATTAAAGATGTAATAAATTATACAAAGCAAAGCTAAGCTAAGGTAATTAGCTAAGAGCTAATATTCTACAAGATCGATCTCCCAAAAACTACACGCCTGTCCACAATATCTTCGAATAACCCTAAATCACAATGCTCACCACTGCTGTTCATGTCATCATCTTCATCGCACGACAGATTCAGATCCAACGGGATTTTGATCTCCTGCAGCTCTGACGTGGCATTCAATCTCTTGCAAGTGAATACAATAATGGCGTCCAGGAACCCTACTTCTCCCCCATTTTCACTTGCTCCAATTCTTCCCGATTCAATCGCCCTGGACATCGCAATTCTTGTCGGATTATCCGCTTGCTCGAAATCTTCCACCAGGAAGACCCGATGAGGGTCGGTCGACACTTCATGGCCAAGCCATTCGATCAAGCCATTCGAGTCGATGAGAGTTTTAACCCCAATTGACGTGAAACATGAATAAGAACCGAATACAATTCTCGCCAATTCTCTGGAAATTTTCAGTTTTGTCTGTGCGTGATCGTCGGGGCCGAGAAATAACAGCCACGTTTCTTCTTTGACGCCATTACTGTCTTTTCTCTTCAACATTCCCGACCTGCATTCCAGTACTGTTCCAGCGATTTCCGGGATGATTTCTCTCTGCCATGGAACCTTCTCCTCAAGTGCATCGCATAGCATGTTCAGATTTCGGGCGTTGAATTCTTTCAAGTTATGGCTTTTCTGTGTATTATTATTAGGGTTCTGTAATAATCGGTCAGATGATGATGACGAGGAAGGTGATGCTGACCCGAATGTAATTAGGGTTCTTTCACGACAAGCACTTTGGTTGTGCGCTGAATTACAGTACGAATTCCATTTCATCCGCAGTTTCCCGACTGAGTCACGGTACTGCACGAATCATCAGACTGTAAGATTTTAGTATCTACTTTTACAGTGCTGGTAATAAAATATAACATAAAGGTGTATATTATATAAAAATTCATGGCGGACAAAAGTTAAAAAGAAGAGTCAAGTAATATAACGACCTGATCATTCTTACACAGTCTTCTACTTTGGTCCTGAAGCCAAGGAGGCAGCTGCAGGCTCGACAATGTCGTGCTGTCATCGGTTGTACAGATTCCCCCTAGCAAATCCCGAGCTTCGTCTTCGAATTTGGATGAACAGTCATGGCAGCAAGTGAGGAGGTTTACCTCTTCACTTGTAATAAGTAGATGAGAGGATCCACTCATTTCTGCTGATCTTCCATTTCTGGCTTCACTACTGAGTTTTTTCAAAAACATAAATAATTAGCAAACAGTTTAAAACTAAGCAACCATTTCCATGGCAGAATCGTTTTGAATTTTTCATATCTGAAATTAGCATCACCTGTGAGAAATTAAACTCAATCCCAAAGTATTAGAAGGAATTGTGACAGGATGCAATCCCCAAACACTTTCGAGTGAACAGTAGCCATTTCTGCACCTCATGTAAGTCTGAAATGTAGCAATTCCCATCAGCCAAATCCTTCCAGCAGCCTCCTCGCCAATTCTGCAGACCAATCTGCCAAGCTCCATGATCATGTGCTCCACAGAACTACAGCTAGAAAAGCTCCCCTCCTGCTCCAAATTAAGGTTACATTCACTAATTCGATTCAGGTCTCCCAAGTACAGTACAACCCCTTTCCCAGCAAGACTCTTTGCGAGGCAAGCAAGTTCTCCCATCTTGTGTCGAACTAAATTCATCTCGAGATTGCAGAAAGAATGGAGTGGTGGGATACTAACGAATTTCACTTCCCTCAATCCCTCGGGAACGCCGCCTCCATCAACCCTATCCATCAGGTGTTTAACTGTACTTTCTATAGTGGAAATGCTTTCACCAACAATTACGAGGCTCCTTCTTCTGTTCATCAATAAAGTTTCAATTATGATCCCCACGTCATCGTCTGTAGTTGCCTCTGCAGACGTCCTGCACCTGGTTTTTCTTTCATTTAAATTTATTGGAGGAGGAGAAGAAGGCTGGCGCAGCGTTAGAGCAACTGATGATTTGTTGTCCTTGATCGATTTATTTCCGGGAGGGGGAGGAGAGGAGCTCCGGGAGCACAGCTCCAAAGAAACGGCTTTCTCCACATTGCCTTTCACCTGTGTGCTCGAAAACCCAGCCTCCCTCATCACGCGGCTAACGCTCGGATCGTCGAGAATTGAAATCACGAGCTGCTCGATTTCGATCTTCACAGGTAGAAGTGTCTGCTGCTGCTGCTGCTGGTTTTCGACGGATCCTCGTCGTTGGTGGGCTTGGGCTCGCTTAAAGGCTGCCACGAGGGCGTTGGAGATGGAAGGGTACAGCGAATGGTTCGTCGGAGACGACGCCGGCAAACGATTCAGCGCGACGTTGAAGCAAAGCTCGAGGGCCTTACACTGGAGGGGGTGGGAGTGTGATCGTTGACAGGCGATTCGAAGCAAGCCGGCGGGAGCGGCGAGCATGGAGCTGGCCACGTGCAGCGGCGTGACCTGCGCGTGAGCCCGCCGCTTGGCGAGGACCACCGCCTGTTTGACGACGGCGGCGGCCTCCGACGCGAGACCTTGCTGCACTGCACAACCCCCTGCTCTCATTCTTGGAATGGTGTAATGAATGGGAAGAAGAATAGCTGAAAGGGGTAGGAAGTGCTAATTATGGAAAACAGTCGACATGAGATTTGGAGGGACAAATCGAGCACAGAGATTTGAGATTTGGGAATTTATGGAAGAGGGTTTGTTTGTGGTGGAGTGTTCTTTTCTTGTAGATGAGGTAAAACTTACTTGAGAGGGTCCAAAGGCAAATCAGCTTTGCAGCTCTCTTACATTCTTTTTCACTATTTTCTTTTGATTAATTAATTAATTGGTTCAAAGATGATAGTGGGAGTCTGGCTTTCATGCAGTTAGTTCACTACACATTTAATAATAATATGTTCATTTGATTCAATAATTTACTTATCGTGTTAATTGAAGTAACATGTGTTTCTTGCGTTCTTGATGCCCATCTCTCTCTACTTTCCAAACTGCTCATTGTTTGTAGTTTAATTAGTAATTAATCTGCAGCAATTGATAGTATAACTTTCAAGTTTAATCCAACAAGTAAGAAACAAGACACAGAATACGAGGAGTGGAAAAAGTGGAGCAAGAATTTAGTGGGCTCGTCGTCGTCGTCGTCGTCTGGTCTGTCTGAAGGAATCGGGAACTGTGTAAGTACGATTTTCTTCGAAAGCCCAAAGTTAAAAGGAATAAAGAGCTATAGGTTCTCGATATATGTTGTTAATTAAATTAAAGATCCCACCTTTATTTTGTAATCTGCTTAATTAAATAATTAATCAAGTAATTGTTTCAATCATCTAATTGATCTGTTCAAGATTATAACTCCTTGGCGTATAGATCTCCTCCAGTCAAAAAAGTTTCTGGTCTAAATCAAAAAGACATATATATACAAGGAGGGTAAAGCAATTGAAGTTTTCCATACAAGACTTGAAAGTTGAAAAGCAATGTGTATGACAAAAATAAAGGAATTTATGTATCTCTCTCTATCCATTCAATGCTGAATGCAAAGTGTTTGTATATAGAGACAACTTTTAAAAGGGTTACTATTAATTTGGGGTGAGTTCCAATCCAAGTAAGCATCAATGAAAAATCAATAAAATTTGTAGGCAATGAAGGTTGATAAATTAATTATACTGTAGTGTGTGTGAGAGAGAGAGAGAGAGAGAGAGAGAGAGAGAGAGAGAGAGAGAGAAAGAGAGATAGAGAGAGAAGTAAGGATAGGTCATCAAGTTTTTGTGGGCATCTTTATGCAAAGTAAATAAAGCAATGCCACTGATCTTATGGTAAAATAAAAGCACTAAAATATGCATGCCATTGCACTTTCAGCACACCACTCAAAAGAACCGCCCATTTTCTGCAATTATATAAATATATATATATATATATATATATAAACCAATCTTTAATATATATTGCCTTCTTACTCACTGCACCAACTCTTCACTACATACATCAATACCTATAAATACATGTGTATATATATAATAAAATATGCCAACTCTTTAACGAAAAACACAAACAAACACTCCCTTAAATCTCTGGCCATGTATTTGGGCTTTCATGATTTTTTCGAGAAGGTCCAAAATAGTTAGGGGGCCCAAAAACCCAAAGGCCCATTTAGCAGCCCATTTGACCCACCAATTACTTAATCATTAAACATGAAGATAGAAATAAAAAAGGCAAAAACTATTACAGCACCCAATATTATCCCACGTTGTGACCATTTTCTAGAATTCGAGATGAATGCAAACTACATAGACATATAGACCAAAATCATGTGCTTAATTCTTATCCCATTACTATTTTGTTTCTATACGTATACTTCTTCACATGCCTCCCATTATATCCAACTTGTTTCATGGCCCGACAGCTGTCTTTCACATTTCAATTTAATATTGTAATGATATATATATATTTGAGAAGCTAGCTTCGGGTGCAAAAACTCTGAGAAGAAAACAAATTGAATTTAATTGTCTAGCGGTGCTGCAAATTATTAATTGTATCAAACAAAATTGAACCAAATTTCTGACGATGTCTACCCACAACTTTTATTAAATTCATAACCAACAGTCACTATAACTGTCGTCAGCAATCACTTGTGGATTCAATGAAATAAATATATATAATGGAAAACAGTCACATATATCCATGATCGATCTACCAATATTAATTATTATGTTTACCATTACCAGAAATCTGTAATTATATATTATGGAATCAGCAACATCCTTATTTTTATCTTTTTCAAGAATTGTGGCAGAATATTAAATTAAAAAAAAAAAAAAATTGAGAAATTTTATTTGCAGATTTGCTCGAGGAATCCGAGTCGTTGATTTTGTAAATCGTACTCTATGTAGAAATTCTGCTGCTGATAATTCCCGAGTATGATCGCCGGGCCAGCTCCGGCGACGGAAGAATCGCTGTTTGTAATTACAGTCATGCAGATCACTGAATCGTCCAAGAAGGAGAAGTAATCCGCCAATGGCAGAATCATTTTTGCTCCTCCTTTGAAATGGAAGATCAATTGGGGAAGACTGATCAATTTCTCGCCGGAGACGTTGAAACACGGCTCCAATCCTGATTGCTTTTCCAGATTAATCGATCGGCTGTAGTTTCGCTCCACTTGTTTCTCGAATTCTTGGGCGACCAGTTGGAACACGTGCTTCTCCATGAACGTGAAAGTAGTGCCGGAATCCACAATCGTTCCGCCGTTCCCGGCGGAGTCCGGCACCAGGTGCTTGTACGGTACCTTAACTTTCACCCCGCCCACCGTGATCTTCCGCAGCGTCACGTAGTAATAATCTTTGTACACCGGATTGGAAGAGGTTGGATTTTTGCGGAATGGAGTGTATCTGATTCCGGCAGGTGCGGCGGCGGAGCCGCCGCCGGTGCTCAAGACCAGATCGCTACTCGCCGGCATGTTGTCAAACCGGTGAGAGACAAGACAGTAGGAGAACTTCGTGAGCCCCATCTGAGCCGGCAAGGACTCCGGTCCACGGCCAAAACCGGCAATGCCGGCCGGCTGCCGGGAAGAAAAAACCGAGCAGCCGATGATGAAATTTCCGACCGTTTTCTCCGGGAAAATTAGGGTTTCAGAGAGCAATAGCCCCGAAGTCGAACCGGATCCGTATTGAACGATATACGGCGGGCAAAATTCCGTACATCCGGTCGAACCGTTCCGGCAGTTCCGGCACTGAACTTCGGGAAAAAGCCACCGGCATTTCGGGTTTTGGCAGCCGACGATTCTTGAAGACGACGACGACTTGGGGATGAAAGTGGAAATGTTCGCCGGATTCGATTCAGGGAAGTCGCAGGAACTGCAGGCGTAGCGCTGGGTGCATGGGAACCAGACGAGGCTGCTGCCGGTGTCCATGACGAAGGACAGCTCCTGCGGCGGCGTTCCGATGCTGAGGGAGACGGAATAGCCGCCGTAGCCGCGGGGAAAGAGGGGGACTTTGACGGAGGAAATGTTGGCCTTGGGGTACTTGAGATGGTGGGCCCTGGCGGCGGATGCGGCGGCAAGGCGATTGAGCCGCAGCCATGGATCGGTTAGCGGCGGCGATACGGCGGCGGTCGGTGAGAGGGATAGCGTGGTGGTGTCGGCGGCGGAAAGGGCGAAAAGGGGTAATAGGAAGAGAAATAGAATGTAAGGCATTGATAAAGGATTGCAGTGTGTGGAGAAGAAAGATTGTGGGGTTTTAATCAAAACGGGGTTTGGGTACTTTTGGGACAATCTTGTAAAGATGGGACAGCTAAAGTGTGGACTTTTATAGAATCATGTTCCAATATGACAAAGGAAAACAATAAAAATAAAAAACCAAATAGAAAATGGCAGCAGTCTGATCAAACAACCATCAAGAATGTGGCCTTCTCTGCATTATTACTATCTCTCAGAATGTGCTTATTGGATCATAAATAAACACTTTCTTAGGGTCCAACGATTTCAGTGAAGATGGGCAATAATTTCAGTGATGCAATTACAAATTCTAAAGGTGGTATCTTTATAGGAATTAGTGAGACTTCCTACTTTTTCTTTGGCAAGAAAAAAGGTGCATCACAAAAGGCTTGTGAGCAAAAGAAGGCATTTGGTACCATATTCTCCCAACCTCCTGTCAGTTGAGTAAATCACCGATTCTTGGTTTCTACTTTTCTTCCATGCTAAGTTTAAGACCCGATGTGTTCAACAGTTATCCATATAAAATTAAATTACATTGTAGGATGGTGGCATTCTCCATTCATACCACGATCTTGTATTTTTCTGCTTGTTAAAATTGGTAAACAACGACAAAGGAAAGATAATGAAATGCAGACAGTGAGGAGGAGAGGCAGCTCCACTTGACCGTTGGGGTTGTGTAATTCAAAAGTTTACGTTGCAGAAGAATTCATTTATTTTTATATTATTTTATTACTTCATTGTCAACCCTAGAAGTGCGTGTACGGATTTGCTCTGCTGCGCTGCACTTGTTAAAATTAGCGGACCTTACGTGTCTGAATTAAATATTTAACTAATTTCGAACACACCATGGGCAACCCAATTTCATTGCTTCGATCTACAGTTTGGATATATATATATAATTTTGAAAATTGATAGAAAGTAGTATCTAGAAGAAGCCTATCAGCAATTCACTATTTAAAGATGAGATGGAAAGAAATCAGAGTGCTGGCGGAGTATGCAATATCATATAAAACAGCGAATCTCATTATTGCACTTGAACAAAAATTGTTACATGACAACAAATATTCTTGCATCACCTCTTTTTAACGCTGGATAAATAAACACACAAGAGAGTCACAGATCATCGGATGCCAGGCAGGTTAAATTGCAGCAAAGTATTCCTTGCTAAGCTTAGGATCTGGCTTCATGGATTTGTCTCCGGGCTTCCATCCAGCCGGGCAGACCTCATCGGGGTTCTCTTGTACGTATTGCAAAGCCTACAGAACCACAATGCAGGTATGTCAAAAGGCAACCAAAAAGAATAATAAAATTCTTTCCTGTTAATCATCAGTGTATGAATGAAACCAAATAGGGCGATAGAAGGTTGTGTTACAAGCTTTTACCAAGTTGTTGATTGTATTGTGTAAGAAATCTACAGCAACATTGCATACCTGGAGTGTTCTGAGTGTTTCATCAACACTACGACCAATTGCGAGATTGTTGATGGTTGAGTGCTGAATAACTCCCTCCTTGTCAATGATAAACAGTCCTCTCAGTGCAATTCCCTGGGATATTATAACCCACTCTGTTAGTAAGAGCATTCATAATCATTGATTTTCGGAGAATTTATGTTGCATGAAGAATCATTCCAAGTGGGAAAATTAATAAACTGGTACAATCAGGTCCCCGTTCACCATTGGATAAAGATACCATAGGACAATTGATAGAAAGTAATGACTAATTAGGTAACATGTAAATAATTTGCAAACAGTTATTATCATAGTTATCATGTTTAACAGGGCAAGGAGAAAGTTGTCGTAAAACATACTCCGGTGAGTTACTAGAATGAAGTTGGTTATCATTATTTAGTACATGCTTTTCACAGAACATTGAATCATAATACTAGTTGCACCCATAATCATACAGCAAACTACGGATGATAAGTTTTGGGCTAATCCTCTTTCTAGAGACATGTGCCAGGTGAGTCAACAAATTATCCATGCTTGGATTTGTATCTCATATAAAAGATTTCTGGTTTCTAAGAATTAACCATTCACTTTCTTTTGGAAATAATATGATAACCCATATACATACAATGAATAAATTGACTTTTTGTATTAGTACAAGCTGTTAGATCAGCTTGTGTTTGCCTTTAAAAGAATGGCTAAAAGCATACCTCATCAACAATTATGTACTGACCGACAGTGGATTAGCTACAATTTTCTAAATGAAGGCCAGAATGCATAACCTTTTAACGACACATACCTGATCTGGAATCAGAACGTCAAATGATTTTGAAATTGATTTGGTCACATCAGAAACTAATGGATACTTCAAATCACCCAACCCTCCAGACTTTCTGTCAGTTTGCACCCAGGCAAGGTGGGAAAACTAGAGAAAAATAAACAAGAAGAAAGGAAATGGTAAACATCCAGAAGTCAGATAATTAGTCAGCATATCCGTGTTCTGTATATAGATCAACAAAAATGGAAAGTAAATAACTATGTAAACTCGCCAAATTGAACATGAGAAATACAGAGAGATGACTCCATTACTTGTATAAGTGAGAGGTACCCATGGCCAGTGTGTTGACAAGGACTGCATGAAAAAAATTTAATATTGAAATTAAAATATGGGACTTACCACACTGTCTACGGATACACCCAATACTTCAGTGTTCAACTTCTGGAATTCTTCATAGCGGTCACTGAAAGCAGTAATCTCTGCAAAAGATGATATAATGGAATGATTTCATAAATGAAAACTCCGGTAATTCCTATTAGATTGAAGAGAATTCTTATGTAAATAAGTAGCCCAGCTCCAAGCTCACCAGTAGGACAAACAAAAGTGAAGTCCAGGGGGTAGAAAAAAAGAATGACATACTTTTTCCCTATATAATCAGAAAGCTTAACCTGCAGAAAAAGCAACTCCAATCAGTTAAAATATGGCAGAGTTGGATTCCAGATATTACAAGGAATATCATGTGAAGGGCTAATCATCAAACAATGAATTCAAACCAAGGGAAATACACTGAAGATTATCTTTAAAGCTAACACGATATGTTGGTAAAATGACTTTAAAATCCAAGTAAAAATTGATCAATTATTGAGGGGAAAACTTTCAGAACCTACTATAGTTCTCCACCTGAAAATTGAACTTTATCTGGTCAGATTGAACAACAGGGAGAATTTTTTAAAAAACCCATGGAGTTTTGTAGGCCTATAAAAAACGTTACCATTTTGAGCCATTGTCCCAACTCCCAACCACTAAATCCCCTCTAAAATTTAAATAGGTGAGGAACCAAAAAACTTTCAAACCAATGGAGATAATCAAATTATTTCATATACTTGGGGCTGGAATAACCACTAAAAGTAAAATTTTAATCAAAAACAAAAAAAGTTGAGATAATGCATATGCATATATATGTGAAGAATCACCAATGTCTATACAACAGATTACCTTGATAAATTCCTGATCAAAAACAGCCTCTGCCTCGAAGTCCGGAGCTTTATTCCCAACCAGTGGGAGTTCAGACTGCCAAAATTAACAAATAAATAACATCCCAACAACAAAAACTAATTTTATTAGAAAAATGCTACAACAATATAACATCAAAGATAATTCCTTGAACTGATACAGAAATAACTAACACATTGTCCATAATTTTAGAAACAGACGGACGTCTATAAAATTTATATACGGGAAATTAAACTATAAAGTTTGTTCAGAACCTAGAAATGCCAATAACTCATTTCAAAAGTCAGATAAGACTTCCAAATCCGATTGAAGTGAACTAAAACAGTCGTATAAGTTCAACATTTCGCACAAAAAAATCAACAATTCCAATTCTGCGACAAACAACGGAAAACAAAACATTTCAACTGCAATCAAAACATAAGCCAATAGAAAAAACTCACAGCACGGACGACCAAACTGCGTCTTTTGGAAGACGCCGAGCTCACGGAGAGGGAGCGGGGAACGCGGGACACAAAGGATCTGCCGGAGAAGGAAGAAACAAAGGGAACAGATTTTAGAGACTTTTTGGAAGAAATGTAGGCTTTCGGATTAGGGTTGGGATTGGACAAAGCAAGGGAAGCAGTTGAAGCCGCAGCAGCAGAGCAAGCCATTGCGTATAGAATCCAATCCAGTCGAATCGCGCTCGCCCTCTCGTTTACCGATGAATGACTGTTGGTAGGTGGAGACTGTCGACTGAGAAGATAAGCGTAGTACAGTGGTACAAAAACGGCGTCGTTCATATTACAGTATAACTGGGCTGGGCTGGGCTTCTTCCCCCTTGGACTCGGCCCAGTAACGTCCAGAATCTTCTCTTTCGCAGAACCAAACTGTATTGGGATTCAACGTGGCATTTATTAAACTGTAATAGTTTTCAATTTCATTTAAATTCTTCACAAATTACAATTATTATGAAATAATAACTCCAAATTAATAACTATGATAATACTTGTGATCAAATTAGACAGAAAAAATTTTAATTTAAATTATTTTATTTTATTTTTTGTTTGATTTTTCTATATAGAATATATACTAGATAAATTACGGTGTAAATAAAATTATGAAAATTAATTAATAAATAATAGTACAAGATATTTAATATTAAAAAATAAATATCTGAAAATAAGAGTGTAACTCTCAACGTATATACTAATAATGTTTGGCAAGAAAAATAAATTTAATGCAACATTAAAAAAATAGCTTACACAGTACTTTGTATAGGTAATAAGGAATTGTATGGTTTGCATTTCAACTATTTTTATATTTAATAAAAATATATAATTTATATTAAAATTTTGAAAAACTTTAATTTGTAGCGTAAATTATTTATAGACACAAGTTAAAGGTGTGTTTGTTTGAAGTTTGGATTTTGAGTTGAGATTTGAATAATAAAAATTTTGAATTTGAACAGTCTGATGTGATATAGATAGGTGTTAAATTAATGTTTTGAATGTAAAATTGAATTTTAGTATAATATAAAAACTGAAAAATAAATATTTGATTTGATATTTTTTTTAAAAAAAATATAATAAATAGTGAAAATCCAAACAAATCCCTCGAACATACCCACCCTGAAAGTTAATTCAAAATATTCCGAAGCAAGAATCGAATCCGATCGAGCCGAGCACAAAAGTTTGGTTAAGGGGTGGAAGTATAAAAAGGTGAAAATCTCAAGGACGAGATTGCAAAAAAGAGGAGCTGGATTTTCCATGGTATGCTGTTTTTGTTGGATGTATTTTCCCTCCATATGTCCGAACCAAAAATTCCCTCCCTTGCGTCGTTTTCTAGTCGGCTACCGCTACCCAGCTCGCACGCACCCCCGCCCCGCCCCGCCCCGCCCCGCATATGTATATGCGTATCTTCGCCATGGAATGCTAAAACCCTTGGATGCGCTCTCTTGGATTCTGTTATTCCGATTCCAGTGAATTAATCCCATACCCCATTTTAATGGCTGCCCGTGGAGCGCCGACCCGCGATGCTGCGGCAACGCCTCCGCAGAAGGCAGCGGCGGGGAGTGGCCAGATCCCACACTACCACCACCAGCAGACGCCGCCCACCGCGACGAGGCGCCATCTACCGTTCACGACGATGAAGCCGCCCTTCGTTACCCCCAATGACTATCACCGTTTCTCCAATCCTGGGCGCGCCGCCACCGATCATCTTTCGGAAACTATTGTCGTAAAGTCATCTGTGCGTTCACAATTCTGTCACTATATTTGTGGTGTTAAACTATTGTTTGGTTTGCTTTAGTGTCTGTATTCTTGTGCTACTGGCTTTTGTGAATTCAGTGGTTTTTGTTATTTGGGGATTGGCTGATGCTGTAGACTGAAATTTCAATTGTTAAAACATAGGAAGTGTAGTCATTGAGCATCGAGATTTCCTGGATTCCTATCCGCACAGATCTGTATAATTTACCACATAAGGAAGGAAGAGTATTAGATGGCTTATTAGTCTCTTACAGATAGGTTTTGCCAATAAAAACCTAAATGTGCTCTCAAGTTCTTGGAACTTTAATCTTTTGAGCTTGTTATGATCTATATTTTGCCGTTGCCTCGAGTTCTTTATGCAACTTTTACTATCCCCAACTGCATTGCTCTTTGCTGCTATAAGGACACAATTTTAAGTGAACCTAAATGGCATTATGGGCAGAATCAAATAATCTGTGTTTCTGTTGATGTCTACTGAAATGGTGTTTCTCAGCCTTTGAAACGGAAGACTGGGTACGAAAATGAGGTGGAATCCAGTGAGAGGACAGCAAGTTCAGGATACAGTGATATGAATATAAGCCCATTGGGTACACCTGTGTCTGGTAAAGGAGGAAGGACAAATGGCCGTTCAAAGGTCACCAAGAACAATAGATCCATACCGTCAACCCCAATTTCTGGAATTGGTGAGAATTCTCTCATACATGAGTTTGGTTTCCAACTCTGGAACTTAAGCTGCATACGAAACATCCACTATAGTTTTACTCCCAATAACGATATCTTGTTGAATATGCAGATGTTTCATCCTCACCTACAAATGCTGGCAGTTGCCGCTATGATAGTTCCTTGAGTAATAATGCCTCTCTACATTTTGGTTTTTACCATTTTTGAAGTGGTTGATTAACAAGCATAATGTGGTTCTGAACCTTGCAATGCTCTTCAGGTCTTCTTACAAAAAAATTTATCAATTTGATAAAGCATGCGGAAGATGGAGATCTTGATCTAAACAAAGCAGCTGATACTTTAAAGGTAGTTATGATTAAAATGAGGTTCTTTTGTAAGGATTAAAGAATAATTAGATTTCTGCTATGCAGGTACAAAAGAGGCGGATATATGACATAACGAATGTGCTTGAAGGCATTGGCCTTATTGAAAAGAAGCTTAAGAATCAAATTCATTGGAAGTATGTCCTTTATACTGGATATGGTAATGACTCTACAGTAATTTTGGGTAATATAATGAGACTTTGTGTGATTCACCAGGGGAATCGATCCTTCAAGACCTGGAGAACCGGACAATGATGCTACTCTTTTGCAGGTATACAAGAGAAAACATGCTTTCCTTGAATTCTTTGTGTTAAATATGGAATCAAGTGCTGATATTGGTGATTCTTTATTGCGGTAGATCGTGATTGGTGATGCAGAGGTATGAACCATCATTGATGTTGTTCTCTTGTTTTCATCTGCAGGCAGAAATTGAGAATCTTTCCATGGAAGAAAAAAGTGTGGATGACCAAATAAGGTGCATGATCAATGGTCAATTTCTTTGTAAACAAATGTTTGCTGTCATTTGTTTAAATATTCCATTGTCGTAATAATGTGACAGGCAGATGCAGGAAAGATTGAGAGATTTGAGTGAAGATGAAAACAACCAAAAGTAAATATTCCATCTTAATTACATGCTTACATCCCATGAAAAGATTTGAAGCATTATCTGATCAGCTATGCCCTGTTCAACTTCGATTGTTGTAGATGGCTTTTTGTTACTGAAGATGACATTAAGAATTTGGCCTGCTTTCAGGTTCATTTCTTGTCCTGTAGTATTTACACATGACAATATTTGCTCGGAGGATGTTTTTAACTCATTTTATGCCTTATTTCTGACAGAATCAAACCCTCATAGCTATCAAAGCTCCACATGGAACCACCCTCGAAGTCCCAGATCCTGATGAGGTTCACATTTAAGACAACATAATTTGCACAAAGTGTATTCGAGTTGTTTTGATTGTCCAAGTAATTTCTGTTTTATCAATAGGCCATTGATTATCCCCAAAGGAGATACAGAATCATACTAAGAAGCACAATGGGCCCGATTGATGTTTACCTTGTCAGGTATCACTCCAACTCCTTTGATGAGTGAAAATATTTTATTAATCATGGTAATTTCCAAAAACTGTTTTATTCTGAGTGTCTTCCTTTTTTTCATTAAGCCAATTTGAGCAGTTTGAAGAGATGAATGGAGCTGCACAATCTACAAATACGAGTCTGGCGCCAAGTTCTGCATCAAATGAGAATCCAGCCATTGAGGGGTCTCACTTGGCCAACACTACAGCACAACTCGTTGTTCAGGGACAAGACATCCATGATTCCAACTCAGAATTCATGGCTTCTCTAGATCATACCGGGGGAATCACTAAAATTACGCCCTCAAACATAGATGTAAGTAGTGCCATTGTTGACTTTGCATTCATTTTGCATACTTTTGAAGAATATTCATTAGAGAAGCCAAGAAGAAGTGTTAGCTCATACTTATCTGATATAGTAATGAAATTCGTCGTTTTCAGAATGATGCAGACTATTGGCTTTTAACAGAGGGAGATATTAGCATCACGGACATGTGGAATGCAGATTGTATCCTTCCCTGCCAATGCTCAATCTATTTAAATAAATATTGTCGATACGCTTGTAGTTCTTAACATTTTGTTGATGTAGCTGGAAATGATTGGGGTGACTTACATCTGCTTCAAGAAGAGATGCAAATGGCAGCCATTGGTACACCAGGAACCCATTCTCCGCAACCCGGTGCCCCCGATTTGCCTCCTGCTGCTGACATGGCGCCATGACGGTCAACATTGTATAATTTGTTTAATCATACAATCTGATTTTGATTCATGCTGCATTCCTCATCCTCCTCATTAGACAGACTTCTATATCGAAGAATCAAGAGGCGAGAAGAACAGTGGGAGCAAGTGATCCCTCAGGATTGATTAAAGCTCCCACTTGATCATATTGGTGAAACCAATGTTCGATCTTTACATGTTGTATGAGATGAGATGTGATGGATTGTCTGAAAATAGATGTGGGCTGCGTTGTGCTGTTTAATTGACATTATTGTACAAGCTGATCGATACCGATATTACATTTGTTTCCCCTCATGATGTATTGACTCAAATACAAGGTAAAAGTTAAAATTGAAGCACATCATATGTACATCTTGTGACTACAATCTTTAGATTGATTCATTTAATTATAGAAGCTCAATGAACCATCAAGAACAAAGTAATTTTATTTCATCACAATAAAAATGAATCACTACAAGAGTATATATTACAATAAATTGGACAACAAATCTGATTATTTATGTCCTAATATTGATCTCCAAACTATAAGTTCAACCTTGTATAACCATATACAAGGTAATTAATTCATCGGATCCATATGCCGGTCGAGATGCTACAAATTAAAATCATTCGTAGTGCTCGCGACATAAGTAACAAAACCACCATAAAATAACAACTCGAAACCACATTGTAAGGCCAATATCAGGTAAGCTCGATACATTCTGTCGATATGGATTGGATAACAAAAATTAATTAATTGGCTAACATACCGTATTGAAAATGAAAAACTGAGAGAAGGGATGACGATGGAGGAAGCATTGCATGAGACTTGGAGGATACAGAGGGATATATTAATTATTAGTATGATGGAGGAAGCAATATTTGTAGTGTCAGAAACACTTGTAACTCTTGTTCACGACTTCTTCTCCATCAAACCCTAGATATCATTTCTGACATAGCGAAGAAACACCATGGCTTCAATCCATCAGTCTCTAACAAAGGTCTGGAAACTTCATCAGTTCTGCAAGAGAGAGACAAGCAGCTGACGTTTTCGGTGAAGACAATAAATGAAACCTCGGTATGTCGGAAATAAGAAGTACCTGTGATGACATCGAGGATCCATGGCGTCTGTCAGAAATCGGTAGTTGAAATCACTTGGAAATACCTATGCCACCCATGCCAACTAGGGCAAGACGAATCTGCAACACCTGTACAATGTGCAGATGCTTCTGACAAAAGAATTATCGTCTTCGTCGTCATCTTGTCGATCTTCTGGCCACCAATCATGAGATCGGATTATTCCGACAATAGAGAGGAAGTTTTCAAAGTTGTCTTCCTCCCAGGAAAACTTCACAGTAGTGTGTAGTAATTCGTAGTGCTGCTGAATCAATGAGGTCTGGAAAATGGCAGATTTATAGACCCAAATTCACCCTTAGATATATTTATTATTACTGTTATTTTTATTATCTTTTACTACTACTACTACTACTTATTGAATTTATCCACAGATTCCTTCCTCCTCTTGTCTTAAATTTTATTCAACACGTTGCGGAATATATACGTACATAAATTATATATATATATATATATATTGTATTATATGAACCATGATGGGACAGGAGGGGTAATGTGTCCAGGAATTGACTTGGCTTGCCCTAACATTATTATACTCACTCCATTCCAAACATTGTGCAACATTTATGTTTGATACAAAAATTTATATTTTTTATTTGAGTGATGTGATGGAATAAAGTAAAATATATATTAATACATATATAAAAATATTATTAATTATTTCTAAGGGTGTTAATTTATTTAATTTTATTATTATTTTCAGGTTCATATATGTATAATCCAGCTGTCGTAGGGGAGTTGGAGGATAGGAGCCTTTTTTTTGTCTTTTCACATTTTCTTTATCAGTTGAAAATTTCAATTCTCGTTCCCTCTAGCTTGTTGAGTTTTCTAACAAACATGTATGTATTTATGTATGTATGTATCAGTCATCTGTCAAAGTCTTCGCCATCACATTATTAAAATAGAATAGGAATTAAACCCATTATTAAAATTAGAAAATAATATATCTGCTCTCTTAGATAAAAAGAAATAAAAAAATAATACAACTGTGAATTGAACAACCACCAAAGCGGAAGTGATCATTACGCTGATTGGTGACTTGGTGATGGCGTAGTGCTATTATTATTATTATTATTATTATTTATTTATTTATTATTATTATTATAAATTGGGTCACGAACACGAACACGAATACGAAGGAACGATTCAAAGCGATGATGAGAAGAATTCAAATTTTAATTAAGTATCAACTAGGGGACCAATAATTAATACTATTTCCTTAATTAAATTACGATGATAACAATACTATACTCATGAGTGTAGCATTCCTCCAGTCTGGACGGATAGCCAATTTAAGATTAATTAATAGAAATTTGAGATGTTGTCATTGATCATATCTTTAAGAATGTATTTCTGAAAATGATGGTTACTGACGTTATGAAGATAACAAGTAAAGTTGTAAATATATTACATTAAATCAAAAAGAAATGTGAATTATCTTGAATGTGTTCAAGATTGCCTTTTTGGCCTTATAAAATTAACGTGGTGACAAATGATGGTAGTAAATATTTTATAGCCAAATAATTTTGGGCATTCACTAATTCATTAATTAAAGAAGAAGAAGAAGAAATATAAATATAATCATATATATATTCCCTGTCGAGATAATTAAAAATGTGAATTTTGTTACATCATTTGAAAGCCCAAATCTCCGTCACCATAAATTCGTCATCAGGAAAGATTCAACACTATCCATAGTTTTTTTGTTTTCTAGCTAGTGTATATATATATATATATATATACTAATTATTAAATTACTACATCGTATATTCATTCGTATGTACGTCGCTATTGATCTAATTAAGGTGGTATTTGACGAATTCCAATCTAGGAGGAATTCAATTCAATTCAAAAAAAATAATAATAAAATACATTATATACATGGCTTTCATTAATTACTTACAAGACAAGTCGGGTCAAATTAAGTAACTAGTGTCCGTAGGGTGGTTCTTGGCTGAGTTGTTGGCATTAAATTAATCAGCAATAATATTATATGCGTCATATATGACAAAGATAGAAAGAAAAGGACAGATGTATACATTTATTATGGATCATGGATGGATGAATTCTTGATAGAAAGAAAGGTTTCCGGACAGAAGAAAACCATCTCCAGGTAGTCAAACACCAACAATGGTTCCACTTATATTGGGCCCATATTTGGGCTGAACGGCCCAATATTATAATTACAAATACAATACACCACCTACTACTACTACTACTACTATAAGTTATTCTGGAAAATGTGTAGTGATGAAAATTTGTAAAACAAGTAGTTGCTTGAATACAAATAACTATTGATTGTTACAGAAACAGAGTTGGGAGTAGGATACGACCTCTAGAGACAGACATGAGGGGGAATTAGCTTTCCTGGGTTCATGATGTCATTAGGATCCAAAGCAGCTTTGATCTTTTTCATGGTTTTCAAGTTCTCAATTCCAAGTTCTTTTTCCAGATACTAAAACAAAACTCATTGATATCAGAACCACCAATGGAGGAGCAAATATTATATGTATATATATAGCCACCGATGTGGTTTGGTTACCTTCATTTTCCCAGTGCCGACACCATGTTCGCCTGTGCAAGTCCCTGCTCAAGAAAAACATTGAATGATTTTCAGAACCTGATGATGGTGGTGGTGTTGATTTTTAGAGATTCTAATCGAGTTGTGTGTGTATGAAATGGAAGGGAATTTAATTGGTTGCGATATACCGTCCATGTCCAGAGCCAAATGCACCATGAAGTGGTTTAACCTCTCAGCCTCTTTTCGTTGTTCATCATCCTTGGGATCGAACAAAATAATTGTGTGGAAGTTCCCGTCGCCAGCATGAGCAATGACTGTGCTGCAAAGCATGGATGTTGCATTAGGATTAGCAGCTACTAAAAAACTAAAAACTTTGTGTTAATAGTTAGAGATCTAATACCATAATAAAGTCGAAGCATCTAATTCTTGTTTGGATCTGGATATTATTTCCGCAAGCCGTGATAGAGGAACGCATACATCCTGCAGTACTTTAATAAAATTCTTCTATATATTACTCACTGATTGCACAAGCAGCAGATCACTGCCTGCCACCCGATGAAACTGAAAATGGACATGCATGTCCAAATAGCTACGCACACAGAATAAGGAATATGAAATGTATATATATTATTATTCTTCTTCTTCAGAGTAGGATTCACAAAAATTCAGTGAGATCCTCCAGGAATTCCCAATCTCTTTTTCTTTCTATAATTAGCTATATTTCATGAAACCCAACAATTTCACAAAGGAAAGAACTAACCGTTGTCATTGCCTCAAAGTTCGGTGCCATGGCAAAGCAAGCCCAAAGTGCTTCCTTTCTTATCTACAAGAAAATTCCAGTGAGTCAGCTTAATTAGATTAGATCAGTTTTTGAACTGCATCGTCTTGTATCTGAAACTTCAGAAGTCCACTCATGATTGGATCAATTTGGGTGTCATGACATAAAAAAGAGTGCTGTTTTGAAGTACAAACCAGTAAATAGCTATCCAAATACAGCCCGGTGTATGCATTTTAGAAGCGGTAGGCAATATTGTAACTTATAAGTTAGTAATATACAAATTGGTTCAGAAGCTTATGTGCAGGATTGTGCATGAGTTCGCTTGCAGTACTCAATCTAAATCATGTTAGGGATTACACAATATTGGACAAAAGAACAAGGAAACAAATGGTGTGTTGCAAAACAACCCTATCTTCAACCCTTGTGTTAGGGATGGGAGTGACAGTTTTGATCAAGCAAATTCACAGCTGAAAGCTGCAAATGGATTTTACTTACAAGAGGTCTCTACAAATTATTAAAGATATCAACATAGAGTACAAATGAATAACAAATTGTAAATTAAAGGCTACACTGGTTTAGGATGCCATTTCAAAGAGAACATGCCATAGCAGTAACTGATTTGAAATTAATAGATTTCGAATAGCCTTCAATGTGCGGGTGTACCTTCCAAAGTTCCTTTTTAGCTTCAGGTTCCTCTGTGAACACAAAATCTGAGCCATTGTGCTCTGAAGCTATCTTCTGAACTATTAGTGTCTGTTCGCGTGAGTATGCTTCTGTGAATATACAGAATGAAACCACCATCAGAGATCAAAATTCAAAAGCATGTGGTTTTAATTGATGACTGAAATCCATACAAGTCCCATAGAGGATGTCTAATCAATAGGAGCTCCACTACCTTGAAGCATACTTTTGATTTTCAGTAGCCTAACCAAATTTTAGCCAGGTATTTAGCAGTTGATAGTAGTACAAACCAATCAAAAAAGTCTCACACTATACTTGTGGGGAAGAAAGAGCAAAGCCGGTAAACATATAAACCCCCAATGAAATAAGAAAAAAAAGGATTATGAGATCATCTTAAATGCTAGAAGAACAAAAGGTATATGCATGGGCAAGAGAGACACCATTCTTCACCTGTGCCAATAAATTCAAACATCAAGGTCGGAACTTCAGGCAAATTTTTCCCATTTGCAAAGTTGATTGCCCTCACTTGAACTTCATCCAGAAGTTCCACCCTTGATACCTGCCATTAGAACAGGAAAAATACATGAGATAAATGATGACAAATTTGGTAAAATAATTTTTCATGTTTCCAAAATATGTTTCAACCACATGCAGACTTGCAGTGCAAGTGCGAGTCAAAATTTCACCTTTCACCGAGGAACTTCATAATGGAAGAAAAGGAAGGATGCCATGCCACATGTTCATTTGAATATGCAACATACACTAACTGTGCTAACTGCTCTTTCAATTTATTATTATTTTTTTTTTTACTTTACACAACAAGTTGCTCCAGCAATTATCAAAGAATCAGACATAGCATGCAATTGATATAAAAAAAAAAGTTCATATGCAAGGCATGAAATGTAGAATCAAAAGGTTTTTATTAGCTTGGTGAACCCCTGAAATAAGTAGACATTGTAGGAGATCACATTTTTCTTGTTATCAGGACCACTTTTGAGGTTCAAAAAATTGAACACGAGATAGAGAAAGAGTTTGAAGAATTGGAACAACTAATGAATGTGGCTAGAAATAATGGTAAAGCGTAAAATTGACAAAATGGTTACTCAGTTTCCTCACCTGGATGCCAGATAGCATAGTTGCAATAGCAACATCAGCTGCATCTTTAATTGTAGGAAAGTTACACATTGCTACCTGTCAAATGTTTCACAATATAGAATGATTATTCATTCAACTCAGCATGGAACTTCATGATAAACTATCATATTTTTAGCAGAAATATAAATAAATATAAAATGATGTATCTTCATATCAGCTTGAATTTGGCATGAGGTAGCCATGTTTTATGATTAGAGTGCAATGAGCTCAAACAGTGCCCTCCATCTATTGGTCTTGTCGATTATGGATTGGAATGAAGATTTGACTACTACAGCTAAGATAACCTCCATCATTAATTGTACCTGATTTGAAAGTCATGAAACACCTTCCCAGCCATGACTAACAATTACTAAATTCAAGTAAAAGGGAACGAACACATCAAGTATAAGGGAAATACCACCGAGCATTTGGGAATCTTTTGGAGACGTAATGTAACTTCTGTTATAACCCCCAAAGTTCCTTCACTTCCAATCATGAGTCTTGTTAAATCATACCTACAAATTAACAAATTTATACAAGTCTATTTACATTGTGAAGGTCATCTAGAAATTAGAAAATGATTAAATTAATGCAAAACAAGGAAATGCTAACTATAGAAAACAAGACCACATGCAACCCTAACTTTATCATGTAAGACCACATGCAAATTGCTGGGGGGGGGGAAGGCTTAACAAGAATCTTTTATGAAATGTAATTGTCTGATATAAGCTGACATTGTGGTCAATGAGCACAGATACAATGAATTATCTCACATAATAGTTTACAAATTTTGAATTATGAGAGGAAATAGATCCACACATTTATATATCAACCTAATACACAAGAGAAAGGGAGCATACAGATGAAGCTAAAATAATAGGATGCCATGGAAATTAAACACTCTAGAGATTCTGAACAAGAAACAGACCCTGCAGCACTTTTTCTGGCACGAGATCCAGTCTTGACAACCTCTCCATTGGCTAAAACAGCCTGAAAAGTATGTATCATAAGAAAATTCATACTCAAAACTTTCACCATCTAAAAGACAAGTGTAGAATGCAAACCTTGAGGTTAATGACATTTTCACGCATGGTGCCATACCTACATGCTAGAAACAATTAAGATAGCCAAAGTAATTCCATATTTAGAATTCATGTGTCAAGATTTAAAAGAAGCAATTTATGCCATGATCCATGAAAGGGAGTAGCTGGTAATGCAGAAAAGGGAAAAAGAATGTCTAGTGAGAGTTTAATGGTTCCTCAAACTAAATAGCAATAGATGCATGTTGTTGAAAAGCTTGAGCCAATCTACAGGTCTTAGCAAAAGCTATCAACTGATAATTGGTTATGGTTAGAAATTACAATCATCCAGAATTCATAACTATGAATGTAGAAAGCACTAAGGAACCACATGCACAATAAATTTTATTTATGCTAGGACTTTGGAGCAAAGAAACAACTACCTTACAGCTAAGGAACCCGAACATCGTGTAGCACACATTCCACCAATGGTTGCTCCTGGACCTGTGAATTAGATAATACATATAGGCCATCAATGTCTAAGAAGTCAAGTTGTAAAAAGGCAAGAAATAGGAGAAATATAATTTGATTGTATCCTTATTATTTATACAAGAGGAAAACCACAATAAGATTTTTAGGAAAAATAACATAAACTCATATCACTTTAAATGCAACCTTTTAACTTGATTACATAAGTTGCTTAAATTGTTTATCAACTTAGCTACCTAGTCGTTGTCCTCATAGAAATCATGTCATTAACAATAGAAGAATTAACTTATTCTCTTAAATTCATCGTGTGTCATAAGACCTGCATATGGAAAAACCTTACCAGGATCTAGAGGGAAGAATAATCCGTAAGGTTCAAGATACTCATTAAGCTCCATCCACCCAATCCCAGGTTCAACAACCACATCCATATCCTTTACATTTAAAGATATGACTTGCTGAAACAGAGTTTGGAAGGTATGTGCATCGATTAGTACCAAGTACTACCACATTCATTATTACAATTTCACAATTGGAAACTGAACCACTTGCATGTAACATCATACTGAAAGAAGGAGAAGAGAAAGGTCAAATAATTTTCGAAATATAGCATATCACACAAATAAAGAAAATGAAAAAAAGAACTGAAAAAAAAAAAACAATCTTGTTCCCAAAAGGGTAACAATGTAAAGCAGCCTAAGGGGTGGGAGAAAACCCAAATCAAACTCCTAAACATCAAACCAAATTGAACTGACCATATGTTCGGTTAACCAGAGGAGTTAAATTCAAAGCACAAATACCAATGCATATTAATTTGTATGGTGCAAGCCAAGTTGGCCTTTAGGAACTTTTTATGTCAATTAACTGAATTAAACAGAATTCTCATATATACTGCTAGTCTTCTAAATACTATAAATAACACAAGGGAGAAAACTTTTAAAGACCAAAAAGAGGGAAATGGGTTGTTTGGCCCATTTTTGTTCCGATGGCCAGGCGAAACAACCCTATAATGGCTTACCACCCCATATAGTTATAACATCTACAGATTAGTAAACACATTTACAGTTTTGGGATTATAATGTTGACACACCCTACTCATTTTTGGGATTATAAAGTTCATTGCTACTCTTACTTTCATTTGTGTCATGTCAATGCAAACTCCACCACTAGGTGATAATGTATGGCCTTCAATTGACGTGGCTCCACCATATGGCACAATAGGAACCTAGTAACAACATACCAAATTTGAAGAGAATGTCAGCTTTGCTTCATTAGATATTGATAAACTGATTATTCTTAATATACATTGAATGAATCCAAAAGAACAAATTAGAATAACATGCCAAACCTTATGTTTGTTACATGATGCAACTATCTTAGATACCTCCTCAGTGTTTCTGCACATCAAATAGAAGACAACTATGAAGTCATATGTCAAAAGAGATCAATAAAAGATGCGAATACAGGCTCAAAAGCTGATGATATGCAATCCATCCTTTCTCAACCTGAAGTTATGAATGGTCAATTTAGTCAATCTTTCAGTTTGGAAAAACAAGGAGAGTGTTAAGTCAGCAGCAATTTTTCTTGGTCTGTCAATTCTGGATTCAAATGTTTTGTGCTATTTCTGGAAATCTTTTGGTATAGAAAGATTTCCGAAAAAAAAAAAAAAAAAAAAAAAAAAAAAAAAAAAAAAAAAAACTATTCTATTCACAAGTTAAAACTATGCAGAGGAAAAGCATACAATATTCCATTACAGAAACTTATATGAATCAACAGAAGTCAATCTGAATTCTACCTTGGGAAAACAACTATATCAGGAATATTCACTGCCAGGTGGAAGCTGTTCTGTGGCTTCCCATGGAAGTACCTCTCATCATAGTCCATCGTCATATTGTCCTGCATTTGATATGTTCAAGCTTATCTCCTAGAGAATCAAGACATTGCACTTCAAGCAGCAATAAGTATGCATCAAATTATTCTAACCAGCATGAGAATTAGAAATGCATAAGAAGTGAAGGAATATCTACTATAAATAACTTCACCGCTAATTAGCAGAGGATGGAATGTGAAATTTTAAACATTGATAAATACCTTGCAGATTGTCTTTATTTCTTCAAGAAGCTCTTGGGGAACTGGTCTAGAAAGACTTTTTACCAAGTATTGTGTGCTATCTTTGCCACCCATACCATGATTTCTGAATTTTCTGTCAAATTGGAAATGCCATATGAGATTCAAAAACAAAATAGACATTTCCCTGTTTTTAACTTAAAAAATCCACAAAAGTTTTGTAACTTTACACTGCAATCAAACCCACACATTACAAAAAAAAAAAACCACTTTCATTTAGCCATTCAAAAGTAATATGATTGCAGAAAGCATTTCTAAAAAGAGCCCGAGAACTAAAAACAACAATGACCAAATAAAAAAACCGACAAAAGAACAAGATCCTTACGTTTTACGATCATGATTTGGAGCTTCACAGAGTGACGGACCGGCTTCCTGATATGACTGAAAAGCGAGGGTGGCAGTGGACGCAGCAATAGCCCACGGAATCAAAGAACGGGCCGCGACAGTCGATGCACGTGATTTCCGAACATGTTCACTACCGAAAACCTCCGCATCAGCCCTAATCAGCGCCGCGGCCTGCTTGTGAGTAAAGTAGCATCTAAACTTGCTCGAGGAAGAACGCAGGCGGGAGATCCACGAGGAGAACGCCATGGCCGCTAGGACCGAGGATTACGATAGAAGAATTTAGGATAGGATGAATCAGCTGTCGTTTGACTCCCAGTCCCCAATTATAAATACCACGTGGTTTTTGGTCTCGTTTTTTCCAAATATTATATACACATATTCAAATGGATAAAGACTCCAACTATATACTTTCTATTCACGTCATTTTGATTTTATTACTCTCTCCGTCATTTCGTCGTTCGATTGGATACTTATTTGATCGGATATGAATTTTTTTAAAAATAAATAAATAAATAAAAATTGTTATTCAATTGAATGCTTATTAATACGAATTTAAAAAATAAATAAAAATAAAAATTTTTACTTTTTCAAATAAAAAAAAACATTATTTTATTAAAAAGCAAATTTAAATTTAAATTACAACTAAAAGAAAAATATATATATATATATCTATTTCCTTTTTAGAGAGTTTTTTGAACAAATTTTCTATAGAGAAAAATAATACTAATGTAAAAATAGAATATAAATATATTATTAATTAATAATTACAGTAAACACCATACATCATGTCTTCATATCATAAATCCTGCTGCAGCAGGCATGGTCGCCGGCCGGCGGGGATCAGCCAACGGCGACGAAGTCCGGCAGACGGGGCAAGTGGGGTGGAGCCGGAGCCATGGGTCGACGCAGTTGAGGTGGAAGAGGTGGCGGCAGTCCGGCAGAGCTCGGAGCATGTCGCTGTTCTTGTAATCCGCCAGGCATATCGAGCAGCACGTCGCCGTGGAATCTTTATAGCTCGCCTTCGCTTCCGAGTACAGAAGCTTCGGGAACCTGTTCAACGGCGGCGCCGGCGCCGGAGAATTTGTCCGGGGCAATATGGGTGCGGCGGCGGTGTTTCTGGTCCAGCAGTAGGAAACCAATGTCAGGGCGGTGATGAGGACAATAATCCCGGCGGAGACGCCGATGGCGTAGCCGAAGCCGCCGACGCCTTCGGAGCCCAGGGCAGCGCCGGCGGGGGCGGCGGCGGGGGCGCTCATGATGGATGGGATGGGAGAGATCGGAGATGTGAAGGGCACTGTTTGTATGCGTGTTTGAAATTCGAAGGGTTACTAGGTTGTTAAAAGTCAATGCTGACACAAATTTGATAGCTAGCGGGGAAGGGTTTGGGTAGGGTAATTATTATTATTATTATTATTATCATCATTTGACCGGACTGAGTGAGGTAATTACGTGTCTCGGTGTATTTGTTTGGCGGTTGAAATTGGAACGTTAAGTTAGAATGAGATACTAACGGTTAGGTTATTGAGTATAATTTTTAGTTGAATGATCAGTTAAAAACTAATTAAATTTATTTGATAAATTGATTTCAAATAGTTTATTACAATTAAAAAAATAATTTTGAAAAAATTAACGAATACAGATTTTCATGTATGGTGTTTTTCTTTTTTCTTTTCTTTTTTGGCCTCATTTTGTTCCTTTGCATTAATTCACCGTCAGCATCAGAAATTACAAGGCATAAAATTGGGCGCCACTTTCTGCAATGATCGTTTCTGCAATTGAGCAGTAAAATGAACGCCTAAAAACAGTTCGATATCTGCAAATGCGAGCACCATCTCTCGGAGCGCACATTTCGTTCGCCAATTTGCGCACAAGATGTCATGGTAAAGCTGCACTGTCCAATACACCACTTCACAGAAACTATTCCGAGCAATCGAATCGGCCACGGACTTTTGAATTGGAGAGCGCTGATGGTATCATCACGTTGCACAGTAGGCAAAAGCATAAGCAGTATTTGGGGGAGCTCCTACTCTCGCCGCCGCAAAAGATTGGTAATTATATTCGTCGCTGCGAGACAATTCATGCGCAGATAATTTTGTCAGGATTTGAGTCGAATGTGTTCCTCAATAACATTCTTATCACGGTTTATGCGAAGGGTATTGGAACTTTCCAAACTGCCGCCCACCTGTTCGATAAAATGACTGAAAGGAGCTTAATTTCTTGGTCTTCGATGATTTTGGTGTATAACCAAAATGGGTATAATGCAGAGGCTTTGAAGTTATTTAGGGAGTTTAGGAGAAGTAGCAGTGACAATCCAAACGAGTTTGTTTTTGCTACTGTAGTTCAATCTTGTACTGAACTGAGAAGTACCATTAACGGTAGGTACATTCATGGCTGTGTCATAAAGGCTGGGTACAACCAGAATCCTCATGTAGGCACTTCTCTTATTGATTTTTATGCAAAAACCAGTGATTTGGATGCAGCAAAATTCGTTTTTGATGATTTGGGAAAGAAAACAGTGGTCACGTGGACAGCCATTATAATGGGATTCTCCATAAATGGAGAAAGCAATGTGTCACTGAATCTATTCAGGAAAATGGTGATGACTGGTATTGTTCCTGATAAGTATGCTCTTTCCTGTGTCTTGAAGGCATGCTCGATGCTTCATATGCTCGGGTTAGGGAAGCAGGTTCATGCTTTTGTGCTGAGAAATGTCGATAACAATGATGTATCAGTCGGTAATGCACTTATTGGTTTCTATTCTAAATGTGGAGAACTGTTGGCAGGGATCAGAATTTTTCATCAGATGATGGTTAAAAATGTTGCTTCTTGGGCAACAATGGTGTCTGCATATATGCAGAACGGCTTCCATTACGAATCAATGGCTCTGTACAAGGAAATGGTTAGATTAAGGTGGAGCGCAGATGGATTTGCTTGTGCGAGCTTGCTCATTTCTAGTGGTTCTGTTGGGGCTCTGGATCTAGGCAAGCAAGTCCATGCTTACACCATCAAGGTAGATCTTGACACCGATGAATTTGTTACCAACAGTTTGATTGACATGTACTGTAAATGTTATGTTTTAACTGATGCAAGAAGAGTCTTTCTCATCTCTGGAAGATGCACCGCCATCTGTTATGACGCCATGATTGAGGGTTACTCGAGGCAGGCAAGTTTATGCGAGGCCATTGACTGTTTCAATGAAATGAGGCATGATTTAATCTCACCGAGCCGCCTAACATTTGTCAGCCTTCTTGGCGCTTCAGCCTCTGAATTCGTCTCCCGACAGCTCCACTCTCTCGCCATCAGATCAGGTTTCTCTGCAGATAGTTATGTTGGCAGTGCTTTAATAGATGTTTATTCAAAGTGTTCGTCTATTGAAGATGCAGGGCTAGTATTTGAGGAGATAAGCAAAAAGGACATCGTCGTCTGGAACTCTATGTTGTTCGGATATGCCCTCCAATCTGAAAGCGAGAAGGCTCATAAACTGTATTTAGAATTTCTGCGCCTGGGAGAAAATCCGAACCAGCACACATTTGTCGCTATCGTCATGGCTTCTAGCAATCAAGCGAATCTGTTCTACGGCTTCCAGCTTTACAACCAAGCTGTAAAGACAGGATTGGATTCTGATCCCTTCGTTACAAATGCATTGGTGGATATGTATGCAAAGTGCGGAAACAATGCGGCAGCAGAGTCAATCTTCAACAATGCTATCCATCGAGACACTGCCTGCTGGAACTCGATCATATCAATGCACGCAAACTGTGGAGACGCCGAGACAGCCCTCGGCACGTTCAAGCAAATGAAGGCAGACGGCGTGCAGCCTGACTACATCACATTTGTTGCTGTGCTTTCGGCATGTGCGCATGCGGGGCTTGTGGACGAAGGACTTCATCACTTCAGTTCCATGGGTCAATTCAAGATTGAGCCGGGGGAAGAGCACTACAGCTCCATTGTTTCTCTGTTGGGCAGAGCTGGCAAGTTGGACCAAGCTAGATCATTCGTCGAGAACATGCCATTCCAACCCACAGCGCATGTCTGGAAGAGCTTGCTCAGTGGTTGCATAGCTAATGGCAATCTGGAACTTGGCCAATACGCGGCTGAGATGGCGATTTCTTCCGATCCGAGGGATAGCGGGTCGTATGTGTTGCTTTCGAATATTTTTGCATCGAAAGGTATGTGGACGGACGTCAAGGAAGTGAGGAGAAAAATGGAGAGCAATGCTGTGGTAAAAGAAACTGGCTGTAGTTGGATTGAGTTAAACTAAAGATTCAAATAACTAGTAGAGGCTCGAGTTCCCACGTCGTATTCTTGGAGACTAAGCTCATCTGGATCAGCCGATCAGATACATTTTCTCAGCTCATAAATCACTTTGGCAAATGAAAACAATGTTGGTTCTTTCAATTATTTATTTTTTACAGGTTTTTTTTTTAAAAAATTTAATACATTACATACATTTATTATTTTTATATTTTTTATATTTATTTTTTTTTTCATATAAGCTTTTTTATATAAAATATTTTATTGAATGACAATTTTTATCGAAAAAATACAAATTATAAAATTAAGACCAAATAAAGTAAACCGTAACATCCAACGCGATAGCTGCCCAACCGGGTCTGTTTTGTTCGAAAGGTTTTCACAATATTTTATTTTTATTTATTTTTATCTTTTATATTATATTAAAAATAATTATAAATTTAAAATATATCACATCAATATTTATAATAATATATTATTATTATTATTTAAATTTAAAATTTTTTACATCTAAATCCAAACAAACACACTAGTTATTTTTCTTAGGGTGTGTTTGTTTGGAGGATTGGATTTGATTTACACTATTCATCCAATTTTTTTTCCAAAAAATATGAAATCAAACACCTATTTTTTATTTTTTATATTATACTAAAAATTAATTTTACATTCAAAACATCACATCAGCACCTATTTATATCACATCATACAACTATTTAAATTCAAAATTTTTACTATTAAAATCTCAATTCAAAATCCAAACCCCAAACAAACACACCCTTGGTTTATTTTCCCTCCGTGCGATTCGAACCAAAAAATTCCCTCCCTAGCGTAGCTAATCTCTGCAGCGTTCTTCGATCTCTAACTCCGTGCTATTCAATCTCTAGCTGATAGATTCATCCAAATAGTCTCTACATATATTGGGGAATTTCCTTGAGATTCAGTGGTGGTCTTCGAATCAGCCTCGTGTTAAGGTTACCCGCTTCTTATGCGTCTGCGGAGGTCAAGTGGTGTTGATTTCGATTAAGTTTTCTGGTTCGTGGTTTCCGTAGCGAATGATTTTTGTTAAACAATACTGTTTGTACTTGTTTTTGGCTCTCGTGTAGAGATGTTTTGTAATTGTTGTTGGTGTTCTTTACTCCAATTGGCTGGTTTGCCATTAGCGTGTATCGTGCCCTCTCTGGTTCAAGGGTTGTATCTTTCCTTGAGTATTAATGCCTCTCAACACTTTATATTTTAACAGTTTAAGTTGTTGATTAGGTCTTTTTAAAAGATTCTTCATCAATTTAATTAAGGTGCGGAAGATGGAGATCTTGATTTAAATAAAGGCATTGGTCCCATAAAAAAGAAACTTAAGAACCACATTCATTAGAAATATCTCCCTGTTGCTCTGTTGAATTTAGGAATGCCACCATTTTAAGCTTTTATAGTGGATATGCTAATGACTCTGTACAATAGTTTTGGGTAACATAATGAGACTCCGTGTGGTTCGCCAGGGAAATCTATCCTTCAAGACCTGGAGAACTTAATGATGGTGCCACTCGTTTGCAGATATATTAGAAAGAACATGCTTGCTTAAATTATTTTCCTTTGCTCTGTTGTTCTTGTTTATATTCTTTTTAAGATATGTAATATAAATGTTGATATAGGTGTTCTTTTGTATGTTAGATTTTTTATTGTTAATGTAAATATTTTCATCATCGTTTATGTTGTTTTCTTGTTTTCATCTCAGGCAGAAATTGAGAACTTTTTTTGTGGAAGAAGTGGATTAAGAAATAAGGTGCATACCAACGGTCAATTGCTCTATGATTTTTTTTTTGCTGTCATTTTATTTAAATATTTCCTTCTCATTCTAATGTGACAGGCAGATGCAGGAAAGATTGAAAGATTTGAGTGAAGTTGAAAAAAACAAAAGTAAATATTCTGTGTCTTACATCACTTGAAGATTTGAAACATTTTCTGATCAGCTTTGGTTCTTCTTTAACATTGATTGTCATAAATGGTTTTTGGTAACTTACCATTTGTATCTCTTTGCTCAATAATCAAACAGAGAAGGTGGGGCAGAAAAAACCAGTGGAGATGCAATCAAAAATCAGTGCATTCTTCAAATCTTTGACTCCTCCTCCTGATTTGCCTCCACTTACTTTGTTTAGTGATGATCCTTCAAATTTTACAAATGGGTCAGAAATTACCGTTACCTACAAATGCAAGAAGTTTAATGCCGAAAGGTAAATACTGTCATCTTGTTCTTCCTTTTTCTTTTTATGAATTTTATAAATGCAATCTCTCTCTCTCACTTTTATACACCACTCGGATGCAGTTTAAGTTTGGTTCAATTCTAACTGCAAAATTTTACATTTTATATCTGTGTGTTTTCATGGTTCCTTTCGTTTTCAGCTCGATTACTGGGTGCCTAAATATTTCAATTACACCAGAAGAAATTAGTTGAAGAGTTCAGTTTGAGGACTACTCTAATCTATACTATATTTCTTTCATTATATAACATATTCAGATATTTGAAACTCACATGTTATATGCCATTTCTTCGGTGTTCGCCTTTTATTCTGCACTATTAGAGTGTTTGATTCCAGGTCTCTTTGTTTCACTTTGAAGTGTTCAGTGATTTGCCTAGACTAGCTTTAGATGCCCTTAAGTTACATCATGTAAAACTCAAAAAGTTACATGGATATATATTTTAGTTCTTGTAGTGAGCTTGATAGTGAATTTACCAACAACGAATCAAAGGAATGTGATTCTAACTTCACGAAGCTGGACCACGCCAAGTGCGGAAAGGTTCTGAATAAGAAGAGGAAATATGCACAGTTGCATTTGGAGGTTGGCCAGTCTGATTTTCTGTTGCATTCATGTTCTGCATGCGGATTCAAGTATGCTCCGGGTGATAGCACTGATGAAAAGGTTCACAAGACATTTCACAAAAACTACACTCATGGGATACCTTTTAAGGTAATATGAGGAATTAATTGTTTTATATTTCATGTTATTTATATAATCACTATATTCTAAAACTTTGTTTGCGGTGCATGAGGGATGGCGCAACGAAAGAGTTGTAGAGTCACTGGAAGCGGGGCGCATCATTTTGATACAAAATGGCGATCCACCTCCTCAACAAAACAAGGTACTGAGTTGAGAAGGACTTGGCTTTCGGGTTTTTATGTATTTTATATGGAATTGTGATGGATTGCATAATAAAAAATTGAAACCAAACTCCAAAAAAACATAGCCTTATTCTTTGTATTTGAGGAATGGACATCAATATTTTTGAGTTGCAGGTTCAAGAAGTTGTGCAAATGATGGAAATGGAGCTTGGAGATGGATGGATACTTAATCAGCACTGTAAGGTAACCAAGCTAAGGATATTGATTGATCACAATTTCCATTCTCTTCATTCTAGACTTGTGGTTGCTTTCATGGTTTTAAATTTGATGATTGTCAAAATACAAGACTATCTACTTCAACTGAATCATGGCTACTGGTTGCATGCAAATTTATGTAATCAACATACTATCAGGTATATCTATACATCTCGTCACAGAGAGTGTCTGGTTGTCTTGTTGCTGAACCAATAGACAAAGCCTACAAAATTCTCTCAAGTACACCCAATGAAACATGTAATACGATTACAAAGGCAAAGAGGAGCTCAACTACTCTTCAATTCGGCAATGTCAGTCTCCAGAGGGAAATCATCAGAAGAAACCCTGTCAAAAGTCCTGAAGAGGGGTTCAACAGTGATGGAGTGATTTTGTGCAAAGAGGAGGCAATTCCTGCTCTTTGTGGCATTAGAGCCATTTGGGTCACTACTGCCAATCGAAGAAAGCACATAGCCAGCACTCTACTGGATGCAGTGAAGTAAGTTTCATCACTCTTAGCATTTTAGTAGATTCTTTTAGCTTACTGGATGCAACTATTGTTGAGCTGTTAAGCTTACTTACTATGTATGCATGCAGGAAGAGTTTCTGCACAGGCTTGATTCTCAATGACACACAGGTGGCATTTTCACAACCCACCTCACTTGGAAAGGCTCTGATATCTAGTTATACGAGAACCGGCAGTTTCTTGGTCTATACAACTGGTAGGTAGGTAGAATGAACTAGATTCTAAATTATAGTCTTTCATATATTGTCAGATATCTGGAGTTGTAGGGCTCAAATTATATTGTCAGATACATACATACTGAAACATGTGGAAGTCTATTTTTAATAAATGATTTTCACTACAGACTTAACCATCTGGTTCATGTGCCCAACTTGTGCGAGACATGTTGAACAGTCAGTTTGGTATTTCAATTCAATTTTTTAACAGTTTAACTTTTCATGTGCACATTCTATTGAAGAGAAAGATGCATTGTGAGAAGGTGTTTCACTGAATGAAAATCAATTTGATTTTCTGAATCTCCCTTGTGCCTTCAATAAAAAGCACTCGACAAAACACATGGTAATGTCTGGTGCTCTGTGACTAAAGCGCGACTTTAGTTTTACCACACTCATCTATAATTGCAACGTTGTCGTCTTTATTTGGAGTCTTAAAAGACGTGTTACCCGTGGGACACGCTTTCCTTGTAGATTGAAACTCCCCTTTTAAGATTGCGGTACGGTCTCAGAATTTATAACATAGATTCTAGAAGTATTGGGGTATGAAGCAATTACGAGTAACTTGAAGGGTAGCTTTGCTATTAATAGTTTTCACGGGCAGCCCAGCGGTTGCGCAGCCTTTTCAAACTATTCCCAGGAAAAGGATACAATAAGCCACCCGCGCCGTCCCGCCGGTGGACCAACCAATAAATTCACAGCTGCGCAGTCTGGATTTCCGAATTTGCCCATTTCTCTATCATCTCTGAAACCATGGAAATCCGAGGGGTTTTTATTCTCTGTTGTCGATAGATTTTCGCGATACCGGAAGCAAGTCTGAATGTAGAAGAAAGAAAATTCCTGGAGGAGAACTAGCGGAATTTTTCTAGGTTTCAACTGGCGCTAGAGTTTTCTTTCCATCGGTTTTTTTTCCTACAGGAAATTTGCAGGTTTTGGAGCCGAGAACTACCTCCAACTTTCTCGGGATTTACTATTCCGTGAAAGATTTTTATGTTCATTTTATGGTTACTGTTTTTCTTCCAACCGACAAGGTAACTGAATGTATGGATATGGACGTACTACAAATTTGATACATTCTATTATTAGCTGTAGTTTCAGGAATACTGTACGGTTTTAGTTTATACTATATGGTTTTTGGATATTTGGGGATGTTGCAGTAATGAAAAATGGATTCGAAGTCGGTTGATTTTTTAGTTTTAGCTGGAATTTAGGGGTGGAACTGGAAATTTGTCCATGACCTGAAGGGATCGATTTAGCATAGATAAAAGGAGGTTTTGTAGCTTTTGCATTTCTGTGAACCTGCATAATTTCTTTCTGTATTTACTGAACGCTTGGTCAATGGCATCTGAGTGTTCACCGCCATCAACAGACCTTTTAAAATGCTGCAACTGTAAGTGCAGCTCTTCAGTCATGAAGAGTTCATTTTCAGGAACGCGCATTAGGTCTGTGAAGCGTAAGCACGATGCATTCGAGGAAGAAAATGGGTTCTCTATTCCAGGGCTTGAGGTGCCACAAAATGCCCGTGTAGAGATAGGAGATGAATGCATGGCACTTCGAGAAATAGTCAGCAATCAGCAGCAAACTATTCAGGATCTCATTTCCGAGCTTGAGGAGGAGAGGAATGCTTCTTCTTCTGCAGCCAATGAAACTTTGTCTATGATTCTGAGGCTGCAGAGGGATAAGGCGGAAATTCAAATGGAAGCTAAGCAGTTTAAGAGGTTTACTGAGGAAAAAATGGCACATGATCAGCTGGAAACTTCGGCATTGGAGGATTTGTTGTATAAGAGGGAGGAGGTCATGCAAGCACTTGCATGGGAGCTGCAGGCCTATAAGCATACAATGATAAGTTATGGGCTCACAGAGGCTGAGATCGATGGCGACGCAAGTATGGATATGAGCTCTAGGTTGCATGAAAATATGGAAGGTGACCTTCCTTATGGGATATACCCTCCTATCAAGTGTTATCCAAATGAATCCCACACCTATGAAAATGATGGTGGTGAAACTGAGATTGACAAATATGTTTTCAAGGAAACTCCATGTGTTGAGGACCAAAATTCTCCGATAATTGTTAATAATGCCCTTGAGGAGACACAACTTTCATCTACTCATTCTGATTCAAGGAAGGAGGGTGATACAAGAGAAGCTTCAACTAATGGTATTGTGGATGCAAAGGGTTCAGTTGCTGTTAGTCATGATGAATATATGAGAGCATCAGGAGAACCATTAAATCATTCTGATGGTAGAGATGTAGAGATCCATAAGCTGTATGCAAGGCTTCATGCTCTTGAAACTGGTAGAGAATCAATGAGACAAACAATTATTTCTCTAGGTACAGAAAAGGCGCAAATGGTATTGTTAAAGGAGATAGCTCAGAACTTCTCCAAAGAAATTTCTCCAGCAAGGAGAATGCCTGTGAGAGACCATGCACTTGTTGGGAATTTCTCCTTCATGTCAATGTTCAAGGTGATACGTATACTGTAGTTTGTTCTCTTTACCTTGGTAACTTCATCGATTGAATGTATTAGTGTTACATTTTACATGTTGCTGTCTGAACTTTTGTTTCTTACATCGTTCATTACATCAATCTTGTTACATCGAGGCAATTCCTCGTGCACTGTATATGTCCTATAATACCACACTTGCAGATTAGTGCACAATAGCATTCCTCTTCACCCATCTTAGGAAAAATGAAAGGCAGCATAGCCAGTACCTTCCTTTCCTGTTTCCAGTTAGCCATGTGCTCAGTTATCTTTTAGTCTTTTGAATCCAAAGATCTTTTAAATTGAATAAACTCTTGTTGAAATGCTATTGTAAAACATGGGAAAATTTCTGTTTTTCATAAGTATGCTGTTTAGCAATGGAACAATGTTTTGGGTTATTTCAGGACTTGTGTAGCCTACTATTATTCATGCATAGCTGACACTCTCTTCCTTTTCATACAGTGGCTTGTTTCTCTTTTTTTCTGGAGAAGAGAAGTGCACAGTTACAGGTGAGTATACGTCAATCCAATTTTTTTATCCGAGTTTGTTTGCTTGTTTACCTTCTAGATCATGCTCCACCATGCATGTCTAGTTACAGTACCTGAATTAAAATTCCTCCGGGAAAGGAGAACATTTACTACCTTCCTGTTATTCGGAGGTTTCTGGTCTTAAGAAACCTTTCTTGTTATGGTTGCTAAATCTCTTCTCATTGTCACAGGAATAAGTCTGGTTTACCCTCCAAGAATGTAGGTTTGCTGCTACTTTTGGACCAAGGTCCTTGGAAGGGAGCCTAAAGAAGATATGCAAATTCAGCAGAAAAATGGATACAAGTTGAAATTGTCTGCATCCAAGAATGAGTCTGTTCAACAATATAAACATTATGCTGTGCTTTCCTTTGTATCATAGCTGGCCTTTGATTCTTGGGATTGCCCTGTTTTGATTTGATTGGATTGGATAGAATATTTGTTAGATTCTGGTGGCATTTAGGGTGTTGCACTTAAATACAATTTTCAGTTGATTGGCAATCATGGGACATATGGAGATGGACAGTGTATATATTTGAATTTTAACATTTTTATTTATTTTGTTGTATAATTATTTTGAATTATTACTGTACATATATACTCCATCATCCCAAGTTAAAATATATTTTTTTATTATTTTTGTGGAGAAAAAATCAATTTTGGCATAAATTGCTGATGTGGCAGTTGATCTGAAAATTGATCGGTTCAGCGGTTATGTCCATTTTTTAACGGTACAAATTGTTTATAATATGATCAAATTAAAATTGTGCATAATGAAATTAAAATTGAAGAATATTTTATATTTGAAAAAAAAATTGATTTTTCCCAATTTTCGTGTCATATGCAGATTTTGTTTTTTAAATATTATTCATGTAAAATATGACAATAAACTTTAGATTATATATTAAAATATCCCATATGCAGATTGGGTGGAATTTGGTGGTATGAATTTGGCCGTGCATGCAAACGCAAGGTGGGAGTTATGGCTTCGGTTTACTGTTATATATGCATTTCTTCCAATGGATGTTTGTATAGTGTGAGAAGAAGGTGCAGGATTGAATGTGCAAATGCGATCATGTTTTCCTCGATCGGAGGAGTTGACTCACCCACTCACCTTCGCATTCCACAAATTTCTCACATCCCTTTTTCAATTTGAGGCGAACACGTGTAAGTTTTTGTTGCTTCGATTTCTTTGTCGTTCTAATCAATCGATTCATCTATTCTCGTTCCTTTTCATTACGTTGCACTAAAATAATAATTTTCCGGTTCTTAATGATTCTAGTCGTTGTTGATCGGTTGATCCAATACTTGATATGTACATGCTGATGTTCTAATCTGCGTCAATTAGGGTTTCATTTGCGAAGATTGGATGCATGCATTCGAGCTATTACTTTTGGTGATGCATTGGGAAGATCACGCCACCCGATTTGGGGATGCGAATTTGGGGTCTCCTGCCGGGAGGGTAACGATATGTGATCTGTAAAAGCTCGAATTCTTTCGGTGAATGGGATTAATCAAGGCATTTCTGAATGGTGAATTTCGTTTAGGAGGAAATCCTACACTTTACGTAGCGTTTGATGGGGAATTCATGTCAAGGCCCTAAGGCGGGGAGCAATGGCTTCTTTCAGTCCGTGACCGCCGCTGTCTTTAGACCTCGACAGCCAGAGGCCCTCCCGGCGCCAAACCAAGACCAAGACGCCACCATCAACAACAGAAATATCAACGATGTGCAATGTGCTCCACCAAAGGTCAAAATTTCGAGTGATGAGGAGAAGCCTGTGAAAGCAGACAACAACAAGCCAACAGAAGAGGCAAAGCAGAATAACCCCAATAATTTCAAGAGAGTAGCAAGTGCAGGACTGCAAATCGACTCTGTTCTACAGAGGAAGACTGAAAATTTGAAGGAAAAGTATATCGTAGGGAAGAAGTTAGGTCAAGGGCAATTTGGAACTACATTCTTATGTTTAGACAAAGCCACCAACATGGAGTTTGCATGCAAAACAATTGCTAAGAGGAAGCTGACAACTTTCGAGGATGTCGAAGATGTGAGGAGAGAAATTCAGATAATGCACCACCTGGCAGAGCATCCCAATGTTATATCCATTGTGGGAGCTTATGAAGATGTGGTCGCAGTTTATGTTGTGATGGAAATTTGTGCAGGTGGAGAGCTTTTTGATAGGATCGTTCAGAGGGGTCATTACACTGAAAGAAAGGCCGCTGAGCTTGCTAGGGTAATAGTTGGTGTTGTAGAAGCCTGCCATTCCCTTGGAGTCATGCATAGGGACTTGAAACCAGAAAATTTTCTGTTTGTTGATGAAAGAGAGGAATCACCACTGAAAGCCATTGATTTTGGGCTCTCAGTTTTTTTCTCACCAGGTACTTTATTGAAAGTTGAACACTGACTTACTATGATGGAAAACAGCTATATACGTTTACAGAAGAGGGGTAAAAATTCTCAGAATGTTTGCATGACTTGGGTCTAATGGATTAAATGAATGGGAAGAAGTGGCAACACAGAATCCTGTCTTGTTTGAAGCATTTATCATTGTTCTTAGTTCTGTTTTGGACTCCTTCCAAATATCATTTTCTCCTGGTATAAATTCCAGTGACATCAAAGTTTGATGAAATGTGAGATAATAGTTACCAAAGGAGATGCTCATAACTTTCTCAGAGTCGTCTCTGATGGATGTGATCAGTGTTGTTTTGCTAAGCAAGACAAAACTTCTATGATTTTGCATCACTCGAAATACATGTTACACAGAAGTTAAGCAATGATGCATTACTCAAAGTGCAGGTGCTTTTGTTTCCAAGTATAATGTTTTGATGAAGTTCTATGCTTGTTTCTGTGTGTCTGAAATTCAATTGGTTACCCATAGTAAATTTCTCAACTATGGTTGTTTCTGTGTGTACGTGTACTCCATTGTTGCAGTGAGTTACTTCTTGTTTCTAACTTGTTGAGATGTCACAACATTTCAAGAAAAAATTCTCAAATTTCATATTCACTGTTTGTTTACGTCCGGTGAAGTGCTGAAATTTTAACTTCCCAGGAGAAACATTTATTGATGTGGTCGGAAGCCCTTATTATGTGGCCCCGGAGGTATTGAAGAAGCATTATGGCCAAGAATGTGATATCTGGAGTGCTGGAATTATCATTTACATTTTGCTGTGTGGAGTCCCGCCATTTTGGGCTGGCAAGCACTTTTCTTGATCATTATTGTATTCTTGCTTGTCTTCATTATACTCCTAGAAATGTTAGATCTCATTGTTGCATGCCAATGTATCAGAAACGGAACAGGGAATTTTTGAGCAAATTTTAAGAGGGGACCTCGACTTAGTTTCTGAACCTTGGCCGAGTATATCAGAGGGTGCGAAAGACCTTGTCCGAAAAATGCTTGTGAGAGACCCTAAAAAGCGTCTGACAGCCCATCAAGTTCTTTGTGAGTATACATCATATAAATAACAACTCTCTAGATCTTAAGGAATCAATTGTGCCTTATTATTCTCTTCTTTTATGCACCAAGGCCTGAGTGAATTATGCTACTTATGCATAGCATGCACTTACGCCAATAGCTATACTATTGGTTTGTGCTTTTAATTAATTTGGATGATGAATATGGCATGCATAAACCAAACAACCATGCATCTATGTTTACGTTTATGCCACAGGTCCAGATTTGTTTATCACCACTTTAATATAATTGATCAGGCCATCCGTGGGTGCAAGTTGATGGTGTCGCTCCAGATAGACCGCTTGATTCTGCTGTTCTGACTCGACTGAAGCAATTTTCTGCCATGAACAAACTCAAGAAGATTGCAATCAGAGTAAGCTCTTCCAAGTCTCCTGGTTTCAGAAAAACTAATATCTTCTGTAGGACACTTCTATTAGTCACTTTTTTATTGGGGTTGTTGAATGGCTTTCATTCACATGGAATGTCTAATAGGATATTCAAATTTCGTAGTCGTAAATATTGCATGCAGTGAAGATGTGTGACAAATGATTCATGGTAACATTTGCATTAATCTGGAAGTTACAAAAAAGTAAAGGGGGAAGGGCTAACAATGGCCTTTGTGATGCCCAAAATAGGCTGTCCACATAAAATGTGTGGATGATCATCTAAACTGTGCTTTATAACAATTGGAAAAAGCATAAGTGGTAGGCATAAGAGTTGATCAAGTCCAGATCTTACCTCCGTTAATACAATTCTATTATTTTCCAATGTTGTTACGATTTTGGCGAAGGGGACATTCATACTATAGCTGATCAAACATTACCTCTTATCCTCTAACCCATAGGTCATTGCTGAAAGACTTTCTGAAGAGGAAATTGCTGGTCTAAGGGAAATGTTCAAAATGATTGATGTGGATAACAGTGGACATATTACCTTGGAAGAACTGAAAAGAGGTCTAGAAAGAGTTGGTGCCAACATCAAAGATTCTGACATAGAGGACCTAATGCAAGCTGTAAGTGCACTACACTTTTTTTCTCTCTATTGTTTATGTTGATGTTGACTAAGTGAACCCAGTTCTTGAACCAAAATTTCTCATTTATGGCCTGGCCTTGCTACCCGAATATGCAGGCGGATGTAGACAATAGCGGAACCATAGATTATGCAGAGTTCGTGGCAGCCATGCTGCATCTAAACAAAATCCAGAGAGAGGATCATCTATTTGCTGCTTTTTCATACTTTGACAAAGACGGCAGCGGGTACATCACAAAGGATGAGCTTCAACAGGCTTGCGAACAATTTGGTCTCGGGGACGCCCACCTTGATGAAATAATCAGCGAAGTCGACAAAGACAATGTACATATATTCTGAGATTCTCTAGCCTCAAACATAGTATTCCATCACATGCAATTAAGAACACCTTGAACTCTAACTGGCCTCCATTTTCTTTCAGGATGGACGGATCGATTACAGCGAATTCGTCGACATGATGCAAGACTCCGGTTTCAACAACGTATTTCAGAACAGCATAGGCAAGGGACTAAAGGTTGCTGTGTAGGATCGAAGCTTGTGTATGTACGTACGCACGTTTCATGCATCAATTACTGTAGTAGAAATTTTGAACTGCTCTTTGTTGTAATGGTTAGTTTGTAAAGACATACAAATTTCTTTAAATTGACTATCATTATTTCTACCATCTCCTTTTAAATTACTTCCATTCAAGATTGCATGCCCGTACAGTAATCTATTAATAAAGAGGGCCTCTTAAATGGGCCTTAACATTTAGAATTAATTAATCGGCCCATGGCCCAATCCAGACCATACAGATATACTAGCTACTATTTACTGTATTAAGAATTAATTACAGCGTACGAAACAAGCGCCAAAGAAAGTGGATCTTATTTATGTGGTGTGAGTCAGATTTGTGTGTAATTCGCTAATTAATTGAACTGAATTACCCGACAGCCAACAAAATCGAAATGCTTGCGATCCGAAAAACTTTAACGGTTTCATGCCAGCATCTTTTGCGCTGCCACTCCTAACTTTCCATATTTCTCTTAAGTTTTCACCATTTTCGGTCGCTTGTCGTGCCCCTGCAACCGGCGCAATTTCTCAGGTATGTCTTCGTTCGCATCGTCGCACGCTTCGGAAGTGTTCACAAGTAAACGAAATGAGGATGTGTGCAGTACGTGAGGGATCGAATCTTTAGATAGTAGCTCCAATTTTCTGAGTGGGTTTGCTGGAAATCGGATGCGCCGATGAAATTTTATATGTATATTGTGCTCGGGTTTTGTTTCTGATTTTGACGTACTGAAGAAATCGGAAAATTGCCGAGTTCATAATTTAATATTGGTATAATTTTATCAATTTTTTAGGGTTATGGATTTGTCCTGTTAAGCCAGGAAGATTATGCATCTGCGTATTCCACTGTTAGTGTGTATCTCCTTATTGAAATGATTGTATGCTTTGGGCGAAAATAGAAATTAAGATTTATCGTGTGATGAAAAAGGTATACTATTGAAATCTAGATAGAGGTTTCTGATCTATATGTGTTTGCCCATAAAAGTTTCTGTTTGTCCAAGAATCATACCGCAACTCATGTGTTACTGTCAACATACCTCTTCTATATGGCTCTGTGCTCTAGAGAAGAAGGCTGCTGTTCCATCCCATAAAACATAGATCTTGGCAGAAGTGGCCGATGAATGGACTGCCAAAACATAAAAGAAATAGAATTATAATAGATTCTGCGATCTATGTAGGAGGTTGTAGCATACATGTTTCATGATTTGTTGTAGATATTGATGGAGGTCGAGTGGCTTTCAATTGTATATATATTTCATCACTGTTTCTTTGTAAGGATGAGGAAATTATTTTCAGCTTTAGTGTATTCTGTTTCCTTTACAGAGCATGCTTTGAACCATTAGTTATGTTCATGCTGAAAATAGATAGGTTGATTTTCCTGATCTTGCTTCATTTTCCTAGTGGATTTTTAAACTCCAAGATGTTTGTTCTCATTTCCTTACATCATGAATTTAGCGGAAAAGAGAATAATGCTTTTAGGGACTATGCTCTTTTACATTTTAATTACTTAATCATATATTCATTTGTCTGCAGAGCGAATCGATCCTAAGAAACACCATGGATCGTATCACAGGGAATGCAAGGCTCATGATAGTCTCTGATCTTGATCATACAATGGTGAGTGGTTGTTATTCTTCTCTTTCGGCATTTCCATTTATGTGGGATGGAGCTAATGAAAAACAATGCAGTGCAGGTTGACCATCATGATCCCGAGAATCTCTCTCTTCTCAGATTCAATGCATTGTGGGAGACAAATTACAGAAATAATTCTTTGTTAGTTTTCTCTACTGGAAGATCACCCACGCTGTACAAAGAATTAAGGAAAGAGAAGCCCATGCTGACCCCTGATATCACAATAATGTCTGTGGGAACTGAAATAACATATGGCAACTCTATGATACCAGATGATGGCTGGGTTGAATTCCTAAATAACAAATGGGACAGGAATATAGTATCTGAAGAGACACAAAAGTTCACAGAACTCACTCTTCAGGTAAAAATTATAGAAACAACTTTAGACTTAATAAACTGTAGGTAGACCTTATATCTCATATAGATAGCTTTTCCATGAGTATTTGATATCCTTTTTAAATTGTGCAGTCTGATACAGAGCAACGCCCACACAAAGTAAGCTTTTATGTGCAGAAAGCCAAAGCTCAAGATATAATGAAGTCTCTGTCAACACGCCTGAAGGAACGTGGGGTAACGATCTTTCTAAATTCTAACTGCCATATAACAGTATGTAAACCTTGCATCTATTAAAGATGCATAAGTTTGAAAATTTGTATTCTGTATCCTTAATTTTTTGTTTCACATATGTATTCTGCATAGACTTTCGATTTAATGTTTTTGGGGAGAAAATTTTTATGAACAATAGAAATTTGAGAAAGTTCTATAAACGAACACACCCTTTGTTTTTTATGTTTTTCAGTTGGATGTCAAAATAATCTACAGCGGAGGAATGGACTTGGATATTTTGCCACAAGGTGCTGGAAAAGGGCAAGCACTTGCTTACTTGCATAAAAAGCTTAAGGCTGAGGGTAAATTACCTAAAGCCACCCTTGTTTGTGGCGACTCTGGAAATGACGCAGAACTGTTTAGCATTCCAGATGTACATGGAGTCATGGTTTGTCTGTTACTCAACTTTTTGGGGGATTATTTAGAAGAATTCTGGCTTTTTAGGTAGATGTATACTGGAATGTCTTTTTGGGACTTTTGTAGGTAAGTAATGCCCAGGAAGAATTGCTGCAGTGGAGGGCTGCAAATGCGAAAGATAATCCTAAGGTAATTCATGCATCAGAGAGATGTGCTGCAGGCATTATACAAGCCATTGGTCACTTTAACCTGGGTCCTAGTACATCTTCGAGGGATGTTAAAGACATATTTGACTCAAAGCTTGCAAGCACTGATCCAGCTGATTGGATTGTGAGATTTTACTTGTTCTGCGAGAGGTGGCGACGCAGTGATATTGAAAATTCTGAACAGCATTTTGCAAATCTTCAACCAGTTTGTGTATGTTCAGTTTCACCTTCCAACAATCTGTTCCTGGTTTAACATATTTCCAGATTTTTTTTTTAATTTTTATACATTGAAAAAGTTCATCAAAATACCTATCATTTCATTTCTTTGACCAGATTACTGGGAAAGTTCGAAGTATGAGTTTACTGTTTAAACAATCTTTCTTCGTATAGGATCAAACGGCTCTACTTTTATTTACTCTCTATGTTGCTCTTGCAGGATAAGTCAGCTATTCTTGTTCACCCGTCAGGAACAGAGCAACTACTTGGTAATAGTGTAAGTTCTCTGCGAACATGCTATGGAGACAAACAAGGGAAGCAGTTCCGGGTTTGGGTAGATCAGGTATTACAGGAACAGATTGGTTCAGACACATGGCTTGTGAAATTCAAGAAATGGGAGCAATCAGGTGAGGCTTCATTCTTACTTGGCTGCTGCAACAATGGTTTTCGTAATTAAAAGTATGCAATTTTAAAATTCCTCCTGTTGCCATTCATCAAGCTGAATGTTGGCCTTTGTAGGTGAAGAGAAGCGATGCTGTCTGTGCACTGCAATCTTAAGTAAGAAAGTAAGTAATCTCTTTCATTCTGTTACCCCTAATACGAGTAACCTGTATATGGTTTGATGTAATAAACCAAGCGCAATACACAGGATGATTCGAAAGGGCTTAAATGGGTGCATCTCCATCAGACATGGATGGATGGAGCTAACACTGCAACTAACTGGCTATTCTAGATATATATATATATATATATCATCTCAAAATAAGATGGCTTTGGCCTTGTTGAGGTACACGGCTTTCTCGAGAGTTGTTGACCATGGATGTAATAATGTGATCTACTCGGTTAATAATTTGCTTTAGTTATCATAATCAATCAAAACTTTGTTGAAAATCAACTTCCTCTCTTCCCTTGGCATGTTGTGTGATTTATGGTCGTGTTTGACACGACTTCAGTTATGGTTTTAACTCACGCGAATGACGTTCACATTAACTTTCGCGTGCCCATCTTTTTATTTAGATGTTTACTTATTGTGCATCGCATACTGCATACTGATTGATAGTTGCAAGAAAATGACATACTTGACTTTGGAGAACCGATTGATTGCCACCATGTCGTGCAAGAAAAGCAATGCAATGCTCTTTCTGATTCTCAACAGAGTCAAACTTTGTTAGGACCATTATTAATTCATTTGGTCCCGTTGGCAGTTACGACATAATTTCGAGATTTGTTATATTATACAGACAGGCCAATTCAAATGCTCCAAGGCAATTATTTAAAAGATCGTATTAAAAACATGATTGCAAAAAAACAAAAACAAAAATCGAAATCCCTCCTCATTTTGGACCTTTAACTTGATCGTATTTAGACTTTACTTTACGCGTTAATTAGTTCGATTTGAATTCGGATACTTTTATTTTTTATTTTTTATTTTTTATTTTGGTTTCAAGATTAATCTTAGACTGGTTATAATAATATTCAAAATTAGTCTGGGCTGTTAGTTACATTTCTCTGCTATTTTTATCCATACCTAATTTAACGAACACGTGGGTGTGTTTATTTTATCAATGAAAGGATTTATTTTATTTTTAATGTGAACCAATTCCAAAGTTCCAATTTATATGAGAGAATCATATCCCCATGCAGATGCAGATGCAGATGCAGATGCAGCTTCCTATGAGTCTCTAATAACTTTGGCAGAAGATGTGAAATCTGGAGTCAAAGATTCCTATGAGTAGTTCCAACTAATGAATCAACACGATTAATTAATTAATTAATAAATAAATAATTTCCATGATCAATTAAATTTATATTGAAACTTGTTCGTCTTCTCCAACACAGACGTCTCTCCCTCTCCATCTCCATCCCCATCTCTATATAAACCCCACAACCCTCTTTCCAAAAATCAAGCAACAATTAATATACTGAATACAGTGTAATAAGAAAACAGGGGACATGATGGATGGAGTTTTCTCGACAGAGGGTTTCATGGCAGTTTTTGCAGTTACAGGGAGCGTTGCTTTGCTGTCGATGCAGGCACACAGACGCCTGCTCTCTGATTTCATCTCAAAATTGGATTCTCAGATCATCCACATTAATGGTTCCACCTCCATGCCTACGTTTCTTTTTTTTAAATCTAAATAGATCAAAGATGCTATTTTTTTTTTGCCTTTAATTGTCGGTCTGTGATTTACATATTGCATGTTAATTATTGATTTATTTATTTATATATATTCTTAGGTGGCGTGACAAATGAGCCAAAGAAGAAGGTCAGATTTGCCGGCGAGATACCCTACGTGAGAGACCATCCGGCGGCTGCCGCCGCCGCCGGAAAAATTGAAGAAAGTTTGGAGGGGATGCCGGAAAATTGGCAGGTGCTGTACAAAGGGATCTTGAAGCATAGGAATCGTAGGTTGTAATACTGTCGACGACTTTATGTAATTATTACGATAGCCAGTAATTTTTTTTATTATTATTATTATTTTTTAAAGTTTTAGTTACAAAATAAGCAGAAATATGTAAATTATGGACCTTTTATTTTTATATTGGATATAAAAGTTTGGGCATTAAAATATTTTTTATACCGGTAGTTAATTAGTTTAAGGGTTGCATATAAATAAAGAAAAATATATATTGAATTAAAATTAATTATCGGAAGCGTATATTACATACAAATCCCAAGAAGGAAACATGGCCCATATAAAATAAAGGGCTTGAGGTCCAATAAAGCTATCAAAAAGTCTTATAATTCTTTAAGGCCCAAAATATTCCATAACCTTGTTTGAACATTGATTGATTAGTAAATATGTTTTGAAGAATCAAAATGGGCCATCGTTGGTTTCATTGTGCCAAAATGTACAAATTTAGACAATTGTTTAATTTGAATTTAGAGAATGAAGACAAAAGTCAAAGGTTTTAAGTTTTTCTATGATGCCAGCTCATCTATGAAAGTGACCACTACCGTTGACTCATCATATCATAGTCGACACGCGTCGCAATGTCATTCATATTGATAACACGTGGTAAGAAAATAGCACTTGACTATATTATGATTTTATCGGCAAAATTATTTCTATTGTAGGATCTGTAAAAATTACTTTTACTTTTGACCTTCACCGATCGAGTTTAAAAAATATTTATTTAAATTAAATAACCACTCATTGGATTGACTATAATCAGTCTCTAGATATAAAAGTTGCCAGGTATTATTGTAGAAAATTTAAAATGAATATATACTCAAGTCCCTGTAGAAACAAATTTATGAGATTGTTGTTATGCTTTGAATTGAAAATATGAATGAGTAGATGAATATTTTAATAAACATATATAGATCTTGAATAATATTTTATATAATGTGAATAAAATAAAATAAAAAAATCAAAATTTAGCTGTTCAATAGCCTGGAGAGTTGAAATAAACGTATTTGCTTTATAAATTTTAGGAATATATATATAGAGAGAGAGAGAGACAGAGGCAGACAGACAGGGATATATTGCTTTGAGATAAATTATTTTTCTTAATTATTATATAAAGAAAATAATTAGGTACTAATTACTAATATATTATATGGTTCTAGAATATCTACAAAGTAATATAACTAATAAATTAACCAATTTTGACGACGTGTGAATATGTCCCATTAGTATTATTATTAGTATTATTATTATTTGCCAATAATTATACAGCAGCAAAGAGTGTTAAATAAATAAATAAATAAACTTGTCATTTTGTTGATAACACCCAAAAAAAGGGTAATCCGTAATCGAGGATATTATTAATAATTCATACGCTACTTTCACGTTTGGCCTTCAAAATGAGAATGTAAGTCCTTACATACCATTAATCATTCATTCATTTTGTACCAACCACTTTCTTCTTTCTTCATCCACCCCACGCTTATAATCAATCCCAAACATTTCTTTATTTCATTTCACTTCATTTCTACAAAAATCGTATATATTATTTACATAAATAAAACTGTCGGGAATAACAAACCTCTACAACGTTTGGCCGACCGTCGATCGATCGGCTTTCTTTCACCTTCGCCGGCACGAAATCATAATTTACAATGGCACATCATTATGGTATTTCCATTCTACTAAGGTATGGTACTTAATTTGGTTTCCTTTTTTAATGGTGATAATATTATATATAAATGGTTTTTATGTATGTAGTTTGTGGAGGTGAAGGCGACGGAATTTGTCGACGACCGGCGTTTCTTGCTAATTCCATCGGGAAATATATAGATACCTACAGTTTTAATAAAAAAAAAAATAATTTTAATTAATTAGCGGCTACGATGACAAGGCAGCAGATCATTCTGCGGTCGCCGGCGGCGGACCGCCGGCAGCCTCTGCTGGAGAACATGGAGTCGTCGTCGGGGGGGAGCTTGAAGAAGGGCTATCCCCGGATCGTCGAGAAATCGAATTCCTACCCGCCACAGGGAAGCAACCGGCGAGCCAGGCTGGCGGAGGTCGCCGGCGGGACGACGGCGGAGTGCGCCGCCGTGGCCTGCTGCTGCCCCTGCGGCCTTGTCCATCTCTTCGTCCTCGCCGCGTTCAAGCTTCCCGCGGGGCTGTGCAGGAAGGCGCTGAGACGCCGGCGCCGGCGCCGCCAGATACAGAACGCGGGGCTGCTGGCGCCGCCGCGGAAGTGCAGCTGCGACGACAGCGTGATGATGCACATCCACCCGGTTTCGAACCCCGCCGCCATGGTCAACGCCATTGATTCCGACAACAGCGAAGTCATCGAGCTGGAGAAGGAAATGTGGGACCGATTTTACGGCGCCGGTTTCTGGAGGAGTCCTTCCCAGAGAAGCGACATCTCTGTCCAAAGTAAATAAAATTAAATCAAATCAAAAATCAAAAATCAAAAATCAAAAATCAAAATCACACACACAAAATTTTTAATTTTAATTTTACGCAACAAGACAACCTAGACAAAAAAACAAACCCACTTATCTTTGCTTCCACCTCACCTCACTACACTTCTAATTCATCAAATGCTTGTCCCATTTGGGTAAAAAAAAAAAAAAAAAAAAAAAAGGTCAATTATTTGATTTTTCTCTTTTTGTTTAACTAATATAGATTTGTTGATGTATAGTAAATTGATGAGAGGTGTCCATATCAGAAGTGCTTAATACTGTCCATTTTTTTAATTTTTATTTTAAATTTTGGTTAGTGTGTCGTGGAGTAATTATATTGATTGGCAAATTATATATAATGAATGATATATGGGTTTGTCACATTGAAGTCGACCCAATGCTATTATAATTATACTACTGCTATTTCGTCTGCCTAATTATTATATTGTGCTGATAAAAGATTTCTACATTTAACATTTATTTGTGGGTGTTGTGAATTTGACCATTAAATGGTTTAGTATTAATTAATTAGGTCAGAATCTGATGGATGTTAGAGAATGTTAATTAAGTGGAGTGGAGGTTATTTTTTTGTTTTATGAAACCAAATTTGATATTCAAACATTGAGTGGCAATAGTTATAAGTTAGTTAATTAATAATTACAAGTTTACCGGTCATTCCATTGGTTTAGTAACTATAAATTATTATTCAAATCAAAAGAAACAAGATCAGCACTTAATTAGAACCCTAACCCACACAAATGACCATGATCCTGTCATAGGTCTCCAAATGTAATACTGCTCGCAATTTTATTTTATTTTATTTTATTTATTGAAACCCATAATAAAATTATTCTTAGCAGCCTATATATATATATATATATATGTAGCTAGCTACTCCATTTGGTAGAGGGAAGGCATACCCAAAAACCTACAATTGTTCCAGTAATCATTGGGCTTGTGAGAGAAACTAAGTGGGCATGTTTGGGAATTTTCTTGATGGGTCACATTACCAACTGATTTCATTATTATTATTATTATTATCAACAAACATTATATCCTGCAGCCGACATGTTATTGACCGACCGTACACTTCACAAAAGTTTAATAATAATAATAATAATAATAAGTATGATGTGTAGTTGTTATTGTCGTCATCAGTGCTAAAATTGTAAAAGCGGTCGAATTCAATTCAATAAATAAAAAATTAAGATGAAAATAATAGATTGGCATGGCAAGGAATTGCGAAGCAGTATCGTACCGAAGCTCAATTCGGGTCCTCTAAGACAAAATTTCTTTCTTCATTAATTTTGTGAGCGAGCATTCTAAATTTGAGAAAAAACATATTGTGTGTCCACGTCGTCTTCCTCTCACCGATTCAAAAAATAAAAAATAAATAAAATTGAAAATTGAATTGCATTCACAATTGGGAATAGAATAGAAAGGACCCTTCCCATAAATGCACAATTTATCAACATATAATATAAATAAATAAATAAAAAGAATTAGGACGACGACATGATTATTGACACTCACATCCCAACCAACCAACCAACCTCTGTCACCGACAACCAACGCTTTACTCATAAACTTCCATTTATCTCTTAATCATCTTCTAATTATAATTCAATTTTAACTTCGACAAAAACTACTACTACTACTATTATTCTTATTCTTAGTATTATTTAAAACAAGAAAACTTTTTAATCATCAATAAACCCTTGTACGTAAAATGCACGTGCCGTCACGCGCGCTTGGCGGGTTATTATAAGCGAACACGGCGCTCTCGGACAATGACAGCTGGCCTTACGGCTGGAGTGAGCAGTCAGCTGAGCTGAGCTGAGCCAACAAGCGAACCGCATTTATTGCTGCTATTCGGGTTCGGGCAAAACCCGTTTCTGCCGATTTACTTCTCGTATGGAAGGAAGATATTTTATGCAAGCTGGAATTCGTTTGCTAATAAATAAATTAGTACCTTAGATCCAACAGAGCTCGTTGCTTAATATTTCTTCCATATTAATTTTAACTCTAAATATTTAAACATTTATAATAATAATAATAAAAAAAAATAAAAGTCTATTGAATACTCAGAACTCACACAAATGTTTCTTTATTTACATTAACTATTTATTGCATTCAAATATTTTTAATTGTTCCAAGGGTGTTTGTTTCTAAGTCCTCTCTTATGACAGCGTCACATTACTTACCAACAGCTATTAAAAATTACTCTAAACTCCGCATGCATCTTCTACTAATTATGGAGTAGCATATAAGACCAAAATTGCTGCGAATGTATGTATTTATTTATTTATTTATTTAAAGAAGCTAATATATTAATTAATTAATTAATGAGCTTTTCTAAATCCAGTTGTATCTGCCAACGCCAATTAAACAATGCAACACTCTAAAAACAGAACCCATTGAAATACCAAGAATGCCCTTAAGCCTTCTTCTGCTTTTGGTGAAATAGCCTCTGCCCCTGATTTAATATACCCACCAAACCAACATCACATCACATCTCCACTACCCTAAGCAAAGCAAGTCCACATTTTTTTCCCCTTAACCCAAGCCTACTCCTTCCCTCAGGAGAGAGAGAAAGAGAGAGACCCACCAAAATAAGCGTTTTTTTTCTAGAGCGAGAAAGCTCCGGAGTCGTCATACGCCATGGGTTTGCAGATCTGTGGCGTCCCTAGTCTCGTGTTCCTCATCGTCTTCACTGTTTTGGGTTTTACTAATTCAGCATTGCCGGAAACCCCATCTGTAAAAATGCCCAATCCCGGCGGTGGCGGCCAGATCAACTCCAATTCAGTGCTTGTGGCCCTTCTGGATTCGCGCTACACGGAGCTGTCTGAACTGGTGGAGAAAGCCCTCTTGCTGCAGACACTTGAAGAAGCTGTGTCGAAGCACAACATCACCATTTTCGCCCCAAGAAATGAAGCTCTGGAGAGGGATTTGGACCCTGAGTTTAAGCGGTTTTTGCTGGAGCCCGGAAATCTGAAATCCCTTCAGAATCTGCTGCTTTTCCATATGATTCCCACTCGCATTGAGTCGAAAGAGATGAACAAGAAGCCTGTGCACCATACCAGTCTCTGCCGTGAAGCCCACGACGAGAAGATTCTGTTGACGGAGATAAATGGGGACAAGATCGTGAGCACCGCCAAGGTTATCAAGTCCGACGACATCATTCGCCCCGACGGAATCATCCACGGCATTGAGAGGCTACTGGTTCCCAAATCCGTCCAGCAGGATTTCAACGCCCGCCGGAGTCTGAGGACGACCTCCGCCGTCCTGCCGGAAGGAGCGCCGGAAGTTGACCCCAGAACAAACCGCCTGAAAAAACCCGCCCCGCCTGTCCCTGTCGGCGCGCCGCCGGTTCTCCCCGTTTACGACGCCTTGGCCCCCGGTCCGTCCCTGGCCCCCGCCCCGGCTCCCGGACCCGGCGGCCCTCACCACCACTTCGACGGCGAGAGCCAGGTCAAGGATTTCATCCAAACCCTTCTACATTACGGCGGGTACAATGAATTAGCCGATATTTTGGTGAATCTGACATCGCTGGCTACTGAAATGGGGAGACTCGTTTCCGAGGGTTATGTCCTGACAGTTCTAGCGCCGAACGACGAGGCAATGGCGAAGTTAACGACGGACCAGTTGAGCGAGCCGGGGGCGCCGGAGCAGATCATGTACTACCATCTGATCCCGGAGTACCAGACGGAGGAGAGTATGTACAATTCGGTGAGGAGGTTCGGGAAGGTGAAATACGACACTCTCAGACTGCCGCACAAAGTGGCGGCGGAGGAGGCCGACGGGTCGGTCAAATTCGGACAGGCAGAAGGATCCGCTTATCTGTTCGACCCGGATATCTACACCGACGGGAGGATTTCTGTTCAGGGGATCGACGGCGTTCTCTTCCCGCCGGAGGAAAGCAAGGCTGCATCTAAAGCTGCTGCTGTTCCAGCTGCCAAGATTGTTTCAAAATCGAGGAGAGGTATCTTTTAATTTACTACCTTTATTCTTTCTGTCATTAGCCATATTCTTGAATTCATTCCTGTTCTTATTTTTTAATTCATTTGTGTTCTAATCGGAGTAAAATTAAGGCCTTGTTGAAGACATTGGGTTTGCCGGGATTGGTTTTCCGGTGAATGTGATTTGGTGAATAATCTTGGCAGTGAACTAACTTCATTTCTGATGATGGTGATGGTACTGTGAAGAAGAAGGAATGATTGCAGATTGCTTTAGGTGTTACAGCTGCCACTCTTTGGCTGTTTGCAATAATCTAAATTTGTGTTTAATAGCATTACTATGTGGTAAGAAGAGAACAGATTTGTTTAGGTTGAGAAAGTCATTAGGCAGGCTGTTATAATCACCTCTCTCTCTTTCATCAATCCTTTCTAGATTAAATTTTGCATTAGGTTTGGATGGAGACAAACCACCCTGCCTGCACATCACACACAAGAGAGAATACAGTGAATAGATTGCAGATTAGGAATGGGTTCAGTTGTTTTGTGTCGGTGAAGCTTTCACAGAATAGAAAATAAATAAAAAATAAAAATTGAAGGAATTGTTTGTTTGGTAAGCATAATCACTTAGTTATGTTGAAGCTTTGCAATGGAGTAGTAATGATTAAGGATTAACAGAAGACAGCCTCAAAAGATCCTGTCCTATTTGCACTGCTGGATTTCTGCCCTCATTCAATACATATAATTGTCGGCAAAATACACAAACATGAATCTATATATGTACATATAATTATTGTTGTACTGTTCAGGAAAGCTGATGGAAATGGCCTGCACCATGCTTGGAGCTGTTGGACAAAGCTCTCATATCTCCAGCTGTGAATAAATCATCAATCTTTCAGAAGAAAAAATAAAAAATAAAGAGGGGGGGAAGGAAACACACCACAAAAAGGTACGGTATGGTCTATGTAATGTATTGTATTGTATTGTATTTTCTGCATATTTTGATTGGGAATTAGTAGTTGTTTATGTTTCTACTTAAAACACTTATTACAGCAATAAAATGGCAGTTCTTTTAGGAAGACAACCATAAAGGGGTGGAGGCGCTTTGCAGTTGAAGCTGTCCCTCGGATCCCCACTGGAGAGTTCGATTTTTTTTTTTTTTTTTTTTTCTTAAATTTTATTATCTGTTATTTTGATATAAATACTGTAATTACATATATATATATATTGTCTATTCAATTGTTTGTATGTAAGGTTTGTTCTACCGACAGTGTCTGCACAGATATATTTCATTTTGCTACTGTTGGTGGTCAATTTATGGGTGATGAGTTCCTGGTTTGATTGCATACCCTACTTTTTATTTTATTTTATTTATTTATTCCTAAACAAAATTTGATGTTTTTTTTTTTTAGTTATTATTATTTTTATTTCTGTCCGTCAATTAATGATAATTTTATTATAAATTTGTCCTAATTAATACTATACTTTATGGAGTGCCACCGACGGGTGATGAATTGAATAGATTATCAGAGTTTTGTCTTTTCACGTGGATTTTATGAACGTTGTATTTTTTATTATTATTATTATTATTATTTTTAATATTTCTATACATATATATATATATATATACTGTGTAGAAAGTTTTGATGCCATATCACCACTATGCATTCTAAACCATAAAAAATAAATTTAATAATATGTCAATTAGCCAATTAAATATGAAACTTAGCTGGCATTGCCCTTTGACTTGTTATAAGTATTACTATTATTCTTAATTAGTTGGCCATTGGACAAAGTCCAAACTTAACCCAAGATTTTTGTTCTCTATTTTTTCTGTGTAGTAACATTGATCAAGAAAACACATGATGTATATTTATAAATTGGTTATAATTAAATTCATCCTTATTACACTATTTATAAATGAATGATCTTCTACTTTCATTAAATATATTACAAAGAATATACATAACAGTTACCTTCATTTCATGGGCTCTCTCTTCTACTTGTTCCTTAAATCCTACCAAGTTATAAACTTTTTTGTCTTCTGCTGCTGCTTCTGTAACTGGAATTTGTGTTCTTTGTTTCCTCGAGCGAAAAAATCGAGATTCGAATTCGAAAACCGGATGGGACAATGGACTTTCATCTCATCCTCGCCGTGACGCCAGAATTACGGTATGAAAAAACTGGCATTTCCTCCTGGCATCCAGTGCTGAAGTGATTCATGTTTCTTTGCTTGTCGCATTCTGTATTTCCGTTGCGCATCATCGTGGAGAACTCGTGAAAATCGATCTGACCATCCTTGTTTTGATCTACTTCTTGGATCATTTCTTCTAAGTGTCCATCCTCTATGCCGAATTCTTTGCAGGCTATCTGGAGCTCGTCTTTTGTGATGTAACCACTCCCATCTTTGTCGAAGTAGGAAAAAGCTCTAACAAGGTGATCATCACCGTCGATGAATTTGTTTAGCTGCGCCACTGCTGCAATGAATTCTCCATAGTCGATTGCACCGCTGCAGTCAATGTCAATCTGTATTATTGGGAAATGAAAACGCATTAGCTTCGAATGTATATCTCTTGCCAAAAGGTCAATAATCCAATACTTACAGCATTCATCAATTGATGTATCTTTGACTCATCAAGATTAGCTCCAAATCTTTTAAGGCCAGCCTTGAGTTCTATAAAAGTGATCGAACCACTGTTATCCGTATCTATCATTTTGAACATTTCCTTTAAGCCGGAAAGCTCTTCTTCGGACAGACTTTCTGCAATGATCTGTAGAAAGAAAGAATGTAATTAAACCAAACAATTGGCAAGATACATTATCATGGATAATTTCAAGTGAGCCTACAAACTACGTACTCTTAAAGCCATCTTCTTAAGCTTGTTCATTGCCGAGAACTGCATCAACCGATTTACGACTGCAGAATCAAGTGGCATATCTGGAGCTATACCATCAACCTGCACCCAAGGATGGCCTGCAGACAAATGCCAAATTGAAATTTGAAGTTAACGTCTTAATCTGTAGAATTACTTGAAACCAATGTAAGTTGGAAGCATGAAGATGATCAGTGATGTAAGGTGAGCCCTTAAAACTTACAGAGGACTTGACGAGCAGTTATCCGCCTTTTCGGATCCCTTACAAGCATTTTCTTCACAAGATCCTTTGCACTTTCAGAGATATTCGGCCAAGGATCCGAAGAGAAGTCAATATCACCATGCAAAACTTCTTTGAAAATTTCTTGTTCACTTTCTGTACAAAATGGGAATTAACCTGAGAATCAATTGAAATCCATAGCAAGTAAAGAAGGGGAGAAAACTTCCAATTTCTTACCACCCCAAAATGGAGGAAAGCCACAGAGAAGAACATAAAGTATAACGCCGGCACTCCAGACATCTGCCTGTGGTCCGTAATGCTGAAAGAGCACTTCCGGAGCTACATAAAAAGGGCTGCCTACTACATCTGTGAAGACCTCCCCTGTGGAGAAGAAGGTACAATACATGGAAAAGATCAGATTATCGAAAGCATAATATTATAGCAAATACATAAAAGAAGAACTTGTAATACAAAATCCTGCAGAATTTACCAGGCTTGAAGAAAACTGACAGTCCAAAATCTATGGTCTTTAATGGAGAATCCTCATCCTCATTGACAAATAGAAAATTCTCAGGCTTGAGATCGCGGTGCATGACTCCTAGAGAATGACAGGATTCGACAACGCCAACTATTGTCCTAATCAGTTCTGCAGCCTTCTTCTCCGAGTAATGGCCTCGCTTAACAATTCTGTCGAAGAGCTCGCCCCCGGAGCAGAGTTCCATGACTACATGAACTGCCACAGCATCCTCATAAGCACCTTTGATCGAGATTACATTCCGTTGCCCTGACAAGTGATGCATAATCTCAATCTCTTTCCTCACATCATCAACATCCTCCTCTGTCAATAATTTCCTCTTTGCAATGGATTTACAGGCGTAGTTCTTCCCTGTTTTCTTTTCCACACAGAGAAAAGTCTTCCCGTACTGCCCCTGACCGATTTTCTCACCCAAACGGTAGTGCTCCTTCAGATGTCCTGTTTTGGTTCCCAGAACTGAGTCCAGCTGAAGACCTACGCTCATCACTGTGCGAGGCTTCACCGGCGGCTTAGGAGCTACAGGTTTCGGCTTTTCTGTAACGATCATGATCACACGCTCCGACTTGACTGCATCTTCCCATTTCCAGGCTGCCATAGGAGGCTGTGACTCTTCCTTCAGTACAATCATGCGCTCCATTTTTGTAGGCTGTAATTGATTCACGTCCTGCGGATTAATCTTCACCAATCCAGGGGGCATCAGGTGAACCGGGTTAGGGCTTTCCATGGCTTTAACAGAGTCAATCATATCTGGTGATGTCGACCGCCAAAACGAGCGTGAAATCGAAGAGCAATACCTTTCTTCCCCAATCTTCCCACTGACACAAGTATTTCCCATCGCTTCAATAAACTGAATTCACCTCCAACCAACTGAAATAAAACAGTTACGGAATTCAATTCCTGTCTAGCACCAACAACTACATCTCCTTGCGGACAAAACACAAAACGACATTACTCTCCAATTAAATTTGACGATCAAAATCTTCTGAAAAGAAACGAGTCACTATTCGAAATTAAACAGAGGTAATCGCAAGCACTAAACGGAAAATTCAATGCTTGATTACAGTAAAGCACAGAGAAATCCGCGGCGCATGCAGAGGGAAATATGCAATTAATAGAAATCCAGAAAGAAGGAATTGATCAGACGACACGACAGTGCCAAATTTTGTAGGGCCGAAGAAAGGAAGAGCGCGTGGTAGTCGTGTACGGAAAAGCGTGTTTACCGAACGGGAATGTAAAAAGCGTGTGGGTTTGGTAATTAAATAAATCGGGTTTGTGGAACGAGCGACTGAAGCCAATGAACGGCATTTAATTAGAATAAATACAGTTTATTAAATGTAGGGGAAAAAATGTTACATAAAACAAGGTTTGATTATTTTGTACAAGTTATATTCTTTTCAATTTTAATAAAATATAAAAGGTTATTAATTGTACATTTGGATATAGCCAGAGATCTTTGATTGTTTCAATACCTAAAAAAAAAATGACGCTGAAAAAGTCACTTTGGCTGTTTATCGCCGGCGGCCATTTTGTCTTAAAAAACGTATGCAGAATTAGTATGACAACTTAAACCCAATATGAATATTATTGTTATTATAATAGTTTGTGGATGTGGAGATTAGGAAGATGATGTGACTAATATGGATTTGGGAGTTTTGTTTTGATAACGACCCCAAGGGCCAAAAAGATGTCAATATAAAAATATTGAAGGCAGCCTCAATTTGGCTAAAATCAAATCAAAATCCAATCCAATACAAAATAAGGTAGTATAAAAAATAAATTGCAAGAAAGAATTGGCATTCAAAATAACAACCTATTAAGTATGGTTTGGTAAAGTAGGTCCTTTTCAAAACGAGGGAGGCACTTGTACTTTCACTGGCACTTTGCACTAACTACAGAAAGTTGGCACATAAAACGTGTAAACGAGACACTTTGGCACTATGATATGTTAATGATTGTTAGGGGAGTTGGCAACTCAGTGGTTGAATAATCAATCCTTTGCCATTCAAGATAAACCAATGTGATTTTGGTTGTAAATTTGAATGAATTGTATTTTAATCTACCAGTCTTACCACGTTTTTAATGTTTGACTTGAAAACCAAATCCGGGTTGTTTCTAACTGTCCATATCCAAGAAGAAAAAAACACACCATCTTAACTAGGGAATGCTATTGGTCAATATCCAAGAATGAGATGAGATGGGATATTGATAGTACCAAATTATGCCTTGCCTTCACAGGGACATGATTCTTGTTTCAGAAACTCCAAAGTTACTTGAATCAATAATGGAACTAGATGCATCTAGTGTTAAGAGTACAAGGCAGAGTGGTTCAATCTAATCTATTCTACAAATACAAATGCATACATGATGGTGTTGAACATGAGGCAGCCCAAAGATGCTTCACAATGTAAACTATGGTTCAGTCCATATAAACAAACACTTATTCAACTAACAAATATCCATCAGAATACATATTAAACTACAGATCAAAATGTGAAAGTGGAATATTTGCCCAAGAAGGATTAATAGAAGTAATTAGACCAATTCACAGCAGCACACCAATAGATTTAGCACACTTGAAATATTTACCCTCAAGAAGGAGATAGCATATATGGATTCTTTACCTCCCCCCAAGAGTCTTTGAAGATTTGCCCAGTTTTCTTGGACTTTGTAAATGAATTTCCGTACTGTTCGTCATTCCTGTAAGTGATGGAGGAGGAATTTTTCTAGGTTAAATCCATCCAGTTATAGAAATGCAACCCACTAATAAATAATTATAGTCTGGGATCAAATGAATCAGAATCATAGGGTATTTATTTATCAAGATTCTCAATAAATATTTTACTTCATCCTCAACAATGAAGCAATTTACAAATACATAATAAACAGTGCACATTGCACCAAATTAACAAAGAAAATAAGCAGATGAGATATATCATCCATCAGATGACAATGGATAATCAAGGTACAGCTGCCGGAATAGGGATAGCAACAGTCGTGCTGTTGCCAATATGCTGGATGACAAATCCATAGATCTTTTTCTTAAGAGCATCAATTCTTGCCATCATAACCTCATCCCGTTTGGGCACTGTGCCATCCAACCAGTCATTGACTCGCTTCAGCTGTGATAGAATTGCAGCTATGGAATCACAATCCAGATTCCCTGCTCCCCCTCCTGTGTTAGAGTTCCCACAAACTCGGAATCCAGCATCAAGGGCCTCCTCAACAAATCTTACAAACCACATCTGCATCTCCAATTGCAAATTCCTTCCAAGTTCCACAGTTTCATTCATTCCCATACCTCTGGTCCATGATCCAGCTACAGATGATGAGGATGGTACTGCCTTCTTGTTGATTACAGGTGCATTGGCAGAGACTCGTTTCTTGGAACATTTTACCGTTTTTGAAGGGCTCTCAAAGTAGTCATTTGTCAGTAGAGAAACAACTTCGAGATTTGTAGCCAAGGCAGCTTCCACCCACACTGTACTGGATTTCGAATGCTTTGTTGATGAATTATTATTGTTATTGTCATCAGCACTTACTGACAGCTTTCGGACACCAGCAATGATTTCAGCATCTGCTGTAGACTTCAATACCTCCTCATAGATGAACATGAACCGGTCGATGGTAGGTAGTGGACTTTCAGGTTTTGATGATACAACAAGGTCCGAAAACATACTGCAATGGTGAAGAAACTAAAGTTATTACTCATGTATGTAACAATGCCGTACAAAATCACCTACATCCTATTAAATTGAGATTTGGGCAGGAACAAACTTGATCACATTCCATACATTCACTTAATGGGCAATGTAACACTATTCAACATTCAAAGATACCAAAATGCCTCATTTTCTATGCACGCATTGTCAGGAAGCAAATGTCGTTCATGAGATCAAATTCATCAGACAAAAGTCTCACTAGAGCATCCATATTGGTCACATTTCACGAGAAAGTAAACAACGAACATGTGCAATAAGGATCCAGACATCCACCTTTAAGTGCAATACCTTACCTTAAGTTTCTTACAAGAGACTCTGTTGCTATGGCTTCCTCCAAAGCTTCAGCAGCAGCAGCTGAGGCAATTATCCTCCTCTGCATTGCATCCTGAAACAACAGACACATTAACAAATGCATATCTCAGATTCTCAAGACTGGATTACATGAATAGAATAAGCCATTAGCTTATGACTGTAAGTAAACTAGGAATTTAATTTTCGCACAGTGTAATTCATTATCTACCTTCCCAAGTTTAGCAAGGCCCGAGGAGACTGTATCCAGTGAGACACTGCCATCGGTCCATTTCTTTTCATGAATGGCAATAACTGGAGCTGCATCAGTTACTTTTTCCTCCTCAGCATGACCTTCAGAGATTTCATTGTTAGGCAAACTTTCATGCACATCACTTAATCGCCTGGATATAGCTGCCTGAAATCAAATACATGTGGAATTAGAAACTAATCAGTGTAAAGTCTTAAACAGGAACACAAGAATGAGCATATGGGCATATCACCTGAGTTCTCAAAATTGCCTGTAAGTCCAGCTTTTTTATTGTCCCTGATCCATTTTCTTTCCTCTCAGAAGACCCTCCACTGCAGGAAACGGATCCATCGCCCCAGCTTTTCCTACTCGGTTTCCCAGTCCTGGAAATGTCAGCAGCAACATTAACTTCCTTCCTCCCCAAAGATTCCGCTGGAGACTTCTTAAAAACTCCAGACAGCCTCCGCCCTGGTGACATTGATGTCCGCCTCGCCGCTGCAGGAGTTGTCTGGCGTCTTCCAGCAGTTGGTGAAGGTTGCCTGTACCTAGATGGCACAATTATTGCAGCCTCTTTTGATATCTGCCTATTTTCTTCCTTGGCAGCAACAAGACTTGGCACCACACATTTGGACGGTGCAGGGGAAGAGGACCGTTTGCCAGACCGGCCGGCAGGCGAGGGATCCCTTTCTGCTGCTGATTTCTTCCCGTTGGAAACCGATCTTGGTTTCACTTTTCCCGGAGAAATAAACCTTTGAGAAACTTTACCATTGGTATCGCCAACAACGTTCACATTCACGTTCACATTCTCTTTGGGTTCAACTTGCTTGTTACCTTTGATTTCCGTATGCTTCTCCTTCTCTTCGGCATGTTTCTTCCCCGGTCTTGACAAATAGGCTGCAATAGGATCAACAGAGGGATCGGACTCCGACACCGGCTGAATGACAAACCCGTCCTTAGAAGGAGAGGTCCTCAAAATTAAGGGTTCCGGGGATCCAATAAACTGAAAGCGACCCACAACAGGACGAAGATTGACAGCGGTGGGCAGAGGAGGCGAATCAAAGACGAGGCGATCGACGTGCACAAACTGGCCTATTTGGAGTCGATTGGAGAGGATAAGTTCAACATCGCGGTCAGAGAGGGAAACGTAGGTTGAATTGAGGGAATCGGAGAGTTGGACAAGGAACCCGTGGTGCGGCCAGAGAGAATCGGGGGCAGAGAGAGCGGGCAGGATCCCAATTACCTGGAGGAGGGGAGTGCGGTGGTCGCCGGTGACTTTGGCGGTGGAATTCATGGATTGAAGGAGCTTGAGGAGAATACCTGGAGTGAGAGCGGCCATCTTTTGCTGTGCTGCGCAGAAACTGGTGAAAGGGATATTGGAAGTGAAGAAGGTCCCGTCGTCCCGTCTTGGCCTTTATGGACTCTCACTCTGCAATGTACCGTTAGGGATTTTTGAAATTCAAATTTCCACCATTTTGAAACAACATCCGGACAACTCTGCCTCTCTCTGCCTACCTGTTTCTATTTATACCTTTTTACTCTACACTATTTATTTACTTCAGTATAAAAATATATATATATATATTTATATTATTTAGTAGTATTTTTTATTTAAAATATCAAATTAAAATAATTATTTTAATTTGAATATTTCTACTCAAAATTAGAAAAATCAAACATACCCTAACTATTAAAGTGAAAATCATATATCCCAAGAGCTTAAATTCCAAAATTCAGATTAATGGAATGAGGCCAAAGGACAAGGAGTAGAACAGTGTACAGTGAGAGAGCTTCACCGCTCCTCCACTGGGAGTGGGAGTGGGGGGTCCTCTTTATTAAGAAAAACAAAAGTAATTCACAATCTTTTTTCTATATATGAGAGAGATAAGAGAGATTAAATATAAGAGTATGGACTACTTGCATATTGATAGTGACATCAAAGCTTCTTGACAATCTCTTCGCTGGCACGTTTGTAATAAGTCATTCTGCGAATGGCAGTCATGGCATCCTCATAGTTTTTACTCTTATACGCCTCTTCATATGACTTGGACCAATTCTGCAGTTTTTCCCGCAGCTGCAGCAACGAGCACAGCAAAATGGAGGGGCATTATCATAATAAACTTCCACACAGATTCATACTTCATTCCAAGCATTGTGCATTATTCTATTGTACTTCACATATATACATAAACAGCCAAGAAACTACCTGACTCTGGATCTTATTTAATGCTTGAGTGTCTTCTGCTTCTTCAACAGCTTCTCTTAATTCCATGATCTGCACTCGAGCCCACATAAAACAATATTCATAACTATATTCTCTAGAAAAGCTATACATGTCATAATCATGGCCAAGCATCTTGCTTGACATATGCAGGTTTCAATCATACAGGTCATTGGAAAAACAACAAATCTCTTCAACACAACACATATGTGCAAATTACAGACACTTTACCAGTTTCAAATATATTATACTAAGAGAGCAGAAAGAAAGGTCAGCATTTTAAAAGATAAGAAGTTCAGCCAAATACTACCTGCATAAAAGAAAACTGGCCCTAGAATGGATTCACCAAATGAGGCCCAAGTGTCACAATCTTCAGGAAATTACTAGTACTACTTTGGTAAAACATATTTTGCAGAAGCTTTACTTCACCATAATAATATTAAAGAGAATACACAAGTTGAAGAGATTTGTCAACAGAGATGCTTCTTAGTTACTTAAGTACCTCAGCAAGAAGCTCAGGGTCCGTAACCCTTTCTTCTTCATCTATATGTACACCTGCTAATTTCACCTACATCGTTTGAAATAACATTAATATTAATTAGTGGACAGCATCGTAAGGAATACAGTAGCGACAAAGAAACCAACAACAGAACAGATATCATGTAAGGTAATTGAGTAAAAAAATCACTATATGTTAGCATAAGATCATCTACTAATATTCAAGGTGATCAGTTATATGAGGAATCTAAATGATATTCATGGAAGCTCAATTCATTTCAACAATAATGGAAATGATCTAGATTTCCTAAACTGTTCAGAAACTCCAGAGAAAATGTATAATTGCCTATACTCCAGCTCCATTGAAGAAAACTGTATGCACACAACATTGTTGCTCAACAGCTCAAACTCAGAGATACGCTTTTAAAATGCCCAAATGTACTCATAAGGCACTATTAACACAACATACCGAGTAGATTGCCCTTGACAATGGGTCTGCAAGTGTTCGATATGCATCTATCACTCGAGCAGACTGTTCGGCTGCATAATCCCTCTCTTGCTAGTCCAAAGAGTATAAGTTTTAGAAAAAAAAAAAAGTACCTAATTTATCACAGAAAACAATTATTAATCTAGAATACTAACCTGGGACTTTGAATGAACTAGATCTGGATGAAGCTTCTTTTGCCAATCTTTGTACTTCTTCTCCAACTCTTCCAGGTCAATTTCATATTTCCGTTCTCTATACAGGAAAGAAGGTCTCATTTATAGCTATACATATACAGTCAGTCAGTTTAAACCCAACAGAATCAGTTCAAATTTAATCATTATTGATATTGAGTACATAATCTACAATTGATCAGGTGATATCCCGTAGATTTTCATCCCTTATTAATAGAATAAGCATACAAGAACAATCATAATTAGGGTGCAGAGAAAGCGGTGACGTTTCTAATCAATCTACGGACTAATGAAACTAGCCACAAAAACACAACTATGTAAATTTACATGATGCAAAACCTCAAACTTTCGTCAAATATAAACACAAGAAGATCCAGATTAAGAATGAAAAATGTAACACTCACAGGCCGAAAATTTGGAAATAATCAATTGCTTCATTAACTGGTTGGACGCTGCGGCAGGATGCACAGAAGAGGGACGCCATCACGCTATCGGCACCCGCACCGCAGTTCCAGCAATGGAACGTTTCGGCGGACTTGGGTTGCGAGCAGAAAAAGTTGCCATTTCTCAAAGACAACCCGTTTTCACTTGCAGAGACACCGCTTGGATTCGCTAACAATAAAACTCTAGCAGAAGGAAAAGGCTTTCCTGGCTGTCCGCCCAAAAAACAAGAGGCAGATGAAAAAGGAGAAAAAGAAGATGAGCGAGAGACAATTTGGGAGGAGTTAAAAATCGAGCAATTATAGCAGCGCGAATTGACGATCGACGAACAAAAGTCTGTTGAATTCCCAGCGCGACGAGCAATCAAAGAAAATTGCGTGGAATTACAAAGCTTCGTCTTCCACATCCTGAGGAAGCGATGAAGCTAAAAAGAGAAAACGAGAGAACAAGCAACTGCTGCATTTATACGCTGTTCCCCACATGCCAATGTACTAACGCTGGTGCGCAATGTACAAGTGCAGAATTAAATTAAAATCCACACCTTCCTTTCCAAAATATTATCATTTTGGCCCCAAGTTACACAAAATTTGAAATTTGGCTCAATAAACCGAAACTGATAGTTTACATGTCGCATAATTTTCAAATCTCAAAACGATGGATATAAAATCCAATCCAATGGCAGCAGCTGTGAATTGGTGATGAAGATTTTCAAGAACAGGCAAAAAAAGTAGCAAGATTTTGCCCATTGTATTCATCTGAGATAGTTATGTACAATTATCCCAAGTATGTTCTGGGCAAAAGTATACATGTATGTATTCATCTATCGCCACCTGCAAACCATTTTGAACGACCTCCCAATCGCCCCTCTGTCCAAAGAATCCATTCTTGTAAGATGGTGACAAACAAGAATATGTACAGATCATCGATCTCATCTTCAGCAAATCAATCCCTTCCCAGAAACAGTCTCCCATGCCATCTCGAAACAATGGGTGGGACAAACTGCTGTGTGCGCTCCCTGCCTGGGTACCTCGTACTGTGTCAGCAAACCAAATTAGATTCTCTTGTAAAAGAGAACGTAGGCAGCTTGTGTCTTTATCTGGTCCTCGCTGACCGGGAAGACATGGCTGTCGTCGAACTCATACCACTGGCTCAGCCTATTCTGTTGCATCAAGAACAGAAACAAGAAGAATTAGGAAGAAGGGATTAAAGCAGGCAGATCAGAGGAGAATGACTAATCAAATTGGAGACAAGTTACTTTGGTAAACGCTGTATAATGTCCACCGCCCATGCCGCCGTAATGGTTACTTATAGCATACAGCCTGTAGCGATGGCAAACCCCATCGTTATTCTGGATTACATAGTCAGAGAGGTCAAAGTCTTCGACTGGGAAATCAACAAAGCTTTCCAACTTGTTCTTCAAGAATCTGGTGTATGAAAATCTCTTTAAATGAATGACCAGGATCTTCGGTAACCTCCATAGATCCAGCTTTTTGCTGGCCTGCCTACGCTCCTTGCATTTTGGGCAATACCTATAACAAATTTCCAATGCAATTTCATTAGCCGACTGAATAAACACAAGTGCACCTATAGATATACAAATAATACTGCTTGGATAGATACCACATGTCATCTGGTCCAAGAGGCTCCTCTTTCAGAAATGCATCGACACATTTGTAGAGTGAAATAGAATCCTGATTCCACTTCAATGACAGGGCAGGCTTACAGACTTCGGGCAGCAGGCTAAGGATTGAGGTATCATATCGACGAATCATATTCTCTGGCCAAGTAACAATCACTTTGAGTGGATTATCAGGATATGACATGGGTATAGGTTCATCCATCATCACTTTGGCATTGCCAAACTCCATATAAAACTCAAAATCATGAGAAGTTTCCATATCACTTTCAGTTTCATTAATTGAATTTACAGCTTGATTCAATTGTGTGCCATCCACCACCTCGCCATCTTGGGTGTTATTTTCTTGTGAAGCATCTTCACTCAAGAACTCAGCACCAGCCAACAAAAATGGATTGATGAGTTTACAAAAAAACTCATGCATTTCAGATCCTTGAGAGAAATGAGGCATCCTTGCTACAAGTGGAATGCCGAACCTCCTGTGAAATGTTGAGTGTTTGTGATTGCAGGTAGTTTGGACTTTAGTTAGCTAACATAAATCAAATGTGATCCGTCAAACTTACCTGCCCTCCTGCTGATGCATAAACACGACCAAGGGAGAGTCATCCATGTCTTTTGGCAATCTATACACAACTAGTTGATCATAGTCTCGAATAAGCTCTATAGAATCATCAAGGTCATCCAGAACACGGAGGATTGAATTGTTGTATATCTGCAGATGACCTCATACGTCAAGAGCTGATGTAATCATCTTGCAGTAAGAAATAAATATCATTACAGGCACGAGCAATGTGATGTCCTTTTTTACTGGAACATGATTGTAAGTATGCATGCAATCACTCTCACTCATATGCATCCTTAAATTAGAGGTATTTCCAACAAACAAATGGGAAATAGGAACTAAAATAATTCCCCTTTTAGGAAACTATATTTACCCATAAAACTAGTCAAGGAACAGCCTTTAAAGGCAGTCCAAAAAGATCAACAATGGTATTGGAAGAAATAACAGAGGATAACTGTCATGATGAATAGAAGGTGTTTTCTAAGAAATTACCTCAGCAATTAACAATGTTCCATTATCCCTTAATGAACATGCTGTACCAAGTGCCTCAACAAGATTTTTTAAGGTCCCATTGTCGGGTACTGATATTGTAACAGGATGTGGCAGAGTCGTCCCATCAGTGTTCAACACTGTCAAAGTCATCTTCCGCAGAGTTGAGAAAGGAAGGGGTAACGACAAATACATGAATGGATCAAATGTTACTGAAGACTTCTTGCACACCGGACAAACAAGTGTTGATCGATATTGACCCTACAAGTTAAAGTGCTTAAGGGATTGAAAACTGACTTCATTATGCGACAATTTAAAAATAGATAAATAACTGCAATATCACATGAAAAATACCTGACATAAATCAACTATGATTGAATCATTTCGGGACAAATGGTTTGACCAGTATTCATCTGCCACAACCTCATCTGGACGGTCATCATCATCTTTCGCCTGTATGTAAGGTTTACTTTTCACACGATTGAGATCTTCATGGAGCCCATCCAATAAAAAAGAGAGAAATTCCTACAAAAGCAGCTTGTAAAATAATTGGAGAAGATCCCATCCTGCAGATATCACTTAAAACAGCACCAAAAGCGACGACAGATTCACATACTTGGGAATCATGCTGGTTGTAACCACTAAATTGGGGAGAATACTTAGAGATGGTTGACTTGAATATCCTTGGAGATACTGTTGCCGCCCCTGGAGCCCACAACTTCCTTAGTAAGTCCCCAAATACTATAGCAAGCTTGCCCTGTTACAATAATAAGTTATGACAGCGTCATAAAAAATGAAAAATGAAAGGTTATGAAAAGGGTGCAAGCACTATGAAAAACTATGTAAGAAGGCTTGTATGAGAAGAAAATGAGAAGAAAAAAAGGCGACTTATTCTGCCAAAGAAATCTCATTCATTACTTAAGAAGTCAAAATTGCATTGCACAAAAATACATACGTTCATGCCCAGTGGATTTTCAAAGTTGAGATCTTTCCGGAAGTTTCCTAGGAAATAATCAACAAGCTTAGGCGTATGCGCCAAGCACTGGATAGCACTGTTCATGAAACAAGTATTTCCAAGATTATACAATCCAGTCAAGCCCAAAGCCCCGGTGACTGAAAATACACTACCAACTCTAGAGGAAGAGTGCACTTTATCAACAGTCCCATTCCTTCTAAGTGACGAACTAGATGAGGGACCATCAGCCATAGACTGATCAACCATCATATCTGTTTTCCTCCATTCACTGTCCATGATGGTACGCAGTGAGTCATAAACTTGCAACTCCAAGAGAACCTGGCAAGTAATTATAAACATTAATAGCTGTTAGACTATTAAAGGTGAACAACAAAGACTATAATCTAATGGCATGGCATAACACATATTTTGAACACCAATATGTTAATATAATAGAGGCATCCAATGAATTCTAGAATCATCTAAAAGCATGGCTTGATAAAACTAAGATCAACTAGGCAAGAGCTGCTGAGGCATGACAATAGAAAGTGGAAGTGTTTTACTGCAGCTAACTCGGAGCTTTTAAGTGGAGGGAACAGATCACAGATGCACCAACTATAAAGGGAAAAGCGAGCATACCAAATTGCCTTTTCATTTTCAGATAACATCCATAAGCTCTTGAGTAATATTATAAAGATTTGAAATTAAGACCTTGTGCCACCGGTGGGTCATAGCCTGATGGTACAAGACCCCTTGATATAATCAACATGCCCTAGAAACCCTTTGCAGGAACCAAATATGCTGAACAGAGTTTTCTGTTTGAAGATAATATAGGCCTATAGGGTTTGTACAAAAACTAGTGGGGCTTGATTAGTTTGTTACGATCTTTCATCAATATTATTAATTATATTAGAACGCCTCATTTCCTGGATGATTAGAGAAAGATGATGAGCTTTGTAAAATGTGACTTAACAGGAAGCACAGAGAAGACACTCCACCTTTAACCACAAACTTTTAACATCCAAAGTACCACAACACAGAGAAAAGTATCATTACCTCCTTAACTGATTGCCCCAGACTCACGGATGATCTTTGTTCAATAAAAAATTGATTTGTCTGTCCTGAAAAGTCCCATATTTGCAACTACAAATTGTTAAATTAGCAACCAATGCTCATGAGAAAACCAAAAATGAAATGATAATAACCAGGATTGTTGCTCACCATTTCAGACTTCCTACAGAATATCTGGCAAACTCTGTGGAAAGCTCCAGCTTCATTGTCCTTTAATTTTCAATATACATATTGTCAAATCAAAGAAATCTAGAACTTGGAGGAACTCAAAACTCATCTTATCACCAACTAACTATGAGGGCGTTGTGTATTTTGAGTTGTATCAAATCATTCATGACTGAGAATAAACCGTGGTTATTTCTATTAATTTTAAAGGCGGATTAGTTTTCTTTCAGACAACCATCTCAATATAGTTACGATTATTTAATAAGAAAAAATTGCAGACAATATTCATCAAACTAAACACCTTGTTTTGAATTGATACTCTGGTTCCAGGAAACATGCTTAATATTCTCATATCAATAGCTTTAATAACTGAACCTAGTTTTTACAATTCAATCCAAACCAAGTAACATAAGCGTTTACATATGGCAGTAGGCAATTAAATAAAAACTGTTCAGGTGTTTCACTTCACGAATTCATCACATAGAAATTTATAATCACTTGTACAGTTACCAGTTATTTTTAAACAAAAATGCCAGAAATCAGCTCAGTTCAGAATTTCAAATTTGGTTATGATTTCCAAAGTCTAAATGCAAAATTGCAAGTAGCAGCTAAGTTTAATACAGCCGCAATTTATTCTACAAACAAATTCCGTATAAAAGCAGAACCTTATTGCAGAACTGGAATTTTATTGTAATCAACAATATCAACATGTACAATGGTCAGGAAAACAAAGTTGAGTGCAGAAGGACCTTTCTGATGATCTTTATGACCAATTGATCTATTTCACTTGCAAAAAAAATTCTGATCTGTATAGCGAATGCATCTTGTACACTATCTTCTCTAGGAAATGACGAATCATCTACTACATCCATCCTATCGTAATGCCTGCAGAAAGAAACAAAAAATAAAGAATATGCTTAATTATTAGGCTCTGACACGTTTCCATGGGAAGCATTGAAGCAATGAACTTATTTGAGATGCCATCTTCACAACCGAACAAGAGATGCTATAGCATTACAACCAAAAGATGAACACAAACACTAGTTTTCAGTGGGATTTCTACATAACATTAGCAGTTCAACTATTTAAGATGCAGAAATAACCATTTAGCAGCGCTGAGAAAACCAATGTACTGATATCTACACGCAATTACAAGAACATATTGAGAAATTCAATCAATTTGAGCAATCCAGTGCACTGACCACTTAAGAGCAGTGAAGAACATCCATTCCGACACCAATGCCAAATCCTCAACGCCACCAGAAACCCCTTCTTCTCCGCTAATCAAAGTCTCCCCTTCTCTCCTCATGCCCACCAAAATCTCAGAATCCCCAAACCCCCCAACAACAACCTCCCCGTCGCAATTAACCTCGTCACCGCCATTCATTCGCACAGTCGCGTCATACAGCACACCTTCAACTCCATTCATCCCGTCGACCGCGCCGCCACCGCACACAGCCTCCTTCCACCACCTGCAAATCAAACAAATTAAAATTTTTCAAGAAACCCTAAGCACTAGACGGGGGTGGGTTCTGCGCCGCGCGCCTCACCTGAAGGAAACAAGGTACATCGATTCAACGGGGTCGGTGAACGAAGAGGGTACGAAAGACGGCTCGAAGGGGGTGGAGAGGAAGTCATCGTCGTCGTTGGTGAAAAGTAGGGACTCCATAAAGTGAATAGCTCCGAACAGAAAACGGCGGAGGAGAGGGAATACGAAGTGGGTGGATTTGTCGTATAGGTGCACAAGGGAGGGAGGCAATAGAAGAAGGGCTTTGGCTACAACAGCAGTAATGGTGGGTCGTTTCAGGCTACGGCTCATCTAGAAGAAGAGAGACGAAAAGGGCAATAATATAAAAAAAAAAAAGGAGAACCCTGTCGAGATAGGAAAAGTCATCACTGAAATTATTCAGTTTCACAAAATTCAGCATCCCTCCTCTAGTTTCTTGCCACTCTTTTTAGGGGTTTTCCATTAATTTTCTGTCAAAGACAGATAATATTTTCGATATGCTATGGATGAATAATTGATTTGGGTTTTCACCGTTGAAAAGGGTTTGCCAGTCAGTCGGTGATACCAGAATTTCCTGCTGACCCCATTTGTAGGAAATCAATCTTTTCTATAGAAAAAATTGACCCAATTCTCATTCTTAAAATTAACAAAAATGTCATAAACAACGAGATTAATTACACAAAAGAATTAATTTGTGGCTTAGCAAGAACAGGATCACCACCATATATTATCTCAAACATAAAAAAATAAAAATAAAAATAAAAATAAGATTCCGATCAAAAAAAACATAAAAAAAAGTGTGTTTCTTTATTAATTTCTTAACAATTTCAAAAAATATATAAAAAAAAAAAAAAAAAAAAAAAAAACACAGTATTTATTTGTCTGCCGCCGCTATTGGGGCTTGACTTTGTCTACTAACATTTTGGTGGACTATTAAATAACCATCATCATGTAAAAAGCCCATAATTTGTATGGATGGATTCGGCCTTTTCTAACAGTCCATCATTTGATTCGATTGATTAATGATATCCATCTATGTCGAGTTGTCCAGTGGCTGGTCAGTACGGCCCACTTTAACCCAACCCCAGTATAATAAACCAATCTGTAGTATTTTTATTTATTATTTTTTGAGAAATAAAATAAATACTAAACAATTACGTTAAGGCCATTCGCATCAATCAAATCTAATATGGGTTTCTTCTTTCTCTCTTCTCTTCCACGTCATATTCTCTCTCTGTCACCTCATGGAAGAAACTCATTTCATTTTATACTTTCATCAAAAGAAACTCATTTACACAAATTTTAATTTCTCTTTCCTCCATATTAATAAATTATATATTTTTAAAATAATTTAAATAATAATAATTTTTATCTAATATACATATTTATTAGCATTTATTTATTTAATAATTTAATTTATAAACAATAACAAATATTTATTATTAATGTGATGTGTGAAAATTTAATTTTATAGTACAATTTTTTGTATTTATGTGTCTTTAAAAAATAAAATAAATTATATTGAATAAATTATAAGATAATTAAAAAATTAAATTTTTATTATTAATAATTGATTATATTTAATTAAAATTTTATTTAAAAAATATATCAATATTGGTATCATTTTGTAAAGAATAAAATATAAAAATATAAAAATTATTAATAAATGTTGATGTATTTTTTCAACAAACAAAAAGTAAAATCCGAAAATAGGAAATTATCTTCGAACTTGATTAATTAGTGCATGAGATTAGGAATTTTAAACACTGGTACATAAGAAAATTAACTGAAAATTAAAATGTTAGAAATTTTAAGTGGTGATCCCCGAATCTGACTTTGTTTTTGTCGAAGTTGATTGAAGATGCTTCTCCAAAAAAATCTAAATCCTTAAATATTCTTTGAAGAAAACGCTTAAAATCATCGTCTGGTCGGTTACAGCAACCGCTCAAAAGAAATGTTTTGAAACGTCGCCTGGTCAGTTACAGCGACCGTCTCGCCAACTGCATAACTCAACCGACTAATCTAGCGACTAACTGGTCTTTTGACCAAAAAACTCCTTGGCCGCCCCCACCAAGCGACCAAACTATTATTCACTTAAGTGGGCAATCAATTACCAAACCTTACTTCGCCCGACCTCCGTAGCAGCCGACTTGCAGACTTTCCGACCTATGGACCATCCGATCCGCTAACCAACCGACTTGCCTATCCGACCGCAGACCTTCCGACCTGCCTATCCGACCGAGGACCTACCGACCTGCCTATCCGACCGCATACCTTCTTACCGGACCTACCGACCTGCTGATCCGATCGAGGACCAACCGACCGAGGACCAACCGACCTGAGCGCAAATTTTTTTTCTTTTTCACCTGACTTCGTGTCTAACTTCCTTTAAAATCCTGTTATCCTTATTTTTATTATTATTATTATTTTTTGTATGTAATAATAAATATTTATATAATAAAAATATAATGTATAAAAGATAATTAAAATTAATTTATTTTTTTTTTTTGCATGGGAACACATGGCAATAATACATTTATGTCAGGGTTTTATGGAGTTGCTGCAAAAGCGGCCGGCTCTCCAAGCTGACACTAAAGAAAAATGATTTTTAATTTTTTTTTTTTAATCCGACGTGGTGGGTTTCTCGCCTAATACTCTTTTCAATAAAAAAAATGTTATAGTCACGCTAAACCCCACACGGTTTGCTCATTGGAATTTCCTCTCTACCTGCGCTTATTCATACTTATAAATTATTATATTACTATTATTTTGAACTTAAAAATAATTTCCATATTATATTTAAATATATTTTATTCAAATAATAATTTCTGGAAAAAATATAATCTATTAAATATTCTCTATTGTAAAAGCATACTTTATGGGAAAGATACCGGTTTGGTTAAATTACTTATTTAATTGGAAGCACGCTTAAGTAAAATATAGTTTCGACAGTAATTTATTTATTTTTCATTGAAATAATAAAATATGTTTTGCCAGTTTCCACAGTTGTGTTTCTGGGAAATTTTATATAATATATTTATTTATGTACCATGTAACACAAGTGCAGCAACTACGCATACTGCCGTTTTGCGTTTAATTATTTATGTACATATTTTATAAGCTTGTGTCCACGTCGGAAAACGACGTTCCTACGTGGCATCAGCTCTGCAGGGCCAATTTCCAATTTCTCCGGCGTCATTCGTTATTATTACGACAGTGACCGAACAAAAAAAAAATATATATATCCTTATTTATTTTTAATTTATTTTTAATTATATTCTTAATAAAAATATAATATTATTTTAAAAATAAAATATTATAAAAAAATATATTTAAAAGTAATCAAATACACTATAAATTTTACTTTATATGAAAAAATAAATAAAAATGGGCCATTTATTTTAGGGCCTTGGATGTGGGCCCAAGTGGCCGTGACCAAGGCCGACCCTGATAGTGAATGTGTTTCTTTCTGGTCGTGATCGTGGTCCCGAGGTCCCAGAACCTCCTGAGAGAGAATGGGTCATGTAGGCATCTGCTGCTTCCATGAAAGTTTCTGAGACAGGTCAGCACCAGAACCCACCGACATTGTTGTCCCACTTCTCTCCTCTATAAATTAAAAAAGTGGGAGCATCCAATTCGTTCATTCCGTCCATTACTACAATCAATTATTTAAAAACACCTTCCTCCGATCATCACTGCATCCTGTCCGATCGACCTGTACTGCAATATATATATATATGTAATAACGGAGCCATTAATGGAGTTAGTAGAATCAGGGAAAGCTTTTTCAGACAAAACCCTGGAGATCAAGAACAAGAAGAACATCGAATCCTGCGACAATAATGATTTCCAGATTCCGACCAGAGGCGCCATCAAACGGCGGATCTTCGCCGAGCTCCTCCGCTTCCTATTTCACCGCTTTTATTAGTTTCTTCAGACCGGACCGGACCGGACCAACCAACTGTATATATATATATATGTATATATTCTCTAGAACTTAGGCTGTCGGAAAACTAGCAACGACGACGTATATGCAACATGGAATGGATCAACGATAATAAGTAGCCGTTATGCACCGGCTGTTCTATGCCGTGTGTATCTATATATATATATGTGCATATATTATATAGGAGTTGATTTATTCATGAAAAAAAAAAAAAAACTTTGTTTTAATAATTGTAATTATTTTGTAGGCTTACACAAGAACAACAATCACGTCAACACACGTCTCTATTTTTTTATATGGAATGTTTGATTAGATTATCGTTTTTAGATTTTATTCATTTATAGTTATTTGTTGGGATATTTGAAGGGGTAACCCTGATGCTTATTTATTTTGTTACAATAAGGCTTGGACAACATGCCTATAATATTAATAACTAATGTACAAAGTAACATATAAAATTAATTTGATTATTAATTTAAAAGTGACAACCAATCAAAAGTGTTTTTTCATACGGTTTTGTTTCATTTTCTCTTGGTGTTCTATTTATATATATATATATATATTAACTAAAAAGTATAAAACAAAATATGTTTTTTATTTAGTACAGTACTATATAAATCTAAAAATACGTATATTTAAAACATTACTTTACATACTTTTGACCATGGTGATGGTCACCTAAAAATATAATGTATCTATTTGAAAAGCATTTCAACGCTATCTGCTAAAGTCAATGGTGCTAACAATATAATATAAGTAGTCAAATCTTGTAGATCAAGCGGTAAGACATCATTCGCTTGATGGTTAGGTCGAGGTTTGATTCTGGATAGGTGCGGATGTGCTTGTTTTTTTTTTAAAAAAAGTAAATACTTTTATATATTACATTGAATTATCATATATTTATCTCACATTTTTCAATTCAAAAAAAACCACACAAACAAACACAACCTTAACCTTCATAAAGGTCAAGCGATTGGACAATCGAATAATGTGGGCTCAAGTGGGCCTTCCTAAATTGGGCTCATATAGAACTAAGGAAGAGCAAATTGACTTAATGGGCCAGGCTAATAAAAGCAGTATGAATTAAATTCAATGATTAGATCCAAAATGTTAAGAAAAGTCCAAAAGCTGAGATTATTATTTCAAAAAATAAATTTAAATTAAAAAAATTGGTTGGTATTTTGGAATTCTTGCACATGTCCTCTACTCAACCATCGTTTTCAAAACCTAAGACAGGACCAGCAGCAATCACTACAAATTGGTGGATCAGGGCTAATAAATTAAACTGAATAGATTTAAAAACACCAAAACAATTTTAATTCTATTGCTTAAAAAAATCATAATACGAATATGAATGGCGATAAAAACAGTGTGGAATCGTCGTCGTCATCGCCTGGAAAGCATCCAAAATAGACCACTAACTAAACTGAAATAAAAATTAAAATTAAAATAAAAATTAAAAAGAAAAGGAGAAGGGCCCGCCTCTTACTTAGTCTCCCTCCATGGAAGCTGCTGTGGTGTGCTGACCAGAATCATCAATGGCAGGCAGCACAGCCGAGCAACACCATGATGAGCATTAATGAAATAGATGGCCCATGCCATCAAAATCAATCAAGCTCATGCTCATGCCCACTCAATTTGAAAGGCTCTAATTTAAAGAAACCATACTAAGAACACTCTGCCAATCTGTAAAGGAACCAAATTGGGTGCTCTGGTCTGGTCCTTCTATTGCACTTAAATTAATTGCAGAAGCAAGCTCTGTTGTTCTATTGCGGAATTCACATGGAAGGGGAAGAAGAAGAAGAAGGGTCTGCGTATTTTGCGTATATTCCCAACCATCATTGCAAGCAAGAAAAGATGTCGTTTTTGTGTGTATAATTTTTGCCTTGGTAACCACTCTGTCTGTTTGCTGTGAAATATGATTCTGCACGTGAAATCAATGGCGGATTCTTGCGTCCGTTGGGGATCAAATAATAAAAAAGAAACATGTCTTGCAGAGATATACATATAGATTGTGTGTGTATTGTGAAATGGAGAAATGGGCCTCTGATCTTGGATGAACAAACCCTAATTAATCTTGATTTTGACATTAAAATCGAGGATGGATTGTTGGTTGGTTGGATCAATGGAGTCAACGTCCTGCTTTGCACGCCGTTCCACTACCACCAAACACACCACAGAAAACAGTTCACACATTACCCTACCCCCACCCCCACCCCCAGCCCTTTTTGCTGTAGCCCTAGGTTGTTCTCTGCCCTAATTATATGGCGTGAATGTATATAATAATTTTTTATTTAATAATATATATATAAAATATATATATGTGGGTGTACAGATAGAGATACAGAGCATTGCTATTATTGTGATATATCTTGAAAAGGCAGAAAAATAACGGCATATTCCACTATCTTTCCATTCTCTCTCACTTGCTGGTTATTTTGGGGGAAGATTTCTCAAAGCAGCACGTTGGGGAGAGATTTGAATCTCTTCTTGGATTAACAATTCTTGCCCATCCACATTTTTGTAAGGAGTGAGAAAAAACCCCTTGTAGGTGAAGGATTCTGCAGATCTTCGTCGATTTTTTTGTTTTTGTTTTTGTTTTTTTTAACCCCGTTTTTTTCGGGCCTCACTTGCTGTCTAGAATTCGTTATTTCGTCAATCTGCCGACCGAATTGTGTGAGGAAGGCAGGATCTTTGTACCGAAATTTCCCATTCCAAGGGAATTAGGGATGGTGGTGAAAATGATGAGATGGCCATGGCCGCCTCCGATTTCGAAAAAGTATGAAGTGAAAATCACAGTGCAGAGGCTGGAGGGTTTCGATTGGGTGAATGAGGATGCGGAGAAGGATCACGGCGGTCTTGCGGTGGAGATCAGGTGGAAGGGGCCGCCGAGGATTTCTCTGGGCTCGTTCAGGAGGACGGTGAGAAGGAATTTTACGAGGGAGGAGGTTGTGAAAAGGGTTGAAGACGACGGGCGAAACGACGGCGTTTTGGTTGAGTGGGATGAAGAATTTCGTAGCGTCTGCACCCTTTCTGCCTACAAAGATGATGCGTTTCATCCTTGGGAGATCAGTTTCACCGTTTTCCATGTGAGTTCTTTTCTTGTTTCTTCAAGATCTAATTCTTGTCAAATTTTTGTAATGTATTTCTGGGTTTCTGTTTCTCCTTCTGTGATTCGATTTTGATTTTTGAGAAATTGATCTGTTGCCATTTACACACCATACTCTCCTTGAAGATTTACACCAAACAGAAAAGTTATCAAAAAGATTGTTTGACTATTATCTTATCATCTTTTGGGAACGAAATTATTTGCCTAAATTAATTTAAAGCATAATATAGTGTGTTCATATTTGGGTCTTGAATGTAAACATGGTTTCCTGTGTTATTTCTGTTTCAAACTGTAAACAGAGTGGAGGAATTCCTTAGCTGATCCTTCAAGTCATTGACAACCAAAATTTGTAGCTGCTGATCAATGCTTTTTGATTATGTACATGTTCGAGATTAGGATTTTCGGTTGTCTCTTTCTTGAGTGGTTAAAAGTGCTTCTTGTAGTGTTATACCCAGACTAACAGAGCCTTTTCTGTTGTTTAATGGATGATACACATTTGGGGAACTTAGAAATGCACGATGATACTTATAATTCAGTAGATGGGGAAGATACTTCTTGACTGGATCTTTTTGTTAGATGGGTATTTTGTGTTTGTGTAATTGTGCGCATTTTGTTCATTTCTGTGTTTGCTTTATAAAGTCTGTCGATCAAGAGCGGTTTGTTATGTACTGAAAAGGCTGAGAAAACAACCAAATTACAAAATAACTTTCTCATAAGTCAACTATGACATCGCCACTTTGATGATTGTTTGTCGTATCGTATCTCCGCCGTTGTATATTTGCCATCTGGAATTGGAAATTCGATAGTCGTTAACTATAAATAGATTACAATCACGGAAAATGGATAGTCACTAATTTCGCAGATCCTCTTCTTTATAGAAATGAAACATCACCCTGTTATTATTAGTGAATTTTTCTGTGGATTTGGCCACACATTTCTTTGTACCTTTAGTCCTTGTTATTGTAAAGAAATGTCTAATTATATATATATATATATATTCTTATTGAGTGTGATAGAGAATTGAAGCAATTGAGCCTTTAACAGGGGTTGACACAGGGTGCAAAGAACAAGAATTCAATACTTGGTTCAGCAGCCTTGAACCTTGCTGAATATGCTTCCAATGCTGATGAGCAGGCGATCGAAGTCAAGATTCCTCTATCAGTTTCCGACACTGCGATTGAGCGCCGCCCCTCACTCTGTGTAAGATATCTTCATTTAAAAACTGTTTATTTCTGTAGCTTGTCGTAGTGTTTTTTCCTTAATTCTCAAAATAATTCCCGACTAAAAGTCTATCTGTGTGTGTATATATATATATATTGTAGATATCTCTTGGCTTGGTTGAACTCAGGGGAGTGCAACCGCCTACTGAGTTGGTCCAAAGTCCGATAGTCCCTGCTTCATCCCCTCCAGTATCTGTGGAAACTCCTTCTACAGAGAAAGACGAGGTTTCTGCCATCAAAGCTGGTCTAAGGAAGGTGAAGATACTCACTGAGTACGTATCGACTAGAAGGTCCAGAAAACCCAGCCATGAAGAGGAGGGGAGTGAGGGCAGGTACTCTTCGAAAAGCGAGGGTGATGATTATGCTTTCCCCTCCGATACAGACTCCATGGATGAATTTGAGGGAGGAGTCTCCGATGAAGCCAAAGAGAATTCTGCTGTTAGGAAATCATTTAGTTACGGGACACTGGCTAATGCTAATTATGCAGGTGTTTTGAGTGCCGGTATCAATGAAGAGGATGGAGACTTGATCTACTACAGCAACCGTAGGTCGGATGCCGCATCCTCTCACGTGTCTATCGCTGTTCCTACGCCTGCCGAGCAACCACTTGTGCGGAATTCTAAACTCAGTATTTTGCCTTGGAGAAAGAGGAAGCTGAGTTTCAGAGCTTCGAAAGCTAAAGGCGAGCCGTTGCTTAAAAAGGCGTACGGCGAAGAAGGTGGAGACGATATAGATTTTGATCGCCGGCAGCTCAGCTCTGATGAATCTCTGTTTTCCGGGGTAAGAGAATTTGTTCGTTTTTTTTCCTTTTCGTTAAAATATTGAATCAGTGAACATCAACTAAAAGATTCTCATTCATATTGCAGCAGCATAAGAGTGACCAGGACTCAAATGCGAATCGAACCTCAGTTTCCGACTTTGGCGATGACAGCTTTGCCGTGGGCACTTGGGAGCAGAAAGAAATAACAAGTCGGGATGGACACATGAAGATGCAGACGCAGGTGTTTTTCGCTTCCATTGATCAACGAAGCGAGCGGGCTGCTGGAGAGAGCGCTTGTACAGCTCTTGTCGCAGTTATTGCAGACTGGTTGCAGAACAACCACAATCTCATGCCCATCAAATCGCAGTTCGATAGTTTGATCCGAGACGGTTCTTTGGAGTGGAGAAATCTCTGCGAGAACGAAATTTACCAGGAGCGGTTCCCTGACAAGCACTTCGATCTGGAGACCATCCTCCAGGCTAAAGTTCGCGATCTCTCTGTGATTCCCGGGAAGTCGTTTATTGGGTTTTTCCATCCCGAGGGTATGGAAGGTGGAAACTTTGATTTCCTGCACGGTGCAATGTCCTTTGACAATATTTGGGATGAGATTAGCTGTTCTGAGAGCTGTAACAATGGTGAATCCCCTGTTTTCATCGTCAGTTGGAACGATCACTTCTTCGTCCTCAAGGTTGAACCAGATGCTTACTACATAATTGACACATTGGGGGAGCGACTGCACGAAGGATGCAATCAGGCCTACATACTAAAATTCGACAAGGACACGGTTATCCACAACATCCCAAGCTCTACCCAATCTTCCGAAGAAAAATCTAGTGCCAATCCGGCAGCAGTTGAGGCTCGGGATTTGGGTATGCCGGCAACAAACTCCGGCGAAGTTTCCAAGGAGTTGGCGTTGGTACCTCAATCTGAGGAGCCAGCGGCGACTGAAAATGTCGAGGAGGTTGTCTGTAGGGGTAAAGAGTCTTGCAAAGAGTATATGAAGAGTTTCTTGGCGGCAATACCGATCAGAGAACTGCAGGCGGATATCAAGAAAGGTTTGGCAATGTCGACGCCTCTTCACCACCGGCTTCAGATTGAGTTTCACTTTACAGAGCTGCAGCAGCGACCGGCATCTTCTGCAACTCCGGCGACTGCGCCGCAGGTCATTATCTAAAGAGATTAACTAGTAACTGTGCAGTACTAACGACATTACAACACCAGAATTCGGGTTTTATCTCAAGAAATCAAAGCTGTAGTCTGTCGATTAAAAATCTGTGTCGACTTCATTTTCGCCCTTTAGATGCCTAGGATTAGAGGTGTATTGAGGTTAATAATCTTCCCGGAGTTCTGTCAGTCAATATTATCCTTCAAGAATACTCTGTCTCTCTTTTGGATAACTGAGAATTGTCTATCAACAAGTTTGGGTACTTACTGATTACAACGTACATTTTTGCAATATTTTCTTTTGGCATCCAGTTATGATTTGCTGCAGAGGTTATGGAATGGTCATGTGATGGATAGATTCTTTTCTTCTTCTGCTGGATTTTTTTTCCTTCTTTCTCGTGAGTGATAGGCCAACTAAATGATCCCAGCATGGAAATACTTTTTCTTATTTATGGAAGAAGCATCAAGGAAAACAGACCAACAAAGGATTCAGTGATATTGTCTGAGAAATATAACATGAGTAGAGCATCAAAGCAACAGTACAAGGTCTGACAAGTTCACGAGTCTTGTTGCCAAAGATATAAATAGGACATCAAGTAGAAGCTGTTACTCCATGGAAGTACCTACACAACCGAGGGATCCTGTACAATATAGCAGGAGGTGGGGTGGGGGGTGGGGTCGGTCATTTAAGCATCAGCCACATTCTCCTCTGCTATAAACCCGATGCTGAAGTCGAAAGTAATGCAGGTTAATTGCTTCTTTCCATTCATCATTTTCATTTTTAGAGAGTAGGAACCCTGTGGACATTAGTTCCCAAGAAAATTGTTACATTCGCATAAATGTTGTGAGGGTAACTTACTGACAAATATGTAATTGGATGCTCAAATTTATAAATGACTCACAGGTGGTGTTAATCCAGGCAATGCTTGAGCATGAGAAACTAGAAAGTCGCCAATGGAAACAGGGCATGACGTCTCTTTACATAGATCGTGTTCTTCAGTGTAAATGTGAAATCCAAAGTATGAAACTTCAATTACAAGCTTCCCGCTGGAGATTGGTTCAGCTGCATTGAGATTATTAAGAGTGAGCCAGGGACATTGTGGATGATGCCACAGCATCTGGTTAATTTCATAAATAAATAGCAAATAAAATTTCCTAAAGGTTATTGTTTTCAAAGAATGGTGAAATTCCATGTATTGGATATATATTGTTCCATAAAACATTCTAGTATGAACTGCAAGTGTATCCAAAAGTAAATGTTAGTAATAACCATGCTCCTGCATTGGAGACATTTGTGATGTTACCATCATGAACCATTATAAAGAGTAGATCATTGGTTTCCGTTAATGAGGTGACGCGCAATATCTTGTTCTTTCACCTAAACAGTGGATACTCTCAACCCCAACTAACCAAGCTGCAGAAAGGGATGGATACACCTCATTCAAGCAATAAATATCTTATACGATATTATGCATAAATATCTTGCTGATTGAATCACCGTGAAATTGCTTTACAGTACGAATAATAGGTAAGACTATAAATATCTAAACTAATTTGTCCAGCAATTCAAATACTTATCTGCGATTCAATTGGTAATGTATCCATCTTCCTAGTGTAGGGGACAATATACATGTAACTCAATAATTAAGGTACTTTTAGGAGGAGAAAAGTAACAAAAAATGGAGAACCCATTATTACAACAGAGGCACTAAGTAATAATCAGAATGTAAATGTTAGCAAAAACTTGCAGCTCCAGAAGATGATATTATATCGCAGTAGATTATGGAACTCAGACAAACTCATGAAATATAAGAAGTGATATTGACCTGTAGATGCAGCCATTTGAAAGGTAGTATTAACTCCTCTGGAAATAGGATAAGGGTCTATCTGGAGATCATTGATCTTCACCGCATAGTTAGCCTTCTTGTCTGCAATTTAGCCAAAGAAGAAAATAACCAAATCAGAAGACTCAACTATCCCTGAAACAAATATAAAGCATGGATAATTCGTAAATGACACTAGTTTTTGCTCTACTACATTGGAAATTAGAATATTCACAAACAATGATTTAAGAAAAATTATTCATATTTTCAGGAAGGACAACGTATAGGCGGTCAATTCCGTGAAGTTTATACAACTCATCCTAAACAATTGTCATACGATCCTCTACACAGCTATTTTATTCAAGTCAAGTAACCACGATCAAAGTATTTACCAACAGCCTAATACCAAGGTAAGAATAATAAAGTACAATGAACCGCCATGGACAACGATCCTCCAGAAATAATGCCGCAACTCAAGCATATTATCAGAAATTTCGCATAAGCAGGAAATCAAAGCAACAGACATTCCGATTCTCCTCACCATAGTAGAAAAACACCACAGGATAGTAGAAGAACACAAATCACAAAAAAAAAAAAACGCTAATATAAATCAAGCAATCAAAACCACTGGATCCAATCAGAAAGACTTTGGGAGACCCTGGTAACACACCGCAGTAGCGAACATCCTTGGAGTCCGCGGAGGTCAAAGGCACAAGCAGACACAGCACGAAGACGAGACCACCGAAAAGCTTCATTTGCACCATGATTACAGCTGAAAACGTACAGATTCTTCAGAGAGAAACGATAGATTTGAGGCACTTTTACAATGACGGATCGATAAATTCAGTAGTCTCACCGACTTCACAGCCACTAGAAAATTTGATAAAGATTCTTTTCTTGAGTAAAAAGTCACTATTGAGCCTCAAGGCTCTGGCCCAATTGTTTAAAATCGTTTTACAGCCGAATAATGTTTTAAGGCCCCAAAGGCCCATTTTTCGTACTGGCCCATTTCGGCCCATAAATGATATACTAAATTACTAATTCCCGATAAAAATGAGTGAAAGCTGCCTGTCGCTTTCTATGGCGGACGGTATAAGTAATGAATAAGAACGCGAACTGAACTGTTGTACAGTAGAGAGGACTGCGGCTAATTCATGGAAGCCCTGCTACGATTCTTCCACTGGTCTTAATTGTGAAGATTTCTTCGGTGGCGCGGCGTCATCAGGTTCGCTGTCTGTTTTGATTTTTCTTTGAATTACCACTGCTTGTACGAGTGCCGGAGTCTGCGTGCATATCGTCTTGACGCGGTATGCGTTTCTACTCGACTTGATTACATGAGTTTTATTGGAGGGGAAAGTGATTGTACAAATTGGTGTTTTGTGAGCTTAGAGCGATTTTCCTTATTGCTGTGATGAAAAAGTTCTATTCGTTGAGTATGGTTCCGTGCCATCCAGATCCGTTTTTCCGAAGATCGTGACATTAAAAATTGTTATCTAAAGTAATTGAATTTGTTATGTTAGGAGAACGCGACAAGCAAAATTTATAATTCAGTAGTTAGTCGGATCACAGTATTTGTTATATCTTGCCTGGGAAAATATAGTCAATTCAGGATTGTGGAAATTGTCTAGTGAGTGCAAGATATTGGTCTTCTGCCTGAATCTATATACAGTTCATCGTTGAACTTGAATTAAATGGCATCAGTTGGGGAGGCTTTCATAATTCTTCAACTATAGAATTATGTAGAATTATGCTCCTCCCTTTCCTTTGTTTCTTCATCCTTTTATGAACCAATGGAAACTGCAAGATTGCAGTGGTTTTATCAATATAGACAGAGTTATTATTTAGTTTCACTTCCTAACATGGTGAAGTAGAGGACTTAATCTAGTGCCCATGGTCTGATTCACAGCTCATCTTGCGCAGATAAAAGTAATGGTGAAGCCAAAACAGAGACATTTTCGCGGTGCTCCTGGAAAGAAGCAGCGAACTGAACCACCCTATGAAGAAGATTGGTTGGTAGTCAAGAAGCAAAGAATCACCATTTTAATCCCGCCATTGCCTGGTAAGGTGTTGCAGTCTGCCGGAGAGATGCATCTGCAAGAAATACCAAGAGAAACCAAGTCCCACTTGCCTAGAGAAACCAACTCCAAGGGGGAGTCTCCATCAATGCTCTCTGCTTCAATGCAACCGGGTCAAGAATCTGCCAAATCTATCACTTCGTCTCCAGAGGGGGCTATTTGTCCACAAAAGACATCAAATCCCAATTTGACATTCCGAAAGTCATCAAGTATGTGCAATAGGACTGCTTCACGCGATGCTCCACTTCCTAGTTTCAGAGGCTGTAATAATACCATAGGCAGATGCAGCACTTCCAAAACGAACAAGGGAATGATGATATTCGCGGATAGCAGCAATTTCCTGAATTCAAGAATGCGGGCTTCTTGTCTTGACAGAAAACTTCGGAAGGCTGGAGGCTTGGAGAAGTGGCTCATTTCTCTTGGCCTTACCTGTTTTCTACAGGTTTTCAAGATGCGGAGAGTCAACAAATTCCAGCTTGCAAATATTACCATGGAAAAGCTTAAAGACATGGGCACAATTGCCGTTGGCCCGAGAAGAAAGTTGATGCATGCCATCAACTGCATCTGCCAACCCCATTGCTTCCAGCATATGTGAGTGTAGAGTGTTACATTTCTTGAATGCTGATATTCCCCCTACGTGTATATTCTATCATTGTCAAGGTTCCATGTTTTGATGGGGATAATGCTGCATGTTTGGTTTGCTTGCTACTAACTAAACTGTCGCCATCCACACATAATGATCTAACCTAAGCATCTACAAAGGCCAAACAATAAGCTTCAACATTTTAATACTAGTATTCAAAATTTTGTGATTTAAATTCAAATTCAGACAACGTAAAATTATAATATTCAATTTGATTTGATTAGTTTACAGTCCTATTTACAAACCTATTCCCCCATTGTCCATCCATAGCAGAACAAATACAAGCAAACACAAGGGGGATGCAAATACTCTGAGAATATATGAGATCTCCACAAAGGCCACAAGAGAATATGAAAGACCTAACTATACCCCACTTTACTTTACTTACAACCCCATCAAGCAAAATCTCATCATGAGTGATAAAATACAGACAAACGACACAATGTAACAGGTTTTTCGGAGTACTTCAAAGCATTGTAAAAATGTGAAGATGACTGACAGACAAGAAGACCTCAATGTCTCAACCAAGCACAGAAAGACTACATCTAGAACCGGAGCTCTGCTTTCAATACAGTCAAAAAGAAAATTATTAGTGAAAAGATCACCGGAGCATGTAACAGGGTATCTCTTCTATTTGCTAGTTTGATCACCCATCCAGAGTGCCCACACTTGAAATAGTATCGCATTTCTTGTTATGGTGCCAAACAAACATTTTTCTCTTTGATCAGAGCTACTCAAATTTAGTTGTATATTTTCACGGGTTTCTCAAATGTGTGGCGACTCTGCAATTTCCAAATCAACAAGTATGAGAGTATTGATAAGTGTAAGGGATTTGATGACGACAAACAGCTGGATTTGAAGATTTTACCTGGCTTGTGGCGTATGCTCTCTTAGGAGAGGTGTCTGGGTGCTCTAGCCCCAAGTATTGCTCCCAAGCACCATAAACATCTCTTCTCTGGAAGGGAGGGATACAAATGTTCAGTTGACATAAAGAAACTGTGATATTTCAAAAGCCAAATTAGCATAATAATTGGCAATGGTGGGAATAAGTGACCTGAAAACGATTGGTGACAATATCAGAGTCCTCAAGATACTCTGGCCGCCCCAATGACAAGAATGCAAACTTCCACTGCACATTTCAGCAAAGTATTAGAATGAAAACTGCACTTAGCAATTGAAATGCTGATGAAATTACCATGAAGTTTCCGGGAAGAATATACCTTAGAGAATTCCTCATCTGGAACCTGCAATTTCTTCTGAATGCGTGCTTTGACATCTACTAAAGTTTCGCCTTCATGAATGACAAGAAAGAATGGATCACCAAAATTCTGGACTTGCTGCTCAAGCGAAAAATCACAACATTCAATATAGTTAGTTAAATAGTTTCACATATCTTTATAGAATTTCAACCACAGAAGCCAGTTATGTATATGCAGGTGGTACCACTTGATTCTGGGCAGTCTCCTTTGTGAAATGGTAAACATGAATCAGTCGGTCAGTGGGCCCAAGGTTCTTTTCTTCATCTGGAATCTGAAATAGAACAAAATAATATCTATTAATTAATACAATAAAGGATGGAACACTTTGAGGGAAAGGCAACATTCCCAACCACTATCCTACCAATCATGACATTAAATTATCTACAAGAATTCAGTTGTCAGTAACTGCCTAACCACTCTTCAGTAAATATCCAGCATAGAAACCATCCAGTTACAAAACAATATATAAACAATGATCAAATGAAAGGGTACTGACAACTGCATAGAATCATTATGCACAACAAAAATAGAGGATGAAAATAATGGGTTAAGAGCAGGACCTCCTCAGCACGCAGCGTCCAGTACTGGTCATTTATGTTCTCAATCTTCTCGTTAAGAGGAAAAATCTGCAAAATCAAGAATGTATAGTAGAATGCTCAATATATAATAATCTATTCAGAAAATAGTTTTAAGTGAAATCTTAAAAGAGAACTCCTTCATATCAATCAATCATATTACTCAATTCCAGTCAAGCAGAAATAGGATACACCAGGCACAATTTCAACTCCAAGGATCAGGGAAATGTTCAGACTAACCAAGAGGATTTTGCATATATTTTAATCAAGATTCTTCACATACAAGGCATGGTAAAAAACAAAGAAAAATCTCATACATATATTCTGGAGTGGAGAACTTGAATGATTATGGTTCAGAAAGTTCTACAAAAATATAAAGAGCATAAAATAGCTAAGAGAGACCATTACCTTGTAAATCTTGTGATAGAAAACTTCAAGCAGCCTAAGCTCTGCATTTGGATGAGACAACTCTACCTATTTTGAGATGGAAAAGATGTTAGTGATTTTGCATGGATTCTAAAATGTTGATGGTAGATGAGTCACCAGTCCACCACTAAACTTACTAAAAAGGTTAAATAAGAGCAGAAGAAAATAATTTAGGAATCAGAATTTGTAGAGGTTAAAAATCAGTCCCATGCATTTTGACACACTGTTCTACTAAAATAAGATGATGAGCTAACCTTTGATTTGATCTCATTCAGTACTTCTCCAACAGAACTTTGTTTAGGCAGTCTAATATTGAGAATAACAGCCTGTAAAAGTCATCACATATGTGATAATTCACAGAGCATATGTTGGTATGTATAAGAATACCTAGACTATAGCAGTAGTATCAGCACCTCATCCTTTGTCGCATGGTGGAACGCAACTTTAAGTGTCTTGAGACACTGCAGTTCCGGAAGAGGAATGTCCAGCACTTCATAATATAGTATGTCAGAAATCTATCATGACATAAAAAATAAGCCATTAGTCTACTATACTTGATGCAATACCTCCAAGAAAGCTAAAGGCATACAGACAGAATACATGCTGCAAGTACCTGATTGTAGTGGACAAGCATATCTAATAAATGATCAACAGATCTATATTTGATAGGATTGGGCTTTGGTTGCTGGGAATAGCAATTATGTGGTGTGAGCCTAATTTTTGATGGATCGTTCAAGCCAAGGTGCTGGGCAACTCTTTCCACAACATCATCATAAGTGTTATTCTTAGCTCTGCAGAGTTGTGCAAAACATGATAAAAATAACTATATTCCAATAATCCAAAAACAATACAGGCACTGGCATATAGAAGCACTCACAATTCAAGGCAAAATTCATCTTCCTTCGGCCTCTCCAGAGATCGAAAATGAACAATCTGAAAAGAATACATATCCAAACAGAGTTTGAGGAAGATGGTTATGACGTGCAAATAATAGCTTCATGAAGAATTACTTATCTACAGACATATTACAATTGGCCTTAGACACTAGTTGGAAGCTTCCCAAATCCCATGGACAGTAAACAAAGTAAAATGCAATATGCAAAAGAAAAAATTCTCTCAACACATTCCATTTAATGGAGTGAAATGAGATGAAGTATATGTTGTACCTGCAGTTCAGCACAAACATTTCTTGGAAATATATAGAATATGATAACCAACTAAGTATACAGAATGTGCATTACTTAGCATCTAGAAGTGCAAGCAAGTTTGAATCGATTTAGTGGTAAAGAATAACCTGGCGGTTTCTGACATATTCCAAAAATGAAGGAACATCAGGAAATCGGAACTTTGCTACTGTTTCAGGCAAACGTCGTTTCTGGAAGCAAATTATGTCTCCATCCTCGATCTTGGAGCATCAGAAAGTAACAAGTGTTGGAGAGGCAGAATTATTATATAATTATAAAATTACATATTTTCAAAGAAGAGAAACTAATTAACACGACACTACATTAATCTATACAAACACACACAAAAAAAAAGAAGAAAAAAAGCTGAAAATGACACAAAGGAAACAAAGAGACATAAAAGACTAGAGGCACACTCATGAAATCTAGCAATATATAGATCTATACATATATATATATTTAACTGAAAAGAATCCTATAGACTAATAAAATCAAGTACCTGACTGAATCGAAATGATGCTCTTTTGTCAAGGCGTTCACACATAACAGTGGGTTCAAATTTTATCTCCTGTGGATATGGCAAGCAAGAACTGTATTGAGAATATTATCACTCGCTATGGCATGAGTAAAGCTTTAAAAGTGTAATCTATAAGCAAACCTCAAATAGCTCGATTTCTTCATCAGGACCAAAACCAGCCAATTCATTTAATTCTTTTATATACTCATTTGGCTTTCCACAGTTTTTCACGAAAAGACTCCCAGCATATCTAAAGAAACAGCATAGATGGCAGCACAGATTTAGAGGGAAACATTTAAAATAATAATAATAATTCATTCATTCATTCAAAGAAATGGTAATTACCGCAGTTCTTCTTTCTCAGGATCATACAGCTTAAAGAACAGCAATATGTCATCTTTATTCTTTTCTGGAGGAGGAATTGGATGCAAATCCTGAACATTTAGCACAGAAGAATATAGTTATATCCAAGCAATAAACTTCCACAGTATAATACAAACTAGGCAACATAATCTACTATCTGTTGAGGAATACCGGTCCATATGCCACTTCTAGAAATAACTTCAGCTCTGCTGCGTGAGTTTTATTTGAAGCTTCTCTTAATGCTCCAACCTGCAACACATCACAATTTAGATAATGATCAAACTTAAAGAGAAAAGAAGAGAGTGTACTAATAATATCTAATGATGTATCTCTTGCTCAAATTGTAAGGTTCACTAAACCAGAGGGATTGCTCAGCAAAAATAAACTCAAATAACAAATTATAATAACCATGAAACAATTGAGGCATTAGAGCTATAACAACAGGCAAAAGCTCCCCTTTATAAAAATCCCGTCTTTTACGTTTTTCTTTTATATTCTTTTCACTTATTAATCAACTTTTTTTAACTTTAAATACAGTCTAAAACTTCCCAAGCCAACCGCATTGTCCAGGTCTTGGAAAAAACATAAAAATTGTTCTGAGAGAACTTGTGATTACCAAAGGTTTCTAAAATTCTTTCACCTTTACATTAAGCTGAGATACTGTTCCATGAATAAACATTAATTAACCAACACTATACATCTGAGTGAACTTCTACAGGTTAAGGACTATTATGCTGTCCTCAATTGAGTGTTCTCAGATAACATAACTTCTGTAATTTAATTCAAGAAGTGGAGTTGTATTTACTGTTTGTGCTTCTTCCTGAGGTGTCAATGGTCTATTTGGGCGATATGTATGGTTCTGCCTTTTTGCCCATATCCAATAGCGCTGAAATTGTACTGGTATGCCGAACTCTTTTGCAACATCCTCCTTTAATAATACACAAAGCATTAGTTAGCATTTGCAAGAAGAAATTAATAAATCAATAAAGAGAACACTTCACTTTCTAAACAATTAATGAACAACTATAGCTAACAAGATCAGTAAAATGAATTGCAAAAGAGACTACATAAATAATTCAGTAAAGAATGTTAACTGCTCCTGGGAAGGTTATAGGCTTATGCTGGTACTTGAATCCTGGCAGCCTAATCTGGTAGCACTTATACTCTTCACAAGTGTACTGGTTGTAATCTAACAAGAGAGCTCATTTGATTATTGTTCTACATTTAACAACCCCCCATTTTCCTTTCTTATGATTGCAAAACAAAAGTTCCATTAGTTGCTCCAAGGTTCCATTCTTTGTCTATGCAGGTTAAGACAGTAGCTACATTTGGGAACTGCTCTGAGAAATCTACTAAAATTGATTAGTTTTCTTCTTCTCTCAGGTTATACGGTTCACAGAATATGCTACAGATGATACCCCACATATGCAATCACATGATACAATCAACTGTCCCTCATACGGCTAAAATCTTGTCCAGGGTTAGCTACATTAATCATCCTAAAAAGCGAATCTATGATTCTAAATGTGCAATATGTATCAAATGGAAAGTATGCATCGTACCTTGAAAACATTAAAAGCCACTTGTTTCTGGACACGGAAGTTGCGAACTTTATCATGATCTACAAGATCAAAATAGATATCTTTCCCAATCTGTTCCTTCAAATCCTCATCTCTGGCAATCTGAAAATGTTACACTTGCTTCATCAATAAATATGCTGGAATGCCAAAATCAGCTATACACCACAACACTACTGATAAAAAACCTTGATAATGGTATAAAGGTGGGCCTGTGCTTTGTATCTTCTCTTGTCTTCTTTTTCCTCCTGTTCCTTTTTTAGCCTTGCCTGGAGTAAGCAATATATGTTTGATGAGAAACTTCAAAAAAACACACAAACCACCGAACATTGCTAGATATGTAGTAAAATTACCCTGAGATGATCTGCAATATCCTTCTCATCCACATCACATATTATCTTATCCTTGTCACTTACTCGAATGTACACAAGCATGTAAGCATTCGAGTATTTTGTAAATTTGAAAGGAGTGTTGTTATAGCCAGGATTTGTCTGTGGCAACTGTAAAGTACAAACACTATAAGCACCTAAAGTAATAGGATTGGCAAAGAGGTAAAAAATAAATAAAAACAAGAAAACAGAAATGCTACCTCTTCCTCTCCTCCATACTGTTCCTCTAGGGCCCGCTTGACATCTTCTTTAGTGACTCTCTCATCATCAAACTTGTACCTGAGAAGAAAATAAAATGCAAGGCTACCAATAAATGACACATCAACTAAAATTTTGCACCAAAGATAACAGCAACATGATTAACAACATAAACTTGGTAATTAACAGATGCATTGCTTAAAAAAGAACTAAGTATGCTTCTCAGGATCAAAATGGAACTGGGGAAATCCCATTACAATTAATACTTTGCAAAATTACAAATACATAAGCAAGGGGATATAGAGAGATGCAGCCATACCATTGATCAGAGAGTGTGGGCCTGACGAAAGCATAATAATGTCCGCCATGCACCCCACCACTGTGAACCAAAACACTGTTGGACACAATAACAGGGAAGATATCAGAAGGTTAGGTGATAAGAGTTTATTGAGGTAAAGATTCTCATTTTTACATAAGAAAATTCTTGCCAGTTACAGGATCCACATATAACTTTTGCCACTGGTTATCAATAATATCAATAACAAAAATATTTTACCAAATATATCCTCTGTATCAACAACTCCAAGAAAATTTCCAGTTTTCCACAATAAACTTCACTTAGAAGTTAGAACACAAGCCATGTTTACTGCATGGGATTATTTAATTGTTATGTGCTAACTAATACAGATTAATTAACTCTGTATAGTAACTATGGTCAAAGGGGTTCATTCAAATGGTCAAACCTGTCACATCCATATTTTAAAGTTTTTATTCGCCCCGACAATATTCATTTTTAAGGATTTGATATGCCCCACCCACATTCATCCATAATGGAAACAAAAAATGCACAGAAATTTATTACTATTAAACAACTGACAGATAATTAGGCCTATAAAGATAAGAGGATAAGGAAAAATGCGCAGAAGCTCAATGACCTGTGGAGCATGTAGAGGTTTCGTGTAGTCCTATCTGAATCTGGTGACAAATATTTTCCGTTGTCCCTATCGAGATCAAGCTCCAAAGGAAATTCATATCGATCATTTATCTGCAGGAAGAATCAATTTCACTTGTTTCCCTCGAGGCAGGTCTCAAAAACTTTCAGAAAAAGCACAGAGGAAGCAAACACCCACAAAATTAAATTAAAACCATCAACAGAAATAAGTAAATAACATTTACTATGCAGATAAAAAGTACTAGAGAGTGTTTGAAAGAAAACCGCTTCAAAGTACAGGCAAAGGAGCAGAAGAATGTAGCAAAATGTGAGCAATGTATATTCAGATGGCTGAAAGAGATCCAAAAAACATAAACCAGCCGCCAAAGGACAGATAGGTACTTCTCATAATAGAACCTATGCTATTGCCTAAACAGGGGAATTTCCTTCCCCCCTTATAGTTATCATGTTTGTTTGAAGATAGTTTTGGAGCAGAAAAGAAGTGGCAGCAGCACTTGATCTAAAGAGACTGTGAGCAACAAATTTCATTTCACAACTCTAAGCATGAAGGAAATCAACTTGGTTCCAATAACAAGGTTAGTGCATGCACTCAGTTAACATGGGCTAGTGAATTAATACCAAAAACTGAGAAAGCATTAAATATTATCTCAGTAGGCAATAAGAAACAGATTATTATGGTTAAATTACAAACCTTAACCATCGTCTCCCTTACAAAATCATACTCAAACCGCTTCAACTGAAGCTGGAGAACTGGAGGAAAATCAATAAACAAGACACCCTTCCTCGCATCCTAAGATTGAAAATGCAAGATAAGGAAAGCATCTTCACGTCAATTTGACAGGTCGATCACTTGTGGCAATAATATAAGCAGACAAATATGAAAACCTCATATATACAAACAAATAAAAAAACTCTTCCCTTAAAAAACAATCATAGACACACCAAAAATCTGCATATATATATATATTTATATATATATAAATTTCTCAGTGTTCTGAGGAAAACCAAATAAAAATTGGAAGAAAGCAATCCTTACAAACATGAAATAAATGTCACAGAAATGAAGTATCACTCTGTCAAAAGTTGCACCGAAAAAATTAAGAAAAGGTGAACAATCATTAACCACAAATAGCAGTATCTTGACATGACAAAAAGAGCGACGGTAGTTTAATTTCAGTAAACAGGGAGGATGAATCTGGAGACAATCTCTTTTCAAGCCTGTCAGAGTTGCACAATCTCTTCCAAAGACTCTACAGAATAAACGTATGGAGTTATACTAAGACATCACTGCATATTGTTGCCATCTAAGCCATAAGAAGAATACCACTTGGCAATGTACTTTCTCATGAAATTCAATCAGTGGTTGGTACTCAGCTTTCATTTAACAATCAAACAGATACTTTAATGTTTATCCCAAAACCAAATTCCACACCAACTACTTGGCTTAAAGGTTTTTCTAATTATATCACAAGTTTATTTTACTTGTCAGAAAATAAATTGGAAACCCTCCACCTTAATTTATAATTTTCACATTCAATACAAAACAATCCTGAAAAAGGAATCGAGTTTTCCAACATTGCAGCAAAATAAATTTGGTGCAAAAGCATTAGTCAGTTTCATAAAGTCCAGATTAAGTGAGCACATCTCTCACACTAGGCAAACTAACAACTCATTTTTCTGACACACAGGCAGGAGAGGTTTGAGCAAAAAGATTTCAACCAGCAGAGCAGCCACACTCATAAAATACCCAAGGCTACTATAATTCCTACAATTACTATATTAGTAAAAAATTGTCCAGACTACGACGTGGCATGCCTTGGTCCTCATTGATCTGGTGATTTTGCAAATTCCAAGTAACTTTGCTAAGAATAGAGTATTTTCAAACAAAATCAAGATCGTCATTTAACTCAAATCTGTCTTCAAGCATCTTACACCTGAAGAAAGTTGAGCACATATTAAGGATGTCTAGACTCTAGAGCAACAGACCTGCAAACCATGTTCTTCAGCATGGTATTTATTGTCTCCCTCGAGAGGCTCGACCTCAACATACTTATCAAATGACGCATACACATCCTTGCAGCCTTTCACGTCAAGTTGAAGATCTGGCAAAGAAAGTTTGTTAGTGTAAATTCTAGGAAGTCCAAATCCTGCTAAAACTAAGGGAAGTTTGAGTAACAATGAGCACCATAGAAAGATTCTTTTCTTGTAGACTTAAAATCCACATTGATGCATTCTATGTAATTCATGTGGTGCCCTTCAAACAGCTTTTGTATGGTACCTTCAACAACCGTTCCCTGAACCAGTGAAAAGCTATGATCAACATAACATTTTTGCTATTTGCAATAAAAACAAGACTAGGAGAGGCGTTTGCCATCAAGACACCATCACCTTCATCTTGTCTTCAAGCTTTTCACACAACACTCTGTTTAGTTCTTGCACGTCATGTTGCAGGAAAGAATCATAAGTGTCCCATCCAAATGATTTAGTCAACTCCTTAGTAGCAACACTGGTGTCATGGTATTGAAGCCGAAAATATAAACTCTGTAACGCCAAAGGAATGCTTCCAATGGGATTATCATTTTCTGTTGTTGGCATGTGATACACGGCCTGACATAATAATCCCAAGTGAGATTCCTTCACACTTCTTTAATTGATATACCAAACTGGTTATATTATCCTAACAAGGTAAACAGGAACATAAATGTTACCTTTCTAAAATAAGGAATATGGTACAAAGTTTGGAGCAAAGAGTTCATATAACAAGTTGCTCCCTGGTTCTTAAGCCCAACGTATCCCGTCTCTTTCTTTGAGTCATATGTCCAGTAATCAATGACCTTACGTACAGCAACATCAGCCTCAACAAGGACAGTATCATTCACAAGATAACCTTTGTTAGGGTCATAGAGATCACTAAGAGGCATAAAAGAAGTGAAACCCCAATCACTCTCCCTTTGGTTGAACTGGTGTTGTGTGTCTGTGGAAACAACCAAAGCAAGGTTAGTACAGCAAAAATTAGAGGTCAGGAATAAAATGGTTTGTCAAGTGACTGGCAAGGCAATGAATAATTTTTGTCTATCTTCAATTGTGTTCTCGTCCCCATTTTGGCACTAAGTGAAAAAACGAAAAAGAAGATTTTATTGCACAAACATCACATCCAACATCCAACATCCATTTTCCATTTTCCATTCAAACATATTCAAACCAGAACAATCCAGAAAACAAGTAAACATACTTTTGAATCTTTCACAATCAAATAATTAAAATTTTCATTCAATATTGAATTTTTCATCCACTATCAGAATTATATTATTTTTCAATCATAAATTAAGTACTCCATCCAAAAATTGGGTATCTAGTACAATCAGAAATTTACTTGACTAAACCAAAGGCAAAACACATTTTCAGTAAAATCATAATTACAGAAAGAGATTTATGATAAGACATTTCGAGATATCCATCTACTTTAACCCATGTTAAGGATTAACAAGTATCGAATAATTATTTTCAACTACAGGACCAAATGATAATACTCACTAATGTGGGTGTAGGCTGTTAGGCTATGCCATTAAACCTAGTGACATCCATTGGCCAAGTAAATAAGTTTCGCTCATTTATTTACGGATGCAGCATCATTAATCAGAGCAACAGAAAAGGAAAATGCAAAAAGATTGGAGAGAGAAAATACCTTTCTTGATTGAATATTTGCTATGTATTTGATTAACTATAGCCAAACTGAACTGAGCATATCTACTCCACCCATATGGCAAGGTAGCTGAATCAGCTACGTCTAAATACATTGACAAGTAGTCCACATTATTTCCCTTGGGAAATACAAGCACGCGCCTGCAGAAAAATATGCGATCCACACGTGTAACTATTACTTTTGATGAAAATCGTACGGGGAAAGCGACAAATGAAATAAATAAACAAATATATCTTCTAATAAATAGTAACTAAGCAAGCACAAAATAAATGAGAGGAGATAAAAGCAAATCTATTGTATTTCAAGTACCATTTATATCCGCCAACCATGAAAACTTCAGAATAAACCTTCTTCAAATTCAATCTGGAAAAATTCTCTATATTCCATGTGAACCGAGATGCTTGTGGCTCATCATTTGCCTGGTTTTCTACAGTTCCAGTATTTTCCGCTGGTACCACTGTACAATTGAGAATGCTCTTAAGATGTTATATTGCATATAGCAAAACTCAGAAACTTCAAATGCCTTCATAGATATTAAAAGATAAGATAACCTAATGACAATCATACGCATTAAAAAAAGGAGATCATATACAATAATCTTCCAAGGAAATAAGTATATGCAGTTCTCAATTATGCATCGGTCTGCAAGACAAACAAAAAAACTCCAAGTTGCTAGGAAGAGACGAGCACCTTCCATTGGCTGAGGCCCTTCACCTAGCGGCTGAGCAACCTCGTCTAAGCCGTGTGGAACGAGATTCTCTTCATTATCCTGTTGCTACAGTTCCACAGCAAAGAAAATAACACAATAAGTTTGATCCAGTTAATGCATAAACTTCGCTCACATATCTAATTACTGAATTCATTCGCACGCATTCGAATAACAAGTTCCAAATAAATCAAGTTGAATCGAGCAACTAAGACATCCCCCCCCCCCCCCCCCCCCGAGTTCTCGCAAAACCCTAGCTGATCACTACCACTGAATCCCCACACTCAAGCACGGGCAAACCGATAAACAAGATTCTTAGCCGCAAAAACACAGAAATTAGAAAAACTCCCAACTAGTACAGCTTTGCATGCATCTTCACCGCCACAGACTACAGAAAGAAAATTCAGCATAAACCAAAAAATGGGTAAAACGTAAGAAGGCGTGGAGTTACATCCAACGGCTGAGGAGTCATCATCGTCATGAATGGAGAGATTACAGCCTCTCCGATCGATAAATCACAGAGAAATTAATGCAAGTAGAGAGAACGGAGAGAGCGAGGGAGAGGGAGAGAGACAGAGAGAGTAAGCAGTGGAGAGAGAGAGAGAGAGAGAGAGAGAGAAAGGGTTGGGGAGATGGAAATATGTTTAAGAAGGCTTCCCTGCGACCGTCTGTGGGTTCGTTTTTCGACAGGGATACGTTTGGAAATATTAACAAAGCCAGTGGCTATTTAGACATTGGAACGCACCGAAGCGGATTAGAATCTAGTGCGGTCGGGTGCACGTTCCATCCTCCCAGTGCATCCAATAAGATAGAGACACGTAGGCGTCATGGAGCTCCGTTGGCTATCCGGTAAATTTCAAAAGGGTTTTGGACTTCTAGAATGTGAGAGAAGGGCCGCATCTGACGTAGACGACATTATTTAGCTATCCTTTTTTGGTACATTTTGATTCTTTTTTTATTGCTAATTCTCATTAAATCCTGTTCCTTTCTATTTAAAAGTCTTTTAAAATGGCTTTTATACCGCTGTGTAGCTCTAATCTTCAAAGTAAAAAAAGAATATATATATATATAAATATAATTATAAGTTGTAAAACATATGGAAGGTTCATTAAATACCAAGAAAAAAATCTCTTTGAACTTTCCAAATATTAAACAGTAAGACCGTTGTTCCAGGTCTACGATGAGTTGGCAATGGTAGTAGTTTCCATAAACCATTGATTTTTACAGAGGCGGAAATATCATTATTTCCATATTATATGGAGTATTGTATATGTTGGTAATACATATCCATTGGTATTTTTACACTGCCGTACAGTATGAACGCATACAAACAGTCGAGACGCGACTTCATTTATTATTCTCCTTTATGCACGTAGAGAAGACACGACTCTTCCACTTATTCTCTGGTTGAGAAACACGATTTATGATAGACATGCATGTTACGCACTCATGGCGTTCCCTTGATCGGGGGCTTCACCAAGAGAACTGGGCATTTCGCATGGTGGATGCAGTAATCGCTCACACTTCCCAAAAGTGCCCTGTGTAGATTCAATCAAGAATTAATGGATTTGATTCCGTGATTAATGCTCTAAAATTTAATTCAATGTTGCATAGCGATGAATTGATTCTCGATCACCTCTTGATTTGGCCTAATCCGCGGCTTCCTACAACCAGAAGATCGATGCTCATCTCTTCTACAGCTCGGCAAATCTTGTCCTTTGGATCGCCCTCCAGGATTAGGGTTTTGGCGTTCAACTGTATGAATGGATTGTTTGATCGATGATTAGTAGGGCAATTTAAGAAATTTTGAATGCAAATTACGTTGCTACGTACCGATTTCTCCCTGCAGATTTCGAATGCTCGGGAGAGGATTCTCGCGGCGTTCTGTTCATGATTTTGTTTTGCAGATTCAACTGGAGGTGTAAATTTGAGATGAAGAAAGGAAGTTACAATACAGAGTTAGACTGATCGATCGGAGTCGAACTGAACGAAAGAACAGAAAGAGAAAATTTTAGGTTAACAGATGAACGAACCGTTTACACCGGAGATGGCGTAGCGGGGAAGCGGCTCCATGACGTGGACTACTGTTACAACCCTGGACTCCGCAGCGGCGGCGACCGGTATGCGTTTCAGGATGTAATCAATTGCCCAACGGAGTGCGTGGAAGCTCTCATCGCTGTCATCTATAGCCACCAACGCATTCATCGTTTTCTCGACTTCCGGCGCCGCCATGCCTACCGCCTCCGTGACTGGTACGCCGGTAACAATTCCCTCCATTCGATTAATTTCCTGTCTGTCTATGGGAAATATCACAATTATAATATATTCCAAAAACACCGCTTGTATAAATCTCTATTATCTCTACAGATTTACTTGCCTATATTTGGGAAAGGGACAAATTACCCGGATATGGCGGTGGGGAGGAATACCTTGCTGTCTTGCTCTCCAGTGGATTGAAGGATGATGCTTATTGCATGCAAGACAAGTGTCAAATGTCCTGCCATAACAATCTGAAGCGTGGATCTTCCCGCAACAGAGCAGTAGATGCAAACTTCCTTAATTTTACAGGTTTAGAGGCAGGGCTTCTTCAATTCCTCAATATGGAAGAGATGAGTGCTGTGGAGGCGAGAGAGAGGTTGAACAAGAAGAAAATGAAAGTGTTGGTTCCGATGGACGAGAGTAACGAGAGCTTCTATGCATTGAGATGGGCGATTGACCACTTCTTCACAACCACTACTCAATATGATTCCGCTGCTCTGAAGCCAGAGGAAGAGGATGTCACCGTAACCCTAGTCCATGTCAGGAAACTTTTCCAGCCATTCATCTATCCTGCTGGACCAGGTGCAGCAGGTCCTCTGTTTCTACAATCAAACCAGATGCATATATATCGAATAGCTACTAAAATTTCCAGAACACTGACTCTTAATTTGTTTTTTTTATCAAACGAATTGATGCCTTGGTTGTCCATCGGTAGCTGTATATGCAACTCCATCGGTGGTTGATAGTGTGAGGAAAGCGCAGGAACAGGTTGCTGACGACATACTCTCCCGAGCTCTGCACATCTGCAAAGAACACAAGGTAATAAATAGTTCAATTACATCAGCAACATAAACATTTGTTCATCGAACAAAATGGAAAATGAAGTTACAGTAGCTTATTCTCCTCCAATGGTTTCAGATCAATGCGGAGACGTTAATTCTGGAAGGAGATCCGAAGGGAAAGATCTGCGATGCCGCAGAACAACTGCAAGTCGACTGCGTCGTCCTCGGCAGCCGCGGCCTCGGCGCCATCAAAAGGCAAGCCATTAGCCATTAGCCATAAGCCATTCTTACTGCATGCATTTATTTTTTTCAAAATCGTGGTTTCATGAAATGCGTCTTTAATTTCTTCCAGGGCACTGTTGGGAAGCGTTAGCGACTATTGCGCGCATTACCTCGCTTGCCCTGTCCTCATCGTCAAGCCTCCCGCCAAAGCAGAGCACGACTGACGTGGCTATCCAAGTATGCCCAATACGACATACTATATATATATATATATATATTAGCTAATGTAAATTTTATGTTTGATGTATGTAAACGAAATAAACTGAATAATAAGATTTAAACAAGTAGTTGTTGCAAAGTAAACGATTGAGACTTTTTATCTGTTAATTTAATTATAGAACAGTTACATAACTCATTAATCTCTTGCTAACTACACGTTTTGGGGTCTATGTTTGCTGAGATTTATTAGGGCAGCAAAGTGAGCATCGTGCCCACTTGCGGCTGCCAATCAGCATCATAGGACAAAACTGCTGCATCAATGACAACAGCATCCACTATTATTGAAGAAGAATTAGAAGAAAATATATTAATATTTTAGATATATGCATGTGTATTTATTTAGTTTGATTATTCTCTACTATGTTTTTAGAATTAAATAATGCAATACATTGACTTAAAAATTGTAGTAGTGTGCTGCTTAAGCCACAAAACCAGCTAGGTAGTGTGTCCCATTTCATCACGTTGTTTTCAGTATGACCTCAAATAATTGATACACATATAGTAATCCTAAAACTTTTCAAACATTTGTAAAGTTATTACATGACATCTTGATCAATTTTTATCTTTATATATTATGAAAATGATCTATTATGCTACGCGTAGTTTTCATCACATAATATTTATGTAAACTATTACCTAAATCTTGATCAATTTTATCTTTGTATATAGTACTATATTACAAAAATAATCTAATCTGTTACACATAGTTTTGATCAGGGAATATTGTTAAACCAGTCAAAGGTGAAGAATAGAATTTGTGTATATAAAAATATATATACGTGGTGTGCTATTACATACACCCTCCTATACACCTTTAGGCCATCTTCCTCTGACCTCTTCATCAGCTATGGCAGCCTTGTTCTATTTCTCTAGTTATGGTTGACCTGTTTTAAGGTGGCCATCCTTCAGCTATGGCAGCCAAGTGTTCTGGTCTGCTCTCTGTTTTCATAACTTCATCAGCTTTCTTTTTGCTCCATGTGTGTTATTATTCTACCACACAACTACTGTACAATGTTCCTTCAGGTCCAACCCAAATAGTTCGAGGGAATCGACCCTTTGTCGAATTCTCAAGAATCAATCCTCCTTTGTCTCCTCAACCAAGTCATGCAGTGGTAGTTTCAGCAACTCAGAAAGCAGGCCAAAGTGATGATGATGGCGATGACCCCATATTTGAAGACACGAGCTCTAGTTTAATTGCGGGCTTCCAAGAACCTGCTCGTTTACCATCTTCATCTAGGCAGCAGAAACAAGAGAGATCAATTGGTAATTAATGTAATTGTTTTCTTCTCTTCTGGTCATGTCCAGTTCTTGTTTTCAAGACTGTTTATAGTCTATATTGATGAGCTGCTGAATATTGAAAGTCATTTTCTTGATCAAATGGAGTGTCTTATGGGCTTTTAGAATGCTGGAAACATTCAAGAAACAACTAATCTTACATTTTTTAAGAGGCATGATCATCCCATCAATACATTTATATAACTGATAATGACCCATTATTAACTCATTTTCAACTATACTATAGAACTTAATGAATTGCCATCGATACAGCTTCAGAAAACGACGAGGTATTCCATGATAGAAGCCTCTTCCTGCAAGACTACAGCCAAATGAATCGAAGTTTCAGAATCTACATATACCCCCACAGCAAAGATGACCCCTTTGCCAATGTCCTGCTGCCAGTGGACGACGAGCCTTCCGGAAACTATGCAAGTGAGGCATACTTCAAGGACTCCCTCTTCAGAAGCCATTTTCTCACCATTGATCCTTCAGAAGCAGACCTTTTCTACCTACCGTTTTCCATCGCAAGCTTGAGGAGCGACAGGCGAGTTGGCATTAACAGAATCCAGGATTTCATCAGAAGCTACATTGCCAACATTAGTTCAAAGTACCCCTTCTGGAACCGGACCGGCGGAGCTGATCATTTCTACGTCGCCTGTCATTCCATTGGGCGATCCGCAATGGAGAAAGCAGTGCAAGTTAAGCTGAATGCTATTCAGGTTGTTTGCTCGTCTAGCTATTTTTTGTCCGGCTACATCTCGCATAAAGATGTTTCAATCCCACAGATTTGGCCTCGGAAAGCTCTGTCACCTTCAACAAGCTTGCCTTCACAAAGGTAGCAATGAAATGTAGCAACAATGATCATGCCATCCATTTAACTAAACGTATCTACGTATTAGCTCAATTCCCAGCAATGTTGCAGGAAAAAGCTAGCCTTCTATGCCGGAGCTATGAATTCGCGGGTGCGCGAGTTCTTGGTCAGGACATGGCAAAATGATTCGGATATATCTGTTCATCATTCCCGTCTCAAGACATCATATTCCAAAGCCTTTTTGGAAAGCAAGTTCTGCATTCATGCCAAGGGATTTGAAGTGAACACAGCTCGGATAGGGGATGCTCTGTACTATGGCTGTGTCCCTGTCATCTTAGCAGATCACTATGATCTTCCATATGCTGACATCTTAAACTGGGGCAGTTTTTCAGTGGTTGTCCCTACAGAGGATATTCCAAACTTGAAGGTAATACTTGGAGGGATCCGAGCTGAAGAGTATTTGAGGTTGCAGAGAAATGTGGTGAGAGTGCAGAAGCACTTTCTTTGGCATCGTCGACCTGCTGATTACGATGCGTTTCATATGGTTATGTTTGAGCTATGGCTAAGAAGAGGCCATGTAAGAACCCATGCATTTGATTCATAGTCTTATTGTATATTATATATATTATTTTTTCCAATCATAAATAAATGTTAATTAATACATATGGTTGTAGTCATGTTCAATTTATTCATATTTATAAAGCTCCCCCAAGGCCCAATGGGAATATAATTCAGTAGATATATTTATCTTTGGTAATGCATTTTAATTTTTTTTTTAATTATTATTATTTTCATTCTAACCGACTTTTCGCGCGGCGTGTCGGCATCGGGATCATTCCAAACTCACTGCGTGGCAACGTCGCGTGGCTTTTATTTTTCGGACACGGTTTCGGTGAGTGTATATAAACATTCGGGATGACTCCATGGATTCTTGCAACAAATTCTCGAAGAGGCTGTGAATTAGAGGGAGTCGTGTTAGTAAGGACACCTATTGGCGTCATCTCAAGAGGTATTTTAGTCCTTTGTATTTATCCTGTTCGATTTAGTAATCCATTTTTGGTATTTTTCGTTGTTGAGTTTATGGATTTGCGAATCGAGGAGGGGATCAGCGTCTTGGATCAATGGTCTGGGACTGCTTCATTGGTTGAATCTTTTGTTGATAGCTTGATGAGCAGATTTGCAGTTGCGCTGATCTTTTTGTGTAATTAATTTGGGTGATGATGCGATCTGCTTTTGAAACACATTTTCGCCCTTCTAGCAGCGTTTGTGTGAGGTTCTTCTGATAATGATTTGTAAGTTGTGGTGTTGTGATGTTTGTCTGTTTTATAGTTTTGTAGAATTGAGATAGATTAATTGATTCGGATGATGAAATATTGTTTTCAGATGAAAGGGCCGACTTTCTTTTTTTGGATGTTGAAACTCAATTGTAATTGTAGTTTGCTGTTTGGTGTTGAGAAACTCGGATGATCTTATTTGGAGAAGCATTTAATCGATCTGTCTAAGATATCATTAGGGAAGCCATTGTGTGTTTTTTTTGTGATCCATTACACTGATTGCAGGGAGATATGGACAAGCCTGAAAACATCCATGTTAAAGAAGAGGGACTGGAGAAAGAAAAACTGCATATTAAAGTTGAAGGTGAAACTGAAAAGCCAGATGGAGCAGAAGAAAAGACTAAGGTGGAACTTAAAGTGGAGGCCAAGTCTGTAGCTGAATGCAAGGAAGAAAAACATGAGAAAGATGAAAAGAAATCAAAGGGTGAAAAGGATAAAACTTCCAACAAAAAGGAGCATAAAAAGGGAAAAAGTGATGATGAAGAGAAGGATGAGGGAAAAGATAAGAAGGATAAAAAGTTGAAGAAGGAGAAGAAGAAGAAAGGGAAGTCAGACGAAGAGAAAACTGAAGAAGAGAATGCGAAGGATGAGGGAAAAGATAAAAAAGATAAAAAGAACAAGCAGAAGAAGAAGAAGAAAGAACAGTCGGATGAAGAGAAAACTGAAGAAGAGAATGCAAAGGATGATGGGGAAGATAAGAAGGATAAAAAGAAGAAGGAGAAGAAGAAGAAGAAAGAGAAGTCGGATGAAGAGAAAACTGAAGAAGAGGATGCAAAGGATGATGGAGAAGATAAGAAGGATAAGAAGAAGAAAGAGAAGTCAGACGAAGAGAGAACTGAAAAGGAAAAGGATAAGAAAAAAAATAACAAGAAGGACAAGAAAGATGAAGAGGTGGATGATTCTGAAGGTAAGAAGGGGACTGATGAGGAGAAGGATGGTGATAAGAGGAAGGCCAAGAAAAAGAAGGATAAAGAGAAGGATGAGGAAGCTGGTGACAAAGCTGAAAATAAATCTGAAGGAGAAGCGACTGGAGATGAAAAGGATGAGAAGAAGAAGAAGAAGAAAGACAAGAAGCCGAAGAATGAGGACGACAAAGAAGAGAAGAAACACAAGCACAAGAAATGTAAAGGAAAAGGAAAGGAGTCTGACAAGGAAACAGATGAGGAGAAGAAGAAAGAAAACAAGAGCAAGGATCGAAAGCTTGAAGCCGAGGTTGTCTCTAGGGAGGTCCATGCGGAAGAAAATCAAGAAACATCTGATGTGGAAGATGGGAGTAAACAGGGAAAGAAGGCAGAAGTGTGTGGGGAGAGCAAAGACAAAGACAAAGACAAGAAAAAAATGAAGGATGAGAAGAAACAGAAACTGAAAGAGAAGTATGATGCTAAGGATCTTGCCAAGCTTAAGAATAAGTTAGAGAAGGTCAATGGAAAAATCGAAAAACTTTTTGAGAAAAAGAACGAGCTTTTGAGGCTGATCCAAGAAGCTGGGGATAAGAACCATGGTCATAGTGATGAAGCCAAAGAGGTAGAAGATGATAAAGCTAAAGCCCAAGACAAGGCAGCTGCAGCTGAGATAGCTTAAACACTTGATGCTTCTGAGACAATGTATGTACAATAATTTGTGCCCTGTGTGTAATATGAGTGTTGCTATATTGCATGTGTAATTTTGAATTATTATATCTTTATTGTACTGTTTTCCAGAGGATTATGGTATGCAAGTATCTCCTTATTGTAAATAACAACCAATTATGAATTCAGCTGGCCTCAGGTAGGCTTAATCGAAAGCCCAAATCCGAAAGGGAACAGAGGATCATAATGCTGATCCCCAACGTTCATGGGCAGCTGATCGACGGTCTTGAACCAAGTGTGTGGCAATTTGCCACTGAACCCATAGTTCCCATACAGGACATCAGCAACTCCATGTCCTTCGGTGCCCGGCAGCCAAGCAGCAACAAGTGCATCAATCTGTGGAAGATACGGCTGAATCACGACTGGCCGGCCGGTGATCAGCACCACCACACATCTCACATGTCCACATACATTTGTTATGGTGTTGTAAGAATTCTCTGGCAGTGTCAAGTTCAAGCTGTCCCCATTCCCTTCTGCATACGGTGATTCGCCCACGACAACAATGGCGTAAGATGGTTTGGTGGAGTTCAAGTATTCAGGACTTGGTTCTTTGTGGTAAACAACTTTGGTATCAGGGGTAACTGTCATCTTTATGCCTTGAAGAATTGTGGTACCTGATTATTGCAAAAAACGATCAGGCAACATTCTTGTCTTCTTGATGCACTGTAAGGAATATATATATATATATATATGTTCATCTGAATTACTGTAATGTACATTACCTATTGTTGTGTTGCCGCTTGCCCCTTGCCAGCCTATAGTCCAGCCACCACACTGGTTGCCAATGTCGTTGGCGTGTGATCCTGCAACGAGTACCTTGAATGCTCTCTTAGGTAGAGGGATCAATGGCTTGTCTGCAGATTGGCCGTTTTTCAGAAGCACCAGGGATTTCCTCACAGCTTCCCGGGCTAGTTGTCTGTGTTCCTGAGGAATTCGAACATGATCAGGTAATAAATTTAGTCACTCTTCTTCTATGTATCCACAATCATATGACTAACCTGGCTCCCTACATAGTTAACCATGCTGTAATCAGCAAAGGGATTCTCAAACAGCCCCATTATGAACTTAACTCGCAGAATTCTCTTCACTGCATCGTCAATCCGGCTCATGGGAATGAAGTTTCTCCTCACCAAGGATGTTAGTCCATCAATGAATTCTACGTAGTTGTCTGGAATCATGACCTGGAATCAAGCATCGATGGATGAGTTCAAACTAATGAATCTAGCAGAGTCCTTCAAGGCTAAAACTAACCATGTCGATGCCAGCTCCAACTCCGGCTAGAATTGAGTACGTATAGTTAGCATTCATAGGAGAAGTTATTTGATCGATACCCTTGTAGTCTGAGATGACAAATCCCTGATGACACCAAATAATTTCAGGTACTGTTAGCTGCTGTATCTAAACCAAAAGATCAAAGATTTCAACTAAAGGCAATGGATCTATCTGTACTCTGAAGCGCAGCTTCTTCTTAAGAAAATCGGTGATGAGTTCGCGATGGGCATGCATCTTCACTCCATTGTAGCTCGAATACGAGACCATGACAGTGGCGACGCCCTTGATGATGGACACGTCGTAGGGAGGCATATGGATGCTAAGCAATCCGTGGAAGCTTGTGACAGTGTTGTTCGCATTGATGCCCCTAGTCGTGCCTCCATCGCCGACATAGTGTTTCGCGCATGCTGCAACCTTGTCTCTGCACCAAACTTATCTAATCTAACTAATGAAGCAGACAGAGATCAGAAGTAGTTTGAAGATGAACACGTACTTTCCAACGGCGACATATGGAACACCCTTCGGAGAGTTGGGTGGAATATCTCCTTGCAGCCCTGGTATGAGCTCGGTCATTTCTTTCACGACGCTGGTGTCCTCGCTGTAGCTCTCGTAACACCTTCCCCACCTCGGATCGCGGCAGACCTGCCAAAACATTTGATCAACGGAATGTTCTTGTGTTTGTTCTTGTGAGAAAGAAGGATGTTATTACAGCAATGCAAGGTGCAAAGGTGTAAGGAATCCCCGTTGCCCTGAGTTCAAGTGCAGTGGCAGCTCCAATTCTTCTAACCAGCTGAGGATCTCTGTTCAATCAAGGCAAAGCAGAGTTGGACATTACAAGATCAGAACTAAGATCAAATGACAGTTTTAAGGACAGCACTCGCCTTGTGGCCCCGAGGCCGATATTGTGTGGGAACATGGTCGCGCCATAAGCCGTGTTGTGGCCGTGAACGCCGTCAATCCCATAGATCATTGGGATCCCAAGGCGCGTCGACAAGGATGCATTTTGGAAGGCATTCACCATATCCACCCATTGCTTGGGAGAAGCTTTCGGCGCCGGAGCACTGCCCCCGCCGCTCAACACACTCCCTGGTTTCGACAAGAGCTTCATCAATGTGCATCAAGACAACACAATTAATCGTCAACAAACAATCAGGCTAATGCAGACCTATATGATACTTCCGCAGGACCTCAGCAGACGCCGCAGCTCGCTCGATTTGCACCATTTGGCCAATCTTCTCCGCCAGTGTCATCCTTCTCATCAGGTCCTGGATTCTAAGATTCATTGGCCTTTCAGGGTTCTTGTATGCATAGTTGTCTGTATCTGATTTGGCTCCCAGAAAACATAATACCACAATCCCCAGCAGTAATAATCTATGCTGTCTCTCCATTATCATTTGATCTCAATGAACATTGTTGTCATATATATATAGAGAGAGTCCTGATGAGTAAGAGACAACAGAAGTTCTTACAAGCTTCATCAGGAAGGCATAGAACTCCATAAGTGGTAATAAAAAAGCAACAGAAGACTAAGGATAAGCCAACAAGCAAAGCATGCCTTCCATGATAGTCACTCACCAAGTGGAAGTCCCACTTCAGAGTTAGAGACAAATAAATCACAATCATTTCAGAAGAGAAAGGATTCTATCTATTCAAAGTGGATCTAACCACCACATGAGAGTGGTGAGTACAACCAAAAAACGAAGTGCAGATTCAATCATAATCGACAAAACAAAGCTTATGAAGATGATGAGCTTCTTACCTCATATGAACAAAATGATGCAAGAATTTTCTGAAATGGATAAACGAGGAAGACATGTAATGAATGCTGTATAGGAATAAGGAATGGAACTTACAGTGATGACAAAACCTATCAGCAGCAGCCGGTGGCGTGGCAGAGAACAGTGTCGGCTTGAAGGAGTTGATATACAGAGATGGGAAAGATTGTGAGAATTTTCCTTACAGTGGAAGAAGGGTGTTTGTCGCAATCACATGTTTGGTGTTCTGTTTTGATTCGTACACAATCCACTCCTTCTGAAACCGCGTATATTATATGTCCTGGAATTAAGCTGGAATTATGCTTGAAATTAACTTGAGTAGGTCATGAATTCGGCCAGATATTCATCCACATTAAATCATCGAATTAAATGTCCAGGTTTGCATTGGTGTATGCATATGAATTCCAAATAAATCAAATTAAATTGAAACCAACAGGCCCTGCCTCTCCTAAGAGCCATGTTACATTCAGCATGTGATGTTTATTGCTGTTTTTGTGGTCCAAATTTGGTTTTATTCATTTGAGCAGATTTCCAAATTAAACCTTAATTTTTAAGCCTTAATTTCGCCGACCTACTAATCAATACAGCACGAGATTTCATCCAAATCTTTTGACCACAGCATGTAATTCCAGAATTACCCATTCATCATAAAATATCAGACAACAGTATTTTATAATAATTTTAGCTACAGCATTCTGTCGGAAAGGGAAGGCAATCGCCGGAAGAAATTCAGCGCAGGCGACGGCATTCTGTCCCTGAAAATTGGATGCCTTAAGTAGTAGAATCCAAACGCCATAGCCACCATCTTGGAAGGGACCAGGTAGAGTATAAGCGCCACCACCAAGCAGAGCCCCACGAACATCCCCGTCGCACGTGGGTCCCGCCACGTGACCACCGCCTGCAGCCGCTCCCCCTGCGTCGCCAAGTCACCCAACACGGTCTGGACCCGAGCTCCCAGCATCCGGAGCTTATCGTATCTGGCCCGGACCGTCTCGTTCGGTCTCCTGCAAGGCATTGAGTCGAATTCCTCGTCCAGCTCGTCCCTGTCGGCGGATTCCGCCAGGGAGAGCTTCCCGTCGAATTGGGGCATCGACGATTTGGGCCGGAGGCGGTAATTCCACGCGCCGACGGCGAAGACGTATAGTGCCAGAGTGGGGATTATCAGATCGGGGAACCAGACGAGCATTATCAGCAGGGCGTGTACGAGGAGCGTCGCTGTCGGATTCTTCCACGACCGGGTGTCGTCCACCCATTTGAAAACGTCGATCGCTCCGGCGATCACGTTGATTATCCTCAGCCAGTTGGCGCGCACCTTGCGCATACTGAACGTGCCGGAATCCGCGTCCAGAATGTACGTAACGACCTCCCGCCGGAGCGGCGGCTCCGCCCGCGACAGGTGGGCGGCGACTATCTTAACCGTCGTCGATCGCAGCGCCTCCTGCTGCAAAACGCCGAGGGGCTTTATGTGGTGCATCGTCGGCAGCAATGGCTGCCAGTACACGTGCAAGAAATCGATCGTGGGAGCCGCACGTGCGAATCGGACTGCCAATTCGATCTCGCCCATCTTCTTCAGCCCCGATTGGGACAGCAGGAGCAGCGGGAAGACATTTCTGTAAGCTTTTCCGATCGCCAGCGTGGATATACGAATCCGTACTTTTCCGATGCGGAAATCAGGGCGCATGGACTCTGCAACGCCGGCGTCCGATTCGAGGGCTTCCCAGCTGTCGAAAACTCCGACGGTGAGTACTGTAGAAGGATCGTAAACTCGCCACGTGTACTGCTCGTTCCATTTGGGGTCCAGGCTGTCGGAAATTGCGCGAGTGCGTACCCATTTGTTGCCGTATTTGGCGACGGCGTAGGCGTCGGTGGAGCCTTTTCCTTCCCAGGTTTTCATCGGCAGCAAATTCTTGCATCCGATGATCCCCAATTCGATTGTTCCGATCGGAGGTTTCCAGAGCTGTCTGGCGGTGGGGCGGTAGTCGCTGCACACGTGAGCTCCTTCGTCCATCACGTGATAACCGCCGTCGAAACAGAGGCGTAAATGGAGCCTACCTTTGTACACCCGTTTCTCCTCGTTGGGATCCTCCAATGTGAACCACCTGGACGCCACGTTCCGGTCGTCGACTCGCCGCTCTATGGACGTCAACGGCGCTCGAGCAATTCCGATAATGAATGGCTCCTTCGGCGGCCGGTTTTCGATTAGGAAGAATACGAGGTTGGTTTCTGTGAATGGCTCGGCGGCGACGAACATCAGGTCTTCACTCCACGACGGATTGCCGGTTCTGGTGAGAACTGGTTTTGTTTTCTGGACCTGGAAGCCCAGCTGGACCTTGATCTGATAGGATGTGTCCTTTAATGGCGTCGACGCGGAGATGTCTTGTGCTTCGATGATTGTTGATCTCAGATACCACAGTTTCGGGGATTGGTACACTTTGGATTTTGAATTCGGAGAAGTTGAGGTTTCAGGTTTCCAGGCGTCGGGGAACGATTCATCGGCTTGGGTGCCGATCCACGTCGCGAGCATGAGGTCTCCGGGGGCTGGACCCCCTTCGAGACGGTACCATTGTGGGGCCAACGGGCTGTCGGGTGGGTCCCGCAAGGGGATCTCGTCTGCGTCGAAGCAAATGCCGCCCAAGAAATCGTGCCTGCTCATGTCGGCGACGGTGACGGCGCCGGCGCCGGCGGGGGTTGGGCTCAATGGGTCCCACACCGAGACTTCGAGTTGGGAGGAGGAATCGGGAGAGTCACGATTGAATGCGAAGGTTTGGTCCCAATCGAAAAATGCGGTTTTCCGAGCTGGCTTTGAGATGACGTGGCTGCCGGAAACGGCTATTTTAACGACTGGGCTTCCGGCGGTCGGGAGGCGGCGAGCTCTCACGACTCGGACGAAGAGATAATGCATTTTCTCGACGAGGTCGAATGTGGACCGTTCGATGGTTGATCTGTCGGATTGATCGGACAAAAAGCTACTCGCTGACGACACGCGGCCGATTGGCTGAGGAGCTGTGATGTTGTTGACCTTAAACCCCGACAATGGCACCGATGCCATTACTTGATCAGGGCTTTGGCTGCTGGTCACCGGCGGCGCCGCCGCCTCTGGTGTTAGATCCACAGGATCGGCCTGGTTTTCAGTTCCGGCCGCCGTCGTATTTTCTTCCGGTTTCGGTTCTTCTTCGCTCGAAGGCTCCGCCGGGGACGAATCTTTCTTTTCGGCTTCAGCAGGAGCTGGCTTCTTCTCCTCCTCCGGCGGCGGCGGCGGTGGCGTCGGGACTACCTCGTCAAGGAAATAAATCTTCAATCCAATCTCGCCCTGGATCCAGCTAAAGACATTCTTTTTCTCCATGGGATAATAAATGAGTGCCTCCTCTCCTTTCTTGACGAACTGCGTGGAATTCAGCCTCAGCCTGCCGAGGAAGTTATTCCTGGTGGTCGGCCCGACATTCTTATCGTGAAGAACATCGAGCTCCAGGACATCGCCGAACACTTCCGACGTCTTGCCGACGTTGAACTCGAGGGTCTCATTCCAGACAGGATTCAGGTCCCGGACGACGGTCCTGGTCTTCTTCCGCTGCCCGTGAAAGTCCAGGATCACGTACGGACTCGAGGTGCCATGACCGTCTTTGGGCACCAGATTTCTTGCATCAATCACCTCCACTACCAGCTTCCGAGCAATCCCCATTTCTAACAAATTAGGGTTTCTCAGTCACGCAGAAATGATTCAATTTTGGACCACCTTCCCGCATTAATTAATTTCCTCGTTAGCTTATCGAGGGAAGAAAAGAAAAGGGGAGGCCTAGACTGAAGCAGAAAGACAAGATATAGCAATGGTCGACATGCATGACAGTAGTGGAATTCATTGCTGGAAGGTTAAAAGTGAGAAAGAAAAAGGGACAAACTTCATGTGCAAGATTGATGTCTTTACGCCATAGTAAGTAAAAAAAGATACACACACTATCGTCTTTACAGACCAGAGATTAGATTCCCTCTCTTCTTTTTTACATTCATTTGGCATCCACTTCCACGATTTCATTAATTAAACTCACTTTTGACAAATTAAAGATGTTCGTAGCCATTGATGATGTATGCTGTCCACAAAATTCTCATTTCCCCACCGACTTACAGCTTCAACACCTCTTCGATCTATTTGCTTTATTACATACCTTTCCTTTCTCGATCCAAGATTTGTATAATTAATTTGTTCCATATATCTCCTGGGTATCAATTCAAGAAATCGATCAACAAATTATTGTCCTGAACCCATTCCGATGTTCTTGATTGATTGTGTTTTCTTGGACTTATCGTCATGCATTCCCACCTAGCTAGTTGTGAATTATTATTTTTTGTATTTAAAAATAAATAAACATACTATAAACCATTTATAAAGCATCTAGATGATCATTTTATGGCTATTGACCCGAGAATTGTTTAAATCATATGGTTCTACTTTTCAAATCTTTATATAACTTATTTCAGTAACAAGGTCGAAGAGATTGAAAGAAAAAGTAATCTCCAATTAACCATTAATGAATGATTTAGTTGGTTTCGAAATTTTTTTGGTTCAAAGATCCTTTGAATGCAGTATATGCCTGAATCAAACGATTTGAATATATTGGCGAAAGAAATTGGATCCGCAGGTAGTCCACATAGCCGTTCTAAATAGCCATGGCCTAAATGATAAGAAATGTATCATTTTTGTTCATTTGATATTATTTATTTTTAAAAAAAATATCACATCAAATATATTTTCTTTTTTTCCACAAAACATCACATCAAATACAAATTTTTTATTTTTTTCAAAATTTTCAAAATTCCAATAGATTCATTAGAGAGCTGATCTTCTTGTAGTTGAGCTTGATCCAATAGATTCATGAAAACAATTAAAGGATTTAATTTGTTTTTGCTTTATGTATCTATTTGGTGTGTGTAAACTATTTTATATTAACGGAAAGGAGTAATAATTCAATAATACTATGCTCATACAATTAAAATTTTGATTATGTGGCTGAGATTATATAAATGGTATAAAACCAGTAAAAATTAGAAAAGAATTTGTAAGTCAATAATAATTAGTATAAGTAAATTAATAATGTTAGCTGATCCTCAAAATTAATAGTTTAGTAGACTAAATTCATTATAAAATCATTAAATAGTTATATTTAACTATTAAATGATAACAACAAAAAATTAGTGATCCATAAAATAAAACCATGAAATACTTACAAGTTAAATGATAAAAAAAAAAAAATTATTAAATTATATACAGAAATCACATACAAAATAGATTTCACATTATTCAAGATAAGATTATTGATATATATATATATATTTCTTAATCTAACACTACAAAAAAATAATGTATTTGTAAAAAAATCCGTCTCTAAAGTTCACGTAGCTAACGTAATTTCATTCCTAATTCCGTCTCTAATGTCATTAGTAACGAAAAAGTAGATTTAGAGAAAAAAAAAATTATTACAAAAATGATATTTTCTTGTAGTGTAAATAAGTGCGATTTATAAGAGCATGATTCAACTCAAATTGGAATCCGATCGACTTTGCATATCAATGTATCTGTTGGCTAACGAACCAATATAATGATAATTATTTATTTACTGTATTTATTATGTGGCATGGCATTGCTTTTTAAGTTAATATATATGGCTAATTAAAATTAAATAAAGAAATATTCTTTGTCGAAGGTGTATGAACAATGTTGTTCATACCTACGTACTTAAATGTACCTACGGACACTAAAAGGATGGTTCCCTTCGTTTGTCTTAGAAGCAATATATTATATTTATGATAGCGATCGATTTATAAATTTTTGTCTTAGACAATTTCAATTTCATATTCTAACATAATATCTAACTAGTAGTACTAATTTGTAGTAATCCAAAAGATAAGAAACATTAAGAAGATATTAATAACTATTGAAATGCCAATAATTAATGTAAGATTAACGAAGATCTTGCAAGGCTGGACTAGTGGAACAACTTCAACTCACCCAAAATTATCCTCCTTAGTTTATTTTATTTTGCTTTTTCTATTTGTTCTCCTTGATTTTCTGCTACATTAAACCCTCATTCAGTACTGTCTAAACAATCAATATACCCACACACACACACACACACATATATATAGATCCAATGCAGAGATTGATTGAGGAAGAGAAGCTTACCAGGTTGTGTAATAATGGGGGCTGTGAAGGAGGGAGGGAGGGAGGGAGTATTCATTCTGCAACGCATGCAATAAGATCCATCGAAGAAGAAGACTAGAAGTTATTATTATGTATTGCTGTCTGGTGGAAACTGAAGCCCCAGGAATGAAGCCTGGTCCGAGATCCATCCATGGTATACATACATATACATATATATATATATATATATTAGGATTGATCTTGGAACAGCCTCCATTTCAAGAGCTTCCTTTCCTTTGGGTGTAATTAAAATTTCCTCTAACATCAGAATCATCAGATCATTATAACGATATATGGAAGAGATTGTTGTGTCTCCTTCTACCCTCGCTCTCTACTGATTGAGTAATGATGATAAGAGACTTCCTCACACCATGTCTACTCTACCTACCTACCCTTCTCTCTCTCTCTCTCTCTCTCTCTCTCTATTTCTATATATTTATAAGAAAAGCTGCACAGCACCACTCATTTCACAATCTTGAACCTAACAATTACATTACACATGGGAATATATATATATATACATAGAGACATGGAGTAGTGGTGCAGGGTGAGGGATGGTAAAAAAAGAAAAGAAAGTTAGCATACCAAACAAGCAATCCAGAAGGACCCATCACGAAGCACATGATTGACAGACAGACAGACAGACAGGTCATTTGATGCGTGAATTTCTGATGAAACCTCTCTCTCTCTCTATATCTCTCTCTCTCTCTCTCTCTTGTGATATCGATCGATGCTGTTGTCTCATTCTCAGGCCCTTTTATTCATGTACTATTTATTTATATGTCATTCTCTCATTCTCTACTGTGAATTGAATGCATTGCATTCAAAGTGGAGTACAACACAATTACACAAAGAATTACACAGAACATAACCCTAATGTGCACTGGAAATTACAAGGAGATGAATGATGATGATGATGATGATGATGATCAGAGAAAATCAAAGGACCTGCACTTTTATATTCCTCTCCTATTTAATTAATTATTTTAAACCATACATGATTCTAGTATAATGTAATTTGAAATTTGCTGTCAAACAAATTAATTGTAGTAAATGATAATACTAATGATAAGGTTAAATATCAAGTAGTCAGATCATCACGTGCACAAAGATGTAGCCCATCTTCCTCCTCAACTTTACTCTGAGCTTCCCTTTCATATATGTATATGTATATATATACACACAAATGGTCCTACCAAATGCCAATTATAATCATAGTTTTTTCACCCATACTGGTTGTTTCTTTTCTTTTTTATTTACCACTGCGGCTGCTGCTTTCACGCCTGATCTGAGTGAGTGCCTTCCACGTTTGATCTTGGGAACTTCATAATTAGCTAGCTATGGTGATCGATATATCTTGTCCTTCATCCCCACCCCACTCCGATCCACTAACTCACAGTCACATTCCATCTTTCACATAAACTTGCTACCTTTCTCCCCATTAACTCAAACAAATGTTACTCTCTATCTACCTATTCTTAGCTCTGCCTGTACTTCATCTTTAACACACGCTTCCCTACCCTTACAATCAAATAAGATCCCAGAATAGGAAGAAGAAGAAGAAGAAGAAGAAGAAGAAGAACACTGCACTTTACGCATATGGAATTATTAATCATCCATTATTAAAGCTACTATACATACACGTTGCCCTAACTTTCTTGTTTTATTACACGTCCATAGTGGGGGAGACGGCTAGCTTTAAATTTAATTTCCCTCCACAGAACTCACAGTTTAAAACAACCAAGAAGATTTGGTAACAACAATAAAATATAAACCAGAGCCCTCTAAATTGAAACTCATAGAAAGTTGTCACAAAAGAGCCCAATGAACATACCAAAAAGTTGGTCCAAAAAGGGTTTCCGTGTGTGTCTGGTCTACGAGGAATGCCACAGAACCAGCTAAGCACAAACCAACAAGCCCCCTATCTGGACACACGTACGATCACGTTACACATCGTTTTCCTACTTTCCCATATCACTTTCACCTTTTCCCAACAGATTCAGATTCACCTCATCTTCTTCCCCCAACAACAAACTCCATACATACGTCTTGTCACTACTGCTTTCATAATATTTTCCTGCAATGTTGTTTTTTCCTCCAATGGCTGGACTTTCAATTGAGAGCGTCTGCAGAGAGATTCACGATGGCTGCTGGGGTGACTCTGAGACGCGGCGAGCTGTTCACCTCCTTGTCCGAATGAGCCTGGCGGAGTGCAGGAAGGTTCGAGAAACGTTCATGGAGGTTTACGGGGAGGACCTGGTTGAAATTTGCAGGAGAAGTGATTCAGGGTCTTCATCGTCTCCGGCGAGTTTGATGATGCTCAGCCCATTCGAGCGCGACGCCGCCGTCGCAAAAGATGCGATTTTTCCGAACGATCACTGCGTCGATTATGGAGCCCTGATCGAAATCTTCTCGTCTAGAAAATCCAGCCATGTCCTCCTCATATTGCAGACTTACCACTCGAAATTCCGGCGGCAATTGGACGTCGACATTGCCGGCATTGAGCCTCTTCATCCCTACCAGAAGGTCAGTCCATCTTTCGAAATAATTTAATCTCAGTTGATTGTAATAATCTTCCCAAAAATGGCAGATCTTGATGGCCTTGTCGGCTTCACACAAAGCACACCATGCTGACACCAGCCAACACATTGCGAAATGCGACGCGAGAAGGCTGTACCAAACAGGGGAGGGGAGACAAGGAGCCATTGATGAAGCTGTGGTCCTTGAGATTTTCAGCAAGAGAAGCATCGAACAGCTCAAGTTAACATTTTTAAGCTACAAGCATATTTATGGGCACAGTTACACCCGTGTAAAACACTCTCTCCATTCATTCCTCAACCATACTTTTCTGATCATGTATGATGAATCTTGCTTCTGCAATTTGTAGTTTCTCAGGAATGGCCACTCTGGAGATTTCGAAGATGCAGTGAGAGTTGTTGTAAAATGCATCTGCAGCCCGCCAAGATACTATGCTAAGGTAGCTAGATTCTCTGATCTGACCATCCATTTCTTGTCTTTACAATATCCATACATGTCTTGTTTGTTGCTAGGTTTTGCAGAGAGGCTTAGGAGGGAGGCATTCAATAGATTACAGGGCTTTAGCCCGAGTAATGGTGAGCCGGGCAGAGGTGGATTTGGATGACATACAGAGGATCTTCAAGAACAAATATGGCGTCGAACTTGAAACTTCAATATGTGAAAACATTCCAGAAGGTGATCACAGAGATTTCCTTCTTGCTTTGGCAAGGAAGACCTCCTCTACCTGCTAACCACCAAAATTCTGCAATGTAATCTATATTTGTGTATAATATATACGTATATACATAAAATTATTTTTGATCTCTGGCATTGTTCATGGCAGCTTATCACAATTATGATTTATTTAATGAATGGATTTGAGTGACAAGATTTAAGAGGTTTTGATTGAACTTAAAAATCCAATCTTTATACAAATATTGCACCGCAGTCAGCAGTTTCCTTCATCTCCCCATAACCAAATTTCACTAGAACAAGCAAAACATTCAAATTCAATTCTACTAAGGTTTTGCTTCAGCAATTCGGCCATTGTGACTGTTGCTCAGATCCATGTAAAACTGAGTGACGATGGCGAATTTAATTGAGACGCAAAATTACTTGGGAGCGGGGGTGGCGCCAAGCAGGCTAGCCTGCTGCATCTCAAGCTCGTTGAACTGCTGCTCGCGGTCCATTTCTATGATCAGCGGCACAACAAGGACGAGGAAGGTGGTTCCGGCGATCCAGGCGGCCTTTCCGGTGCTCTTGAGGAGTTTCTTTGCAACGAAGGCAGAGTCGGAAGCCGCTTTCTTGCCGCGGTAGACGATTGGGGACTGAGAAAGGGAGGAGGAAACACGGGAGATAATTCCGCCGTCCACCGCCGATGCTCCGCCTCTTTTGGAAGACATATTGGTGCGGAAAGTAGACAGACAGGGGTTCTGCTAGGGTTTTTGCTCAGTAGAGCTTATTTGTGATTTAAGGATGGGGTGAACGACGACATTAATTTAGGGCCCAATTATGTATTTCTAAGATTAATTATATAATTGGGCCAAAGCCCATTTATACCGATTTATTTATTTTTTGTATTGTAAAATGTAAACCGACTGTTTAAAATGTACAGAACCGAAATCGAACCGTTTGAAAACCGGTTTCGGGTTCGTTTCTGTATAAAACCGGAGAAACCGGTTTGTGAAGCCGATTCCTTTTATTTTTTTTTCGAGAAGCCGATTAGTTTAGTCGTGATGCATTTCGCAAATTGGAGGTAAACCCTGCGGCGAACTGCCGCTTTCTAGTCGTTTTTCAGTTTGTCCCGTGATTCTTCGTCGGGGGCGTTCGCAGTGCGCGATTATATTGCATGGGTAGGTTTTCTGCTCTGTTGTATTGTATGTTGGATTCCTTGTACAATTTTTGGGATATTAATGAAAAATCTCCACCTTTTTCTATGTTTTGACATTCTTGTTCAGCTACAGAGGAAGAGCATAACGAGAAATCCCGTAGAGAGCGCAGGAAGGAAGCTCGATTGGCAAAGAACAAGAAAAAGTTCGATTCTTGGGTCCAGCATCAAGTAATATGATGTGTCCAATTATATTTTTGGGCATTTAAATTTTTTCTGAAGTATTTTTGTTTATCTCGATGCTTTGTTGTTGTATACCTACAGCAATCCGCCAAATCGAAGGAATCCATTAAAGATACGACTCAATCGACGAAGAAATCGGAAAGTGGAGATGATTTCGGTGAATCCTCGAGAAGGAAACTTGAGAAGGGGAAGAAATCAGAGGATTTCAAAGAACTTAAAACCTCCAGGAGTTCGAAATATGAGAAGGATTTAAAACAGAAGAAGAGCTCAAAGAAAAGCTCCAATAGCAAATTCTTTGACTATCTACGAATGGAAACGGAGGGAAGAGTTCCATCTGCTGAGGAAGATTTGATGATAGAGAGGAGACTTGCAAAGAAACTCAAGGTAAAGAATGGGAGGTTAAGTGCAGGTAATGACGATTTTGATACATTGCTTGATGGAATACCCTCTGTACTTGACTACCTTGACAAAGATGGTGAAGCCACTCCGCTTGCTGACAATGGTGATTTAACTGGCGAACGGGGAGAGTGCAGTTCAGCTGATGATGAGGATGGAGTTTCAAATGATGAGGAGGATGGACTTTCAGATGATGAAGAGGATGGAGTTTCAAATGATGAGGAAGATGGAGTTTCAGATGATGAAGAGGATGGACTTTCAGATGATGAAGAGGATGAAGAATCTGATTCACTAGTTGATAGTGAGGACTATGATAATATAGGGGATAGGATCTCGCCAGGGGATTCAAAAAAGAGGAAGAGACAGAAAACAAGGTTTGAAGAGTATCTCGAAAATAATGTTGATAGTGGGAGAAGTTCTGCTGAAGCAGATTTGGCATTGGAAAGGAAACTTGCAAAGAAACTTAAGATAAAAACGGGGAAGTTAGGGGGTGACGATGATGAGATGAACATGTTGTTAGAGGGAATTCCTTCAGTGCTTGATTCTAAAAGCAAACATGAGGAAAGGCCTAAGACAGATATAAGTTCCAAAAAGGGTGCATCGAAGCCTATAGAACTTTCTTCTGAGATGCCATTGGAAAATGCTCCCAATTCGAGAGAAGGGAAATATGTGGCACCTCATCTTAGATCTATCAATGGAAATGAATCCACAGAACATGCTCAAGTGCGTAAACGTGTGAGAGGTATGCATCTTACATGTATTTTTCTTTGATTTTGAGCAACCTGTAATGATTCGATTTTTTATTATCTATGACAAATCTCTTCTTATCTATTATATATGATACTTTTCAGGACTTTTAAACAGGCTTTCTGAGACCAATGTGGAGTCAATCACAAATGAAATTTCTACGCTATTTCATGTAAGCTAGTAAAAATGATGTACCTGTATCATGCCTCTTCTGTAACTCTTCTTTTATACAAATGGTTTGATTTGAATTTTAGGAGAGTAACATTAATGTGGGAATGGGGATGTATATTAGATATTAAATGCATTAAACATGAATAGGTTGGGGGGGTGTTGCTGTGTATTGTAGATTGTGGGTCTGTACTCTTATACTGTATCCACCTATATGCGGGCTGAATAACTCTTACATTCAACTATTAGAAGTCTGCATTTTATTGTGTGTGATCCCAATTTTCACATTTTCACTATATGCAGTCAGTTGGACGCAGTGTTGGTTCTCAAATCATAACTGAAGAAGTTGTCTCTTCATGCTCTGGAGGTCCTAGAGGGAGTGAACAGTTAAGCAAATTTCTCTCTTTCTTTCTTTTCTCTTGCTTGCTTCTTCTCCATCTCAAATTATGCATTGTTCTGGATGTCAATAATGATTGCATTGCTGTACTCATATCCTTACTATTCGTACTGCCCTAGACTTCATGCTACTGCTCTATCTGTTAATACCGCTTCGTTAATTAACTTCTATTTCAAGTTTCCCTTCCATATTGAAATATTATTTATTGTAATTGATTCTTCTCTTTTATTTAGTGCCTTGCTATATTCTTCAGACCTCAATCTTTTTGTATAATTCTAATTGAAGGTATGCTGCTGTTTTTGCGGCATTTGTTGCTGGGATGACATGTATGGTGGGGATTGACTTTGGTGCCAAACTACTTGCGCATCTTGCAAAATGTTTTGAGGTATTGGTTTGCCTGAGTGAGTTTTCTGTTATTTACATGCGTCACAACAAATAATTTCTAAGCACCCCTTCTCTGCTTACAAGAAGGCATAGGCTATTCATTGGACTACCTTATGTATAGCAAACAATTTTACTTGAGTTGACTTGTCTCCATTTTTATGTTCCACTTTCAGGAAGAGTATTTGAAAGAAGACAATCTCTCTTTGCGGAATATAACTCTTTTACTTTCCTATTTATATGTTTTTGGACTTTGTTCAAGGTTAGTTGACATATCTTTTTGTATTCATTGCGTAAGTGTATTCATCATTTATTCTTTGTTGGGGATGGTCTGATGAACAATCTCTTTCAATGGTGTGCAGCGAGTTGATCTATGACTTCCTGATCATGCTTGGAAAGCAGTTAACAGAGGTTGATGTTTCTACAGTGTTGACAGTTTTGCAATGTATGTTCTACCGTTAATTTTGGCATGATGTATAATTTGACCTATTGATGCTCAAGTCTATATATATCTTGAAGTGTTTAGGAGCATGAGCTTCTCACCATCCCTCAAATAAAAAAAGTAATATTTCACCCGTTTGGATGGTTTTATACCAATGATTAGGACCCTAATAGGTCTTCTACATTTTTTTCATCTATATGATTCTGTTCACCCTAATTTTATTGTACATTGGCTGCATATATCAGTGCCTCAATAAAAATATACAACATGTGTAACTATATTTTAAGTTATTTATTAATTTCATGTATGCCATTGCCGGGAACATTTTAGAATCTTCTCAATTCCAAATTCCACATTAAAGTTGCAGTAAAGTATTCCAAAAGGGGTCTAACCCAATAAAGTCATAAGCAAAATAGTTTTGGCACTTGTTTGAATGCTCTCTTGTCTTCAGATGTATTGATTTCATATCTAAATATTAGTGTTTTATAGTTTCACAAAAACTTTTATATGGGATGTTCTGTGGTTGTGTATTGGCATATGTGGGAGAGTGAGGGCTTCTGTTGGAAATATGCTTTACTAACTTCAATTTATGTCTTAGCATTAGTAATGCTATATTGACCAACTTTTAACCATTCAGATGTAGCTAAAAAATCTCTGAAATATGCCACTGACAGGTTGCGGTATGAAATTGCGTGGGGATGATCCTACTGGAATGAAGAACTTCATTATGAGTGTACAGAGTCGGGTAAATGAACTGAAGGCAGCTTCTGAAGCTGGGCAGTCAAATATAAGCAACAAAAGAGTATGTTCCTTTTGAGCTTTCCAGAATGAATATTCAACATGTGATATAACCGTGTGCTGACTGCTGTCATTCTGTGCAGATGGAATTTATGCTTGAAACTATATTAGATATTAAGAACAATAAAAAAAGACGCAGGGAGGATACAGTGCAACACTCCAGGATAAAGAAATGGCTGCAGAAGGTGTTCTAGATTTTTTCCCTTTTTTGATATCCTAAACATTAAATATCCATGTTTATTTTACTTAGATACACAGCACAAATAGTCCCTTCCCTTGCCATTGCAGACATTGACTGTTGTTTATTTATGTTATAGTTAAGAGTGGATGATATATTAATTCGCGGGTTGAAATGGAGCAAGCTTCTTGATCGTGACAAGAAAGGCCAATGGTGGTTGTCTGGCGATCTTGCCACTACTACAGAGAATGTTGAAGAGGTTGCGGGTACAATTGATAAGGAAATCACAGAAACCAAAAGGATGCTTGAACTTGCTGCGGCGCAGAGGATGAATACAGATGCAAGAAGAGCAATATTTTGTGTAATTATGAGCGGAGAGGATTACATCGATGCTTTTGAGAAACTCTTGAGACTAGATTTACCAGGGAAGCAGGTTACCATCTCTCGACTCTCTATAATACATAGTCATCTACATTTCTACGTGTCTTGCTTATCATTTTTGCATGCCTAGGATCGAGAGATCATGCGGGTACTTGTGGAGTGCTGTCTACAGGAGAAAGTATTCAACAAATACTATTGTGTTCTTGCATCGAAGCTATGCAGCCACGACAAAAACCACAAGTTCACCTTGCAGGTCTGTTTAGTCATTTCCAGATTATGATTTGCCAATGCGAAAAATGTCATTTCCAGATTATGATTTGCCAATGCGAAAAAGACTATAATTACAGTAATGCTTTCTGGGCTCCAAAACTTAATATTACTGCTTGCAAATTCCTTCAATGCAGTACTGCTTGTGGGATCACTTCAAGGAACTCGAGTCTATGCCATTGATCAGATCAATGCACCTGGCAAAATTCACAGCCGAAATGGTGGCCTGTTTCAGTCTTTCATTAGCCGTTTTAAAGGTTGTTGATCTAAATGACATTATTAGCCTTACTCCCAAGAGGATCATGCATTTCCGGATGCTATTTGAGGCTATACTCGAATTTCCTGATAAGCTCACTTGGAACATATTCACCCGCATTGCCGGTGCTCCAGAGCATGAGCTTCTTAGGAGCGGGATCTTGCTTTTTATCGGCAAGTACATTGTTACAAGTCAGAAGTCTCTAGAAAAGAAGTTCAAGTTGGCAAAGAAAGCTCTGAACAACGTTGAAGGTGTACTAATGTGATGCGAGTTTGTCGATGAATTCATGTTTGAACTCGAATATATATATTACATCATCCACAAGAAAAATTTTGTAGCCAAGATTCGTTAATTATGTTGCAATTCTGTGTTTTCAACAGAAGTCAATTCAAGGTAAAATTTCCATTATAAATTAGTGACAGAATACACTCTGCAAGTACCTGATTGTAGTGGACAAGTATTTCTAAAAATAAAAGCTTCATGAAGAATCACTCATCTACAGACATGTTACAATTGGCCTTCCACACTGGTTTGGAAGCTTCCCAAATCTCATGTACAGTATACAAAGTAAAATGAGATATGAAGTATATGTTATACCTGCAGTTCAGCACAACTCCATAGAAATGGCAGAATCTACATTTCTTGGAAATAAATAGAATATGATAACCAACCAAGTATACAGAAATGTGCATTACTTAGCATCTAGAAGTGAGATTGAGCACAAAGATATCATTAGTATCTATCAGAAAATTCAGATAAAGAATGAAAAACATAAGCAACAAAATTCCTTCGATGAAGTACTGCTTGTGGGATCACTTCAAGGAATTCGAGTAGATGCCATTGATCAGATCAATGCATTTAGCAAAACTCACTGCCGAAATGGTGGCCTCTTTCAGTCTTTTGTTAGCAGTTTTAAAGATTGTTCATCTAAGCGACATTATTAATATTACTCGCAAGAGGACCATGCAATTCCAGATGCTACTTGAGGCTATACTCGAGTTTCCGGATATGTTCACTTGGAACATCTTCACCCGCATTGCGGGTGCTCCAGAATACGAGCTTCTTAGGAATGAGATCATGTACTTTTATGGGCAAGTACATTGTGACAAGTCACAAGTCTCTAAACAAGAAGTTCAAGTTGGCAAAGAAAGCTCTAAACAACATTGAAGGTACACACTACTGTAATGTGAGTTTGTCGGAAAATTCACATTTGAACTTGAATATTCATTGCATCATCTACTAGGCAAAATTTTGTAGCAAAGATTTGTTAATTATGTTTCAATTTTGTGTTTTCATCAGAAGACATAATTCAACATAACTAAAGTCATGATGCAAAAACATGTGATTATCATAATATAAAACCTAATTGGTAAAATCACATACAAACACACATATGTGAGACAACAACATTGTTCAAAACAAACTGAGGTACCTTTTCAACACAATTGTCAGCAAATGTAGACATTGTTCTAAATATTCAGTTAGTGCTACCGTTTCAGAGGACCATCAATCAGATGGAAGGTTGGATAATGTATTTATGCAGACGTTTCTTTGGTGACCTCAACCTTATAAGCCACCCAGCGACCGTCACTGTATGGCATCACTACAGCACCCTCAGGTCTAGGCAAGTTTGAATTGCGCGGCATCACCACAACCTTCTGCGCATCTGGGGGCTGGTCGGCAGCTGCCTGTTCAGTATGCGCCGCTTCAGAGGAAGGCGAACTGGAATGATAAGTTGGAGGAGTCGATGAACCTGGCAGACAAGCATTCACATTGACATTTTCGGGTGAGCTTTTGGCCTTTTTGGCTTGAATCTGTGCTTCTGGAAGCAATCAGTTGACACAGAAAACAAATATTCATCATTGATTTCAAAAAAAAAAAAAAACACAAATCGAAAAACACATTGAAATAGCATAATGAGATCACATACAAGTAACAAATTCCACAAAGTATACTAATGGCTCAATCAGTTCGAGTCATTCATTTAAGGACAAAAAACTGCAACACTATGTAAGAGGGGTGGAATAGAAAAGGGGTTCTCATCTATCTCCATGGCCATAATCATGAGCCTTAAAACTTCGACGTATTGAAGCATCACATTCAGAAGATTGATAGTAATTTATTGAGCTAGACTAAGATGCAAGGATTGGCAATAAAACATGATAAAGTCCAATTAATGAAAACAAGGTAACTAAATTAAATAGATAGGAATTCTCTTGATTAAAAGCACTAAACAGGACACTAAATAAGCCATATTTTCCAGCAGAGCATCTTCCAATTTTCTAACACTAGAAAAATCTGATTGAAAATTGATCCTAAAGGCATACGATGATCAGAAAAACAAGTGGCAAAAATCAATGAAATCACCGTTGTCTTCTCCAAGGTGCTTTTTAGGTGTAATTATAGGCTGGATGGCATGTGATAAGTTTTCAGCAACACCAGAGGATGACAGGGATGATTTAGATGATTCTGCAAGTGGGCAGCCTGCAAAAGTACCTAGTAATTACTTGCCAATAATGAACCAACAAAGATTGCGATGCTCAACAGAAAAATGAATAGACGTATTAGATATATAATTCAATTAGAACAGATATGACAAAAAAAAAAAAAAAAAAAAAGAAAAAGAAAGAGCTATAGCGTTTATACGATTATTTGATGCATTAAGTTATTCTCACTTAGCGACGTAATATTGGATCATACATAATCAATCTAATGCAGGAAAAAAGGCAACAATCTTTACTTTTTTAGCACTTTTTTAAGTTAGACACATGTTTCAACAGATTCCATGTCTTTACAAATTTGACTCAGATTTCTGCAATCGCACAAACACTCGTAGATCTAACTACACTACCGCTACATGTGATTAGTGATGCAAGAGTTTAGTAAATGCAATATGTAGATTAGCAGCAAATAACAAATTCAAAAAAATGTATATAAATTGGTAGATAAATATTTCATACTCTTTGTAAGAGCGCTATAAGCAACTTTAGCAGCGTTCATCTCTGCTTGCTTCTTTGTTTTTGCTTGAGCTCCTTGAAATGTATACGTCCCCACCTCAACAGTAGACACAAACACTGGCATGTGAGACATGCCAGAGCTTGTTGTCTCGTATGATGGGCACATAAGACCCTTCTTTTGCACAAACTCTTGCAAAAGGTTTTTGTATAAACCTGAATCCTGAAGTCATTTTGAAGTTACTAAAACTGTCAGGATAACAAAAAAGAAAGTATAATAAAAGAATGTACTATATATACATATATAACATACTAACCTCTTGTTTTCCCTCCACTGACAATGCTTCACAAGCAACTTTGGCTGCTGCTTGCTCAGCTTCCTTCAGTGTAGAGAAAAATTCCAAGGTTTCATAAGATTTCCCATTAAGAATGACTGATGACTTAAACCGGCGGGCATGAGGAGGGCCTTCAGTCTCGCAAGCATAAACAGGAAAACCAATATTTTGCTTTTGCGCGAATTGTTGAAGCCGATTCTTATACATAGGCAATGTTTCTGAAAATGAAAAGTTCAAGCAACTTAATATAGGCAATATACATTTTTCAAGTAAAGATATATTCACCTTTAAATTCAAGCTCCACGTAAGTTACCAGGTATCCAAATATTTACAAAATACACCAATGTTAGTTATATATTTGACAAACAAGCAGTGATACAGCCAAAGAACACGTGAAGGACTAAGTTTGTTAATATATCACAAGCTAGTAATCAATAAATCCAAGAAACTCTTCCGCAAAATTATGCTTTATACTTCTAACTAAAGTGGTGCAGGTTAGAAAAAGTTGTGGGAAGATACCTTTAACTGTGTATACCATTTCATTATCTTCGAAATCTAATCATATCTACTCATTTAATACAGCCTCGTGTACGAATAGAATGAGTTTAACATGTTCTAAATTGATATTAATACACAATATCCACTTCCAAATAAACATATACTCCAAAGCATGCTATAATTCTCTAACCTTTTAGACCCACGTCACGGGTGCCAATTTCCGTTACATGAACAGCTGGTGTGTCCTTGGTATCTCCACATATTTGCAGCTTTACCTCCTCCCCAGGCTTTGAATTAGCACAATTCTTTGGGGACATAATTCCTGCAATCAAAATTTCAACATTTGATACCCAACTATGAAATTATTTTTATTTACAATGTGAACTGCCCTCAGATAAAATAGCTACAAAATCACCAATGAGGTACTCATAAGTCATACCAGCAGAATTCAAAATTTAATAAACATGGCACTCTCCGAATACACGATGCCTTTCAGATTTTCAGTTTCAAGTTTGCTTGAAAGAATAACGAAAAAAAAAATGCAACAATTGGGTACTTTGATCAACGATTATAACACCAGGAGATAAGCGGCATCAACTAGGGCAAAATAACTCAACGCCACCATTTATACATATATAGGGGGGAAATGGACTTACCAAAAGAGGGGAGCGGAAGAGACGAAGGAACCGGAGATTCCGGAACAGGAGGATCTTGAGATACCTGAACGATTTCAGGCAAAGGAATAATCGCTGCGGGGAGCGAGGCAGCAGGTGAGACGGCCTGCTGTTGATGCTGAGAATCCAAAGGCAGCACAGGAGGGGGGAGGGGCTGAGCGTCGCGCGGTGCCGAAGAGGCAGCTAAATGCTCGAAAGCAATTCTGGCCGCAGTGTTTTGGGCTTCTTTTGAGGACCTGCAAATGGTTGGAGTTCGGAACATTTGGCCGCAGACGTTGACGGTGGCGACGAAACGCGGCATGTGAGCGGGTCCATCTCTGGTGGTGTTGTACTCCGGCAGATCCCAACTTTTTCTCTGGCAAAGCTCTTGAAGTTTGCTTTTGAACATTTTGAGAGAAGAAAGAGGAGAGGGAAAGGGGAGAAAGGTTTCGGAAGCACGGCGTGGGCGTTAGCGTTGCTACTCCACGCTAACACCAGAGAGGCGACTGAAGACGATGGAAATGAGACATGAAAAAAGGGACGATAAAGATTTTTATACTGCTCACTCTACAGCTGGGTAGGGTAGGGGTAGGGGTAGGGGGTGGGCCCGTAAAGGTAGGGTAGGTACGCAAATGTGTTTAAATAAATTCCTATTATGTTTGTTTATTTCTATAATCGAAACAAAATTTTTTATTTCTGGTGACTTACTAATTTTTATTTTGTTGCTGTTGTTGTTACTTACTAAAAAATTATTACAAGTATTTATTTTTATTATTTTGTAAGTATTCTTATAAAAAAAATTAGTTTGTTTTCTTAGATTAAAATTTATCTCAATTTTAAAAAGGAATAATTTATTTACGTCAATATTAAATTTGATTTTCGTTTTATAATTTCGGTATTGTTTTTACTTAGTGAGGAAGTAATTGTTATATAAAATATGTACATATTAATGTATACAGTAAAGTGTCTAAAGCATATATGCTTACCTACGTAGTGCATACATATATAACAGTAATATAATTTTAAAAATCATATTATATAAATATGAAATATTAATACACATGTAATAATAATGCCTGTTCTTAATAATATTATTCTTTCAAAACTAAATCTTATTTGACTACATTGTATAATTTTATAAAGACAACAAAAAGAAATTCAAACAGTAATGGATAAAAAGTTAAGGTGACATCACAAGTTTTTTAGCACATGATACATCATGTCTTATGTTTTTTCTTTTTCTATCACATGATATATAATGTCTTTTTATTAGACACAATGTGTAATAAAAATGTAACTAAATTGCACAAAATCTTTAAATCTCCCATGTCTTTTTATTAAAAAATTTGTCGCAATTTTATGATAAATTTTGTGTAATTTAGCCTAAAAATGTGAACGTTTCCCATGTATAATAAATAATAGGGCAAATATTTTAATATATTGAATCTTTTACCTGAAACATTTTCTCAACATAAAGAAAACAAGCCCAAAATTTCAAGGATAGCAAGAATACATAACAAGATTTCAAAACGTACAAAATAAACACCAAAGGCAACAAACAAGACCGACTAATTTTATGAGATGGGAGATAAAAAGATATAAGTGATTGAATGAAGTTTGAGTGAAAAACAAGCCTCTAAGCCTGTAAATATATATATATAGAGAGAGATCTCTCTCTCTCTCTCATTTGGCGCTGCCAAGTTTGGCGCGGATTTGCTTAGCGGCAGCAACCATGTTTTCGAGGGCCGGCTTCACTTCCGTGTACTTGCGAGTCTTGAGGCCACAGTCCGGGTTCACCCACAGGATGTTGGTATCCAGCACCGCAAGCATCTTGTTAATTCTATCCGCAATCTCCTCTGTCGAAGGTATTCTAGGGGAGTGGATGTCGTACACGCCGGGTCCAATGCCAGCCCCGTACTTGACTCCCTCACGGAACACTGACAGGAGTTTCTCGTCCGACCGCGAGTTCTCAATCGTGATCACATCAGCATCCATGTTGATGATGGATTGGATGATGTCGTTGAAGTTGGAGTAGCACATGTGGGTGTGGATCTGCCGCAACAAATCATCCATCATTACCAAAAAATTTGATAACTGAGAGTCAGCAACCAAACCAAGATAAGATATAAATGTACCTGAGTCGTGTCCTGGACACCGCAGTTGGTAATCCTGAAAGCATGGACAGCCCAGTCCAAGTAGACGGCGTGCTCGGCTTTCCTGAGAGGCAACCCTTCTCTCAATGCAGCCTCGTCAATCTGGATCACGTTAATGCCAGCCTTCTCGAGATCCTCTACTTCGTCCTTAATAGCCAAAGCAATCTGGTAGCAGGTTTCAAACCTGATGCATGCAAGTGTTACCCGGAATGCTCACAAAGTTTTTTATCCAATATCTTTCAATGAGGTATAGGAATGATCAATACCTTGGTTGGTCATTTCTTACAAAGGACCAGTTGAGAATGGTAACGGGCCCAGTAAGCATTCCTTTCATCGGACGCTTGGTCATGCTCTGGGCAGCAGTGGACCAGAAGACAGTCATTGGCTTGGGGCGACTCACATCACCAAAGATGATTGGTGGTTTCACGCAGCGAGAACCGTATGACTGTACCCATCCATTGGAAGTGAAGGCAAAACCGGACAGTTGCTCACCAAAGTACTCCACCATATCATTCCTCTGGTATACACAACAGAGAAAAAAAACTTACAACCTCAGAGTGAATACAACAACACATCTGTTGCTTCTAAAAATTAGCTAACTGACTGAATTACCTCTGGTTCTCCATGAACAAGAACATCAATATCGAGCTCTTCCTGGAGCTTGACAACTTTGCTGATCTCTTCCTTGATAGACTTGACATATTCCTCTTCCGTGACTCTAAGAGAGAGAGAGAGAGAAGCATATGCTTAGACTTCAGGCTCAAAAGCATTTTGGAACAAAAAAATATAGCAACAGCCACTCACTTGTTGGCCTTGTACTCTCGCCGCACCCGCCTGAGCTCAATAGTCTGAGGGAAGGAACCGATGGTGGTTGTTGGGAGGATTGGAAGGTTGAGCTTCTTCTGCTGAGCATCAAGCCTACCACTAACATTTGTAGCACGACGGTGATCAGAACCCTTCAAAGCAGCAGCCTGTTGAACAAATACAAGAATGGATTGGTAAAGGTTATACCATTTAGGCAGCACCACTCTCTTAGAAAGGTAATAAAAGAAAACATTCACTTACAGCCTTCTGTACAGATTCATTAGTCACCCTTGGGGAGGATCTCCTAGAAGCCTGGGCTGAAGCATTAGCAGAAAAGAAATCCTGAAAAGGAAAAGAGGCAGCAACCAAATGAGCACTTCAGCAGACATTGTACCCAAGAAAAAAATAAAATTGATCCAAGCAAAAACAGTAGATAGTATAGTGGCAATAGTATCAGAATCCATTGAAAAATAGAAACATAACATAACAAGCCATGTCTCAATTGTAAAGAACGGAGGCTCGACATTTACCGCATTTTTCTCTCCAGCCAATGCCTTGGCTAGGGAATTTACTTCAACAACTTTTTGTGCAGCAAATGCAAGCCAAGACTTGATTTCAGCATCCAGCTTTGGCTCATTTGAAAGATCAACAGCAGTATGTAGAAGTGAGCATGAGGTGGACACAACAAGTTTGTCTGCACAGGTGGAGGGGGAAAAACTCGATAAACACAACAATCAATACAGAAAAAATACTAACGGAAAACTGAAGAGCAACATACCCTTTCCAACAAGGCTTTCAAGAGACTGCAGGGTAACAAGAGAAGCATCCAGATCATTGGCCCAGATGTTCCTCCCATCAACTATTCCTGCAAATAGGTACTTTCCAGAAGGAAACTCACTCCTGATCAAATCAAGAGTTTTACCTCCACGAACCAAATCAAAACCATAACCAGTTACTCCATTCAAGGAGATGAGTGTTTTGAATGCAGCAGCAGGGACATCAGCAAAGTATGTCTCAATTAAAACGTTTAGACCAGATAAAGATGATTGCAGTTCAGCATAGGCCTTGGTGAAGGCTTCCAATTGTTGGGAATCAAGATCCAAAACAAGAGTGGGCTCATCAAACTGGACCCATGAAGCACCTGCAGCTTTCAAGTCAGAGAGAACGTCCCTGTGGAGATTTCAAATGTCAAATGAGATTCAGAGCGAGACCTGCTGCAAGATCAAGTTTCATATATATTGAAGCAATTTCTTACTTATAGATAGGAAGAATTTTATCTAGAAGAGAAAGAAGGGGAAATGTTTTCTCAACACCCTTGGCAGGCTTTGAGAGTATTAAGTATGTGACAGGGCCAATAAGGACGGGAACAGTGTCAACACCCAGCTGCATGAGACAAAACAAACAATGTAAGATAGTTATAATCATATAGCCCTTGGTTACAAAACTTTACTTCAAAAAAATACAAGCAGCAACAGCTTTAAAAATCTTTATTAATAAAATGAGTGACAGAGGATATACCGCTTTAGCCTCCTTGTATTCATTTACAGCCTTGTGTGAAGCATAAGAAAACTTCACATCAGGTCCCAATTCAGGGACAATGTAGTGGCTTCACAGATAAACAAGCAATGTTAGATAAATACTAGAAACATGAATGTTATTAAAGATTTGGACCATCACTTACTAGTTGGTGTCAAACCACTTTGTCATTTCCATAGCAGGAACAGAGGCATTTCCTCTGGCCATAGAGAAGTAAGTGGAAAAGTCAATTTCCCCACCATTCCAATTGTATCTGGGGGGAACAGCTCCAAGCATTGCAGTTGCATCAAGCACCTGGTCATAGTAAGAGAACGTGTTGCTCGGAATGTACTTGATCCCTGCATCTGACATCTGCTTCCAGATGGATGCTCTCAGGTCTGTAGAGACCTTTTCCAAATCCTCGGCACTGCTCTTGCCATCCCAGAAAGATTCCAGAGCAAACTTAAGCTCTCTTTTTGGCCCCATACGAGGATATCCAACAATGTGAGATGCCATTTTCCTGGTGCATAAATTTCATTCGATCAGGTAATATGAAATCCAAGGCCTATTATTACCAAATACCCCTTAATCTCTAACTTCATATTGTCACAAATATCCAGAGGCAGAGCTACTGAGTCTGATACTTTCATTTATGCCCAAGTGAGTTGAGTGTTTATTCAATGACGGTGAATGGGCAGGTAAACAGAAGCAAACCTAACATGAATAGATTCTATTCTAGGTCACCTAGTACTGAACAAATGAATCGGACCGAAACATGACTGTAAGTAAGCGATAAATAATTAACAAAGAGATCAGAACGCACACAATAGATACGGGCTTTAATAGTCACGAAATCTGAAATAAAATCAAAAACTGCAAATATCCAGGATCGATCGGCAACGAAAATCTAAAAATAACAACGGAACACAATGCAATCAGATTCAATAGTCACTTCACATCAGATCCACGTTCAGCATAAGCTATAAATCACAGATCTACAGAACTTCACTCCATAAAACAAAACATCTAATCCGATCCTAACAACTACCACAAATCCACTCTCACTCTCTCGACCACACGAAAACGCCACATTTTCCACGCCATAAGTTCCGCACACTAGAATCACACAGACATCGTCAAATCCCCAAATTAAACAAAGCAAACAGCAGCATAGGCAAACCAGTGAGAACCCAAACTCTTACCCGTAGATCTAATCGAAGCAACGAAAGCAACCAACTCTCCAATACGGAGGCAAAATCACAAACAAAATAACAAAGAACAAATCATAAGGCTGAACAACAAATCCATACCTCAACGATTCCACAGAGAGAGATAGTGCAGTTGAAGAGAGTATCAAAAGGCTACACGCGAGTTCAGGAAGACGGTTGAGTGGCCTTATTTATAGAGAGAGAGCACAGGGCAGCACTGGCTGCCATTTCTTTTTCTGAAGGGAACGTGCGCGGGGAATGAACATCACGCGCCTTGAAGTGCGTGCTTTCACGCGCCTCAGTGGATCATTGCTTGTCCATGGACCTATCGTCGGTGATCTGGTTACTGATTAGTAATTTTTATTTTTTTTGTTTCCACTCCCTCACAGAGTAATTTTTTAAACAAAATATCCAAAAAAAAGATAAAAATAAAAACTGACATTTGTGCGGGGGAAGAATTCCCCACAAAGAGGACAGACTATAAGTTTTTAAAGATTTTTAAAATTTTAAAAAATTGAAAAAAAAAATTAATATTTAATTTGATATTTTATAAAAAAAAATTATATTTGATATAATATTTTTTTTAAAAAAATGAGTAGTCCCAGATGAGTTAGAAAATTTTTGTTGTTCAAGTTTGATGTGAAATCAACGGTGTGGATTTACCCATGAGTTTGGTGGATATTGGTGGCCTGAGACAATTACATGCGACCAACCTATTCAAATATAATTTTATAAATAAATAAATTGGTATCTGAGTAGACACGCACCATAGTACTATTGATTTTTAATTGATTATAGTAAAAATAAAATTGACTTGAGGCCCCTGAAATTAGACGTAGACATGAGAGATGATATGAGATCTAACGTATACATCCAACAATCTCATTTTCTAACCAAATCTACCCTCACAATCATGGTCTTGTTCCACATTCCCTCATCGTTACGTAAGCCCAGCAATCTGCAATGCCTTTAATTTTACCAACTACCTTAAACCTACCCTCGGAATAAATTATTTTTATAACCATCGAGTTTGATTGTGATTCGATAGAAATACATCTTCTTGGATTGGTGTAATAAAAGCCCAAAACGAGAATACTAAGAAATATATTTAAACCACGATGTAGATTGCATAGTGAAGCCAAGCACAAAACAATTACAACATCTCTGTCCAAACACAAACATCACATTACATATAAATTACAAAGATAATCTCAAGACATCCTGGGAAACAAGCCAGGGTACTTCATATATATATATATATATATTTGTTATTTGCAAGAAAATCCATAAGCCATACCAGCACACCACACACAGAGCCCACCTGCAAAGCCAAAAAAATAAAAATGTATATAAAAACACAACCAGACATCAGTATATATATATGTGTATATATGTATGTAAGATTGGCGTACGGACCTTGTAATTAATCACTGTCGCTGCTGCTGCTGCTCTCATGTCCATCCTCGTGCTTCTTCTTCTCCTTCTTCTCCTTCTTCTTCTTCTTCTCGCCGTGCTCGCCGGCGCCGCCCTCGCCGCCGTGGATCTTGTCCTTGATCTTCTCCATGAAACCCTCCTTGTGCTCCTCCGGCTTGTGCTCGCCGCCGTAGCCGTGCGCCGGCTTGTGTTCGCCGCCGTAGCCGTGCTCCGGCTTGTGCTCGCCGGCGTGGGAGGCGCCCTTGTGATCTTCGCCGTGCTTCTCTCCGTCCTTCTTGTGGTCTCCTCCCATCCCCAATTTCTCCTCGATCTTGTGGATGATTCCAGACATTTTCAAGTTTGAGAAAAAAAATCAAACAAACAACAATTCGAAATTCAGATCGCGATGAGAACTGATGAAGGGACTGTGGTAGACCTCCATATTTATAGAAGAAATGCTACTCGGCGATGACTAGATATTTCTTTATCCATTTTTATTTTCGGATAAATTAATTTATTATTATTATCCAGGAATGGAATCCTTCAATTAATTTATTTATTGTGAAATAAAGAATTGGAAATGGGCCCTCGGGATGCACGCGGCATCGCGATTCCTGTGACAACCAAAACCCTAAAAGAATCAACACGAAGCTTCCCATATCTTTCATCAATCTTTCTTACACACACATACTTACACATATACGTATATATATTTTTTAAATTTTTTAATAATATTTGGGTGGATGAGAGGACTGGGGGAGCACGACACCGACACTCGGCTTAATCAAAGCTCTCGGTGAAATCGATGCCACCGCAAGATCTCGACACGTGTCCACGTATGGGCCGCTGATTAAGGTCCACCACATCTTGAATTCTTTCTTGATTCGCTGAAATACATCAGTGGAGCCCACCAGAGGAATGGGCTTCAATAATGCTATGATTTTCCTAATTTGTCTTTTTGCAATATCAGCAATTTTAAGAAAAAGGACAAATGGATGGTGAGGCCTAACTCAAATTTCTTACCGTTCGGCCTATAGTCAAAAGTATTGAAAGCCGTAACCATAGCACACAGACTGTTTCAATTTAATCTCGACCGTAGAACAACGGATGACGTGGACGGCTCCGATTGTTGCCGACACCACAGTGGTCGGTGACTCGGTCGGTTATTAACATTGGTCGGTTTTCTTTTATTATTATTTTTTAATAACAGAAAAATTATCATCGAGCATGCCACGACAAGATTAAAAAATTTAATGATGTGAGGTCACAAATTCAATACTTACGCCACCAGACCATTTTTAACAGAACAACATTAGTCTTTTGTTTTTTTTTTTATAATGTAAAAATTACGGTCACTATCTGAAAATGTGCACCAGGTAAATCCTGATTTTTTTTATTTTATTTTTTTGTGTAATAGAAAGGTGGATGGTGACATTAGAATAAAACATACAGAGATAATTCAGTTGAAATTGGAGCACAAATTCCGGAAGCAACAAAGGAAAGTCGTGATGATAAATGATAATTACATTCTCCAATTTTGTTTGTTTTGAAAAAAAAAAAAAAAAAAAAAAAAAAAAAAAAAAAGAGGAACCTTAATGGTTACTCTTGTCTGTCTTTTATGAAAGTGGAAATAATAAGTTCAAACATCACTCATGTTGTACGTACAACTTATCGAACGTGAAATTCAGAGCTTTTTTTTCAAAGGGTATGGATAATATGCTAATCTTATATTTTAATTTAACATTGATGAATATGATTTTAGCCGCTAAATTTATATTTAATAATTACAATTATATAAAAATAAATAAAATTAAGGGTTATAATTAATTCAGCACAGCTGATTTTTATAAATTCATCATAGTATTCATATATTTTTTTTTCAAATTAAAATACGATTTCAGCTCTTTCTAAAAAAATAAAAATAAAAATAAAACTATAGATTATTTCCACAGTGTCAACTATAACTCTATATATAATAGTATAGATTTGAACCCACAATAAATCTTCTTTAAAAGTCAAGGCATGCATGTGACTTTGATATTAAACATTAAATTAATGTTTTATTTATTAATTGAATATATTTAACAATACAAATATTTCTTTATAATAGTTTGATTAATTAATATATTTATTGAATATATTATTTTGATATAAATCTCGTGTTTCTTTCATATTGTTTATTCCTTCACTCTTCTAAAAAATTTCATAGTTTACATCCTAATAAATATAAGTTTTTATATTTTCCTTTCTCTCACGATGAGTGACCCTTTGAGCATTTCGTCGCCCTCTCATCGATTCCCGAATCATTTTCCACAATGGCAATAAATCTTAACAATTATTTGATTATATCGTAATTACCACACAAATATTAATATTAAAAACACACACACACATATATATATAATGACCAATTAAATCATGGTTATTGAATATAAAAGATTAGGATTATTCTCGCTTTGTTTTGTTTATTTAGTCAATAAGCTATGACTTTCTATTTATAGACACATTTATTTTGTATCTATAGAATTTGCATATATTTTTATTTATTTTTTGTTAAATAAATAAATAACAATGTGGCGGCGAAGGGCATTTATGGAATATACTCAGACGAGGCCACTGCAGTGCCCTGCATGGCAGCCACGTGGCGCCAGGTGAAGAAGACCGCATTGCCGCCGGTACCTGACTGGTGTAGGATAAAGTGGATCCATCGTGCCCATACAACTTCATCTTCTCGTTAACCGCTTCAGTACCAAGGACGAAGAAGATTTTCATCGCCATTGAAACACGGATTGGTCGCACAGGACGAACGTACGTCCGTAACTACGTTAAGATTCGCGTTCTGCAACTCCACATAGTATATATATGTGTACATGCACATGATGGAGAGGAAGAAGCATCTTTCCACCATTGCTAACGATGTCATTCGAAGATGCTCCGAGTAATTTCCTCCTTCCACCATGTTAATTTCATTTTGTTCGAATTGTTTCTTCGATTTTGTTTTTTGCACAGACGTCGTGGTTGGGATTTTAGGGTTTCCTCCAGTTTTCTGTTATCGCTAATCAACAGGATTTTGCACAAAAAAGCTGCTGTACAAATGAAGAGAGGCGAGGTTTTGTTTTATCATTTTTTGGAGTGATCTGAAATTGTAATTTCTTCCACAGAATGCTGGGTACCTCCATGGGTACTCTGGTTGAAGAATTTGATAGGGAGTGGGAGCCTGATCAGATGAGTGGCTATTCGAGGAAACTGGTAGAATTTTGCTGCTCTAAAGCGCTGACGGTTATCTGCGGCGCCATTGATGAAGCAATTACCGATGGAACTTTCAGCCGATTCACGTTTGATATGACGCTTGCTTGGGAGACGCCGAGCTCGGCCGATGAAGAGTCCTTCAATGTGAGGAGGAAACTAATTGCTCTGTCTGCAAGCTTACATATTAAGTTTTTCAATATCAGTATATCTTACCACATTATAAACCTGAATGAGTCTACATTTCGATATGTAATTTGTTCAGGAATGTTTGGGGAAGGAGGGAGAGGATAAGGAGGCTTCAAAAGTGACGAACCAGCTACAAGACGACATTCCTCTGTTCTACTCTGACCTGATGCCACTCCTTGTAAGTTGCTCTGGCTTTCTATCGCCACTTTGATGAACAAAATGTATCTGCAGCACGAATTATATTGTTAATGAAATGAAGATGATCTCATTATTCATGAAGGTAACTTTACTTCGGGTGTAATAGGTTGATGGAGAGGCGAGTGCCGGAGAGGATGCATTTGTATGGTTGGGAAGCCTTGTTCCTCTGGTTGCAGACAGAGTTAATGGAAGATTCACCTTTGAGACATTGACTGCACCTACGGGGAATCGGCTTCACTTTCCGGCATATGACAAATTCTTGAAAGAAATCCACAAGTATATACTCTTCTTGTTCTTGTGAAATTTGTAGACATTGTAATTTGTGTGTAGGGTTATGTAGCTACTTTTGAATCTTGATCTGTTTGCAGTTTTTGTTTGTTGGGTGCAAAATCTGATTTCACACACTATTTGTGCTTGCAAGAAAACATAAATACATGTAATTTTTTCAGATGTATAAAGCATTTACAGAAACAAGACATTCCCAAGGGGGTAGAGCTTGCAGATGATGAATTTATATTGCACGTTGAAGGCACCGCAGGTTCGCAGAGAGTGGTGCGCCATATTGGAGGAGCTAGCTATCCTGGTCAGTCCACCATTTTCATGAAGTTTGCATCTACACAATCTTATTAGCCATCGTTGATTGAATAACATATCTGTCAATTAAGATCAAGTGCATTATCTTTAGGCAGGTTGACACTGACAAACTACGCCCTTTACTTTGAGGCATCATCTGTCGTCTCCTATGAAGATGCTTTAAAACTTGATCTATCAAAAGAAACAGAGCGTAGCGTGAAACCTACGGCCACTGGCCCTTGGGGTGCTCCTCTTTTTGACAAAGCCATAATCTATGAATCCTCTGAACTGTGAGTATCAGCTTGAGTACACCTTATCATCATGATGATCATTGAGAAGTCTCTTACACTTGCTAGAATGCATTTCTGTTGTTGTGTTTTGAGTATTGAATAGGCAAGAAGGAGTGGTTTTAGAGTTCCCGGAGATGACAAGCTCAACAAGGCGAAACCATTGGCTTGCTCTTATAAAGGAGGTTATGTTACTCCACAAATTTCTGTCGGAGTTCAAAGTCGAGTCACCACTAGAAGTGTGGGAAATGCATGCGAGGACCATATTAGGAATTGTACGTCTTCATGCCGCAAGAGAAATGCTCAGAATTGCACCTCCAGAGCCCAAAAGCTTTCTGATATTTGCCTTGCTGGATGAACTGCCAAAAGGGGACTATGTGCTGCAGGAGCTCGCCGAGAGTGTTAAGAATTTTACGACGGGGCATCCCTGCACTGCCAGTTCAGTTCTCAGGAACTTGAATGTCTCCCAGCCTTATGTTTCTTTCTTACAGGCACAAAAAATCAGTGACAATAATGAAGCTGTTCAGTCTGAAAATGTATCGTCCCTTGAAACAGCCATTGATCAAGTGCGCGAGGAGGCGAAAGAAATGGTCCAGGCTAAAGCCACTGCCGAGGGACTAAAGGAAGAAGGCATCACTGAAAGTGCACAAATTCTTCTGGCGAGTATCCAAACTTGTGGTGGTATATACAGACAAGTTTAAATCTTTCTGAATCATTCTTTCACACAGATTAATTTTGATTTACAGGGGCTAGTTAGACCATTTGGAAGATTGGTTCCCTGGCTGCAAGGAATTATTACATGGCAACACCCGAAGATCACCTGGGCCGTGATTGCCACGAGCTTGGTGGTAGTCTACAAGTATGTACCCTCAGTTCAGATGATCTATTCCATGTGTATTAATTAAGTTTTCTAAGTGCTGTTGGCTTGAATATAGAGAATGGATTGGCCTGGTTATATCGGCAGTTTTGTTGTGGGGTGTCGTGAAGATGATACAAGCTCGGCAAGGAAAGATTCCGGTAAAGCAAGACAAAATTGTTATCCGCACTGGTTCTGAGCAGACGACAATGGAGAGCATTGTGTCGGCGCAACAGGAGATAAAAAGATTACACGAAATGATGCAGCAAACCAATATAGCATTGCTTAAAGTGTGGTCTATACTGATCTCAAAAGCTCCAAAGGTAAAAGAAAAATGGCGCGAATTTGGAGAGTGGAAAACCTGATCATATTTTACATCCTAGAACACAATGGTTCAGTTCTCTCATGTGTTTTTGCCGTTGCAGCATACGAATCGAGTGATGATCATCATGAGCTGCTGTGCAGTTCTGCTATGCGTGGTGCCATTCAAGCTCATCCTAATGAGTTCGATCTCGTATGGTTTCTTCACGACGTCGAGGATCGGGAAGTGTATGCAAAGCAAAGAAGGCAACCGGCGACTGAGGGAGTGGTGGGACTCCATTCCTGTCCTCCCTGTCGAGGTTCTTGGCAATGAATCCAAGTAACTAACTGGTTGAGGTATGGAACTCCATTAATTAGTTATATACAGACGTAAAATCTACAAAGAATTAGTTTCTTCCGGGGTGGGTTGTGATTAGTAAGTATTCCAATATCCTCCTCCTCCATTCATACACACAGATTCCTTCACCATCAAGGAGGTCAATTGGTTGCAGCAGCTACTCAAGGGGATGATATGCATGTTTGCGAATTGTGATGTGATTCAATAGAGCAGCAGTGGTTGTCTGTAGAGTTCTCTTATTTCACACACACACACACACATATATATATATATATATATAGACTGTAGTATATATGTACATATATACACCAAGGATTGAAACTCCCAGTTATCTTCAATCATATTATATTATCTCTTTGCAAGAGTTAGTGGACAATATTTTATTTTGGTAGGATTAACTCTATAGTTTCTCTCCAATTATACTTTTGTACTTTTATTTTAGGGTTGAAAAATATTCTATTCAATATAATTTTATAAATTTATTAATTGAATGTATAAAAAGATATATATATATATATATAAATATCAATTGAAACATAAATAGAAAATATATATATATATATGTAAATTATTATAAATATAATTAAAAACAAAATTTACAAAGTAATTCAATGGACCAATTTATAATAAAATAAAATAAAAAGACAAAAAAAAAGGCACCTACAGTATTCCGCTCGAACTTGCATCCTTTCTGTTTGGTAGGGCGCTTTTTGCAATTTTGTCGGGGTCGCAATTCAAGACATATTTTCAAGAAAAATGAAATGCGTTTAACCTATGACCTTTCAAACCATGGGGCCATTCCTTAGGAGACAGAACAGGGCAGGATTTTAATCACACAATACAGTTAATACCCTAAGAGCGCCATTGGTAGTGTCATCTCACAACTCCTTAAACTCAAGCCTAGAATCACTTCTTTCTTCCTTCACAAAAGATAGAATTCAGGAAAATATGCACAAGTGAAGGATGTTGCATAGCATACACAGTATTCTGTTAATCCAACATAATACGGTAACTCTTAAGCTGCCAAAACAGGTTCTTGATCAATGATCATAATGTTTGTGCCTGCATACAATGATCATTATCCCAAAACTTTTAAGAACTTTCGACAGCTTCCCATCGTTCTTTTCTTAAGCCAAATTTGTTAAAGTTCCGAACAATAATTCCCTACACCATCACAGAAGTAGAGACTATATTAAGCCACTGCCTACTCTTACCGGAAAGTCGCACTGCGATTGCCAGATGCTGGGAATGCCTGCCGCCGTCTGCCCTGTGGAAGATTTGTTGTCCCACCATCATTCTTTGACTTGGCTGCGGCAGAGCCCTTTTTGCTAGACCTCCTACGATTTTCACCATCTTCATCCATTGGTTCTGTGCCATCACAATCTTCCCCAAATTTCACCTGTTTTCGAGCAGTGTCATAGTCAAAAGGTTCCACCTGTAAGGACAATGGTTGAGATTTATCAACTGATTTTGAATCCAAGGTGGTGCGATCCAGTGGAGGGAAGCACTTGTCAAAGCTGGAGGATAATTCAGAAAGTGACATGGGCTCATCCTCAGAATTGGAGGCAGAACCATCTTCCACATTTTCTGGTTGTTTTAACTGATCATCAGATGCTGCTGCATTGGAATAATCTTTTGCTGATAAATCTTCGATATCTGAGTCATCATCTAAAACAATAACATCTTCTAAAGTTGAACCAGGAGCAGGAGCTGAAACATTTTCTTGATGCAGGGTTTCCATTCTCATGGCAGATTCTTCAACTTTAGAATTTGATTGGGTGGAGGTGCCTGAAAATGAATGGAATGGAAGACTCACTGTTGACTTTATTTGCTCCAATTTCGCATGTCCTTGTTCCTGAAAATATGACCGTACATTACAAAGTCAATTAAAGGAAATCTCGGGATGAAAACACAGGTGAGGTGGGTTACTTACATACAGAAAGAGCTAATCACAAAAAGTTTAAATAGAAACAGCACTTGAAACTCACTGTTTTATCAGAATCATGTTTCCTCTTTGCTGAATTTCCAAGTAATGCCCCAAAAGCCCGGCTTGGTTTCTTTAATATCTGAACAGTTGCTCCAACCTAAAAAAAAGCAAAAGTGATTCTTATACCATGCCGATGTAGTGGACAGCAATTGGCACAGCTCAGAAGTATTAAAGCTCAGCTCTACTATTATGATTCATGGTTTTTTCATGTGATGGAATGAACCATAACATCAGAAATAAATCCAAGACTAGAATTACTATAAACAACTAACTACTCACTGAATTTGAAGAGTTAAGCTTGAATTGTGTATTCTGCGGTTCCCCAGGTGATACACTAGTAGCAGCCATTGCAGATGGAGCAACTTCAGCGTTACAGTTTCTAATATCTTGAGTTTTCCCTTCATCTTGTTTTAAGGTTGAGGAGTTCTCCAATAATGTGCTATTGTGTGAATCATTGACATCCTCAGCATTCTTTAATATTTCAGGGGCCTCTGAGTTCATTAAGTCGGGTTCTTCTGTAGCCATCACATTCTCTGCATTTGCCTTCTGCATATACAACCACGTCATCTTCAGAAACATGAAACCAATTACAGGTTTTCAAAAGCTCCACACAAATTTTAAAGAGCACATATGCACCTTGCAGGTGTCAAAACAACTCAAAAAAGGTACTGCCAAGTTATAGTTTTGATATTATAAATTACTAATAATAAAGTCCAACCTTCACTTAGAAGACATAAACTACTACGTCAAACTGAATACTGTCTTTGATCAACTGAGATTACAACACGCTAGATAAGTTAGCAAAGGATCTGCTGAAATATTTTTTATACAAAGTAATGCCCCGTGAATGCTTTGTCACACTTGCTATTTCAATTTTTAAATGTATGAGTAAACTACGGATTTTATGTTTCTTCCCATTAATTTCAAGAAATGTTATGCCATGTGAAGATCAAAACACAAAAGTAATGGAAGTTCAACCAACTGTACTCTTCACATTTAGATCTGGATCCAAAACAGACAACTTTAAAACTAATATAATCATTAAACACTTTACCATTTCCGAGCGTTTCTCTTTAAGTTGTTTAGCAGCTTCTTCAAATGCAGCAGCATTTTGGATAGCATGCCTTATAATGCTAATCACCGAACCAAGATTCCGTTCAACATATGGAAGCTTAGATTTCAGAGCACGACGCAGCTGGTTCGCGGTGAGGGGCATTTGTTTAGCTTTCCACAGAAGAATATAAGAAGCAACCAGTCAGAATAAGAATAATGTTGAGTGGGCATTTTAGAGAACCAAAACAACACAGTAGTTAGTTGAGAGATGGAATGACCAGCAAGTACCAATTTCAATAAGAGTCCTATTGGGCAGGATATAACCAGTGCTCTCATCTTCTGTCCGAGCAACAGCATCCCTCCATTCACAGAGTCCCTACAAGCCATAAATAAAATGTAGAATTTTAGAACACGACATTGGTAAAAATCCTAAAACCATATAAAACCATTGCTTAGACTAAAATTGCTCCCATATTACATGAAGAACTCTTAAAGAAATGGTGAAATAAATTATTAGTTTGCAGGCAAAACCAAAGACAAAAGAAGGGTGAGAAAAAATAACTGTACATGAAACTTACACAAACAACCGCAAGCTGCTGGGCACTCAGATAAGCATCCTGCAACCTAGATTCTCGTAATATAGATACTTATATCAGCAAAATGGTACAAACAGAGATACACTATAAAGCTGAGAAACAGTTAATCGTATGATTATATGTATAACATGATCCATGGTATTTTATCGTTGCAAACTAAAAATGAGGAAAAATATATATATACCCATAAATGTGAAGGTAGGAGGTCTGTGTGAGAAGTTCTTTTTCATAAAGTTGAGTGCATACATCATAGCTTCGGCTGTACACCTGCACAAAACAGAAAACAGCTGAGAGCAGTATCTAAAATTTATATTTGTGAACTTATTAAGTTCACACAAAGCTAAGCTAAATTAGTGCATGCTTTCCGTTAATTTTGCATAAATAGTAAGGGTTAAGAGCATGATTCTTCTTGTAGAAAAGGCAACGTTATTGCTTTCAGATCATATCTCATTCAATGTACATAGAATAAGAAAATAAGCATAATTCATTGGACTGCATCTATGAATTGTATGAATCATTATCAAACAGACCAAATGCAAAATATGTAATCTTATGAATACCTTGACAATTTTATAAATGTAAATAAAAATAGAATCCAAAAGATGGGGGAAACAATGCATTGATGAAGTTGAATATGTCCTAGGATTTGTTTGGTTTGGGTTTGTGTAATAGTGATTTGAAAGGTTTGAGTTTGTGTAATAGTGGTTTCATGTGATGTAAAAGAAAATAGTCCATTTTTATTTGCAACTATGCATACAAATTTTTATTGGCAACAACAAAAACTAAAACCAAACCCAACCACCTGTGACACTATTACCACTTCAATCCACTTTAAAGTAAATCTCAGCTACTTGCTGGAGCTTGACAAGTTAATAATGAATCCATCTCAAATCTTTTCTTCCAAAACATAAAATAAAATATATCTATTCAAGGACACTCTTCATCATTTCATTTTCCCATGATCCCTCATAACAGATAAAACTAAAGATGAATAATATCAAAGGGCTTACCTCAAAAAGAAGAGGCTCAGAACTCTCAGAATCAATTGGTAACTCAAGCAACTTTGCTCTCATAAGGTCATAGATGTATAATAAATAATGTGTATCTTCTCTAGCATATCTGAGACAAGAACATCCAGAAACAGTTATAACACCTAGAATCTTAAAATTTTTACATATGCAACCACATCTACAAAGATAGATAAAAGTTCCTTTGAAGAAAGAGGCAATATATTTCTATAATTGCATCGAAACTTCCATAGGACATTCACTAAAACAGGCAACATAAACTCCAAAACACATTAAGCAATAGCAAATATGAATATCCAGTGAGTAATAGCCATTAACCCACAAACAAGTCATACAAAGAAGCATTTACAGAAAGTAAAAAGGTATGGAGGAATTGAAATAGAAATGTGTACAAGACGTACTTCAGCATTTCTGGAGGTAGAGGTCTAATTCTCCAATCAGCATTTTGATATCTGCAGAAATAAAGCTGGTTAGCCGATATTTCCTACTTATCTGTATCATACTTTTATGTTATTCACTACAGGCTATATTAGCACCAAATATGATTTAACGGAGAGGTCATACTCTTTGTTTGCCACAACTCCACAAAAATGATTCAGCAGGTACTCAAGGCTGTGCCTTTCCATTTTCAATACTCTTGAAGCCTGTTAACAAAGGGAGAAATTGAATATAACAACATAATCAAACTAAAAAATGAGGGCAGAGCGTTGCAAAGAAAAACCAAAGTTACTTCATTATTATGAGTATTGAAAACAAAACAATATGAGCTAAAAGCCTAAACATTCAAACAAGAATAGAAGCAAGAATCTATTTTCTCAATCACAAATGCTTTGTTTGCGTGATGATAAGGTTGTCTCATAATCTACTATTGGACAATAAGGATTAGAGGACAAAATTATAGTTCCCAAACAGTCAGGTTTAAAGCAGAAAATGGCAAACACATAGCTTCAATGGGCTTCCCAACCAATAAGAATGCACATAATTACCCATTCACCATGGAATTAACTTGTATTCAGCCATTCGCTTTAATGAAAAATTCCATTATATGATACCAAATGTAGTACTTCTTCTTTTCCTTTATACATAAATAAATTAAAAAAAAAAAAATCATTTCCAAATTCACGGATAAAAATTCATAATAATTCATAATAAAACTGAGTGACTGTTGAGAAGAAAATAATAGAAGAGCACAAATCAAGTAAATACACACAATTGTCAAAAAAGCTATAAGATTAAGCCAAGAACCTGTCCCGTGTCGAACATATTGCACACATATATGCCAAAGTCCCGTTGAAGCCACACGATATCACGATCTGCCCCATGCATTACCTAAAATTTCAACCAATTAACAGCATAGCTAAGAAAGGAAACTGCAATAACACAGTGTAATATGAACTTCTTACACACCTTTCTCTTAGTGGGGTCTTTGAACACTTCTCTGAGATGAGGTCCAACATGAACACGAAGTTTTAGTGTATCTATAACAAAATCCTCTGTTCTTGTGGATATTTGCATCAGGCATGTCAATCCTTGAAAGGACCTATACTGGTTGTGCTCCAAATCAACCTGCAAAATAAAATATTAAAACAAAGATGTTAAGTAAAAATGATTTTCATTATTTCCATCTTATGTCCTTGATTTCCAATTACATAAGGAGTTACTTCAAAAAAAGTGATACAAGCAGCAAAAATAAGTGGATAAAACTCCATTTTAACACAACTTGTGAAATAGTTAAGATCAGAAAAGATGAAACAGATATGAACTTTGAAGTGAATGGTGAATTTCAATAGTACATTTGTATAATTTAGAAAAAGATGCAAGTGTATATACTAGATTATTTAAAGCACAATATTCAGGTAAATGTGTGTTGTGAATTAGGAAAATTAGACAGTATCTGTACCATTCCATTCATATGTCCATTAGCCTATTCAAGTGATCATGAACAAAAGGTTGAAATGGCCAACTCAAAAATAAAATCATTGGTGTTGTATTAAAGAACAAAGCACATCTAATTATGGATTCTAGGGAGTGCCATCCAGTTTTTATTGCAGGAAAAGGCACGCTTCTGCTTCTACAAAAAAATATTTTCAGAATTTTGTTTTGAATGAGAAATAACTTGCAGCGAAAGCACAAATTTGATGATTATGTACAAAAGCCTAAGAATCAATTTTTCCAGTGTCTTTCATGTCAATAGCACAAACTCCAAATGAACATATATAAGTTATTACCATATGACTAATGCAATAGGAGGGGCAAAACTTTACCGCAAATTCATCAACATGGCGCAATTTCATAGCCACCTGCTTCAAATCTTTAACTTCTTCTACAATCTTGAAGGGTGTATCTTCAATTGGAGGAGGCTTTACAGGCTCACCTATAATTTCATCTACAAAGTCAAGAACTGACAGATTCTCCTGCAAGCACAAAACAATTAATAAAACCACATTAATCTTTAGGCAAGTATAGGGAACAGAATATCACAGACGAAGGTAAATAATAAGCAACATTATTAAGAATGTATCAGCACTAGCGAATTCAAAGAGAAATCCTAACAGATACATCTGATGTTCGCAGAAATTTGAACAAGAATGAAAGTAACATCAAGTGTGGTTAGCAAGCAGATGGTTAAGTTGTAACAGATCCTTTTATATCCAATACACGTGTGCACCAAACTAATCAACCCCATTGTCGTTTATTGACATTAAAAGCATGTCCAGACAATATATTGAACAATCAGATGTTGAAGCAACATGAAAGAAGAAAGGTAAAGAACTGACCAGAGGATGTACGAACCTAGACCCATCCTCGCTCCTCTCCAACCAGACATGCTCAAACGGCTGGTTTGAGTTATTCACAATAATCTTGTATTCATCCTGCGGCTTTGGAATCGTCGGTATGTGAAACGGAACCTTTGCCTTCATCTTGGCCGCCACTTTCACTTCTTGACTCGCCCCCTTCGCTTCAACCTCCAAATTCTTTCCCAATGATTTTTTATTTTTCTTTCCATAAACAGTCTGAAACCCATTTTCGTCATCGGGATTAACTCTCATTGTTCTCACACCAGTCTCCTCTTCCTTCTTGCGCAGGCTCTTGAACTCATCCACTGACACATCAAACCTCTCGAAAAGCTCGTCGTTCACATTCTCCACCCAATCAAGACCCGCATCTTCATCGAGCGCAACCTCTTTATCGTCGGGCAAGGGTATCGGCTTTCCAAATAAATCTTCCAACGACCCGATATTCTGCAGTAAATTCTTTGCCTTTCCATCGATTTCTTGGACGGGGTTCTTGAATTCTTTGAAGTTATTGTAGAAATGGAAGTCTTTCTCCGTGGGGACGACGCGCAACGAACCGGAGAGCTTGGCAATAGACGTAGACAGCCCGCCGCTCGTCGAGAGTTTTCGCAACTCATCGGATTTTCTTGCGCTCTCTTCTTCCGATTGATCAATATCCATAGCTAGCACCACCTCGAATTATGAGAAGGGCATTCATAAAAATGAGGAATTTCTTGTTCTAGGGTTTTTGAGGTTTTTAAAAGTGTACTAGCTTTCGCGATTCGGTCACGTCCAACGACAGATACTACACGCAGCCAGAACCAACAAAGGGAAAGCCACTGAGAGAGAGGAAATCAGGGAATTGTGATTTCGAGCGTACAACACAAACCTGCTGAACAAAACAACGTACAACACACCGAAGCACGCCAGGCTTTCTCTGTGAAAAAGTAGGGCGTGTTTGTTTTCAGTATCAATTTCTCGATTTAAATGGTAAGGGGTGGTACAGAAAATTGTTGACAAAAAAAAAAAAAAAAAAATTGTTCTGTGGGTTATTGACAATAAAATATTAGGAAATAATTTTTTTTTATTTTTTTTTTTCAATTATCTTTTATATGAAGAGAAATAAATGTATTTCTTCAAATCTTTACTTTCGTATTCGGTCACGGATTTGAGAGTTTTATTTATAAATATAATAGAGTTTATTATTATTATAGTTTTAAAATATCAATTTGTACTTTTTTATATAGATATATAGTAATAAATAACGATAATTCGCTGTTTTATTTTAAATTTTTTATTTATCAACTAAAAAATAATTAATTTTTATTTTTAAGATAAAATTTTTCTCTATAATTCAATTATTTATTATTACTTTTTACAATTTTATTGTATGTATCAAAGATAAATATATTTATTTATTTAAATATATAAAAAAATATATTGAATAATACTTTTACCTATTTATATTATTTTTTAATATAATAATTAATATATTTAAAAATCAATACAAAAAAATAAATAAAACCATTAAAATCAGACGAAAATACTATTATAAATAGTACCATTGATAAAATACTGGACAAACTCATAATAGAAAGTTAACCAAACTGAACCCAAGATCACAAACACTAAAATGAACAAACATAAATGTAAAAATATATTAATATAGTAAACAAATAAAAATGAAAATAAAAAGCCAATTCAAACATTAATTTTATATCTTGAAATAAATATTGTTACTAAAAATAATAATTATAATATATCTTAAATAGTATAAATCTTACTATAATATTTAGTATTCAAAACATAATATCAATAAGCATCTTCTAACCATTCACAATATATGTCATGAATAAATAAGAATATTACAAGACTGAATGTTTGGTTTGATTTAAAAATATTACTGTATCATTGTCTATTTATTTTGTGAGATAATTTGATTAAAATTTTTTTAATATAAAATATAGAGAAAGCATGTAAAAAATATAAAAATAAAAAGTATGTATAATATCTTAATATTTTTTGAAAAATATGAATATATATATTATTTTTTTTGTTAAAAAGTACACCAACTTTTATAAATTGTATTATATTATTACTTAAATAAAAAATTCAATAATATAAAAGATATTGAGATGATGCTAATAACGTCTGGAATTCAATCAATAATTTATTGAAAATGCATAATAGAAAACACCAAAAAAAAAAAAAATGTAACTGATTTTCTTATATTCCTATTTAAATGATGTAAGGGGAAAATATTTCAAAAGAGAAGAGATATATATGAACACCTAATATATTATTATTTTCATTATTTATTTATTTTTGGAGGCAGAAAAAGCAGATGAAGTGTTGGAAAAAAAAAAAAAGGATTATAATAATACAAAAGGGTCATTATCCGAAGAAGAAAATCAATACACAGTGGTGTAAATGCACAAGGTGGAAGTATCCACTGCAAGATTGGAGTTCAGATCCGGGAGCATCTTAACCGTCAATAATGCAGGGATTCCAATGGGCTCCACTTAATCAACGGTAGGATAGATTCCTGGATCCGAGCACCCTGGTGCTTCCAACCTATTCTAGAATGTATAGGGAAATGGCTACTTGTGGGCAATCTGGGAAGTCGTCAGCACATGACAACCTGCCAAAGACCAGAATACAGTATAATTTTCAACAGGAGCTGGGACCCAAGAACCAGATAGATCGGCACCGTTTATTATTCTCATGAACGGCGTAGATTCATCCGGTGTTTAACCCCGGGATTCGAATATAAAGTAAACCCCGCAGAAAACAGTGGGACTGTGTTGGCCCAGAGGCAAAACCTCCATTTTTGATCTCGCAGTTTTGTTCGTCAATCTTGGGGCGGGAAGAAACTGCTTATCAACCTTACTTGGATGGTTTTCTAATTCTCAAACATTGCTATTTCCATCCCCATCCATGGCCCCTTGTTTTCTCATCTCCCAGCGGATTGATTATAAAAGCTCTTTCCTCCCTCTTGCAAAGTTTCCCCATCCAGACCAGACTTCCCATTTTCATCTTACCTTTCTTCCCCAATTCTCCAATTCGATCCTCCTTTCCCTTTTGTTCGTTCAGATCTGTTATTACATTCCGTTACCTGCATCGACGTGGGCAGCCTTGATTGCTTGGATTTTGGTTAAAAGGGGCCCCGGGTTTGGTAGGGTTAACAATCGGCGCTGTCGCGATCATGACAATAGAGGCGGAGCAGATTAAGAAATCGGATAGAGTCGGGCATATGGTTAGGGTTATTAAGAAGAGGCCGAGATGTCGGAGGAAGGTCGGAATTCAACTGCAGCGGCCGCCTGCCCCGCTTGTTTCCACCACTCTTCAAAACCTGTTCGATTCCTGCCGGCAAGTCTTTAGGGGCGCCGGAACTGTTCCGTCCGCCGCCGACGTGCAAAGCCTCTGCCAAATTCTCGGTGAGCAATATGCGTGTGCTTCTCAACCTCGGTTATTGATTTGCCCTAATTTTGATCGCGATCTGTATTAATGATTATCTGCATCGAAAATAGTTTGATCAAAGTGGTTGGGCCCAGCTTCTGTGGCATTTAAGATTGGAATCACAAATCCATTTGTAGCATGTTTGATAGTAGTTAGATCGTCAGCAAACCGTTTCATAGATCATCCCTGTAGTATGATGCATCGATCTTGATCAACTAACTAATTGAATCTTGTCAGTAAATCCCTAAATTTCTGGTACACGAATGAGCACGTTTTTCTTGTGCAATGACGATCCATTGCTAATAATAGTAGTTTTCGACAGATACTATGAAGCCAGAGGATGTCGGGCTCAGTCGTGATCTGCAATTCTTCAAACACAATAGCGAGATCGAGGGCACTCCAAGAGTCACCTCAGCAACCATTTACAAGTGTGAAAACTTTGAGGTAATCACAGAAAGTTAACTCCTTACATCGAATCAATTATTCCCGAATTTCAACTGATGTTCAAATGTCCTTATCCTGCAGCTGTGCATCTTCTTTCTTCCTGCAACTGGAGTCATACCTCTGCACAATCACCCAGAGATGACAGTATTCAGCAAGCTCTTGTTAGGGAGCATGCACATCAAGGCCTACGACTGGGCCGCACCTCCGGTTACAGAGTCTTCGTCCAAATGTATGCTCGATTACAGCATTTGTGTTAAATGTGGATGAGGAAGAAATGATAAGACACTAACATATGATTGAATGTGGATGGTACAGTGAGATTAGCAAAGATGAAAGCCAACAGAATCTTCACAGCTCCTTGCAACACGTCCGTGTTGTATCCAACCTCGGGAGGAAATATCCACGAGTTCAGAGCAATAACCCCGTGCGCGGTGCTCGACGTAATTGGACCTCCTTATTCCAAAGATGATGGGCGCGACTGCTCGTATTACAGAGATACTCCATTGAATGTAGCCTTGGGTAAGATATTATATCTCATACTATATTCTCAAGCAAGTTTACACAAGACACACCCTTTTTGTTGTGGCTTATGATTACGATTTCAGATAGGGAAGTAGATGTCGATGAGGTCGAAGCCGACAACTTCGGATGGCTGGAGGAAATCAAGAAGCCTGAGGAATCAGAGATGGATGGAATTGCATATATGGGACCTCAAATTATTGATTCCACAGCTTAGCTATACATTCTTGTATTTTGTTAATGACTTAATGTACTTAGCTTCAAATCTGTTTTGTTTCTACAGATTAATTTCTTATACATGATTTTCCTTTTGTAGGAATGACAGTAGTAAAATGTATCAATGCTATCACAATGAAATCTTGCTGCTGATCTTTTTGTTATCATCCAGCAATTCTTGAGAACTATGAGCTATTATCTAATGTCGATTTTTTAGGTGTCTAAAGGGTTCATTTTGGAGCAATCACTAACCATTGATTTTGTGGGGTTTCGTCTAGGATTTTGGAATGGATAGAGGCATGCAAGAAATTTTATTGTAAGAACCCAAAATTGACTTCATCCATACCTTCTAAGTTCTTAACCCTATTTCAACATTTTATGGGCCATTGTAGGGTTCGAATTGTTTGGCATGAAGGAAATTGTGTTTAGAAATTCCTCATTGTTAGGCCCAAAGGAGAAGGATTCTTTGGGGTTTCCCAAGTCTACACTTTATAGCAGCTAATGGTCCTTACCTAGTTTGGTTATCTTTGACAGCAGACCCACCCCCCACCCTCTACCTAAAGTCACTAACTTTGCTTTAATCCAAGGCTGCAATGCACTGTTTGTGTTGGATCTGTGAAATCCCTTTAGTCTTTTTCAACTCTTGCTTCATTATAAAGAAGAAAAAGAATCAAATAATGGAGAAAATGAGCATCAGACTCCATTGTTCTACCAGATATGAGAAAGATCCAATATTGCTGATAGTATGCTTCTTTCGGAATTTGCACAGTTCTTTTTAACAGTGAGGTGATAAGATTAAAATTTCTCCTGATTTATTTCACATCCCAAATTGATTTCATCTCCACCGCCAAAAGGGTGCTTAGTCAGATTCACAATAATTCTGATGAGATGAGAACTAGAAATGAAAAAAAAGCACATACAGAGAGAGAGAGAGAGAGAGAGAGAGAGAGAGAAGAGAGAGAGAAAAAGTGCCAAAGAGAAACAAGCTGACTTAAAAGAGGGTCACAGCTAAGCCAAGATAACTACATTTTGGCTGCCCAAAGGCCAAACGCCAAATCTATTAAATTTTATAATTGCTTGTTAATATTATTGATATATCAGCTTCTGTTGACGTCCCAATCAATCTCATTTATTAAAGAAACACATAATTGCATGTAGCAGATAGCGAATGATCTCTACAAATCAAGGGAGGAGAGGAGAATAAATAAAGGGCTACTCCTCATCCTCCTCTCCAAGAATCTTTATAGAATATATATATTTCTCTGGGGTTTTATTTTCTTTTGGTGGTTCAGTCCGACAAAGGGCTCCTCCATTAAAGCTTCAAAAGTGCTGTGTAAGTGGGCAAGGCATGGCATACAATGTGTTCAATAGGTGGAAAGTTTGTTGAGAGAAAAGGGCAGTGCTATAGAGAGCTGGAGATTGGAAATTAATGGCGGTGATAATGGCGGTTAAAAGTGTGGTTTGGCACTGATTTTCATGAAAAACCTTTTCACTTCAATTGTCCTTTTCTGTTACGTTAGTATTGTCAATTGTGGCCGAACCCACCTGCCCATTCCTTCTCGAATTGTTGAAAAGATTCAAGGGACTGTTTCCGGTGAAGAATTGCAGGAAGACCGTGGTGGCATTCAAGAATCTTGTGGGTAGAGAAATCAGTGGAAAGTGTAATAAAGAGGTGTTTGAAGTTTAAGGGATTGCTTAATTTGAAGGTTAGTAGTGTTGGTTGAAGTTCAGTAACACCTGATTTCAGTGTCTCAATTGTTTCCTCTCTTTTAGTCATATTTCTGTGATTGATTATGTTTGGTTGCTTCATTTGAAGGTAATTTAAGCTCATGGCTGATTAATTCTTTTCAGACATGAATGGTTTCTTGGATCCCTCGAAGGTATGCTTCTCTTACACCAACTCTTGCAATTTTTTCACTTTCAAATTGGTTCGTGTGTTGTTTATCAATTCATTTACTAATGCAGAAGAACTCTATCTACACACAGCAATTTCAGATATCAATGCTAAGCAAATGCTCTAGAAATTGCTTGATTTTTGGCCAGAATTCAGAGATACATACATTAGATTCCAAGAATTTTGCCATGTCAAGAACAATGGACAACTTCTGATACATTTCCATGGACAGATCTTCAAACTGAGGCGAAAAGATAAGTGATTGCTTTAAACTTTCTTTATTCGATAAAACGCCTCTTTAGATACAGCTAATGGCGAAAAGAATTGTCTGGAGAATGGTTCTTCTAGTTTTGTGTTTCATGGTGTTTTCAGTACCTTATACAGTGCAATTACAATCATCCCATGTCCAAACTCTTCTGGAAATCAAATACCTACTGAACTCTCCACCATTCCTGAATAGCTGGAATAACCATACTGACTTCTGCAACAGCGAACCGTCTGCAACTCTGATTGTTGTGTGCTATGAAGGCAGCATAACACAGCTCCATATCGTTGGAGATCAAGGAGCTCCTCGATTGCCTGAAAATTTCTCAATCGATTCTTTTGTCGCCACGCTTGTGAAGCTTCCAAGCCTGAAAGTTCTTACATTGGTTTCTCTCGGGTTATGGGGACCGTTGCCTGGAAAATTTATGCAGTTGTCATCTCTGGAAATACTGAACTTGACCTTGAATTACTTCCAGGGGAACGTACCGGAGAGTATATCATCGATGGAGCATCTTCAGACGCTGATACTTGATAGCAATAACTTCACAGGAAAACTTCCTGATGGCATCGGATTGCTTTCTGGTTTGGCTGTTTTGAGCATTAGGAACAATTCCTTGCAGGGATCTTTGCCAACGTCATTGGGAAGTTTGGAAGACCTCCGGATTCTTGATCTGTCGAATAACAATTTATCCGGCGAAGTTCCTGATTTGAGCAGATTGGCAAATCTTCAGGTTCTTGATTTAGGAAGCAATTCTCTTGGACCTGAGTTTCCTGTGGTCAGTGAGAAAATAGAAAGGATTGTGCTGAGGAACAATAAGTTTACCCTTGGGATTCCGGAGAAGGTTCAATCCTACTATCAGCTGAGATTCTTCGACATTTCTTCCAACAGATTCGTGGGGCCGTTTCCTGTATCGTTGTTATCTCTGCCATCTCTCACTTACATGGATATCTCGAAGAACAAGCTCACAGGAATGCTGTCTGAGAATCTCCCCTGCAATGATGAGCTCAGTTTTGTGAGCATCACTGCCAATCTGCTGACAGGGAAACTGCCTGGCTGTTTGCTGTCCAGTTCCAGGAAACGAACTTTTCTGTATGCCAACAACTGTTTGGACACAGCGGGCGAGAATCAACAACCGATTTCCTTCTGCAAGAATGCTGCTTTGGCTGTGGGAATGTTGCCTAATCGGCGCAAGCGAAAACAAGCTTTCAAAGTAGTTCTGGCTGCAAGTGTCTGTGGAGGAGTCATTGGAGCAGTACTATTAGTTAGTGTAGCCTTTTTTGTAGCGAAAAGATTTCTTACAAAGAGAGAAGAACGAAAGCCTCAACCTACGGGTACGGCAGAAAATACATCCACAGGCTATACTTCTAAATTCCTTCAGGATGCAAGTGAGTTTTCGTCTTCCATCAATCTATCTTCTCAAGCAAGAAATTTCAGTTCAATTCGATCATTTTTTTCTGCTCGTAGGATACATCACTCAAGCAATGAAGCTTGGAGCAATCGGCCTTCCACCCTACAGGACATTTTCACTGGAAGAACTGGAGGCGGCGACGAATAATTTTACTACATCAACATTCATCGGAGAAGGATCTCACAGTCAGGTATTTGTGTCTTGTTATTGTTGTATTGACTAAATAAATGCTTTCGGCTAAATATTGTGCGTACCTGAACTCAGATGTACAGAGGCCAGCTGAGGGATGGCTCCAGCGTTGCGATTAGATGCTTCAAACTCGAAAAAAATCACAGCACTCAGTACTTCATGCCTCACATTGAGATGACCTCAAAACTCAGGCATCATCATTTGGCCAGTGCTCTTGGGCATTGCTTCGAGTATAACTTGGAAGATTCGTGTGCCAGCAGGGTTTTCCTGGTCTTTGAGTACGTTCAGAATGGGACTCTTCGAAGCTGGATATCTGGTAAATAAATAGACGCCGGTAAAAACATTAACCATATAGGGCTAAATGCATTTACACTGTTAATTTTGAGTAATGTTTGGCAGAGAGAAGAGCTCGAACAAGACTTACATGGGCTCAGCGCATCGCGGCTGCCACAGGGGTAGCCAAGGGCATCCAGTTCCTTCACACGGGAATTGTTCCCGGTCTCTTTCGCAACAACCTGAAGATAACCGATGTTTTGGTTGATCAGAACCTTGTTGCTAAAATTAGCAGCTACAACCTGCCATTGCTTTCGGAGAATATGGGAAAAGTATAATTAGTTCCTGTACAACATGCTTTCGACATATTATGGCCCAAACTGACCCTTAAAAATCTGCATACATAACCCTGCCAGGATCAGCTTCAAAATTTCCTTCAGGGATCCAAGAAGGAGCGTAGGAAGGTAAAGCATCAAGACAAGTCGGATATATACGACTTTGGAGTGATATTACTAGAGATCATCTCCGGAAAGCCAGTGAACACCAAGAATGAAGTTGAGGTTCTAAAAGAACAGGTATCGAAGATTTCTACCTACAGTCATCAGTAAACAATGGTTATTCATGGATGATTAGAACATACCTTGTTTGGTGCTGTGCAGTTGCAAGTGAGCTTGATAATGGACGAGACAATGAGGAAGAGTGCAGTCGATCCTGCAGTCAGGAACATGTGTTCAAGCGAATCAGCGAAGACAATGGTGGAGATGTGCTGGAGATGCTTGCTCAAGAATCCAGCCGAAAGGCCCTCCATTGAAGATGTTCTGTGGAATTTGCAGTTTGCTGCTCAGGTTCAGGATGCGTGGAGAGGCGATTCCCAGAGCAGCGAGGGGTCTCCGATTTCACCTCTGCAATCTTCGCGCCTGAAGATAAGTATCAAACAGTAGATCATACAACAGTCGGTACACTTCCTCATTAATCTCCCCTGGACAAACTGCAGCTCCGAGTTCATCAAATCTTATTTGTAAATTGTAATTGTAATTGCTGCTGCTACATTATTAAGCTTTTTCTTGTTTAGATTTGTAGGCATAATATTCTGCTGTATGTCAGAATTTCATTGGCATTCAGAAGAGAAATGTAATGAATCCTCACATTTTTCTTCCTTAATGCAAGTAATGCTTTATAGTCCCTTTTGTTGAGATGGAATTGTGGTGTTAGAAAAATGGATGAATATGAAGGGTAGCAAACATGGAATGTGAATAAGCAAAGCAATTTCCAATTCCATGCTTCCCCTTCCCTGTATTAATCGATGTTTGCCAGAATGTATCGAATAATCAAAAGCACAATTTAGCATGACTTGAGCTAATCAACATCTAATCAAGAACAGACCTTCAATCCTGAGCCACTTACCAAAGATCTACACCAGGCATAACTCATGCCAAGAACAATCTTGGGATGGATTCAGAATAATTCCCTGATCCAAGAATCTCCCTTTCATATTCGAGCCTATGACTCACTCACCTCAGTCTCAATAAATTACTTCCCCATAGTAGTGTATTAAGGACAATCATGAACCAGAGTGTCCTAATCTTGCATATGCACACCCTAGAAGAGATCATGGAGCCATAGCTCATTTGACAGAACAGACATCCAAACAGGAAAGCACCATCACAACTACAAAAACTGAATCGCAATGCTAATACTTATGCCGTCGGCATTCATTGTCAACCAGAAGCAGCAGCCAATATTATACATCAGAAATACTGCATACTACTTGAAATTCCATTCCTTCGCCAAGCGTACGTACTGAAGTAGTTAAGTCATACAACACACAATGAAGCTTCAAGATCCACTGTGCTAAAGCTTTTCACACAACTAATGTTAAAGAACCCAAATTTGCATCCACATAAACACACGTAAAAGAATCAAACAACTAATTCAAAACCAACCAAATTTTGTAAGTCTTCCGTAGAATTAAAATCTCAGCAACAAGAATCACATCAAACAGAATATGTCCTTGAGTTTGCTACATTTCAATCTTCTACAATTGTAAAGGCAAAAACTTTTCGGTAAACAGAGTAACTCAACGAAGGTAAGCAGGGATCTTAATACGGATAAACAGCATACTCATAACATAAGAGATCACCATGAAGGCAACTCCGGATGTGGCATAAGAGACCTTAACACTCTTTGCCCGATTCTTGTCCAGCGCCAAATCCATGAGCACGATCCCGATTCCGCCGAGCAGGAACATAAATCCCGAGGAGAGACCCTCAATTATGTACTGGCCGTTGACCCGACCCGGGAGGAAGACAACCGGCCGAACCGCCCCCGTAAGACGGTCCTGTGTGGATCCAATGCCCGGAGGCTCGACGATGACGTCGTAGACGATGCCGGAGACTACCATAAAGTAGGTTAGGAGGATGAGAGAGTACACAGTCATGGCGGAGGGCAGGGTGAAAGAGGGGAGCTTCAGACGCAGGCGCGGCGCGCGGAGGAAGGAGAATGGGAGGATCCGGATGACATGGAAGATCGGATCGAAGGATCCCGACGACGAATCGGCGGCGGACATCTTTCCCGGAGGGATTGCGCTGCGGAGATGGGTTTGGGAAGATGGAATTTGGGGGTTTTTATTTATTATATTTATTGCTTTGCAACAGTGAACAAACAGTAGTTCGGATTTAGGATTAAAACTTGCATAAAAAATTTTATGCGACACATAATTGAGAATTAGGCTACATATATCTAGACCGATACAGAATAATAAAAATTTAAAAACAATAAAACAAAATATTGTACTCCTTCCTATTATTATTATTATTATTTTAATTTTAGTTTCATTTATATAAAATGTTTTAAAATTTTAAAAATAAAAATTCAAATATTTAGTATGATACACTTTTTTAAAAAATTAATTAAATTGATAAATAGTGTTAAAAAATTCAAATGCATATTGAAGGATGGATACTTGGGTATAAAATCCTCAACAGTGTCCTCCTCATTATGTTCTTGTAAATTTTATGGGGTTGTTTAGTTAGTGGTAATTTATTTATTTATTTAAAAAAAGTAAAATTAATAATTTGAATTGTAATGTAAATGTGTAAATTAATAATTTTTTGAACACGATGAATTAATAGCATAAGGACTGTGTGGTAATGTAACGTAGTGTTATAGTACGGAATATATTAATCAGGACAGAAAGAAACACGACAAGCTCAAGCAGCAGTCAATACAAGAACTGAAGAAACAATATAATTTTACAGACAGACCAACTAACATTCAACATTTACATCTAACTAACCTAAAACATACATAATTCATAAATTAAAACCATCCTGCAAAAACTACCAATCCAATCCAATCCAATCCTTCAATTGAATTCGACCTCGCAAATTAACATCTACATACATACATACATAGGATCGTATGTCAGTTTATTTCGACAAGTAGGACTTGGGCGAGAAGAGCCGTTTAGGCGAAAACATCCCGATATATCTCCCCGGCGACGGCGACGGCGACCGGCCATGGCCGTCGGCGAAGTAGTCACGATCCCTGGACAGGGTGGAGCCATTAAAGGTCCCACATTTGGTCAATTTCCCGATTCCGAACCACGATTTTTTCCGGGGAGAGCTTTTCCGGTGGGTCCCATTAATGTTGCTGCAGAGGTAGTCCTTCACCGCCGGCAGGCCCTGCTCGATGACCTCCGGCGGGGGGGAGACGAGGGGGTTCCCCTCGACGCTGAGCTTCTGGAGGTTGGTGAGACAGCCGAGGGAGTCCGGCAGGGCGGCGATTCTGTTGTAGCTGACGTCGAGGTCGACGAGGGACATGAGGAGGCCCAGGGAGTAGGGGAGCGTGTCGAGGTGGTGGAAGTTCTGGCTCACGTTCAGGATTTTAAGGTTGACTAGGTTTTCCAGGTCGTCGGGGAGGGACCGGAGGCAGTTGAGGCGGGCGTCGAGGACTCGTAGGTTGGTCAGGTGGGAGGTCGATCGGGGAAGGAAGGCCAGCTTGTTGGAGTTCACCGACAGCTTTTTAAGGTTGTGGAGCTCGAATCCCATGGTGTCTGGTAATTGGCTTAGCTCGTTGAAGTTTGCATTCACCTCTTCCAGAGATCTAATCGATGAGGACGATGATGATACATTAAACAAAATAATATGTCTATTGAGAAAAGTTGACTTTCTGTGTGTAAATGGTGATAAGTTCGTTGATGATATAACGAATTAATTGTACCTGCAATTTTCGATGGTTGTGGGGAGATGTGTAAGAAGATTGGCTGATACATTGAGGAACTTGAGCTTGGACAAGCATCCTATGGAATTAGGGAGGGATTTTAGCTGGTTGGATCTTGCATCTAACGCCGTCAAGTTCAGGAGCCTCGCCGTCAGTGACTCCGGAATGCTCTGTGAGATGCCGTCAACGTTAACGTCCGTCAGTCAATGATCATCGGAGGAAGAAGACAGAAGGTAGATAATTAAATTAAATTAAATACCTGGAGATTGTTATTGGAGAGGTCTAATTTACAGATGGAGGTGAGATTGAGAAGAGGATTAGGGAGAGCATCCATGGACAACCCACTAAGGTCGACTACTTCAGACATCTGGAAGTCGTCGTCGTTGACATCCTTCTCCACCTCCATTGATCTTCTTCTTCTAATTCTTCCATGGCGGCTGCTGCTGCTGCTAATATTCATATTGGTGGTCGTCGTCGTCTTCCTCCTGATCAATTCCATATTCGTCTTCCCGACCTCCATCATCATCGCCCTGCTGGAGATCAATTGCTGCTCATCGTATACGTACATATCGATCATATGATCTTCAATTCAACTCTTCAATTCGTCTGCAAATTAATATAGAGAGAGAGAGAGAGAGAAGAAAGAAAAAGAAAGAACCGGACGAAATAGCAACTGTAGAGAATGCAGATATGTGTATGTATATGTGTATGCATGTGTACGGCTGGGAGTTGGTGACGAATGACAAAGTACAATTTCCGTAGGGTACGTACGTAGCAATGCCACAGTTTAGTAATAAAAAATTCATGCAAAAGTCAACCCTTGTCTCCCTCCAGTAACTTTCCCTACCCACCCATCACAGTTACCTTCCTTTCCTCCTCCTCCCATCATTTTGTCTTCCACGCCCATATAATAATAATAATAATAATAATTAATTAATTATACCACCTGAAAATAAAATTAAAAAAATCTCACCTTTACCAGTTTTCACCACTTGATTCTGTCGGGTCACGATAAAATTTATTATCTGCACTCTGAATCTGGAAATTTATACACTCCATAATATAGTCTGAAATTTAAATTTACTGAAAATGGTGTACTGGGAATTGAATACTGAAGAATCACATTAAATAATTTAATTTAATTTGCACTGGAACGGAACACACAGCTGGAAACACAATTCAAGACAATCAATGGCTATTATATATTTATTGTTTTTCTGTGTATATGCAGACTTGCAGAGCAGACAATATATACAATATTATATATATATATAAATATAAATGGTAATTAAAATGTGATTTTGTGTGTGAACTGATGAAGAATTAGAGATAAGGTGAGGAGGAAATTTTGTAAGAATTTTGAGGTTGTTAATGATTGCTTGTGAAGTAGATTCTTGTAGATGGAGATAAGATTTGATACATATGATTTGGAATTGCTAAGGTTAATTAGTCAACAAAATTAGGTCACACAAAAAATAAAATTGAAAATTTTAATCTCTGGGTATTAATAAATATTTGATTCTAACAGCCAAAGAACATTTTATGTGTGTTTGTGACATATTAATTCAAATAAACATATAGTAATTAAAGGGACAGATCACAAAAGGATAAGGACAAATACTTCAATTTTCCTACTTTTTATTCAATGCTGATAGCAAAATAAATCTAATATTTTATAATTTAGAAACATCAAGATATGTATACTATACTCATATTTTTATATAGATATATCGATCGTACAAGCCAACTTTCGATTTTTACTAGATTTTTGTTGGGAAGGACAGATACTATAGTAAAAATATATATATATATATATATAAATCAGTAATTGTTTGACTTATTTATATGACCACTTAATTAATAACCAATATTCATTCAACTAGTAAAATGCCCAGAATAATTAATTATTTTATTAAATTAGAATCATTGAATCATACCAATAATGAAATCAGCCATAGGAAATAAAAATGAACATCCACTGTCATTATTTATTTATCTAAGCAGATGATATGATGATCCAAAGCCAAATTGGCAAAACTTAATTATAATTCATATATATATATATGCACGTAATTGAATAATCTTGAATCACAATCATATCCAACCTGTAAATTGAACAGTTTTTTGTAATTTTTGATAGTGACAAAAATTATGTTAGTGTTGGGACTTGGCTGACACTAAAAAAATTGATAATATATATATATTTGTTAATTTTGGTACATCCAATGAAATTAATTAATTAAGGTGTCCTTTCATGAATGTTGCAAGTCAAAAAGCCTCCAATCTATGGATACATATTATTGTTAAGATCAACTTGATACACATTCAAAAATTCAACTCATTACACATTCAATAATTAATAAATATAATAATAGCCCATAAATTTAGCTAGGGTTGATTTCACATAATCTATATATATATATATATATAATAGCTTTGAAATTATTAAATAAGCAATAGTAAAATAATTTTAGAATTTTGTTGATACATCCTTGTAACATGTCTGTGTGGGATTGAAACCGTGTTGTATGTTTTTTAAATTTATATATATATATATATATACACATATATGTGTACGAATGGGTATTATTTTGGTATATTCTTAATTCTTATATATAAACTATCTAAATCAAAGTCAAAATTATATTCCATTTTATATTATTAATAATTAACCGGGTCTAAAACACACCCCAAGTCTCCAACACACTATTAAGCATGCGTGCCAATTTATATATATATATATATATATATTTATTTATTAATTTGAAATACAACGAATACATAAAAAAAAAAAAAAAAAATGTTGTTATCAGCATTAATTTTAAATGATAATACCTAGATATGAATTTCAATTTGTATATTTAATTAATTAAATTCTATATAAGTCAAGAGCAAATTAGTGATACACTATTCAAATAAAAATTAAATGAGACTGACTAAATAGTACAAAGTAATTTAATAATCGGTGGAATAATACAAATGTCAATAATTCTAATGAATAGCTCACCTTCATAATTAGATAAAATTTCAAGCTGATAACACATTATTACACACACATATATATATATATATATATATATATACATGGCCTGGTTAGTTACTTAATTGAAAAAATAACCACCATGATTAAAGAAAATCATATACTCCGTCTGTCCTATGGAAGGGTGGCGTTAGCTTTTTGCATGTAGATTTTTTAACATTAGTATTATATTAGATTGTAGTAAAAAGGACAAAAATACCCCTGTTAGTATGGTGTAATATAAAAATAATAACATTTGTGTAATATATTGTAAGTTGAAAGAGTATTTATTATGTGAAGTAGGCAATACAATTACTAAATTAGTAAATGGTAACCTTGTTTTGGGAGGGACGAAAATGAAAAATGGTAACTTTCCAATGGGACGGACGAAAATGAAAAATGATAAATTTCCAATGGGACTGAGGGAGTACTACTTATGTTGAATTTAACAATATATTGTATCCCACCACAGATGATCTTATTTTATTTTTGGTATATCCCAAAATGATCTCTTTCCATTTTTGATAAATTTATCAATCTTAAATATATTTAACAAATATAAATCAATTTAATTAAACTTCCGCGTAGGACGCACTCAAAACCTCTTTATTTCTATCTCTTTCCTCAATTAACAAATATTTTTATCTACCTTAAAAATTCCTGATTTTTTATAAAATTAATTTATGATAATGATAAATAAATAAATATATTTTTTTTATTCATCTGTATTATATAAAATTTTATTGTCTACAAAATTTTATTGAGATATAATTCTAAAAATATTTAAAAAAATACCAATAACATTACACATATAAAAATAATAAAATATTATCTTAACTTATTATTAATAACTTATTAACCTACATTACCTAAAATACAGTATCCTATTATTTTATATTTGACTATGACATATGGTGGATGTTTATATATTTTATTTGTATTATATTATCATAAAATGATTAATATATTTTATAGTTAAGAATAATACGATCTATATTTAAATTCAATACATGTAGTGTATTCATACAACACAATTATATATTATTATTTAAGACAAAATATGTTGTTTGTATTTATAAAATTGTACTGACTCTATTTATAATATGTAATTTGTCCGCATATCATATGTTCTTAGTTTGTACTATGTTCATACATTCACACACTACAATTATATATTTATTATTTAACACAACATATATTGTTTGTATCTATAAATTGTGCTGTTTTTTTATGTAACGTCAGTACATATTGATTTTTTCAGTCGGCATACTAACCACCGTTATATATATATATATATACTTAATTTCTTTGCTTACTAAAAATAGTAGACGTAATTACGGACATCGAAAACCAGCTCTTAAAACACATATATATATATATATAGGTAATACTAAAAATTGTTTAGCTCTCATCCTATATATTATTATATAATATATATAGATATAGTCATATAGATATAGGATATATGCATGTATCTGTGGTAAGTGAGGAATGTGTGAGTGAGACTGGCAGGTTTCCAGAAATGGCAAGTACAGAAGGATGCCAGATGTAGATAAGAGTGAGGACAAGAAGATGACGACCGTACACAAACTATTATCGCTAAATCTTACTAAAAGCTAATTGCTGCAATGCTGTTCCGCTTCCTTTTCCAATATATATACTCTTTAAAGATAGACCAGATCAGGATCGAAATCAAATATTTTAGATATTTAATTTTATATTTATATTTAAATTTGGTCTAATCTGTATATCTATATATTATTATTATATTACTTTAGATTATCAAATCTGTTTTGTTTTGTATTGCTTATAAATAAATAAACCTTTATTGATGATCAAAAAGACAATTTCTTTATTTTTTCTCAAAATTTCTAACAATCAAAGATGATAGATTAATCAATCTCCACCGCCGGATCAAGAAACGAAATTAAAGTTGACATAATTAATTGATTTTCCGAATTTGGATTTTCATGCATCATTAGTTAATTAATAGTACTATTAGCTGTCTCTTCGCCTACTTAATTTCTGTCGGTTTACTACTACATTCCTTAATTCATTAATTTCCCTCCTATCTCCTCTACCATTATATATATAAATGGATGTTGAACACAACAACAAAAAAAAAAAGATCTTCCTATCAGTGAGGAACAAGGCCTGCCTGCAATAACATAATAATAATTAAATTATTATTATTATTATTGTTATGTGGTAGGTAGGTGCAGGTCGATCATGGGAGGAATAGTGGATTTGAGGCATATGATGTCTGCTGTTCTTACATTCTCAATGTTCATTATGCTTGGCCACATGATCAAAAGAGACCACATTGATCCAGCTCTGGTAATTAAATTAACCACACATGATCAATCATTTAATCAAACCCATTATTTATTTATTTATTCTTTCTTACATGATCGAAAGGGGCCACTGAAGAGATCACCAATTGTAGTCCAGTACAGTGTCCTCAAGGTCTCCAAAACAGGCATGCTTAAACTCTCAGAAACCAATTCAGGGCCCTGGAATTGGAACTGGAATTGGAACTCCAAGAACCAACATCACCATAACCCCTCCTCCACCACCCACCCCTGCTGGAACATACCCTCAATACTAAGTAATCATCAAATCAATCAATATATATATATATATATATAGTAACATCTACTGTTTGAATCTCTGATTAATGATTCAAGTATCCATTTCATTTTTTTACACAAAGCAAAACAGCAGGAAACCAGAGGCTACATCTTCTTCACCCTCACTCCCAACCCTGAATTTCATGCCTCCCAAGTTAGTACAAATTCCCAAATATTTTCGATTATTCGCCGTAGATATTTTGAATCATCTTCCTCAATTGCATTGCAGGTTGCAAATGCCGTTGCAGTAGCGAGGCATCTGAGAGCGACGCTAGCACTTCCCGACATCAGAGGATCCGACTCGGCACAGAAAAGGCAATCAATCAATCAATCAATCAATCATTTCTCGACTCAAATAAACAAACCATATTTCGTAACATCGATCTTACACAACGTAAACCTTGCAGGAATTTCAGCGAAATCTACGACGTGGACAAATTCGTAACAAGCCTGGACGGGGTAGTAGCAGTCAACAAGAATCCACCAGCTGAACTATCAAATGAGAAGCTTACCGTAGTCAGAATCCCGGATAAAGTTACCAATAACTACATCGATTCAATCATTAGGCCAATTTTCAAGACTAAGGGAAACCTTAAAATCATCACTCTCTTCAGCTCCAAGGAGAAAGAAAAGCAGCAACCAAATCCATACCAGTGCCTGGCAATAACCAAAGCCCTAAAACTACAACCAGAGCTTCAGAACCTGGTTGATTCGATGATCGGGACACTACGAGGCCTGAGCACAAAAACAGGCGGCAGATTCATCTCGGTAGACCTGAGGACGGAAATGTCTGATAAAAACAACTGCCAGGGAACAGATTCCGCGGCGAAACAGTGTTACAATGCACAGGAAATCGGGGAGTTCCTGAACAGGATAGGTTTTCGCAACGACGCAACTGTATATATAACTCAGACAGAATGGAACACTAGTCTGAATCCATTGAGAAATTTCTTCCCCAGCACATTTACTAAGGTAATATTTGCCCTAACCTACAATGATGTATACAGAAAACAATGGCACTCAAAGTGACTTCGACATTTTGGTAACAGGAAGCTATAATTCCGGCTGATGAGAAGGTTAAGTTCGGGGGCTTAAAAAGTGGCGAATATGAGAAATTCATCAACTACTACATGTGCGTACAAGGTGATGTATTTGTTCCGGCTTACCCGAGCAGGTTTTCCGAGGGTGTTGTGGAAGAAAGAATTGCCCTTGGTAAGATGCAGGTTTTCCTACCTGCCAATAAATCTTCCACCTCGGCTGCTGACTACATCTCACCCTACATAGCCAAGAAGGATCGCCATGCTCAATCCTGCTTCTGCTGAAAACTACAATCCAACTGTAATTTAAGTGGCTTTAGGTCTTGGTAAAGTTTAAGGTATAAGGTTGTACTAGAAATAAGACGGTTTTAATGCTCTAACAGTAGACCCTATCTCTCTTCTACAAAGCACTCGTTCATGACGACAATGAAAGTGTTACCAATTAGTTAGATTGCAAAGAATCAAGAAAAAGAAAAACCAGCACTCAACCACAAAATGTTAACACTGTTCAGCAATAGAGGCATGAAGTGCTGTCGATAGTTTATCCATAATAAATAAATGAAAAGCAATTTAGGCAACGTTCAAACCTCAAAACTCCTCTCATGTTTATGTACACAAAAGCTCGTCTAATCTGTAGGAGCATCTGAAGCATTATTGTCTTGACCTGCAACAGAAAGAACGATAGGATAGAATTTATTTAGTTACTCCGAGATCAGCATTTCTCACTTTATTAATCTTAAATGTCAAATGCACTGTGGCTTACTACTCTCATCCTTCTTACGGCGACGAAATTTCCTTGTCAAATATTTGCTGAAAGGTCTTTCGGGGACTGGAATGAGTTTTCCAACAGCAGCGAGAGGCCAACTGGTAATATATCATCAAAGATAATGTTCAATATCAAATACAAGTATCTCATTACAGAGCTAGAGAAATTGAACTTAGGGCAACAGAAAATGAACCTGACTACACCAATAGCAATGGAAACAAGCCACAACTGCCAACTAAGTCGAACGGTTGAAAAGAACTTGCCGAGGAAGAAGATAATGATAACCTAGCACAAGAGAGTATGAAGGATGATTAAGGTACAAAAGTTACTACCGTTACAACGAAACATACATATACGTATATATTTGTATCCACACACCTGAAGTATGACTTCAAGGCTAACTATTCCCATGAAAAGATGGTTTTTGGTCACTCCTTTCCACACATTTAGTTCATCTGGCTTCCGAGCATTAAATTCGTTGAATATCTACAATACACATTGAAAGCATGATCATTAGTAAGAAACATTTTTAATTTCTCAATGCTACAATATCTAACCATCAAAAACTATTAGGCTATCTCACATGCCAATCGATGAATTCACAGATCTCAAATGAGACTTAAGTAGAATACAGTCAAATTTCGACGTTAGGTGAAGAATAAACACAGCAAATACAAGAACCACTGTTTCTGATAATGTAATAACAGACAAAATCCAGCTTCTCAGAATGCCTCCTTTTATGGTAAAGAATAATAAGTTGCAGAACATTGAACTTTTACTGACCTGACAGAAAACAAACGCATTAAATATCAGTGTATTCTTCACTTTGAAAGCATGATCACTAGTTTCATGTCTTAAATTCAGGATGTTCTTCCCCTGGAAATTGAGAACTAGGAGGACCGTCACTTGATAGAGAGCCTAAAATCATTCAAACAAGGAAATGTTATGGTCTTAGAAAGTTTGACAACATTGTTTCAATTTTTATCACCACAAAGAGAGTACACAATACCTGTATCAACAAATTCCTCCACATAACATTTGTTATTAGAGGTTCCCTAAAACAACAACAAGTGTTGATCAGTATATAGTGAGAAGTACGATGATAATTACTAGGGTGATGTAAAGAACAATAAGTAGATTAAAATTCATTGCATGTTTGGCAGTCGAATAGATTTGAAATGAAGTAGCAGAGCACTAATACCTTGATTTATGCATACAAGTATCTCAAACACAACTGGCTAAGATAAATCTGTGTATTCCTAAATACACGAAACTTTTAATGATATTAAATCCAACCTTCTACCAACAGGAGGTCTACGCATGAGGTGATCTGTAGGGCGTTCTGTGGCCAGTGCAAGAGCTCCTAGTGTGTCCATAATAAGATTCACCCAAAGAAGCTGGAGAGAAGGCATTATAGAATCTGAGAAACTAAAGAGGAAACACACACACGCGCACACACAAAACAGCAGGTGGCATAACGAGCCAATCAAAGCAAGAAAGAGCAAATGCACGCCAAAGCTGACAGAAGGATGAGAGATGATGAACCTGAACAGCCATAAGCGGAACATCACCAGAAGAAAGTGCTGCCACAACATTGATAATCAATGCAGCAACATTAACTGTAAGCTGAAATTGTATAAACTTCTGGATATTGGCATATACAGATCTACCCCATCGCACAACCTGCAATTGAGATAATTCCAAAGGCATAATTTTGATGACCAGCTTTTAATCGTGGCTTATTTTGACATTTATTTATTCTGGGCCAAACACAAAAGAAAGGTTCCACAAAGAATTATGACTTTCTGAATAAAATGTTTTGGGAGTATACTTTTCCTTAAGATTGGTACAAATATCCTTAAGGAATCACAGAAAAGCTAACCTTTACAACCGATGAAAAATTATCATCTAATATGATAATATCCGAACTTTCTTTAGCAACCTCTGTGCCTTGAATCCCCATTGCAAGCCCAATATCAGCCTATAGCATAACAGAGTGCGAGCCAATCATATGAGATAAGCAGAAAACAATATATAATGCAAATTCATTTTCAGACTCTGATGATAAAAATAAAGTTTATCTTTTCCAAATGCCCATTAACAAATTTTTACTAGGAACAAATAAGCATTGCTATAAGAGATTCATCAGTTAGTTAAGAACCAAAATTTTTATAGGCAACTAAACAAAACAATAAAGTTCAGAGTACATATTAAAAGTTCTAATATTAACAAGAATCTGAGAAAAAGAACCTCATGCAATGCAGGCGCATCATTGGTGCCATCTCCAGTGACAGCAACAACATGTCCCTTCTTCCTCAAAGCTTGCACAAGCAAGAGCTTATCACTGGGGGATGATCTTCCCATCACCTTTCAGCAAAGTAGCAATATTTTTAATAACTCACAGAGATATACACATTGCAAAGAATTTATAGATTGTCATCACTTACCGAGATCCTATCGGCCACTTCTACTCTGTGTGTTTCGGTCATGTTACGGAAAGTCTTGCCTTCAATAAGATTAGGCTCAGCAGCTTCTGCATTTGAGCCTAAGATCCCACACTCTAAAGCTATTGCTTTAGCCGTTTGAAGATTGTCTCCAGTCACCATGCGCACCTATCAATGGTAAACCAATATTAACATGATTTAAGAATTAAATGGGATACAGAGTCAAAAAAACAAGAATCAGATGGAATGCAACATAATTTCATATTTCAGGAACCAAGAAAAGTATTCTGGTACAGGAAATGAACTAGCATGCTCAGAAACTTTTTAACTATTTCAGCTTTGGAAATTTCTACGAAATAGATAAACATTGGAACCAGAACTACAATGCCTAAAAGACGCACAGAGCACTGAACACCTTACCTCCAATAAGTTTTAATATCTAGAAAACCATATGTTGGTAACTAGTTAAATGAGAGTGAAATAAACGAGGCAAATGTCAAGACATAGAAACATAAACCAAAATACCAAATAATGCATTTATGTACCTTGATACCAGCATCCATGCACAATCGAACTGAATCTACTACTCCTGGCCTACAAGGATCCTACATAGATCACGTGTAAAACAGTCACTAGAACAAGTTCAAAATTGAGTTACATTATGTTTAAAACATGTAGAACATGTAAAGTATGAGCACCTTAATACCAACAATCGCAAGTAAAGTGAGATATTCCTCAGGTAGCTGCCAATTCTCTAGTTCCCCTTCACTAGTTGGAATTTCCTCTACCTCACATGTCCTGCAGGCAATAGCAACACAGCGCAAACTTCCTGCAGCCATATCTTCAATTGCTTTTTCAAAAACTGACAACTGCACACAACAGTAAGCTTACAATCAACAGCAGAAATACGGTAAAAAATATCAGACAATATCCCCATTGAAATACAAAGATGTGTGTTATCAATGGCAAGTCATAAAGTTAGAATTATGTAGCCTTTCTTTTCACCTTTTGTTTTTTTACTCATAACAAGAAGGATCATATCAGTAAACAGCTGAGATTACAAGAACTATTGTATTCCAACCTGATCTTTCCCCATGGAGACAACATTATCATGAGCATCTATGTAACTTGAACAAGAAGCAAGAACTATTTCTGCAGCACCTTTCCAGTGCACACGAACTTCTGAATTTGACTGCAAGAGCATTGTTAGTATTACAGAGACATACAGAACAGATGTTTCTGTTGCCAGAAAAGGTGGCATCTTTAAGACAAAAACTACACACAGAACTTAGATAAAACACTTTCCGAATACCATTTTAAGAGCAACCCCGCCTCGCTTCTTCTGTGAGTTAAATGGGAAAGCATGAATTATTACTGAATCTGATCGGGCAGATCCAAAGTCCATTCCAAGCTGCAGAATACGCACCCAAATGAAATCAAGCTCCAAAAAATATGATTTTGTTTGCTTATAAACAGAGTATAATGGCATTACATTGACTCCCCACTGGAGAATGGCTTTTTCAGTTGGTGAACCAGAAATTTCCGGAGCTCCACCAGTCTTATAAAAGATCAGCCACAAAAGGAGTAGTGGTTAGTACATAAATTGGATGAGTAAAATAACAGAATTGCAAACAGTACAAGTGTCCTGCCCCAACTCTTAGTGACAACGCAAATGTAAAGCAACTGCTCAGAACATCTATTGTCATACCTCTGGCACAAATATGCTTCCTGTTGTGTTTTGTGCAATGCCTTCCACAAGTAAAGAAACGAGCTTAGGCGGCACCCACAACTTATTGTCAGGTGGATCAATTTTCTTTCCAAAAGCATATGCCTCAACAACAGTCATCTACAGAGGACCATGAAAAAATATACGTTTTAGACATCAAATATAAAGATGTATCATCTAATAAATCAACAAAGAGCTCATTCCAAAATTGAATTCACTAGATGGTTGAATCAAAGCTAGGAGCCAGTAAGCACCTCATTCAGAGTTAGGGTACCAGTTTTGTCACTGCAAATGGTAGTTGAAGAACCCATTGTTTCACAGGCAGATAGCCTCCTGACCTGCAGATTGACTTTGTCATTTAAACCAGAAACTGCCGAAATACCATACATAGAAAACTGTGCCTTTATTTCAATCTACATACCAATGCCTTATCAGCCATCATTTTCCTCATTGAATATGCAAGCCTAAAAGGCAAATGGAATATTAGAAAAGAAGGTAACATGAGCAATACTGCATGCATAAACGATGGATCAGGAGACTTTTGAATGTAGCATCAGAAAACAAGTTGTTTGAAACATCGAATGCAAGTGAAATGAACTGTCATGTTGGGCACCACCCATCATTAAGGGGAAAAAGATAAAAGGATATTGCCACAACATCAAGATGTCAGACCTGTCCATTAATGAGATAAGAGCCATTCCTAGATGACCACATATATACTTTTTTAGTAAAGATGTAAAATTCCAGCAGCAAAAAGAATGTGTAAGTCTTACATAAACGTTTTCCAACAAACATGCATAGCAAACTCGTTAAAAAAGTATAATAGGATGTGCTTACGTCAGAGTAACAGCCAAAGGAAGACCTTCTGGTACTGCCACAACCACAATTGTAACCTGGAGTTTATCCAGTTCAATCAACAACATACAGATAGCATAGACTAGATAAGAGAATTTGCAAAATTCTGCATACCGCGACGGTGAATATCTTTATGAAGCCATTTATTGCATCACCAACTTTAGTTTTGCCAGCTATGAATTGGACTCTGCCATAAGAATCTTTTGAATGCCCAGTGAAAAACCTAGCATAGAACAAAAAATAGTTATTTTAAAGATTTCCGAACAGAAAAATATATTTACCAATCCAAAGACAGAGCTACCTGACAACAAGGATTATCAAAACTGATATTGCTACACCCAGACCAACCATGCCAATGAATGTAGCAACCCCATTCAACCGTACCTGAACTCAGCATCAAGTATAAATATGAACGTCAGAAACCAACCACTACACATCCTTACAGGCACCAAAAGATTTAAATAGAAGAAACCTGCAATGGTGTTTCTTCGCCATTATCCTCCGATATGCTTGCCATAAGTAGTCCCCACTCAGTGTTTATGCCAACACTTGTTACCTGGTAAACAAGATATACCCAACCAAACATGAGACCACATTGAAGTGCATAAAAGTGGGAGCAAATCTAAGCTAAAAATGGAGCATATAGCAGTGTGTTAGCTTCTCAAACTGTCCATGTAATTAGAAATATATCTAGTGGAAAACTACTTTAAACCTATTCCTTCAGCATTCCAAATGATCGCACTACAAAATAATGCAGTAGCTAGAAAGAACATATAGCCATTTCAAAATTTACAATGTGCATGCCATTAGACTGATTCAACAAAGTTGTTATCACCAAATACATCACATATGGTCATAGAAATCGATGTCATCATGGTTGAACAAATGCAAATTCAGTGTAGGTAGTACAGTATAAATGAATTGTTACCAGCATGCTACCATATCCATCAGCAACCTTGCATCCTGACATAAGGAATGGTGCTCTTGTTGAGTCTTTGTGAACCTAATAAGACCACAACTTATTTCAGTCACTTTAAACACATGGTGACAAACAGAAATACAATGAATGGTCTCTAGAGCTCACAATTTTGCTCTCCCCAGTCATACTCGATTCATCCATAGCAAGAGAATGGCCAGATATCACAAGTCCATCAGCAGGAACCTACACAAATCGAAGGAAAGGTTGAATCAATCAAAAGGACAAAGATATCCACCCCGTCACTGTGAGCCTGTCATCGCAAGACAAAGGGATGAGGAGAGAGAGATAGAGCTATCAACCACCTGGTCACCAATTTTGAGGGGCACAACATCTCCAACAACTATATCAAATATCGAGACCTTAATTCTACGGCCACTTCTGTAAACCTGAAAAATATAAATAAATAAATAGCCAGTAAATATTAGAAAATGAGTGGAAATGTTACAAGTGTGCAGCAATATTATTCGCCAATTACACCTACCTCCACTTGTATGTTCTGCTTCTCCTCATTCAAGTTTTGAAACTGTAGGGATTGCTTGTAATCGCTAATAGCTACAAAATAATTGAATCAGAAAGTTATCAAACAAGCTAAACATGGAAATAATCACACATTGCCCTTCAAACTACTATTACCAACAAACTTGTTTTGATTACTTATATAGTCATTTGTAGGAGGTTATTTTTATCCTTTTTAAACTTTTAATAATGAGAATCATATATCATATTAGACTAAATCATGTGCTATTGAAAATTTTAGTCATGCCAATCATTGTAGCTTCAACCATGCACCAGCATGTTACAGTGTATGACCTTAAATATCCTTCATAAAATCCTAATGAAACCTCATAAAAAGCATACAAGTATATAACTAAGAAAACAAGGCTGTCTAAAGGAACATGAATAAACACAGCTGCAGTCATACAAAAACTGCAAAATGTCATATTAGACTATGTGCTGATTTGGACATACCAGTAAAAATAATGACTATAAGAACTGCTAAGGCAATGCTTCCTCCATCATACCAACCTTCTTTTATACCCTATAATGAAAGAACCATTCTTAAGGAAACCAGGAAAGAAAATTAGAGAAGAAGAAAATGCAATGTTAATGCATTTAACAATGGAGATTTAAACACAAGACTACCTCATATCAGGTTATACAATGTTAGAACATTAGAATTACAACACCTAGAAGTTTAAATTAAAATCATTTTTACATCTAAGCAACTTCTAGACCTTAGAGTTCCAAAGTAATAGTTCAATTTTAAACATACATGAACATAGGAACACTAATTTCGCTACTATACATCTATACCATAATCGTTAAATTTAAAAAGCATTAATTGTGATTCTTCAGAAATAGAATCTGACTAGTGTTCCTTAGATGATACTCAAGAACATACCACGGTGTGATCTTATCAACAACACAAAATCGTAAACTGTCCTTCATCAGCGAATCGTTTATTTTTTTCTAGTTCTGAACTGCAAATCACTGAAGTGCATTACTGTTCTCTGAATGTAGAGTATGCACTATGCAAATAACATATTACTTTGAAGCCTTACCTCTGTCTTTATGCCAAGTGCTAAGGAAGCCGCTGCAGCAACCATCAAGATTACTAAGGTGGTATCTCGACAAGCTTCCCAAACAAATCTCTGTAAATAAAATATAAAAACATTGCAGTTAAACATATGAACCAATGTATTGAGACTGGAAGCGACAACATAAGTAACAGAATGTAGCTGATTTTCACCCAGAAACTACGCCCTTTCTTTCGAGGATATGTGTTGGATCCAAAAGCTTCCTTCCTGTCCATAAGGTCAGTGTCGTCTCCAGGAATACCTTTCTCAACATTGGACTTTAACTCCTCTAACACTCCTTTAACCTGATTTAAAGATTTATAAGAAAATATTAGAACAATACACCATGCGAAAAAAGAGTAAGATGACAATATAACAACTAAGGTAATTTCAGTGCACTTGCCCCTCCAAAACGCTGCAGAAGAGAGAGATCATGTTCCCTGGAAATTTGAATAAGCTCCTCTGAGCTGATACCAAAGTCACCAATTCGAGTTGGGGTTGATGGTTCCTTAGCAGATCCTGGAACTGAAATGTGCAAAGTTTAACCATGATGATGATAATCATTATCAGAGGAAGAGAGAGAGAGAGGGAGGGGGTATGGCTACGGCGCAGAGAATAACATTACCAATTGAAGCCTGTCCAGCAGCTTGGAAAAGTACAGCAGCCTGCTCGAGGAATTATTTATCGAAAATTAATTACACATCATAAACAATCGAACAAAGAATTATAAGTTTATGTACCCGAATGACTTGAGCATGCGTTCTAATTTTAGAAATCAACCGCTTCCGCTCTTCTGCTCTCTTCAAATCCAACGTATATCGGAAGCGCCGAGAAGCATTGAGTACGAGTGCCGCTCGCTGAAACAAATCACGGTGATCAGCATATCCAGTTAAAGACCATTCAGGTTCATATTCTTCAGCTCAGACTGCAGTCAATGGTGTCTGCAATTTCTCAACCGTAACAATACACGAAATCCACGAGACAAAGAGACACGTGGCTATAATCAAATTAAATTACTTTCTTGCCTTAAATAACAAAACAAGTTATAGCACGTGGACCACCCGAACCCACATAGCGAACTGAGCAAACAACTAAAAAGGTAAAAATAACGTGTATATTGACTGAAATATAACCATATGTAGACATCCAAATATAACTTCCTAACAGAACCTTCTGAAAAAAGAGTGAGAAAGTATCCGACTCTTGATATAAATATCCCAACATTGTCCAACCACAGTCGATTCCGACCTCCTTTCACATCACAAGTTGCTGCCACTTTATAACAACTTCAAGAAAAGAAATGACTAAGATTCGCGGCCATCAGCACCCAGTGGAAACAAGTGAAACATGATTCTAAGATTTTATGTTATATTCTTCCAACTAGTAAATTCAAGATATTATTACACCAAATGTCTAACTATACAGTCATCAATGCCAATTTCTTGATCATAACCACTGTTAGTTCAGAATTAATTAATACAGTGTATGAGGCATACAAATAAGCCAAGCACCATAATTAAAGCCTCAATTCCCAAGAGAAGTGATCAGTTTACACAGATTTCATTTGTTATTTTCCTCAACCAACATCTATCATATAATCAAAGATTCAACGTTTATAAAACAAATCAATCTCATTCCCCTTTAACAAATCCCTGCAAGATTATCGACAATGTACTTAACGTACCCTCCACCGACGCAGCCTGTCGGCCGGAGCACTTTTGGTTCTGACAATATCAAACGGTCCCGGCTCTTCGTCGTCTTCCGATTCAGAGTTCGGGCCACCCGGCCCTGCCTCGATGTCCTTGTACCGCGGCGACTTCTGTTCTTCGATCATCGTACGCTTCTATCTAGTCGCAGGAGAAATGACAGAACTCCTAACTCGACCAAATCACGCAAATTAAGACAAATTAAGCCACAGAACCCGCAAAAACCAATCAGTAGAGTAAATTCTTTCTCCTTGTTTCACCTATTCCACTTATCCTTGCAACGTAAGACTAAAACAAATCTTGTGAAAACAAAGAAATGAATAATATAATTGTACATAATATATCCAGTATCCACAAGAACACCCCGACAAACCCAAACGAATTGGCGAACGAAATTACACCGAAACTTCCCGTCGTAGAAACGGCTAATCTAATCGAATGTTAAGCCTACAGATACGATAACATTCTGACAGTCGTACTCAAAAGGGAATTAACTTTTCTTTTTTAATTACGGTTATATAATTTAAGTAATGATAAAAGATAATGGAAAGTACGGCCTGTTTCTTTAATTAATATAGAATTAAAATAATTTTCTAAAGTGTAATATCGAAAGTAAGTTATTATATCATATTATTTATTTAATACTATATTTTTACACGTTTTCAATATAATTAACCTACCAAATTTACATTTACAATATTCTACAAATTACTTATAATAATATCGTAATATTGACTTCTATTTAAATAAAGACTGAATGTAAATAATAGTACATTGTAATTTTGATAAAAATTATATTATTTTTTTATTATTATTATTTATGGCGATATTATAAGACAGAATACTATTATACTCTTATCTATCAATAAATTTATTAAGATAACAAATAATTTAATTTAAATACGATTTATGATGGTAATAAATAGTAGAAATATGGATAAAAATAAAGGTGTATTCTTTTTTGTGAAAAACTTTCTACATATTTTTATAAATATATATATATTAGTACCATTCATTATTTTATATTTTCTATATAATTTTGTATATTTTTTACATAATTTTTCATATTTCAAATAAAAAATATTTTTTCATATTATTTCACAAAACAAACCCTTATTTTATTTTTAAAAAAATTATATTATTTCTATTTAAGCTAATAAATTTTATTTGATTATTTGATCACGTGTATGTGTATGTTTTCTTAATTGATTATGAAATTGTGTAACTAAATTTATTTTTTTTAATTCATGCTTAGTTTATGGTGTGTTTTTTTATTAAATTTTTTTTTTATTTCTCTTATTCATTAAAAATAAATTTAAAAATATCAAATTAAATATTTCTTTATTTTATAGTAAATTATACTAAAAATAAATTTTATATTAAAAACATCGCATCAACATACATTTATATCATATTATACAATTATTTTAATTTAAAATTTTTATTATTTGAATCTCAACTAAAAATCAAATTTTCAGACAAACACAACTAACCCATTTTTATTTTCTTTATTATTGCTATTATTAATAATACTATTTTATCTCAGCTACTGATTAATTAATAATGTATTAATAAAATAATTATATATTAAAATAAAATAATTAATTAATTAATTTAATTAAAATTTAAAAATTTTAAATAAAATTAAAATATATGATTTTCTTAAAAATAAATAAAAATAAGGGGAAAAAAAAAACTTATATAGGAGTATTATTTTGGAGAAGTGCCACCTCATACGGCCAGCATTAATAATGGAAATCACGTGACATGTACAAGGGTCAAACATAGGATCGGAGCACCTACGCTGCGTGCACCTGGTCGTAATAGGCAAAATTATACTCCTATATTATTAAAAATATTATAATAAATACACGCTGGAACTCGTAGTGTATGGGCCATGGTTAGAGATTAAAATTTTTAAAAAATTGAGTATAGCGTAAAATGAGGGTATGTTTATTTAGGGTTTATTTAGGGATGGACACGGATATTTATAAGTACGTAGGTATTTGATAATTAAATCGAATCAAACAAATATTCGAAATTACGAATCCTATCTGAATCAAAAATTTCGGTTAACATAATTTTTTATTAATCGAAAATATTTGTAATATTTGCAAATAATTCGAACCAAATCGAACCAAAATTTAAAAATAATATATTAAAAAATTAATTAAAATTCTAATTAAATCAAAATATTTGCAAATATTTCAAATATCCGAACCGTAACCGAATCAAAATCGAACCGAATATGATTATTAATATAATTTTTAAAATATAATAACATAAATATATAAATATATTCGGTTTAGGTAATCGAACTGAAAAAAATATCAAAAACGGAAACCGAATCGAAATCGAACCGAATATAATCATTAATATAATTTTTAAAATATAATAGCATAAATATATAAATATATTCGGTTCAGTTAATCGAACTGAAAAAAATATCAAAAACCGAAACCGAACCGAGCAAATATCAAATATGCAGTATTTGTATTCGAACCGAATTTGCTCGGTTACTAAAATGTAAAAATATTGTCACATCAAATGTGAATATAACATTCTCTGTCCAAATCATCATCATCATTATCCAAGTGTAACTTTTTTAGAAATTAATCACGAGCAAGATTTAAGATTCGACATATTCAAAATTACGTATCTAATCATGTTGAAATTCGAACTTCGTATTGCACACGATCTCCTATAAGAAAATCCGATCTATTACAAATAATAAAACACATGTTTATTTAGTACAATGTGAGAAATCTGTTCTATTTTCTAATAAAATATGTATAAAACGTGTTTGGTTAAAGGTTTTAATTTTTGATCTATGTTTTAAGTAGTAAAAATTTTAAAAATCTAAAATTATTTGATATAATATAAATGAATATTCATATGATTTTTTTGAATATAAAATTATTATTTTTGTTAAATTTTAAAAATAAAAAAATTAATTTAATGTTTTATTATTATTTTTTAAAAAAAAAATTGATTAATAATAGGTACTCCTGCCCTATCTAAAATCTAAATCAACAAATCTGATCAAAACTAAACTCAATAAAATTATGAATTTGTATATTTTGTGCCAAACCCATAAGTTGATTCTAATGCGGCCTGCTGCTGACTAGTAGATGATCTGTAAGTATCAGACATTAATGTGTAGGGGTCGAGCCATTTGGGCTAACTTATTGGGCCGCAGAGAAAATGGATTTAAGCCCAGCCCAACATAGATCCAAATCTGCTTTAAGCTAACTATATATATAAGCTCCTAGGGTTTGTAAGCTTTGTTCCTCCTCCGAGCCTCACACTGCAGCAGGAAGTGTGCACCGGCGACTCGTTGAATCAGGTAATTTGCTTGCCTTCTTATTTCCTTATTTTCATCGTGTATCCCCAAATCGAAGGTTGTTTGGATGTTGTGGTTGTGATGTGAATGACGAGAACTGGAAGCGAGTTTTAAGTTTCCGTCGCGTTTTGTTAGCTGGTTGTGATTCTTGTTCTTGTTCTAGTGACTGTAAAGAATGGCGGAAATACCGGGTGTTAGAAGTCATCTCGTTGTAGGCTGTGCAGATTGCATTACGAAATAAAAAAGGAAGTGCAGTGCCATTCGGTCGTTTTATATGTTTTGCGTTGCTGGTCATGGGAAAAAGCTTTGCTCTTGTTTAAGTTTAGGCGTGCTTGAATTTTTTGTTCGGAAGCTTTGCTGCGGAGCCTAGTAGTCCATTTGTAGGATTTCCATCAGAATAAAGAGCAAGAATGATTTTTTACAACTTCCTTTTGCCCGTGTAATTTTGCAAGTCCTGCAAAGAAGAAACTATGTTGATAGACGTTTTTTCTTATTTATATTTTTGTCACGATTCAAGAATCCGGCTTATTTAGTGGAAACATTTTAATTAAAATAATCTGGAATAAACTGTGTCTATATGCTGTACTTTGTCTGCTGCAGAGAGCTGGTGTATGGACCATTAATAATTTTTTACTTGATGTTCCTATACCCTTTCATGATATAAAATTCAGTCTTAATGATGGTTGCAATTTTGATGGAGTATAAATTGTTTGATTTAGGTAGCACATTGTTGTTTTAATGCTATACTATGATTTGATATTTTAGTTTGATGGTTATTGATCAGAGATGGGTGCTGAGGTTGCTGAAGTCAAACCCATAGTTCCAGAGTCAGTTTTGAAGAAGCAGAAGAGGGCAGAGGAGTGGGCCCTTGCAAAGGCCAAAGAACTTGAGGAAGCCATGAAAAAGAAGGCTGACACTAGGAAGTTGATCTGTCAAAGAGCAAAACAGTATGCAAAGGAGTATGCTGAACAGGTATACAGAATTGTTTTTGTTTCAATTTAAATTAGGATCTGATTACTACTTGAGTCTATTTTTTACAATTTCATTGTTTGTTGTTGTATAGGAGAGGGAGTTGATTCAATTGAAGCGGGAAGCCAGATTGAAGGGTGGCTTTTATGTGAACCCTGAAGCTAAGCTTTTGTTCATTATTAGGATCCGGGGGTAGGTCCATTCTATGCTTCTGATGATATCTTCATCTTTTATTTAGAATTTCATTAATGTGCCGCATTCATTTTCTTCCAGTATTAATGCTATGCACCCAACAACCAAGAAGATTCTGCAGCTTCTGAGGCTGCGTCAGGTACTTATCAGTGTTTCATTTTAAGAGTTATGCTTCTTTCATACATCTGTTCTAGATCTAATTGTTATGAGCGTATGGATTCACCACTTGTGTACTTTGAATTTATTAACCATTTAGCTAGAAAGGTCTGTTGTATAAGTTAAATCATACTCCAAAAGATGTTTTTTGCACCCTTTTGTTTTTGGGTTGAAGAGTTTAAAACTCAACGTGGGCTTCTCCTTCTTGAAGCTGCACTCACTGTGATACGCCTTCATAATTTACATTCTAAAATCTGTTTTCGTATCTTTATTTTTATTTTATTCTAAGTACACATCTTCTGTTTTCACTCCTTTTGACTGTTTTCATCGGGCATTCATGTAGATCTTTAACGGCGTCTTTCTGAAAGTGAACAAAGCTACCATGAATATGCTGCACAGGGTTGAGCCTTATGTTACCTACGGGTAAGCTATATTAATAAATTACCTCAACTATTTTTATAAATATCACTTTTAACAAAACTCTGATACTGGTGCTTCATAACTTCTAGGTACCCTAACCTTAAAAGTGTCAAGGAGTTGATATACAAAAGGGGCTACGGAAAAGTAAACAAGCAGAGGATTGCATTGACCGACAACTCCATAATTGAGCAGGTTTGGTTTTACTAACCCATCCTATACAATAATAGGAATAATTTGTTTTGCGCATCCCAATTCTCATCCCTTTATTTTTTATAGTCTTTGGGCAAGAATGAGATAATTTGCACAGAAGACCTCATTCACGAGATCTTCACCGTTGGTCCTCATTTCAAAGAAGCCAACAACTTCTTGTGGCCATTCCAGCTCAAAGCTCCATTGGGCGGATTGAAGAAGAAGAGGAATCACTATGTTGAAGGCGGCGATGCTGGCAACCGCGAGGATTACATCAACGAGCTCATTAGAAGAATGAACTAATTGTTTCATGAGGTACTTTTTGCATGAACCAGTTTGTTTTGCATTAGACTTATATGATATGACGCCTTGCAGTCACCAATTTTCATACTAAAAAATTTCGACTCTTCTGTTAATATTATCATCCATTGGATTTATACAAACTCTGCCAATTAGAGTATTAGCATTTTGATTTCCAAAATACAGGTATATAAACATTTGAATTTAGGTTACAGAAATTTAATGAATCATTCAAATGTGAATTTAAGATTGTATCAAAGGGTGTGTATCTGAGAACTTAGAATGAGATGTTTAGAGCAAAGGGTGCAAAAAAACTTCTTCTTTGTAATTGAACATGCCGTGAAACAGCCTAATAATCTGACCTGAGCTTCAACATAGACTGCCTGAACTTGACCTCTGCAGCTCGGACACTTGCCGGGTGCTTTTTCTCGTTCTAATTCTGTCTCCTTTTCTTGGTATATATGCAATCTGCACATCGATATCTTCGACCTTCTGCTTCTCCTTTCTTTGCTCGTCTTCTTTATAAACGCCTCTTATAGGTATATATTTACTGATCTACATACAATGCGTTTAAAATGCTTTCTCAAGATTCAATGGAGGTGTGCTTCTGTGTATATATGTACCTAAATATCTGGGCTTGGTTGCAGTTGACAATTTGACATCAAGAGTTGAATTCATGCTTGATTTATATATATATATATATATTGAATCATCAGGAAAAGTCAATTGAATTGGTAGCAGTAAGTGTAGCTAATAGGGGTTTAATTGTACTAGCTTCTTAATGTTGAGTTTTAATAATCCCATCCTAAAATCATCCGTTTTTGTGGACATCTACTTGTCGAAATTTGTTATAGTCATTAATTTAGATAACTTTAATAACTATGCAGATTGTTAATAATTTTCTCAACAAAATTTAAACTAATTTTCATCCTTGTTGCTATACAATCAAAATTTGAATTTCTTGTATAGTTTGGTTCTTTGAATCCAACGTTAATGTGCTCAAACCCGTGGAAACTTGTGATCTCCAATAGTGTACCACATCCTTGAATTTGGACCCAAAATAGATAATAAATTAATACCTATTTCTGGTAGATATTAAATTGAAGGCTTTGCCATGTAGCTTCATTTGCGTTTTACACGATATTATCGTGAATGTCGACGTTTTATCCGTTTTGGGAAATTTATAATATTTATATAAAGCTTTAATTATTCAATATTGGCACATAAATATATGTGTGTGTATATATATATATATATATATGTATGTATATTCATTCATTTGTGTGCAAATTAAATTCTAACTGAAATGAGGAAAGAATGTGAGATGCAGAATTAGATTAGGTATTATTAGGATTTAGGGATATATATATATATATTTCCGTCCAAGCGGTGCATGAATTTCTACATGCAACGTAACAGCTGTCGTCATCATCGTCCCAAATTAGTCGTCAATTTTGACCACACGATTTACACGGTCGTTGAACATATCTCATTGATATAGCGTTACCAAGAAAATACAAAATAAGATAAAATTATAACACATGATTTTTATAACCACTACAAAAAATCGAATTTGCCTTCTCTGAACCGGTGGATGTGCAAACAGAACCGACACATACACATGGATGGGGGAGTTGGGGTCCGGGACCTCCTAGTCCCCAAACTCATCTTCTCAAAAATGAAGTTGTTGAAATTAATTGCAGATGGAAAATGGAGATGAAGGTCGACGATTCATCCATTATTATCAATGAATGATGAATTTATTAATTAAGAATAAGAATTGTACAAAAGGAGAGTTCTGGAACACAATGTGCAGACGTAGTTGCGGTTGAATCTGAAGCAGAGTAGGAGAGAGCAGCACCATCGCTGCCGCCGGACGTCCACCGCCTCCACCTTGCCGCCGCAGTAGGGGCACGCTCCGCTCGCCGGCTTCCTCCCAACCTCCGTCTCCTCCTCCCCGCACCACCGCGACATTATTAATTAATTATGTAGCTAACACCGCGTTTAATCTGATGGACGACGGCGTCGGGTTAGGGTTTTAGGGCATATATATATATATACATATTATATACAGACCGACGGTGTCATATATATAATAAACAGAAATGTGGAAATGTGTAGAGCAAGGAAATTATGAGGGATCGCATAAGATTCCCTACAGAAGATCCAATGCTAACGTGCGCGACACATACGTACATGCATTCGTGTATATATATATATATATATATATTTATTGTGTTAATTATATATATTATTTGTATTATATTAATATAAATAATATATTACGTGTAGTTTTTTTTTTTTTTGAAATAAAATAGTGTATATAAATGCTCGAATTATGATGTTCCGTTTATTATTATTTTTTTAATCTTTATTCAAAGGCCTATATACCTTTCACACAAACATTAGTAATATATTTTTATAACGAAGAAATGTATTTTTTTCTCTTTCTTTTATTTTTTTTTCTAAAAAAAAATCATTTATATAATTCAAAAATCTAATATTAGAAAAGCCCATTGAAAATTTGGGCCGCCTGATCACTGTAGTCAATATTAACTTCAAATTAAGAAAAGCCCATTTCCTATAGCCCTGTTGCCTTAAAAAGAAAAAGGCCTAACCCAAATATCAAATATAAAAGGCCTTAATCAGTCCTAATCAAGCCCATTTCCTATAATGATCAATACATAAAACATGGCCAACAGTTATATATAGTAGTTAGAATTCAGAAAAATAATATATAAATTAACATAAAAAATGAAGAATGAAGGTTCTGATTGTTGGTTCCATTTAAATTCATGTCCTCAAACTGCTAACAATCATTTCCCCATCATTCACACACGTTTTTAACCTAATTTTGATGCCACTCATGGAAACTCTTCCTTCTGTGTATTAATCCTCTATGTACTCAAACTATATATACATATACATATAAATATAATGCATGGGGAGACAGACAGGCTGCATATCCGCCGCTGAGTGTAATGATATCAAGTGTTTAATTTGTTGTTGTTGATGATGATGATGAGTAGTCAAAAGCAAGCAGTGAATACAAAATTCAAAAGTTGGGGTTTCTTTCAGCTGGAATTGAATTAAATTAAAGTGCATGGCACTGTCATCTAGTGGGGAGGGGCATTATAATTTCATGATATCTCAATATAAATAAATAAATAGGGGAATTCAATTTAAACATGAGCATTTCAATCTGAATGATTGGTCTTTTCTGGTTCATGATTAAGAGCAAACTAATTGCAGTCAAAAGAGACACATATAGTGGATCATTGAATCATGAGACCCTTCTTACCTTTTTAACTATATATATATATATGAATTTGTGTGTCCATTAATCATTAATTTCCATGCATAGATAATCTTGTTTATGAAAAGGGCTTCAAGAACCTTTAGTGCCTAGTGATTTCCACATCCTTCCTCACCTCAAACAAATCCTCTATGTCTATGCTAGGAATTCACATTTCACTAAGTCCCTTGTCATTATGACAAACCTAATAATACAATAACATATTATGTATCTTTCTTTCTTCCATCCCTTTTGCTAAAGAATCCTTAATATTGGAGGGCCCCTTTTGGTTGGTGTAAAAACTTTTTTCTTGTTTATTTTGTTTTTGTTTTTACCTTTTGATTTGTTTGTGAAGTGTCAAATGAGGTGTGGATATGAAGAAAGCAGAATAGTATTTAGAAACAGATGCACTAATTACATGAGCCACAAGAAAAAGAGGGACTATGTTACAAGTTCTTCTTTAACCTGTCAAACAAAGCTGGATTCTTTTGGGAAGACATGTTCCCATGAATCCATCTTCATGATTCTCTCCTTGTCCTGATCCTAAACAAACCTTAAATCTAACAGCTCGCCTCTCGCCTGTATCCGCCATCCGTAAACTCGCCTGGAAGACTTCTTTCAGCCATTGATCAAACGAGTCGTTGAGATACAAACACGATCCGAGCAAAACTTTCTCCAACACAATCTCCTCAATGTCGAAACCCCCCAAGTTTCTACTCCCCTCAAACTCCCTAAAAGAGGCCTTGAATTTGGACAAAAACATCTCTCTTGCGCGCCCCTCCTTATCCGAATCCATGGTTAGGACAAAGCTGTTCTTGATCATTTCTAGAAGCTTCATTGCATTTTGCTCCTGATCTACCTCCCCTGCATCCTTCATCAGTTCTTCCTCGTCCGCCTTGATATTAAGGTCTAGCTCATTCAAGCTCGATTGCCTTGTGAAAGACACCTCTTCCATTTCATTGTTCCTCGGACTCTTGCTCCTGCTTCGGACACCCCAATCGACCTTGCGCTTATTGTCCGGATTAGGCATTGTTAGGACAAGCTTCTCTTCTTGCACAACCATCTTCATCTGGATTACAGAGTCCACATCCTCTGTTTTCTTATTACACCGCGAATCTGCTGCTGCATTCATTGTTAGTACAAATATCGCCTTGTGATCGCGCCTTTGCGAAGTTTCCACTTTTCCATTCATGCAACTTTCGACAAGAAACTTCACAAACTCCGGATCAGCGCATTCGACATCCTCAATTACAACCACAAGATTTTCATGTCTTCTCAAGGCCTTTTCCAGCGCGCCGCGGTTATGATCCACCGTGCTGTTGTTCCTTTTCATGTTCATAATAAAAACCAATTCCGACGAGCCAAACACAGCCTTGGCAATTCCGATTGCTAGCCTTTGTTTTCCAACAACATCGCTTCCTCGAATTAATATGAACTTGTCCTGATTCATCATCCCTTTAGAGTGATCAGTCACTGCCCTCACAATTGCAGGAATGCTCTCGTATTGCCATGGAATGTTGTCTTTGAGTATCTCACAAAGTTCATCATAAGCACACTTGGAATTGCCAAGAGCAAGAGTGATCTTTACTTCCTTGTCATCAATGCTTTTTAGGGAATCCAAATTAGGTTCCATGGAGTGACATTTGGAGCTTCCATTGCTGAAACTGAACTCAATATGGCAAGACTGCTGTCGTCTGAACCTAGGCAGGCTGCTTGGAGTTTGAACAGCAGCAAAGGAAATGGTTTCAGAATCAGGGAAGATGGTGCTGTTCTTGCCAGGCCAATTACTGGGATAGGAACAAGGGTAGCCATAGTTCTTGCTTCCATAGCTTTCATTGCTGGAATTTTTGGAATTATGGATTCTTTGGCACAAGCTGTTGTATTTTCTCCTCAACTGAAGTAAATCATCCTGATTACATCAAAAAGGGGAATTCTTGATCAATTGTATGAACATTATATAATTATGTTCAATTTAATTAGTTAATGGTGATCAATAGTAGTACCTTGGCAAGAATGGGATCAATGGTGTGGGGTTTGAGCCAGATTGACTTGAAGCCAGCTTCTTTATCATAATTAGATCTGCATTCTTGACAACAGTTGAGAGGTTCTTGTTCATCTTTGACCCAGAAAGGTTTTTTGTCGAAATCTTGGATTCTCGAATCATGATCACTGCAGAGGGTGAAAGCAGACAATGTAATAAGTGAATGGAAACAATAGGGGGGGAATTACTTGTCGTAGCCAAAGCGAAAACGATCAGACCATGACATCATGTCAAAAGATTAAAAAAAAAGGGGGGGGGGGGGGGGGGGGGGGGGGTTTTTACTTTGCCCTTAGGTTCAAACAGACAGCTCTCTCACTGTATGGAGCCAAAGATTTCAAATTTGTCCTTATTATGTGAAATGGTCAAAAGAAAGAAAGAAAGAAAAGAAGTGTGGGAAACAATCCCTTGTAATTATCTGTGGAGAATCAAACAAAATTCCCACATCATGATTTCTTTCACATAACTTGGTCAAGTAAAAATGCAAAAACATGTCCAGACAAACATATTCTTAACTTCGCCTTTTTACATTTCTGTCATTGATCAGCAAATTTCAGAGTTCAGAATATGATCACACACTTAAACAATTTTATTTTTTTATTTTTAAAAGAAAAAAGTAAAAGACAGAAAAAGCAGTTCCATGCTTCGAATAACCAGAAATGGTCATTTTTCATCGATACTGTAGACTCATCATCACAAAAGCAATTAATTCAAATTCAAATTCATAAAAATAAACAATAATTAAATAAAATTTAATTGTTGAAACTGCACTAACCTTGGTGCATTGAGGCTCAACCCCAATCCACCAGATGGAACAGACACTGCTTGGAGATTCCACTGGACATCCAAAGGGGGCTGTTTGATCTGGCACTTCATGTAAGTATGGTAATTTGCTGTCGCCATTAACCACACCCTTGCATTCGAAGTGTTGTACCAAGAAATCAGCTTTCCCATCTCTGCAATTAAATGATCAACTGGACTGTAAACTGTGGAGGCTTCTTTACCAGCAGAAGAAAACCCTCCTCCTTCCCTAATACTGCTATCACCATCACTGCCATTGCCATTGCCATTGCCATTATCCACCGTCCACTTTAAATCACCAGTGTAGATGATGATCACGTGCCCAGTCCCTGCAAAGGAATCCACCTTCCTTTTCAGGTCTGCAACGTTCATCTGCACCTCTTCTTTGGTCATGAACCTGAGGGGAACTGATGAGAATTGGAACTTGATGAAGTGAGCTGATTTGAGCTCATCAGGTACATCTCCTCTCTCAACTTTGCTCATGATTTCTGCCACGAGTCCTTCCGCCATGGATAAGGAGTCCCCAACTATGACAGTGTTTCTCCTCTTCTTCCTCATGAAAACCTCCAAAACCACCTTCACATCTTCCTTGAGAGAGAGAGGGTGATCAGAAACTTGAGTGGTGGTTATTAGAGGCTTGATTTTGGGTGGGGAGAAGAGGAAATTAGGGTTTTGTTCAGAAGCGTAGGACGTGAGGAAGTGGGAATGCCAGACACTGTTAGGGTTTATGATTACCTCCCTCTGGGGTTCTCCTGGAGGAGAATTGGGAGTGGAATAAATGCCTCCGGTGGGATTGTAGCACTGGAAGACAGAAGAAACCGAATTGGTAGAATCTTCTAGATTGTTCTTGACGGCGGTGCTGGAGAATCCGGCCTCCCTCATGACCCTGCTGACGCTGGGGTCATCCAGGATGGAGAGTACCAGCTGATCAAGGTCTACTTTAATGGCGATTAGTGGCTGCTGCTGCTGCTGCTGCTGCTCGATGCAGCCTCTCCTCTGGTGGGCCTGGGCCCTCTTCAGGGCGGCGACAAGGGCGTTGGACAGCGACGGCTGTGCGTGGAGGAGAGGTCCCGGAGTCGCCGGGAGGCGGTTGAGGGCCACGTTGAAGCAAAGCTCAAGAGCTCTGCATTGAAGAGGGTGAGAAGGCTGGTGCGGCTGAGACTTGAGACAGGCTCGCCGGAGAAGACTCGTTCTCGTGCTCAGCAAAGTGGCGGCGACATGCAGCGGAGTGACCTGCGCGTGGCCGCGCCGCCGGGCCAGGCTGAGAGAGTGCTTCAGCACCGAAGCCGCCTCCGCCGAGAGCGTCTGCTGCGTTGCGGAAGCTCCTGCACGCATAACTTGGCCCAATCCCCGACCCCGACACCCCCACTCTTTGAGTCCACGATCTTCAGCGCCGCCGTATCGATCCGCCGGAAAAATCCTCCTCCTTTTACCGATTCCTAAACCCCCTCGATTTATATACCCCTAATTTAGCCTATAGCCTCCTGACTCAGTTCTCTAATTATGAATTTCTGCGAATGATAGCAGTGAGGTCGCAAAGTGAAGAGAGCTTCTGGCTATGGCGTCACTGTATTTATATCTCTCTTCTGAAGGCTGAGGGCACTTTCGGAATTTTACTTTCCACTTTTGAAAATGGGATTAAAATAAATAACAAAAAAAAAGTAACCACTATTATTGGAGTATTTGATTAATTGTAATCGATTAAAATTTAAGTATGTGGTAAAATTGTAATTTGATCAGCATTAAACTTTCAAGATTAAAATTTCAATTATTTGCGGTTGTAATAAAAAGTGAAAATAAATGGACAGGTCTTATATACCCCTATGGAGTATTTATTTAATTTTAATTCAACTACATTTCCGTTAGTTTCTCCTTTATTGTCTGTGGGCTTTCATGCAAATTATTGGAATTCACAAAAAAGGGCTTCTTAAAAATACATTGTGACCCCACACATTATGTATTTCACAATGTGAACCCAAACATTACTCACCCTTTTTTAAATCAATTTTCTTTTAATTTAATATTTAATTTGCTGTATATGAAAAATTCTTTTCCACATGACAGACAGAGTGTCACCAGAAATTCAAAAAAAGTTGTATAATTGTAATGAAAAGAAGAAAAAACATAAAAGAGATGGATCAGAAATAAAAGTGGGTAGTGAGAAATAAAAGGACATAAAATTATATAATGAGATGATGATACATATATATATATAAAAGAGAGTGTAGTTTAATATTTTTTTTGTCCTTATATTTTTAATTTCCTAGCTCATTTATTTTGTCCTAACATATTGTATCTTAAACTAACAAACATCATGTACTGTGAATTAAATAATTTTTATATATAAATAGATGGACATGGATGGATTGATTAGGGCAATATAATAAAGCATGTAGAGAGAGAGAGAGAGAGAGAAGAGAGAGAGAGAAACAAGAATGGTTTTATTCCTCAAAGAACCCAAAAAGCAACACTCTGTCTGGTCTCACTCTCAACCATTTTGTACCCATTATTGTCTCTTTTTTCCATTCTCTCTTTTTGCTTTGCGTTAAACAAAACCTTTTCTTGTTTTTGGAATAATCAATATGTATATATATATATATATATTTAAATTAATTAATCAATTAATTAAATTATATTTTTGATCAGCTCCAACAACCCACTTTAATTCACAAACTTTTTGGTAAATCAAGACAAGATTATATCGATCATGACATATCAATTACTCATCATATATCATTTCATTTTAATAATTCAGATTTTCTGTATAGTTACTACTATATAAATTAACTAACAAATTACTAATTGCATGCAGCTTCAAGCATGTCAATGTTACATGTAACAGTTCCATGAAGAAAATGATTATTTCTCAGTTTTTTTTTTTTTTTTTTAAATTAATAAACTTACCAGGCTTAAGAACTTCGATGTAAATTTAATTAAATGGCATGCAGGGAATTATTATTTATTTATTTATTTAATGCATATATAATAAATAAATTAAGAAGTTTAATGCATATCAGTCAAAGTCATAGATAGCGTCTTGGATTTATCCAGTGGTGAAATTAATTAGGAGATTGAATTAATAAAAACACCTTTTAATTACCCCTAAATGATATTAAATTAATTGATTTAACAGAATGAAAGATCATTTCTCTGAAAAGCCAAAAGTGATCAAATCTTGATCATCAACAACAATGATCATTATTACAGCATTCGTCTTTTTCTATGATAGACCCCTTTTCTGCAACCCAAAGCTAGCTACCCAATTTCAAAAACAACACAGTAAGTTCAAATTATTTAAATAATAAAAGAAAAATAACGACATTGAAATTAATGATTGGGACATTATCCTTGATCGGATCAGTCCATAAAGTTTAAAGCTGCATACACACAACAAACACATTCAGAGAGAGCTAGAAATGAATTTGGGATTGCTCTTCTCACAAGAAAAGTATAATTTCATTGATGGATGGATCCATGGTTGTTTGATTGAGATCATAATTGCTCATGATACACATTCTTGCAGAGGTGGTCTGAAAGTGCAGTCAAATGATTTGGTTTGCATGTTTGAGGACATATATTCCACATTAGAATCATGGGGTTGTAATAAATAAAATTTAATTGTGACAGTTTTGTCCCACCAAATAATTTCACCCACAAATTAAACCTAATTAGGGTTTCCAAAACCCACATTATTGTAATTAACAGATATGACATGGACCCACTTCTGAAAAATGATCAAAACATACAATTCTGCAACAAAGAGTAAAGAAAAGAAAGAAAGAAAGAAAAGAAGAAGGAATGATCAAGAAACTGAAGTGATAGATACATATATATACATATATATATATATATAAATTGATGTATAAGTTTGTGTACGCCTGCAATAAAATTCAGATGAGAATGGGCATTTCATTCATCTTTTGCTTTTGAAATAACTTTAATTCTCTTTATGGATCCATCCATCCATCTATTCCACATATATTTATCAATACCTTTCTCGGCCTTCGGGTTTATTTCATACTACGTACCTTCTTCATCACTAATATATATATATATATATATATATTGTATAATAATATGATACTGAGAGAGAATAAGAAAAAGAGTAAAAAGAATGTAAAGAAAAAGAAAGTGGTAATGTAAGGTGGCATGCATGCTTTTTGTGTTGTTCATTTCATTTCATTTCTGAGAGTGAGAGATGTGTACATAAAAAGGTACATCTGATCTGTTACGCGATTAAAGGTAATGGTCAGCGGTATCATATACATATATATATATATATATATATGAAATGTGTGACCAAATTAAATTAAATTAAACATTCTCACACTACCACAAATCAAAGGCAAATGGGTATTTTTTTTTTTTAATTTCTTTAATGTTAATGTTTATAATGAAAACAATATTTTTGTTACCACAAACTTACATGATAGTTAGAATGTTGATTAGAGCTATTCAATGTGTACATGAAGTGAAGTATATATAAACTTACAACACAAGATGCAATATATGAACTAACAATATGCAAGAGACGAAAGAAGAATCGCACATAAAATGATATTAATACTTTATGTGTTTATAAAGTATGAATTAACAATATATGGTGATATATATTTCATATAAGATATGTTGTATTAATTTATATTATATGTTGTTAATCTATATTTTATGTGCTAATTAGGATTAATTGAATTATTATATCATTATTTTTTTTATGTTTGAATATTATGTCATTATTTTTTATTTTTCAATTGCCACATATTGTGTTTTTTTTTTTTTTGAAAAAAATTGTATATACAAATATGTCTATGTGGTAATGAATGGTTTGGAGATAAAAAAAAAATGACAACAATAAATTTCAGGACTTTAATTTTCATTATATTCAATCATGAACTATATTAGTGAATTACAAAAAAAAAAAAAAGAAGAGATAATCAATAGTAAGTTTATTCAATAATACTCAAATATTGTTAATTAGCTAGACTTATATATATCATTTTAAATCTCTCCCTCTCTCTCTCTCTCTATTGCATGTTTGGTTGGACTTTTTTTGAATATTTTATACTACTAGTTAATTTTTCCTATAATATAAAATGAAGTATTAAATTAAATAATTTTTATATTATATTAAGAATTAGTTTTACACTAAAAAATATATATATTTATTTCTATTTATATAATACCAAATAACTATTTATATTTAAAATTTTAGTAATAAAAAACTCAAACATGGAGAAAGATAGATTTTTGAAAGGATTATATGGATTATAAACCTTAGTTTGAGTATATTGCCTTGGTCATATGTATATGATGCATGTATTGAACAAGAGTTCAAAGACACAATTATCCATGCTTAAAATGTCTCAAACTAGTTCAATAAGATATAGTGATGTAGAAATGAACGTGAGGTTATGGATTTAAACCCCGGGTCACTAAAAATCTCAAACTATACCACTAAACAAACACTCCCTTATGATCATGATGATGACGATGATGATTGTGGTTCTACGACGTTTGGTGACGAGTGAATAGTAATGACAGAGACAGTTTCAGTATCAATCAATTAATGTAATGTAATATATATATATATATATATAGAAAGAGAGAGAGAGCAAAGAGGGATCGAATAAGAGGTTCCATCACGTTTCCACTGTTTGCAGAGCACAACTCTGCACAACAGATACCCTCTAACCCTAACCCTAACCCTAATTATATATATATATATATATTATATGGATGCATGCAAATGCCAAATGCAAAATGATCCAGTGCACAAAAAATTAAAAGGTTCCCATAAAAACTGAATTGATAATTGACATGTGAAAAAGCTTGCCCCTCCAATTCCAATTCCAATTTCAGTTCAATAATTTTGTCTGGCAGTCAGTACCATTCATCTTTTACTATAGCCATACCATTCCATGCACGCAATCACACACACACACACAAAATAATTTCCTCAAAACGTACCTATATATAATAATAATAATATTCCAATGATATATAAATCACACACATATATATATATCAAACAGTAGTGTCTCCTGTGGTGGAAACACAGTGATTGTGTGTGGGTTATTATTGGAGGTGTTTGGACTCGAATAGACTCTTCAATGGATCCACACAATTGAAATAATACAATACAATACATACACAAAAATATTGCACAACAGACACCAGAAATACAAATGGACAAAACCCTAGTTGAATTATTATATATATATATATATATTTGAATAAATATTTGTATATGGGGATTGGGTTGGGGTGACTTTAGTTTTATTTTCTTCTCAGCTATTATTGTGTTTCTGACTAATATTCTAATTTTGCTGACTCGTCTGCTTTCTGCCATTGTCTGGACAATCTCTGCTCTGCCTGCCTACGTAGCTGTTGAAAAAAATACATTACTATATTCTAGTAGTATTCAATAATTCAAATATACAAAAAAAATATATATATATATAAGTCACCTTTTTGTTTTTTCCTGAAAAAATTGTAAAACTTCGAAAATACTATCTCTACGTTTATA